CGTAGGACCTGGAAGGACAATCAGATCACCAGCATTGCCGAAAATGCTTTCGCAGACTTGCCTTTGCTCCAGTACTTGTAAGCAAGCAAAGACGAAACGAATTAAGCTCGAATCCCTCACTCGTTCGCGCCAATATCTGTAGATCTCTGCGAATCAACCAGCTCACCAGCATTCCTGCGTTGACACACCTGACTGCGCTGGCACAAATGTACGCAAGCAAAGACAGGAATCGTCACACCATGGACTCATTCGTTTTGTGTCTCTTAGAACGCTGTCTCGGAACCAGATCACCAGCATTTCTTCCTCTGTATTTACAGGCCTGAGCGCACTGACCAACTTGTAAGCAAGCAAAGGCATGATCAATCATTCGCAAGCACGGCATATCGTTCACTCGCGAATGCTTGCTCTCTCTCTCTCTCTCTCTCTCTCTCTCTCTCTCTCTCTCTCTCTCTCTCTCTCTCTCTCTCGCTCTCTGTCTCTCTCTCTCTCTCTCGCTCGTTCTTGTGTAGATATCTTCAACAGAATCAGATCACCAGCATTTCTGCAAACGCATTCACAGGCCTGACTGCGCTGGGCAACCTGTAAGCAAGAAAATAACACAACGAATAGAATCCTGCACAACCAGCTTACTTGTTGGCGACCTGATCTGCAGATACTTGTCCAACAACCTGATCACCAGCATTCCAGCCAACGCGTTCACAGGCCTGACTGCGCTGACTTCCGTGTAAGCAAGCTATGTTCTTCCATTGCGCAGACTCGATTCGCCTCTTACTTTGCGATTCTTGTAGGCCTTTGAACAACAATGCATACACCACGTTGCCGCCTGGTCTGTTCAAGGGCTTGCCAAACGGCTTGTCTTTGTCGCAGTCAAATCTCTACCTGAGCCCCAACAACTTTACCTTTAATGGCAACATTGTCGCTCCGCCCAGCACATACGGCAGTGCATCCGTACCGTACCGTAAGTTCCGCCTTGACTGGACTGTACCTGTGATCATTCTTCACTGACATTTTGTACTGCAGCGTGTGATACAGCCTGTGCCACCTGCTACGCCTCTGGGTCCGGTTCGTGTTGCGGAGCCAACTGTCTGACATGTACTTCATCCGATCCCTGCACTCAGTGCTATGACGGCTATGTGATGATGAGCGGCTTCTGCCTTGCATCTGCTGCGACCAACGCATCAATTGCGTCCATCGCTTCAGTCGTGTCCACCCAATCTGCCTCGGCCGCCTCGCTCGCATCCATCGCCTCTGGCTTGGCTTCTTCGGTCGCGTCGGCTGCGACACAAGCGTCCATCGCCTCAGTCGCGTCCTCGCGATCTGCCTCGGCTGCCTCGGCTGCCTCGGTTGCTTCCACTGGATCTGCATCGGTTGCGTCCGTCGCCTCGGTCGCATCGGCGCAGTCTGCTTCGCTTGCCTCCGTTGTCACGGCTGCCTCAGCGGCTTCGGCCTCGATTGCGTCTCTTGTTTCCGCTTCCTCGGCATCATTTGCTTCCGTCGCAGCGGCGTCTTCAGCGTCAATTGCATCGCAAGCATCCGCGTCAGCCGCCAGCGCCTCGTCTGTTTGGCAGACATCTGCGGCATCTGCGGCGTCCAACGCTCCCGCCAAACCAAATGATGCTTCATCCTCTTTGCCGATTATTCTTGGAGTCATTTTTGGCGTGCTGGCTCTCCTACTGCTGGTTGCGCTGGTTGTGGCCCTTCGGCGTCGTCGCTCGTCAACTGCGTTGGCAACCACCAGCTCGGCCACCAAGCTTCGCGAGAGTGCGGAGCCGACTTCCAAGTCTGCTGGTGCTGCGGCAAACGTTGCGAACCCCACCTATGAAACCTTGTCTGCGACTGGCGACCACGCCTTGTACGAGCCTGTTGGATCAACGCCCCAGGCCTCTGTGGGTTTGTCGGACGTGCAGTATGCCGAAACGTCCGTGCCCAACGCCTCGTCAGTTCGTGTCCCGCCCGCATCTTCCCCGACTACTTACGCGACCATCGATGTCGCATCTTCCACGCAGCCCGGGCATGTCGATTCCGCGTAAATTGCGAATTCGGTGTGTTCGCTCGGCCTGTTGTTGTTTTGCAAGTTTTGCTGAATGTTTGTTTTTCCGTCTGTGATTCTCCGTCGTTGTCCGCTCCGTCCTGTTTTCTTCCGAAGTTTTTTCACGTTGATGTGTGATTGTTTTTCATGTTCAATCCAACGAGCGATTCGATTTCCACAGTCCACACTCGGTTGTCCTGCTAGAAAAGATCCCCTCCTGCCCTATTTTTTTGCTGTTTATGCTCGGTCTTCCCCTGGTGTTTGTTTGGCCGTCTACGACCCGGCTCTTTTTTTTCCGGGCGCTGCTCCACCATTTTGAAACTCTCTGTTTTTGCTCTCAGCGACTCTGAATCATTCTTTTTTTTTTTTCGCTTTTTTGGTAATGCAACTTGACTTGTCAAAATCCCTTCCTCGCGTCTCGCTCGACCTCGCCTGAACCACTCGCGGCCTCCCTCCTGGCGCGGCCACCCCACCCCGTCCCGTCCCATCGCAACCCCGCCTTGCTTTCTGAGCTGCTGTTCGACGACGCGCCAGGCAGCAGGCAGGGCGGGATGTGCAACGCAGAGCTGTCCCCTCGTGGAATTATTCTGCATCAGCATTTCCGAGTCGGATCGCCGTCTTGGTCTGAGACAAGCGGGGGGGACTGCGTGTCGATCGCTCATCCTATCATCCTAGACACACACGCGCACGTACTTCAGCTCGTTGGCACAGTCGCAAAGTCCTCAAACAAAAGCGCTGCGATCGTCCATTCAAAAAAACAGATTTTTTTTTTTTTTTTTTTTTTGGCGCCAAAACTTTTTTTTTTTTTTTTTTTTTTACCGTTTTGCTTTTGTTCTTTTGACCAGTGACTTTGATCGTCAACGTCGTCAACGTCATCATCACTACTATCACTATCGCCATTCACTATCAGCCCATTGTGTGACTGGTGTCGGCGGCGTGCAGAGCGTGTGCAGAGGCAGGGATTCCTTGTCCCAATGCAATCCCAGCCAACATTCATCCAACCACCAGCTCCACTCCATCACTCCACGTCTCGACGTTGCTCACTGCACTAATGTGGCGTTTGTCTTTTTGGTGCAGGTCGTTCGCGTTGGCCACCGATATTCCGGCTGAAGCGCACGGCAGACACAACCCAAGTCCAAAGCTCTGCTCTCCCCACATCCATAGCCCGCAACAAGAAAAAAGAAAACCATGATGGACACTTCAGATAGCGCAGTGGCAGCAGCCGTTGCAGCGCAGCAGCTCGCTCAGGCGCAGGCGCAGGCGCAAGGAGGCGGCGATGACGATTCCGCTGCAGCTGTATCCTGCAACTATGTTCTCAAATACACCTTGGAGGGCCACAAGAAGGCCATCTCGTCGGTGAAATTCAGCCCTGATGGCAACTGGCTTGGTACGGAAGAGTTGGCTGTTTGTTGGAGTCTGGACCGACAGCTCCTGTTTGTTGGTGGATGAAACTTGCCTCCTCACCTCTCTGCACTCATCATCGCGTTCACACACACACACACACACACACACACACACACACACACATACCAGCTTCATCGTCGTCAGACAAAATGATCAAGATCTGGGGCGCCCGCGATGGCCACTTTGAGACGACGCTTGTGGGCCACAAGCTTGGTATTTCGGACATTGCCTGGTCGTCCGATTCAACGCAGCTCGCCTCGGCAAGCGACGATAAGAATGTCAAGATCTGGGACATTGTGTCTCGGACGTGCATCAAAACGCTGGTTGGCCACACCAACTATGTCTTTTGCGTCAACTTCAACCCGCAGTCGACGCTCATCGCGTCCGGCTCGTTCGACGAGTCTGTCCGCATCTGGGATGTCAAAACGGGCAAGTGCAACATGACCCTGCCCGCTCATTCCGATCCTGTCTCCGCCGTCCACTTTAACCGCGATGGCACCCTAATTGTGTCGTCGAGTTACGATGGTTTGTGTCGTATTTGGGACGCGTCGACAGGTAATGTTTGTTTTCTGGCAGCGAATATGTAGGAGGCGGGGAAGAAGGGGTTGCTTTGTTTGATCTGAAGTTGGGGGGGGGTTGAAGCGGCAGCTCATCACACCGCGACACTCTACCAAACAGGTCAACTGCTCCGAACCCTTATTGAGGACGATAACGCCCCAGTTTCTTTCGTCAAGTTCAGTCCCAATGGACGCTACATCCTGGCCGCAACGCTGGATAGCACGCTCCGCCTGTGGAGTTACAACACGGGCAAATGCTTAAAGGTAGAGCTTGGGGATTGTATGCGGGCGTGCTTGTTCTCTCTTCTTCTTTTATTTTTTCCCCATGAGCGTGACGTTGTTCTGCTTCACTAACCTTGTCGCTAATCGTGGTACTAGACCTACACTGGCCATCGGAATGAAAAGTACTGCATTTTTGCCAACTTTTCCGTCACGGGTGGCAAGTGGATTGTTTCTGGCTCGGAAGACCATCTCGTTTATATCTGGAACCTCCAAACGAAGGAGATTGTGCAAACGTTGAGCGGACATCGCGGTAAGTTTTGCGAGAATTGGAGATTTTGATTGATGAGTGATGGACGTGTGTGATCTCACCCCAAACCCAAAACCCCAGACGTCGTACTATGCGCGGCTTGCCACCCAACCGAGAATATCATTGCATCAGGAGCGCTGGACAAGGACTGCACAATCAAAATTTGGAAGTCTGATACATGAGCGGCCATCCTGACTTGAGTGTTTTTTTTTTTTTTTTCCGTTTGGTTGTTCCGATCTTGTGTTGATGTGTGATTCCATGTCGCTTGTCGCTTGATAAAAAAAAAAGCCCATTTCCCCTCATGCACTCGTCGCTGATCCTTGTTTGTCATGCGTTGCGCAGTCGCCTTCTTTCTTTGTCTTCTTTCAAGTCTCAGTCTGAGCGAGGAGGCGTTCCGACCCCCTTCTGTATAAAATGAAGGAGACGTCCGTCGACGCCTCACAGTCCCGGGGCGCCGATAACGATGCAGCATTGAATTTGCGAGCATTGTCGTCGTCACTGGCATCTGCAAGCCCTGCACACGCAATAGCAGCAGCAGCAGGAGGTGGCCAAACCGGTGACGCGCAAGCTGAGCCAATGCCAGACGCCGCCGCGACCGCCGCGACCGCCACCATCGAAGCAGACCCGCTGGCCGCTCTGGTGAGGCACGAAAAGACACCAGCATTGCCTCCGTCGCTGCGATTTGTGTACGAGCTGAACGCCAAGCAGACGAGGAGCGTGACGGAGCTGCCGGTGACGTATCTCGATCGTCAGCGGCAGTACCGACTCACGCTGCAGGCGCTGGGACACGATCCACTGCTCGATTCCGCGAGTGACCAAGCCCAGCAGCATGCTCAAGAAGACGAGCTTTGGCGCCAGGCACCGTCGTCGTCCGCTTTGCCAACGTCGACCAGTGCACGTCCGTCGTCGTCCTCATTCGCATCGATACCGACTCCGGGTTTGATCGATGTCAAGCCGGAAGTCTTCAATGCAAAGGCAGCAGCGTCGAGTATGATCGACCCCGCTGATTCAACGTCGTCATCGAGCTCTGCTCTGAGGTACGAATTCTCACTCAGTTTCGCAAGCCATTTGCGCACCAACAACGTTTTGAGCGTGAAACTCACCACCGCGATTCGCAGATCCATCATTTATGTGCACTTTCATGACCATAAGGACGAGCTACGAGAAACCGAGCTATGGAACAACTGGGTTTCCGAAACCAGCCAAACGTCTGCCGTCGAGATTGGTAAGTGTGTCTGCACCATGATCGGATTGGTTTGAGTTTGGAAGATCGCCTACCCACTGGCTTCTATCCTTGACCGTGTGCTGTAGCGTCATCCATGTCGAACGGAATTGCCGAGATCAAACCTGTGGGACCCAATGCCGTCTCCTTTTCGTGGAGCGCTGCTCGAGGCGCTGCCATTTATATTGTGTTAAATTGCCTCTCCACCGAAGTGGGTGCGTCGCGTAATAGCAAGGGAGTTCCGCTTCGATTGCATATTGACACGTACCGATCTAGCGGCGACGCCCCAGCGGTCATTGGTCCGAATGCTGCTCGCGGGCCGACCACCATCCAAGGAATGACGTTGATCTCTTCTGCATTCACCATGATCAAAGTGTACAAGAAGGTATGTCTTTGGACTTTTGTTTTTTGGTTGGGCGTTCTGCTGTGTCGGCCTATGGCTGTCATCCTCACTTTTTTTTTTTTTTTGTTTGTTTGTTTGTTTGGTTGTTTGTTGGTTGTTTGGTTGTTTGTTGGTTGGTTGGTTGGTTGGCACGTTCGCCGTTTGTCGCTCGCGTCCGGCATTGCTGCTTGGTTTCCGCGCGCACCACGTTCCTCGTTCACGCTTTCTGCAATTAGGGTGCCGAAAAGCAATTTCAAAACGACCTTCGCCGAAACCAAGGTCTCCCACTTTCAGTGACCACCATTCTGTCTCCAGCCAAAGCCGTGCCATTGCCTGGCGGTGGCGCGTCGTTTGTCCTGTTGCCCAAAAGCCCGGTGACATCCGTTGCCACCAAGCCCGACGCTCGATGGCCAGCAGCTCCCGCTCGGCCCCTCGGGCTGCCCATGGATTCGCCATTTTCAAGCAAGCTTGCCCTCGAGCAACAATTGCGCGATTCTGCCGATCCCGAACGATTTCTACTGAGTCCTGACAGTCTGAGTGACTTTCTCCCCAACGCAATGGACGTACTCAGTCCCGGCACCATTGATGCTCTCAGCGATGGTCTGATTCAGCATGCATCACTGAAGGACTATCTTCTAGACGATGCGATCCGAAGTGGCCACGCAGGCAGTCCCCATCAAGGACTCCTATCTCGTGAAGCACACGCAGCTCGTCTTCCCATGAATGCGTCATCAGGCTTGGTCGAGGACCGAGCCCTAAGTGCGTTTGATGTTTCGAGCGTTTCATCGTCCTTGCCCGGGCCCGAGGGGCATCGCAATGGATCCAGCTCTCGTTCTGCGGTCGAGTCACACAAACAGTTTCTTGCAGCTGAGGAGCTCGGTTTTGAATCCATCACTGCATCTGGCAATCCGTCGTCTGGCGACTTTCCTGCAACAACTTCCTCTGGCGCTCAGAAGACCCATGAAGTGACAGCGGCGTGGCCAAGTGTACGAGAAGTCGACATTACAAATTCACCGCCGTTCCTGGCTGGAAGGCGCGATGATGCGACTTTTGCAAAAAAGATGGCGGCCAACCCTGCCACGAATTTTGGTGAGCTGCGATTTTCGCCGGGTATCTCGCCACAGTTTGTCTTCCAAACCTTGCCGAACTCAACCACAACCTGGCCCTTGAATCCGTCCTTTCTTCCGATGGTGGACACGCCCGGGACGCTGCCGGGCCTGGATGGTGGCGCCGTATACATGAGCGGACTGAGCACCAGCCCCAGTACTCGCCGGACTGCCTCGCGCGTTTCCATCAAAGGTATATTGGCACACAAAAATTGTTGGTCGTCTGCTTCAGTTGCTTTTCTCTCTCTCTCTCTCTCTCTCTCTCTCTCTCTCTCTCTCTCTCTCTCTCTCTCTCTCTCTTTTTTTTTTTTCTCTCTCCCCCTCTCTCCAAAGCCAGTGCGATGCACTCACTGGTTTGTCCTACTGTTTTTTGTTCATTTCAGCCCCAAACGGAGCAGGATTTGACAGCGCTTTCTCACCGTCACAGCTGCAGACGTGGCTACTTCGTCAGCGATTTTCCGCAAGCGTCACGGATGGTCTGCAAGATTTCTCCGGCGAAGAAGTGGCCGCCTTATCGCGAGCGGATTTGCGAGAAATTGTGGGCGACATACCCGCAATTCGACTTCAAAACTTGATCAAGGGGTCAGACCAGCGGGCTGTATCGCAGTCAATCTGTATGTCATCGTGCTTTGCTTTGGAGTTTTGCGAGCAGTGGGGACAACGGCCGGTTGACCAACTGGTCGTTGAATTTTTTGTTGCTGTTTGTTTTTGGTCACACTGACTCTTTGCTCTTTGCGTCGTGTCGTCTGGGAGCAGTAAAGTGCATCATGGTCCAAGCGGAAGGCGAGCAGCTGTACCGTCGAGTCTATCTGCAGAGCACCAACACACTCGAAAGCCTGTCGCTGGGCATCGCGACCAAGTTTGCTGTTCGCTTGCCCTTGCGTCGATTATGCATGACCACGCGGCGGTTGGACTTTAAGGTTGCTGGGCTGGCCAAGCGTCTCAAAATCACCGCGCAATCACCCGATGTCACCGATCTTCCGAGCGGCCAGCCGGTTCGCGCGCTCGCGTCAGCCGAAGTTGAGGCTGCTGCTGCTGGGCTGCATATCGGAGCGCCAACACCCGAGACGGAGAGTGATCGCAGTGCTGTGGCAATGACGGGCGATGCGGCCGAATCGTTGCTCGAAGCACTGTCGCTCACTCCCATGATTCCTAGTTCTGAGAGTCACCGACCTGTCCCGTCGGATGCACGCTCGTCAGCGGCTCCCTCAACTCCAGCCCAAAAACGACGAAACGACACTCCGCCATCAGCCACCTCTGCGTCAGAAGATGATGCGTCGATGAGGTCGGTTGTGAAGGGTGCGCCACACACCGCCACTGCGTCTCCGCTGCTCGGCGCGAAACACCCTTCAACCAACGACAAGCTTGCGCGTGTGGCTAGTGTCACGGATACCCTCCAAGACGCCACCACAATCGGCACAAACACCGTGCATGATTCCGATTCGCGGTACTCGTTCTCGCAAATGTCGCGCGCCCTGCCAGCCGCCAGCAATCAGCTCCAGAACTCACCCAATGGTGCCGCGGGTGGAGTTTCAACTGCTTTTGAAGAAACCGCAGCATCGGAGCCAGCTGACGCGATCTTTGAGGACGACGTTTGGGAAATTGATGAGGACGTGATTTTACACGAAATGGACGACAACAGCCGTTACATTGTCACCTTCCGGATCAATGACAAGGAGCCTGGATCAATGGATGCCATACTGCGACCCAAATGAGTTTTCTTGGTTGGTGTGCGAGTTAATTTTGTTGTATTTGCTATTCACAGGACTTGTGTAAAACAATCAGACACAGACAACGGAAACACACACACACACACACACACACACAAACACACACACACACACCGTCGTTATTAGCGACCAATCAGCTGCAGAAGGCGGTCGATTTTGGCGAGATGGGGCACAATGCCTAGCACGAGCAGGCATTTGTTGAACGCATCGATGGGGTCGATCAAGTGCGCGTCAACACACTTTTTCTGAGCCAGTCGCTTTCCGCCTACCGCGGCGAGCAGGCTGCCAACGGGTCGACTGACTGAAGGCTGAAGAAGATGCATTTCCGCAGCCAGCTCCGTCACCACGGTCAGCAGTGAGCCAGCGCCATATCGGGGCTGTCCAATTCCGACAACATAAAGGTTGCGTTGATCGATGGGGAACATGCCATCGACCAACTGGAAGTACGTTCTTCCATTGTGAGGGGACACCTCAGTGGCAACCAGGTCGCTGCGCAAGGGCTTTAAGCTTACATTGAAGCCAGTCGCATGAACGATCAAGTCCACCTCGCAGCTCGTGCCATCGGAAAAGAACACTGTCTTTTCTGCAAAGCGAGTAATGTCACTGCATGAAAAGGTTGAGCCAAGAGCGATGTCGCGGGGTCGGTGAGTGTTACGAGCGCAACCCTCGTCACGTTCGAATCCGCTCAGCAAAAAAACAAACCTATGCGGAGCAATCTTGCCCAACTTGAGGTAATGCAGCAGTTCGGTATTGATGGTGGGATGATGGTCCCATATTTTGTGGTCGGGGACCTGCAATCCGTAACTTGTGTAGCTACCATTCCAAACGAAAAAAGCAGGGCAAACACAACCGAAAAACACAGGCTTTAGTATCGGATGCTCGCATCGAAAGTGGGACGGCGACTTACGAGCCAATCGATAGCTTGACAAAAGCGCGGATGAGTAGACGCTGAGCCCAGATTGGAACCCACGGACGAATGATTTCCACCGCCGGAATTCCAGCGATGGTTCGTGGCAAAAACCAGTACCCTCGCCGCATGGAAATGTGAGAGGCTGCTCCAATCCGTCCGGCTTCGACAGCAATGTCGCACGCGGAATTTCCGCCACCAATCACCAAGACGCGCTTTCCAGCAAGCGAGCTGGGTGACTTGTACTGCTTGCTGTGGATGACGTCGCCAGTGAAGGGGCCAGGGTAGGATGCAAACCTCATGTCCCAGTGGTGTCCGTTGCAGAGAAACACGCCACCATAGACTTTCTCCTCGCGCTGACCATCCAGTCCACCGTCGATGGACACCTTCCAAAACCCGGGCTGGCGTTCGGCAGGTTCAATCGAAGAGACTTCGGTGTTGAATCGAATGTGCTCATTCAGCTTGAAATGTGCCGCGTACGATTCCAAATACGCAAGGACTTGATCGCGGGATGGAAAATCGGGGTACGATTCGGGCATGGGAAAGTCCTGTCATTGCAGTGTGTTTGACAAACGAGTTAGAGAGAGAGAGAGGAAACGAACGATGAATGGCTCGTTGTTTGAGAACACACGTACCTTGTACTCTGTTGTCTTCCGCGATGATATGATGTGCACATTGTCGTATGTTCCATGGAGCCCTGTGCAGCAGATGAGAGCCAACAACAACCGTCGAGTCGCTCAGCAAGGGTCAAATTCGAGCACCAAATTTTGGCTCAAAGCGTCGCCAAATTGGATCATGATCGGATCAGTCAACCGCAATGCTTACAGTTGCCACCGACGCCATGTGCACGCTCGACGCAATCAAATGGAATGCCGTGACGCTTGAGGGCAGCGCACATTGCAAGGCCGCTAAACCCAGCGCCAATCACGAGCACGCGCGGCTGCGGTGAGTCGGGCAGTTCACCCGTGCCAGTTGCAGCGATCGCCCCATCCGACTTGAGGCGCCGAGAAGAGCGCTTGAGATACGCAGTGTAGGTCATGGGGTTGCGCATCAGAGCGAGCCGTGCAACGGCAGCCACGAGCACAAGCGCAGCCAGCAGAACGACGGCGGCCGCAATCGACATTCCGAGACCAAAACACAGAACACGACTGATCTGGCACGGCACTGCGGACTCGAATCATCCAAGTTTTGAGAAAAGATGGTGACTGCTCGAGGTCTATGTAAAGCTGCAACGATGGAATGGAGTTGGAGCTGGAGCTGGAGTGTGTAGCGTGAATTTTCTGTAAGATTGTTTTATTCAAACAGCTGTCAGGCTTGGAAAACAGAAGCTGCCCAGTACTACATTGTGTTGATTTGACCGATGATATGCACCTTGCGCCCATTGTACTGACGTGACAGCTCGCCCTCGATCTGAAAGGTACGGACGATGATGATGAAGCACAGTGAGCAAACCAACACACATCTTGATCAACAAACCCCAACCAAGAACGTAAAATGACCAAGCTTTCACAAAACACTGTACCTGAGCTTGAAGAACCTTGGTTTGAGCAATCAGCTGGGCTAGCTTTGGTCGCACGGTCTCCTGGTGCGAGCCAACCTCAACGCGGCGCGCTTCGACGTCTTTGATGCGCGACTGCATGCGTTGAGCCGCCTTGAGTTCGTGCAGCAGCGTCTCGGCAAGATGGTCAACGTAGCTGCAATATTTTGCCATGAAAGACAAGAACATCAACCAAAAAAAACCCCGGACACGGTCAACAAAACAACTTCAAGAACGACAAGTCAATTCAGTCAAGCGACACATACCGAGGAGACGCCTTCAACAAGATAAGCTGTTGCGTTCGTGATGCTGTCAGTAGTTGAAGGGGCTCTTGGACAGACGCGAGATATGCCGCAACACTCGAAGCAGTCTGGTCTTGAAGAATCGGAGCTGCGGACACGAACATGTGCATGGCCAACACGGTCGACTGGGCTCCCAGCTCGCTGGCGCGCTGAGTCAGGAAGGATTGGAGCTGTTTTCAATCAAAACAAGTAGAATCTAACATGAGCTCGTGGCGCGAAACGAAGAAAAAAAAAGAGAGAAACAGAACGCAAAACATTGCCATCCCGCCAAGCACGATTGTCGCTTTTTACCTCGAGCAAATCATTGACAAAGGAATTGCGGGTCTCGGTGTTTTCCAAGACAGTTTCGTGGGAGAAAGCCGCATCTGCCGTCACAACTTCGGGCGCCAAGTCCAGGCTCGCCACTGCAGCCGCGTCGGCAACTGGGGCCTCAGTCTGAGTGGTAGTGTCACCCTGAACAACCGTCTCAATACCGGCGTTTGAGACATCGTCGAGCGAGATGATGCCTTCCGCGAGGCCGGCGTCGTCAACCACATCCCAATTGATGTCCGCACCATCGTCAAGCACCACCATATCGTCCTCAACACCTCCACTGCCCCAATCGATCGCCGCTGCGTCTTCTGTCGCCTGTGCAAGCTCTGTTGGAGCAGCCAAAGCAGCGGCTGAAGACTTTGCTGGAGCATGTTCCGCCACCTCGATATGCTCGCCCGTTCGGAGCTCGTGGACAGTCACATTGCCCTTGTCTTGCAGGAATGCAGCCATGGGCAGACGCGCTGCTGCTTGCTCGGAACCACCTTCGGCAAATGTCGCCTGCACAAACGCGCGATACAGCTCGCACGCTTGGCGGAATTTCGGTTGGCGAACCATCTCCACGATGGACTTGTACAGCGGCCCGAGCTCGTGGACCAACTCGAGCAACTCGGAAGTGACGTTTTGCCCCTAGTTGAGCATGAAGGAGTGTGAGAACGAGGTGTCCAGAGAAGCACAACCAGCAAAAACAGCAAACAAGAAAGCGTCGCTTCCATACAGTGATCTTGAGGTCTTTGCAAGATGCTTGGAATGCTGCCTTGTGTTGTGCAACGCTAGACATGAGTGAGGCCTCCTTCAAATCGAGTTCCTTGTTGAACGAACAGCAAAGGGTGAGCGCGTGAGCACGACTTTCCGAAAAACGATTCAGTGTTCTCATTGTGTCTTACTTTGAGTTGCTGCTGAGCGCGAGTCAGCTGCCGCTTCATCTCGGGCACTTCGTAGTTGACGTTTTGAATAATGACGTGCGCAATCTCGCCCAGGCAGATCCAGCCCTTCTCGTACGATTTGACAATATCAACCCAATCCTGCCCAACAGAAAAACAAGAAAAAGTCGACAAAAGTTATGCGAGAATTCTCTTTGCGTGGTAGCTCAGGCAACCCTCGCCATGGCGCATCAACCTTCGTAATCGCGAAGGCTTCATGCTACCGAAACTCGGAGCGTCTCCCACACAGTAGTTACCTTCATGCGCTTTGACGAGTACTGGCCGAAAATGTTCTTGGAGCCAGACTCGGAAACCTTGAGCAGCTCGACAATACGAACGCAATGAAAGTAATTGATGACTGTCGGTGTTGTTCATTGCCAGCCAGACGGCAAGCCAGGTGATGCAGCAACGCAACGAAAAGTTTTAGTATGGAACAACGTTAGAGCGAGACGTGAGCTGTGACCGGCGGCAGACGAGCAACTCTGAGCAAACCCGCTGCGATCCAAGGCTGGCTTACACGATCCTTCTTGTAGGATTGACGTGATCTCGGGGACGTCTGGCATGTCCTGGATGGCGAGGCTGATCTTGGCTTGGACGGCCGGCAGCTCCGACTGCCACTCTCGCACGATGCGCTTGCGATCCACGAGCCACTCTGACGACCAAACCAAAACAGCAAGCAGCAGCAGCAGCAGCAGCAGCAGCAGCAGACAATGTCAGTCGAAGCACTCAGAGTGCAGACAAGAGGTCGGGTGGAGCGTACCAAGCAACCGATTGTATGCAATGTCAATTGGGATGAGCTGCTCGTCCACGACGCCACTCTGTTGCTGTGCTGACATGGTCACACACACCAATGGCAAAAACAAAAAATCAAACAAAAAAAAAAAAAAAAAAAAAAAAAAAAAAAAAAAAAAAAAAAAAAAGAAAGACTGCATTCACAAAGAAACACATGCAGAGACCAAACAAACAAATACTGCAAAGCTCAGATTGAGAGTTATCGTGCTGTTGTGTGTGTGTGTTGCTGCAAATCCATCATCACTATCACGTCCAGTCTATTATTGTTATTATTGCTTCGATTCCCACATTTCTCAGTTCGACAATGGCGACTGCGATGGAGGTTGGTTTTTGGTGCTTTGAAGTCTGGTTCTCAGCTTGTTCGCGCTCTTTTTTTTTTCTGGTCTTTTTTTTTTTTTTTTTTTTTTTTTTTTTTGATTCTTCGCTCTGTGCCCGCGTCCTCACATTTGCTCTTGCGCTCTTCCATCTGTGTCTCTGTGTGTGCTCCTTGGGGTATCGCAGACGTCGTCGACTGGCCCTGCAGCGCCTGCAGCAACGACCTCAGCGGCGCTCTCGTCCCTGGATCGGCTGCTCCCGAGCACTCCGCTGCGCTTGCATCCCCGACTGGTACGACTCATTTTGCCTTGCTGTACTCGTGCTGCTTTGTGGGGCGTTGCAGAGCGCGTCGCTTTGGCCCAAAGTGGCGACGACTGTTTGTGCTGACGTTTTGTCCATCACTCTCTCACTCACCCCCTGCATCACCTTGCTCCTTTTTGGACTGGCGTGCGGACAGGATCTCGAGATCTATGCATCCAACTACACGGGGCACGCGCGCATCATCCGCCTGCTCTTCATTGCGGCAACCTGCCCCGACCTGCGCGTCGATGCCCTCCGAAGCGCAATGCACGACCTCAAGAAGACGCTCAACACCAAGCTGTACGAGGCTGTCGGCGAAGACCTCCGTGTTGCAGCGTAAGTTTGTCTTTCGCCCGATTTGAGGGCTGTGCCTGGTTCGATGAAAACGAAAAACGAGTTTGAATTCATCACCTCTGGTTTGTGCACTTTAGAGCTGCGGCGAACGTCTCGCGCCCGGAAGACCGTGTCGATTCGGCATGGGTCGATGCCACCTTCCGCAAAGCGCAAAATCTGTTTGAGCGCCTGGACACGGATTTGCGAGTTGAGTATCCCGCTGTTGTCAAAGAGTTTCCGTGTTGGTTGCGCGGTGTCGCGTTATTGCTCACATCTACGGTCGTGTAACTTGTGCCAAATCTCCCAACCCCACCCCCCAACACCTTCTCTCAGGGCCATCGCAACACGTTCATCAAGGAATCCATTCGAATGGGCAACACGGATCTTGGTGATCACTTTTACGACCGTGGCGAGCTCTCTGAGGCGGTCAAGTGCTACACACGCGCAAGAGACTACTGCACGACCACCAAGCACATGATGCAAGTGTGCCTCTCCGTCATCCAGGTCAATATGGAGGCCTCCCTGTGGACCACCGTCTCCGCCTACCTGGCCAAGGGCGAGGCGGCGGCTGCCGACCCTTCCTGCGATGCGCTGTCGCAAGCCAAGCTTGCCGCTTGCCGTGGGCTGTACTTGGTGAGACTTTGATGGATTTAGTTTGGGATTTTTTTTGGGGGGGGGTTGTCGTGGTTTTTTTTTTTTTTTTTTTTGTTCTTTTTTTGTATTTTCGTTCTGTTGATTGGTGACGGCTCACGCCCCTTGTTGTTTTCGTTTGTTCTCCCCTCCTTGTCCTTCTGGCACAGCTCCATGAGCGTCAATTCAATCAGGCAGGCAAGGTTTTTGTGGACGTCTCGTTTGACATCTGCGGCAACTTTAGCGAGGTGATTGCGGCGCAAGACATTGCCATCTTTGGCGCCCTCTGCGGCTTGGCCACGTTCGACCGGTATGTTGATTGCATCTGTGCATTTCATTCCATGGGGCTTGCGTGCTCATTCGCCCGTGTTTCCCCCTCGATCGCTTCTCACTCTCCCTTTCTCTCTCTCTCTCTCTCCCTTTCTATCTCCTTCTTCCGAACAGTGCTGAAATCAAGTCCAAGCTGATCGATCTGCCAAACTTCCGACAGTTCTTGGAGCTTGTGCCGGAAGTGCGCGAACTCATCCAGGCGTTCTACCACTCGCGCTATGCCACCGTTCTGACCATCATGAGCTCGCTGCACGACGATCTGGCGGCGGACATTCATTTGAATCCGCACGTCAGCGCTCTATTTGCGCTCATTCGATCGCGCGCCATGCAACAGTATGCTTCGCCCTTCTTGTCGGTGGACATGTCCAAGATGGCCACCGCGTTCAAAACGACCATTGCAGATTTGGAGCAAGAGCTTGTCGCCCTGATCATTGCCGGCCAGATTTCCGCACGCATCGACAGCCACAACAAGGTCTTGTATGCGCGACAGGTCGACACGCGAAGCGCCACCTTCCACCGCGCCTTGCAGTTTGGAGAAGAGTATGACTATGCTTCCAAGGCCCTGCTGATGCGCGTCGCGCTGTTGAAGTGCGGTCTGGGTGTGAATAGCAAGAGCAAGTCCGGTGCTGGTGATGTGGATCGGGAGATGCATCCGCGACGTTAGCGACTGTAAAGACATTGTGTTGTGTTGCACTCCATCTACATGGCATTTTATGCGTGCGTGTGTTTGTATGCATTACGTTGTATGCCTGCGAAATGATTACATGTGCAATTCTATGGCATTATCATTCGAGAATTCTCAAGTACGACGACACCAGGCATTGCAAAACTAAGGAGGTGCGAGATCGAATTTCCTCATCCGCTCGACCGGAAAGAAGGAAGCACGCACTTGCCGCCCGCCAAAGAACCGACCATGGAATTCGTTTACAGCTAAATAGAAACAATTCAATCAGCGAGAAAATTGAGAAAATTCATCTGGCGGACGACAAACCACCCCATCCTTCATCACTCAACACTCGTTGTTTTCCCGTACCTCGAACAGCGGCAACTTCAGAGGCAAACTCGATAAATATCCGAACGGCTTGATCATCACGAACTTGCTTGTTGGGGACTTCAAACACAAGGCACTGCTTGACTTTGCCAAACTTTTCGCTCTCCTCCGTCACCTCGGCTTGGAGATCGTCGTCAACTTCGCCAGGGCCAACCATGTTCTCAAGCAACACGACCAAAGTGGCGCGCTGGTGGGTTTGTTGCTGCTGCTGCACAATGGTGGCAGAGGTCTTGCCGGTTTTAGCCACCAACAGCGGAGTGCTGATGCCCTGCTCGTCCTTGCCCAAACCCTGCCCGCTCTTCCAGCCCATCTTGCCCATCATTCGCTCTACAACAGTTCCGGATGATGCGGTGGCGGAAGAAGCAGGGGCACTTGTCGTCGTTGACGAGGGCGAATGAGATGTCGATCCCATGCTCATCTTCAACCGCCGTTGGTATGCCTCCTCGCCAGACAGCTTGATTCTTTCGTTGTATTCACTCATGGTCAGACCTGCATTTGCGGCGACGGGAGCAGCCGTGGTTGCTGGTGCCGGCGGTTGTGCGGGTGATGGTGGTTGGTTGTGAGGAAGCGGCACATTCTCAACCGGCGGAGGTGCAAACTGCGGGTTGAAGTGCTGTCGACGCGTGGGAGAACGTGAGCCAGACCGAGATCTCGAACGTGGCCGCTTGCGCGCAGGGGCTGGCGACCGTGAGCGGGAACGAGAACGGGAACGGGAACGGGAGCGAGCTGGGGACCGCCACGACTTTCGACGGGAAGGGGAGCGGGAACGAGACCGAGAGTGTGCGGATGATACAAAGTGCTGTGCTGGACGTCTTGTGGGAGACCGTGATCGACCCATCGGGGAACGACCTCGACCGCCACGAGAAGGAGAGCGCGAGCGCGAGCGCGATCGTGATCGCGAGCTCGAACGTCGCCGCCATCGACGAGGGGAAGGGGATCGGGAGGGCGAGCGCGAGTGTGAGCGGGAGCGAGAGCGCCGTGATGCATATGGACGACGATGAGAGCCGCGAGGACTGATGGGGGAAACGCTTCGAGAAGTTGACGGCGATTCGGGAGAGGGACTACGACTTTGGGATGATCGCCGCCCTCGCCGAGAGCGCTCTAAGCTGCGTGATGCTCGTGGACTGCCCCTGTGGTCGTCATCATCGCTCCCACCGCGCTCTGCCTGCATGCGCGCGCGCTCCTCCATAATCACGTCGTAATTGAACGGTCTTGTTGGCTGGTACTCGTGCAGCACCTCTTCCAGCGATGCCGCAGTCGCTATAAACGGTTCTGAGACTTCGTCCTTGGCAGCAGCTGGTGCAGCTGCAGCGGGAATCGCAGTCCAACCCGACGTTGTTGGCTCACTTGGAGGCAAGGGTTTGGCTGAAACTGTCGTGGTGCTGGCGGTGGCTGGCTCGGTTGTGGTTGCCGCCACGACAGTAGCAGCACTTGCTGCAGCATCCACAGGCGCAGCTGTTGTTGTGGCCTTGAGATCGCTTTGAGCAGCGAGTCGCTTCTTGAGCAGCTGTGGGGCAATGAAACCACCAGCGCCAGCAGACCAGGAGGATGGCTTGGTCCCGCTTGTTCCTGCAGCACCTGCTTGCGATGCACTCGCGGCGTTTCCGGCTGACACAGTGGCGACGGCGGATGCGGGTGGCTTGCCTGCAGCAGCAGCAGCAGCAGCAGCAACGCGAGCTGGGAGCAGCTTGGCCGCAGACGCAGCCGCCGCCGTGATGGACGCAGGCGCCTGCCGCGGAGCCATGCTCGACGGTGCTAGCTTTGGCAGCGCATTGGGTACGACTGGCTTTGCGGTCGCTGGCGTGGCGGATCCGAGCGCCAGATGGAACGGAGCAGCATTGACAGCGTCGGATGACCCGTTGCTGCTGCTGCTGCTGCTCTTGGGTGCAGGGAGATCGTCGTACAGCGACATGTGCCAGCCGCCTAAACAGAGGCAAGACAACAAGAATGAAACGATCGGACGACTTGGGGGAGCTGAAGGCCGAGCAGTAGGTAGAAGCAGCGGGTATGAAGGAAGGAAAGAGACTGAGCTCTGAGCTGAGCTCTGAGTTCACTCGGACAATCTCAGACAAGAAATGGCAGCCTCGTTTCGCGAGAAATTCAATGTGAAACCATTGCCAAGTCAACAAGCGACTCGCTCAGAAAAGCTGAGAACAGTCTATTTGTTTTGTCTCAGTCGTTTTGCTTGCATTTTACTGGACAGCTCTCATCACAAACACACACACACAACATGTTCCGTCGCAAGCAAGCCCCGACAAGCGCAGCAGTCTCGTCGTCGTCCAGCAGCGGCGGCGTCAACCACCCAGCACAGGCGATCGCGCGGGTCAAGAAAGAGTATGTCGAGTGCCAGTCTGACGAAGGCGTAAGTCCGTGTCTCCGCCTTTCAAGCTCCATTTCATACGGAAATCTAACTAATTTTCATCCGCTGCACCTATCAATTGCTTGTCCTTCCGTTTCTTTGATTGTTTCGCGCCTTCCTCCCTCCCACCGCCGCCGCCGGTCGCCGCTGCTGCTGCTTGCTCCTGTAGATGAAGTCCTGCAACATCAAGCTCTCTCTTGTGGAGGACTCGTTTGTCAAGCTGCGTGGCGAGGTGAGTTGCGATGAATGAGGCAAGCTTTCCCCCCCCCCCGGGCCGCTTTCGAGCTCAGGGCGAAACAACAAGCCAAAGACACAACGATTATGCTGGTTTGAGCATGGACTAGCCGAGAGCAAAAGGGTGCAGCGAGCTGAAGGAACGCTCTTTGGCTGGAGCCTTTCATCAATCGAATGCACCAATTCGCTGCTAAACTCACTCTTCGTGACTTGGTACAACCAACCACCACCCTCATGAATGAATAACCTGTAGATCCCGGGACCGCTTGGAACCCCATTCGAGGGCGGCGTGTTCCAATTGCTGATTGATATTCCCCAAAACTACCCGTTCAACCCACCGATTGTGAAATTTGAAACCAAGGTCTGGCACCCGAACGTGAGCTCGCAAACCGGAGTGATTTGCCTGGATATCCTCAAGGACCAATGGGCGGCTGCAATGACATTGAGGACGGTCATGCTGTCCATTCAGGCGTTAATGTCGACGCCCGAGCCCGACGATCCACAAGATGCAGTTGTTGCCAATCAGTATCGCAGCAATCGAGAAGAGTACAATCGCACTGCCAAGTATTGGACTGACGTTTACGCAAGACGTGAGTGAACTCGAGCGCACTGAATGGCTTGCTGTGTGTTGTTGCTTCGAAAAGAGCTCAATGGCCTTTTTCTTTTTCTTTTTTTCTTTTGTTTTTTGTTTCTTGCTTTGGGTCACGGACAGCGGGCGTATCAGAAGACGATGTCAAGATCAAGCAACTCATGGACATGGGCTTTGATGAAGCAAAGTGCAAAACAGCGCTGGCAAAGGCGAAAGGCAACGTCGAGCAAGCGATCGAGCACCTGTTTGCTTAGTTGCAGTTGCAGTGTACGAAGAGGAAAGAGGGGACTCTAGCCAACATGTTTGACGTTGATTCGATGGGATTTGTATGGATGCATGTGTGTTGGTGTGTGTGTGTATGTGTACTGCATCATCCAATCAAGTCACCCATGATCACCAAGCAAAAAACAGAACGCGGTTCAACTCTCGGTTGGTTTGCTGGCGCCAAAAACATCACCAAGGTTACAACGAGAGAAAAAGTGCATGCAATCGAACAATCTGACAAAAAAAAACAAAAAAACAAAACAAGAAAAACGCAACATGTCGAAAACCCAGACCAGACCTCGTTGTTAAACGCTCGTGTTGGGGAGGTCCTCAGACAGTTCGAGCGAGCCGATTTCGAGCAGCCATTGCACATACTCGTTGAAAGAGACAGTGTTGTCGCGGTCCTTGTCCAGATTGAGGAAGCACTCCTTCTCCGACGGAAGCGACAGGCCATAATGAGACAAGTCGGCATACAGGGCTGAAAACTCCTCGCGCGACAAGACGCCGCTCATATCCACGTCAAAGTGCTGGAAGTACTGTGCAGCTCGATGCAGATGCTCGAGCTGTGTGTCGGTCAAGTGGAGGCCGCGGAACTTGTCATCCTTGGCCCACCATTCGGCAAATGCCGAGAAGGTGATTTCATTCTCCTTGTTTGCAAGGCGTTGGACGGCGAACTTTAGCTCGTCGTCAGTCAAGCGATGGCCAGCATCGTACAGCAACTTGCCCAGCTCGCTGGCACCGATGGAACCGGAGCCATCTTCGTCGTACCGCTGCCCATGCATCCCAACAAACGACAAGCAAAAACGCAGATGGTCAGAAAAACAATCAATGAACAGAACGAACGTGCAATGGAATGTCAAGGACTACTGGGCAGGGGGCAATCTGATGTATCTCACCTGGAACAGCGCTCGGATGGAATTGCTGCCGTTCGCCATGGCCTCCTCAGCCTCCTCTTCGGGGGACATTTCGGCGACAGACTGCGCGCGTGACACGGCGGCACGAGTCAGCACAGACTCGGGCGACTGATCGCCAGTAACACCCGCCTCGAGCTCGCTGGAGGCAGACATTTGAACAGAAAGTGCGCGCTTGTTGTTGCTGCGGAAACCCTGGCTGGCGGCCACGAAAACTTCAATTTTGTCGGTGAGACCCTGGAATTCATCAAAGCTAATGTTTCCGTCGCGGTTGACATCGACCTGTAACATGGGAAGGATGGGAAACGGGAACGGGAAAGGTAAAGGGTGGTGAGGGGAGAAAGAGAAACGTTGAGGAGGCGCATCCCACAAGGAATCAAAAAGAACAACACCAAGCCATCAAACGTCTCCACAACAAAACACGCGGTCGGCTACAACTCACATCAGCCATCAGTTGGTTGGCCTCCTCAGCATTCAAGCCAAGATCGCCACAGAGCGCGGAAAACTCCTTCTTGTCGAGACTTTGGCTCTTGTCCTTGTCGTACTTGAGGAACAGAACAGCCTGGATGCTGTCCGAGGCAGAGAACTGCGAGGAGGTGGGCTTGGGCTCCGACGAAGGCAGTTTGAGGGAACCACGGGCAGGACGGCCTGCGGTCGACGGCTTTTCGGGCTTGGGCGGGACGGATGCACCCACAGCGGCGGCGGCGGCGGCGGAGGCTGGAGAACCAGCCGGAATGTTGGATGCGGCGATGACGCGGCGCGCAGGGGCAGTCTCAATGGCAAGATCCGCCCAGTGCTCAATGATAAACTTGACAATGCCAGCCTGAGCCGCAAGAGTGGCCATGTCGACATCCGCTGGCTGCGGCTTGGAGCCCTTCTTGACGATGGGAGGCGGCGGCGCCAGCACAGAGGGGCCAAAGCACGTGCCAATGTTGGTGGGGGTCATCTTGTTTTCATTGCAATTGTTGGCAAGGTGGCTCAGATGAAGCATCAAGTAGACGATGGTTTGTCGGTTGACAATGGGAAGCGAGTGGATAAGTTGGCGGAAGACGTCCTTCTTGGCCTCGAGGTCGCGATCAATCATGTTGACAGCGGCGACAAAGTCGTGAAACTTGGCATACGTGAACAGCGGCTCGGGAAGCTCGCGCAGGTACTGCTTGAGCAAGCTGCCGACGTTGTTGATATCCTCGTCTTCTCCGAAAGCGAACTTGGTCTGCGCGCCGGCCTGGTTGAAGCGCGCGCGCAACGCGTCAACGGCGGTCTTGGTGCCGCAAATGCGGTACATGCCGACATTGTCGAGGCCATTTTTCTCGACATGGGTGACGCAAGCCTCGATAATGAAGGGCACGTTGATGTTGGTGCGCTTTTCGCGACGCACGGTCGCCGCGAGGTCCAAGCCAAACATGCCCGACTCGTCCGAGAAGCTGACAGCAGCAGCAAGGTTGTTGAGTCATCCCGAATGTGTCAACAACAACAACAAAAAGCATCAAGGATACTGCCTGCCTTACAACAATTTCAGGTGAATCTGGCCCGCGGGAACGAGGTTGAGGCGCACGTCATGCTGTGTGCCATCGAGGAGGGGCGTCAGGTCGACAACGCCGCGCGCAAACTCTTCACCCTATGATTGCAAAATGTCAAATCACACTTCAACGTGAGCCCGGGTTACAAGGTGGCTCGGCTGCCAAGCAGCACTGAGTTGTTTGTGTGTTCTTTTACCTTGCCAAACCTCAGCAAACCGCGCGGCGGCTGGCGGATGGAGAGGTGGGCAAAGCGGCCATAGTCGACCGAGACGTCAAAGTACTCAAACCAGCTCGGAGCGTTGGTTTTCAAGCGCGGGTCTGTCTGTGCCTTGCGGACGAGCTTGCCGTGCTGGTCTGTGGCGATGACGACGAGCGAGTCCTGCTCCTTGGCTCCAGCGAGCTTGGCGTCCACCACGCCGACGCGCAGCGTGCCGCACATGGGCCTCGGCTTGCCTCCCGTGCTTGACTGTGCACCTGCACCTGCACGCGCAGACGACGGCGGCGCCCAGATCTCGCTTCCGGCAGAGTTCAGGTACGCCTTGTCGCCGGTCTGCATTGGGACGGTCGTCCAGCCCTCCAAGCTCGTCGGCTGCTGCATTTTGTGCACGATGGTTTTGTTTTTTCTAATGCTAATGGGTTGGATTTGAGTTCAAACACACGAGCGCTTGGTCTTTGGACTGTAGTCACCTACAATACAGAGTGTGTGGAAGAGAGAGAGAGAGAAGAGGGAGTGGATTTCAGAGGTTTGAAAATTCAAAATCAATACAACATTTTTAAAGTTGATCAAAGTTAAAATGTTGCTACAGAACAACTCAGACAATCAACAACAAACAACGAAACGCGGCAACAAATGACAAAATGAACAGTGCCAGTGCGTTACGCTTGTTCGTGGCCACTACTTGTAGCGAGGAGTGACTGAAGGAGTGACTGAAAACAAACAGAACAACTCAGACAATCAACAACAAACAACGAAACGCGGCAACAAATGACAAAATGAACAGTGCCAGTGTGTTACGCTTGTTCGTGGCCACTACTTGTAGCGAGGAGTGACTGAAGGAGTGACTGAGCACTGAGTTGCTTTGAGCTTAGTCGAGTTTTGTTTGTTTGTTTGTTTGTCGTTCCTGTTCAGTTTTCCTGATGGCAACGAAGGCACCCTCGGGTACTCCTGCCTCAACTCCAGTGCGTGCTGCAAGGACTACCACGCCAGAGACAGAGATCAGTGACAGGTCCAGGATCGCCGACGCAAGGAACGAGGACGGCCCTCAGATCGAGGCGCCCGTTCAAGCTACCACTGCTGAGGCCACGCCTGCCACTCCTGCCACTCCCGCCACTCCTGCTGAGAAACAGCAAGAGACGCTGGTTAAGGGCTACAATTTCCGTGCTCGCAAACCCAGGCAGACGGGCTCAACCTCCCGTGGCGTGACCACCAAGCGTCTTGCTTCTGAAATGGCCGAGGACAAGCAGCAGACCGCAACGCCCAAGAAGTCGCGTCAAACGGATGCTGACGACGATGACGACGACACGAATGACTCTGACTACAGTGAGGACGACAACAAGAAGAATCGCAAAAAGAAGGTCACCAGGAAGCAGACGATTGCTCAAACACCAGTCGCTCATGAGCGGGCGCCGCGTCGTATCTTGTCGCAAAGCTCCCGCAACGTTCGCTTGGACCACAACATGCTGTACGCAGAGTGTTTGACTGGTGACGGTCGTGACTGGAAAGAATCCTGCTTGAATCTTGACGAGAGTATCGAGAACATTGACGGGACTCTGATGGCAGGCGTCAACTTCAGCCTCACGTCCCGCAACATCCGCATTGAAGGGTCACTTCTTCGGTGTGAGAGTCAGCGTCGGCATGGCCGTTGGCGCCAGGCGTCGGCTGATCTTGATGAATATGTTGCCAACGAGGACGGCAACTTGACGAGTATCGTTGCACGCGCTTGGTAGTGGATGCAGCTTGTTGCCATGCCACACAGCTTGCCTCACAGATTGCCTCACAGCTTGCTATATAGCTTGCTCCACAGGAGCTCTCGTAACTTGTAAACGGCCCTTCGGTTCTTGCTGTTGTTTGTTTGTCCTCACAAAATACAAAATGTTGTAAATCTAGCACGTTGGTGACGGAACAGTCAGCGTTTGCTCGAAATTGGCAAGTATATATTCATACACGTATGTATTCAAACAATCGGGTGGAGCTCAGTCGCATTCTCTGACATTCTCAGAAATCCCAACAACAACAACAATGCTGCTGATCGGATTGACTGGCGGCATTGCGACTGGCAAGAGCACCGTCTCCAAGATGCTGCAGGACGAGTTGAAGATTCCTGTCATTGACGCAGACCTCATTGCGCGACAAGGTGAGCGAGCCAAGTGAGAGCTGTGAGAGATTGAGAGACTGGTCATCACGAACTCACTCCGCTGCTGCTGCTGCTGCTGCGTTGCTTTTTTTGTCAGTGGTCGAGCCGGGAAAGCCAGCGTACAAGCAGATTGTTCAGATCTTTGGCCGGGAAATCCTGCTGCCTGATCAGACCATCAACCGGGACGCGCTGGGCAAGCTCATCTTCAACGACGCAGACAAGCGACGGCAGCTCAACGGAGCTGTCCATCCCGCTGTCTTCCGGGAAATGTTCAGGCAGATTCTCAAGTGTTACATTCGAGGTACGATTGGCGGTCGCGCGACGACGACGGTTTGTTGGAATTGCGAGCGCTCGAACATCGAACATCGGTGGATGTCTGGCTCACCGACCACCCCGTTTTGTACATCTGATTTGGACCATGGTCTGTTTGAAATCGCTGCCCGTGGTGTCGCTTGGTATTCTACGTCGGCGGGAACAAAAACCACAATGAGCAGGAGAGCGCATTGCAGTGTTGGACGTCCCGCTGCTCTTTGAAGGCGGCCAATTGCTTCGCTATCTGCGACGCGTGGTTGTCGTCTACTGCGACGAACAGGCCGAGCTGCAGCGACTGATGGCTCGCAATTCCATGAGCGAGGCGGACGCACGGAGTCGCATGAATGCGCAAATGTCGATTGAGGAGAAGCGCCGACGAGCAGATATTGTCATTGACAACTCGGGCAGTCTCGAAGCCACGCGCAACCAGGTTCGGGCAGTGTTTGCAGAGCTGCAGACGCTCTGGACAATTCCTTCGCCCGCTGTTCTAGCAGCAAGTGCCGTTGCGGTCGCAAGTGGGTGGTACTATTTTTCGCGCGATGCCCGCTGAGCGCAAAGTCGGCTTCTTTGGACGGCTGTGGAGCTACTATCTGTCATGCCTCTTGGCTCTGGCATGATTTGGGTTTTCAAAATAATGGAGGCTCACGACGCGACGCGACGCTGATGGTGGGAGCGACCAAATCGTGCTTTGAATGTCGCTGTGCTGGACTTTGGATGTCGCTGCTCCGCTGCCGTGTCACCATAACTATGTACTATATTCTTATTCAATGCTCCTTTGTCGGTTTCAACCCTCCTCCATGCTGCATGGCTGGTTAACGCTCGGTCTCTCTGTCTTTGCTTCCAATCGCACCAACCCTAACCAACGCCCTCACCCTCCTACCTCCCATATTTATAGTGTGCCAAGTTGTATTTCAGTCCGAGCTCACTCTTCATAAAACCTCAAACCCACTTCCACTTCCAGTCACAATGCCTCGCCGCTCTGCTCCCGCCGCCAAGGCCGCTCCCGTCCGCACTGCCGCCCCTGCGCCTGCCCGCACTGCCGCGCCTGCCCCCGTCGCTGCTGCCCCGCACCACCCCGCGCCCGTCCAGCACCACGCACCCATGCCCATGCAGCCCCAGCCCCAGCAGCCCGGCCTCTTTGCCCAGATGGCCACGACTGCCGCCGGTGTCGCTGTCGGTTCCGCCGTTGTACGTCTCTCTCTCTCTCTCTCTCTCTCCCTCTCTCCTTCCTCCCACCCGCTGTGTTTGAGATTGATGCAAGAACACGCTCTGGTCGAGTGCGGAAGTCAAGTGCAGAAGAGCGGAACAATAGCAAATGCAGCATCAAAAACCGCCAAGACGATCGAGATCCTTCCTTTTTTTTTTTTTTTTTTTTTTTTGTATGGGATTTCCATTGAGTTTTTTTTTTTTTTTTCTATGGGCTCTGCATTGGAAACGCAATCTCCCTCCCCCCTTCTTTGACTTCTCCTTGCGCTGTTGCTTTCAATGCTGAAGTACTGAGTTTCCTTGCTCCTTTGTTTTGCTTGCTTTCGCCAGGGACACACCATCGGCCACGCCGTCACTGGCATGTTCGGCGGCTCGTCGTCGAGCCAGCCCGCTGCTGCCGAGGCCGCACCTGCACCCGTGGCACAACAAGCGCCCATGTACAACAACAACAACAACTCGCAGGTGTGCTCGTACGAGCTCCAGCAGTTCCTCGACTGCATCAAGACCCACGATCGCGACATTGGCCTCTGCTCGGGCTACTCTGACGTCCTCAAGCAATGCAAGGTCTCCTATGGCATCAACTAAGGAAGCACACCCTACAAGAAGGTGAATTTTGGTGCAGGCGCTTTTGACAGCTTTGCCATACTCGTCACTGGAGGGGTTTTCAACCATGGTTTAGCAACATTTCTGTTTTGTCTGTCTTGCTCCACGTTTTGTTCTTGATGGACCGTGTGGGCTGGTTGCTGATTGCTTGTAATTTCTCATTGTTGCTTGTGTGCTGATGTTTGTTTGGAGCGATTCGTGTGTGTGTGTTTTATCATGGCTTAAAAAATATGAACAATAGTATTTCCCATCTTTGCTTTTTCCAATCGCTCCCTCTCATCATCCTCAAGCTCGATGCCACTCAAACCCATCGTGTATATTATTGCTGTTGCATTATTGTGCTCACTCTCCATTTCCCCCCCCCCCTCCGCTTGACTCAAAGAATGAGCGCTGCCGACGCCGACATGGTCGCGCAGCTGAGTCTGCTGGAGATTGCCAACCTTCTCCTCGCCAAGTACGTGACTCTACATCCAACCGTCTGTTCCACGCTGAGACGTCACTGCTTGGCTGTTGAAGTGCAGTGAGAGCGCGTCGTTGGACGTCGAACTGTTGCCAATCGAATCGAGTGGTCTTCCGCACAACGCAGCCAATCCCCACGCCTCTTTCGACGCCGTTGCTCTACTCAGAGTGTGATCACAAGCCAAGCCACCTTTGTGACTTGTGCCCCACGGTCTTCGCCGGGCTCCAATCCAACAACAAAAGAACACCCTTTACTTTTTCTTTTTCTTTTTTCTTTTTCTTTTTTTCTTTTTCATTCAAGCTTCTCTCGATCCAGCTAGTTCCTCCCTCCAGCGCAGTGATCTCAGCCGCCTTCCCTGCCATTGCGTGCTTCATCTCTCATCTTCACTCACTCACTCACCCATGGCTTTGCTCTTCACTCTGGGGGGTTGGGGCTGTCTGTCTGTCTGTCTGCGTGGCCAATTTCTCGCTCACTTTTTTTTTTTTTTTTTTTTTGACTTCCCATTGCTATTGCTATTGCATTTTTTTTTTTTTTTTTTTTTTTTTTTGCTGCAGGCTGCTGTCGTACGTCCCTTCGCTGCCATCGCACGGACCCATCTTCGAGCTGCTCCACCATGCGTTCTACGAGGTAAAGCATCGCGCCCCTTTTGTGTTTCAATGTCCCTTTCGACAGCCGGACGACTGAGCTGAGGATTGGATTGGAGCGGGATTTCGTGAGGACGTGGCCGGTTTTTTTGTTGTTGGTTTTTATCATTGTTGGATCAATCTTGATCCAGTGATTCTGATCTCTGGATCTCTGACATGTGTGTGTACTGCGTTGTGCCGTGATACCAAACAGGCTCCGGCATACCATCTCATTCTTGAGGGTCTGTTGGTATTATCCATCCTGTGGCTCGTCGTTCGCAAGTCGGACAAGTCCAAGGACAAGGGGCCCAAGCTCACTGCCAAGGTACCCGACAGTTTAGAGGGGACGTGGGAGGAGGAGGGGGAGGGTGCGTGTGACACTCGCGCTCATTTCTTGCTGGCTTGGAATCGACAGGAGGTGGAAGAGATTATCGCAGAGTGGCAACCCGAACCGCTTGTGCCCGTGAGCGGCCCTGAACCAGTCGTCGTCCCTGTTGTTCAAGGGTATGTTGCGACTTTATGTCTCTCTCTCTGTCTGGCATGTTCACTATTCCTGTGATTTCAGCACTTTGTGCTCATTCTCCTTGTTTGATGACATTTGCCATTTGTTTTCTTTTCTTTCGTTTTCTTTTTTGAAAGTCCCGCTGCTGCCTTTGTCCAGATCGACGGCCAGAAAAAGATCAACCTTGCTTCGTTCAACTTTTTGAACTTTGTGGGCAACAAGAAGGTCGAGGATGCGGCTGTCACCTCGCTGAAAAAGTATGGCGTCGGATCATGCGGTCCACGCGGCTTTTACGGCACCATTGACGTCCACCTCGAATTGGAGAGCAAGCTGGCCAAGTTCACCCAAACGGAAGAAGCTGTGCTGTACTCGTACGCCTTCTCCACTGTCGCATCGGTCATCCCCGCCTATTCCAAGCGTGGCGACATTTTGTTTGTTGATGAGGCCATCTCCTTCCCCCTCGCGCAGGGTGTTCTCGCCTCGCGCAGCACCGTCAAGTATTTCAAGCACAACGACATGGCCGATCTCGAGCGTCTTTTGATTGAGCAGCAGCGCGAGGATGCCAAGGTTTGTGACCGCTTTGTGGTTTTGTTTGGGGGGGACCTTTTGAAGTCTGTTGCCTCTCTTGCAATTACTTAATTGGTTTGCTCATTGGTTGAAACTTGCGTAGCTTGCCAAGAAGGCCAAGCTTTCTCGTCGCTTTGTGGTTGTGGAGGGCCTCTATGCCAACACTGCCGAGATTGCTCCTCTCAAGCGCCTTGTCGAGCTCAAATGGCAGTACAAGGTCCGCATTATGCTCGACGAGACGTTCTCTTTTGGCGTCCTCGGCGATCATGGCCGTGGCATTACTGAGCACTTTGGCATTTCGGTACGTTCTTTCGCTTGCTTTTTTTGTAAAAAAAAAAAACCCTGATTTTGCTCGATCGCTCATGCCTCCTCTGTTGCCTGATTTTCTTTCTTCCTGCCTTCTTCTGCGTCAGCCCGAGGACATTGATATCATGACCTCCTCTCTCGAACACGCTGTCGGCTCGATTGGTGGCTTCTCGTACGGCAAGACATTCGTCATGGACCACCAGCGTCTCTCGTCGCAGGGCTACTGCTTCTCGGCCTCGCTTCCTCCGCTCCTTGCTTCGGCAGCGTTGTGCGCTTTGGAAGCAATGGAAAAGTCGCCCGACATGTTCACCACCCTCCGCTCTCGCTCCAAGGCCATTCACGCCAAGCTCTCGACGGCGCTTGGACGCCATCTCGTCGTCAGCGGCGATGCTAGCGCACCCATGAAGTTCCTCACTGTCAAGCAGACCAAGGGACGAGCTGCCGACGAGGCGCTGCTCGATTTGATTGTTTCCAAGGTATGTTTCGTTTTTGCTTGGCTTGGCATGGCTTGGCTTGTGCATACAGTCGTTTGTTTTAAGGGCGCTTTGCTCATCCTGTTTACTCTCTGTTGTTCAATAGGCGAACGACAAGAATGTCGTCCTTACCCGTGCCCGCTACATTGAGGACTATGAGCGAGTCCAGCGACCTCCGGCAATCCGCATTGCACTCAATATCGGCCACTCTGAAGGCGAGGTTGAGAATGCCATCCGAGATATTGCCGCTGCTGCCGACGAAGCTGCCAAGGCGCACTCCAGCTAATTAACATCCTCGTTTTCCACCGCTTTTTTTTCTTTGTTTTCCTCCGTTGGTTGATTGTGTGCGATGTATCGTTGCTTGTGGATTTTCTTGTTATACTGTCGTGTAATTGGAGATCTTCACTACAATCGCAATCCGAGCAGAGCTGCTCAGTCTAACATTGTATTGCTGCTTCAGTCATGCCGGGTGCCGCTCGCCGAACTCGAGCGACTGCGCGGCTCGACGACGACGACGACGACGACGACATTGTTGCGCCATCCAAGTCGATTGCCGTCAAGACCGAGAAGAAGAAGGACGCCAGCGTCGATGACAAGAAGCTCGTCCAGAGCAAGATTGCGTTCCAAGCCAACGGTGCTGCTTCAACTGATTCGACGGCTACTGCGACTGCCCCTGCTGCTGGTGGTGCTTCGGCAATCAAGCAGGAAGCATCCGTGCACGCTGACAAGAAACCTCGGCTGGGGTTGCGCTTTGTGATTGAACGATGGTAAAAGCTGCACGGCTTCGCGCTCAATGATGGATGAACACTTGTTGGTCCAGTATCACGCTCACTCGAGCTCCAATGTTGCGTTTCCATCTAGCAATTCCTGACGAACGTACGCGTCGCGGGCCAACGGGCTGCGCGACACACTTCAGGAGGTAGGGCCTTATTTGTGTTTCGTCGTAACGATTGTAACAAGGATTGGTTGCGCAGAAAATTTTGACTCGCACAAATCTCTCGACGCAGGCTTTCCCGGATGCTGAAATTCTCATCAATCCGAACAAACCGCGACGTGGCAGCTTTGAGTGCACAATGCAGCTGGGCGGCGCAGGTAACTCTTCAGACCACGTTTACACGCCCACCGAAACCAAACCGTGGTCGCCTTGCGTGGGTGCGTTGGCATGATAACTCAAAAACTGCGTCTCACTGGTCTTCCGATAGAATCGCTTGTGTGGACTGGCGTCAAGCGCGGACCGCCGCGCAACGACAAGTTCCCGGACGGCGCCAAGCTGGTCGCGGACATTCGCCAGCTCATACAGTAGTGCTGAATCCACGAGGCCTTGTTTTTGCCGTAGTGATGACGATGAGCAGGAAGCACGCATCTTGGAACTGTGTGACGGGTGGTTTGTGAGCGATCGAAAAAAAAAGAGCCGAAAACAGCCAAACTCACAATGATGAAAGCAGCCATCGTTCCTTACAAAATCAAACATTGCCACCTTCATTCCTTGTCGGTAGCGGGACTGGCATTGCTGGATGTATCACATGCACTCGCTTGTTGAAAGTCGTTTCTCCTGACGATCTCAGCAAGCGCAGAGTGTATTTGTGGAGTCGAGTTTGTTTGCGGTTTTTGGTGTCGCGTTTCGTCTCGCTCGCAGACACTCGCTCGCTGTTTGTTTTTGGGTTGTTGTGTTGATGCTCTTGGCTCTCGTTGTTGCGGTTTGTGATGGTGAAATGTCAAAGCCTCGTGAAACTATTTTCAACTTTGCACAGTTGCTCGCATTCTCAACAATGCACTTTGCGGAGCCTGCTTCCAATTCGGACTATTTCTCGAGTTTGCTTTTGTTTTTTCGATGGTAAATTTCGGACGGCACTGGTCTCGCGGGACTCTTTCAAGGCTGGAAATGGAGGAAACTTTTGCAGAAAACAAAAACTCTTCACCGTCTCTTGTGCTCGCGCCACCTCGCGCCCCAGTGCGGCACTGGCGTAATGTCGAAAACAGCACAACGAGCTGCATGGTTGCCTGAGGCAACGACAGCAGAGATGTGCATAAGACTAAATTTGGTCAGCGCCCTTTTTTGGGGAAATGTCTGTTTTTGGGGGTTTGTCAAAACAAAAAATTAAAACAATGCTCAGAAAGATTCGCTGCATGCCATGGGGCGCTTTCATGATCATAGGTGGGATGGCCAGCACGGAGAACTTCATGAAAGAGTGCTTCTAAAGTACGCGGCGTTGCAGGTCGCTGGTCGCATTGTCATCTTGACAACATCACGGATTTTTTTTTTTTGTTTTTTTGTTCGCTTTCTCTCGAGTTGATTGCTGTTGGTCGATGGGAGTAGGAATGGGTTTGCGCACAAATGTGAACAGCAACAGTTGAGCAACAGCTAATCGCAACCCTGCAATCAAGCAGGAAAAAACACAAACCAGAAAAAGAAAAGAAAAAAAAAAACACGTCAAAATCTAAGCAGACCGTGAAAGCAAGTCCCTTGGGGCTGCCTTTTATCAAGGTTGGACAGCAGAATGCAAACACACGATAGCAACAAGTCAAGCGCAGATAGTAGCGAGCACAAAGGAAGCCATGGAGCGACACGCCAGCCCAGAAGCTCGAAGCCGAAAAGTCAAAGAAAACATTGCTCCTTGTTTCCACGCAGCGAATCGTATCAGTGCTCAAATGCCCTTGATCTGTTGGTCAATCCACTTGTCAAGCTGATCTTCACCCAAGCCTTGCAGCTGCTTCTTGAGTGCGGCTTTGTCACGAGTCAAGAGAAGCGCAGTGAGTCGAGCTGCCGCTCGAACGTCCTGAGCATCGTTAATGAGCTGCTGAGCCTCGTTGAGCGCCGATGCCACGCCACATCCTCCGAAAAAGTCGATTACGATCGCAACGCCTTGGGCTTTTGCGCGACGTTTAGCAATGCGGACAGCCAGCCGTTGGGCGATGCGTTTCTCGATATCGGCCATCTGAATTTCGTGCGACTGGCTCAACTTGGACAAAGTAAACTAATCTCAACCCAAATTAGGGCGGGGAAAACCTTCGTCAGGGTTTAGCTGAGGTGCTCAGGGGCTACTGTGGGTGCTTTATTTGCGCAACCTTTGAGAGAGTGAATGTGAACGAACAACTTGAATTCAATAATAAAAGTTTTAAGCTGCGTGAAGTCCAGAAGTGGCTCGCAAAAAAATTGGAGGGGAAAAGGCCGGTGTTACGACCTTACCCGGAACATAACCCGTATCACTACTAAAGTATGCTAGAATAGAATGCGGAAGTATCGTGTACTAAGAATATAGTGAAGAATGAGGGGAAGCCTAACTAGGCTGAGCCTAGTTCGTAACAGCCGGCCTGTCGCAGTCGCAACTTGCGCATCGTCAGGAAGCTCTGAGAGTTGGGTGGGTTTAAACCTTTTAATTTGAAAAGCGAGTTGATTTTGGAACGTGAGGTGGCCCGAAGTATCAGCTGGCTTCGATTCAGTCTTTGTTGGAAAATCCAGACGAATGCTGGATCAAATTCTGCGCGACCTCACCCACAATGTCAAGTTTGCGTCTTGGGAGCTCTCGTAAGAAAAACACACATTTTATTGCCAATTGTGACAGCGCATGCTGACGGGAATCGGAGACAGTTTGAACCACGAGCTGATTGGGGACGATGAAGCAAAGGCGATCGCCGAGGCACTCAAGGTGAACACGACCGTGACTACGCTCAAGTAAGGCATCCATCTCTCTATCCCGACCTGATACATGTGTGAGCGGGTGATTTCCGCAAGAGTGGTCGCTGACGGAGGAGCAACAGGATGGACGAGAATCAGATTGGCGCTGTTGGAGCGCACGCGATTGCTGACGCGCTCAAAGTGAACACGACACTGACTTGGCTCAAGTAAGGCATCTCACTTTGACTGATGCGTGTGAGTGGATGATCCGCAGAGGACGGTAAGAATGGCTCACTGATGGAGGGATGGACAGTCTGCAAGAGAATCAAATTGGCAATGCTGGCGCGCAGGCGATTGCTGCGACACTCAAAGTGAACACGACGCTGACGGAGCTTTCGTAAGGCACTTCACTTTGACTGAAGCATGTGAGCGAGTGATTCCAGCAACGAGCGCTCACGGATGGTTTGGGATTGAACAGTCTGGGTCAGAATCAGATTGGCCAGGTGGGCGCGCAGGCGATTGCTGAGGGACTGAGAGTCAACACGACACTGACTTCGCTCGAGTAAGACGCTTCACGTTGTGAGGGCGTAGTTTTCAGCCAGAGGGCATTCGACGGGGCTCACTGATGGAGAGGGGACGGACAGTCTGGGGGAGAGTCCGATTGGCGTTGCTGGCGTGAACGCGATTGCCGAAGCACTCAAAGTGAACACGACGCTGAAAAAGTTCGGGTAAAGCATTGATGCTTGCAAGTGGGTGATTTGTTTTCTAGCCGAGGGCGCTTACTGAAGGGACAGTCTGTGGAGGAGTCAGATTGACGATGCTGGAGCACAGGCGATTGCTGCGACGCTCAAGGTGAACAAGACGCTGACGACGCTATTGTACGGCATCCTGTTTTGACTGATGCATGTGAGAAGCGGGGTTACAGCAGAGAGCATTCCGAGTGGCTCATTGATGAAGAGGACGGACAGTCTGGAAGAGAATCAGTTTAGCGATGCTGGAGCGCAAGCCATTGCAGAAGCACTCAAAGTCAACACAGCGCTGACTGTACTCGGGTAAGGCATCTCATGACTCTCGACTTCAGAACGTTCACTGATGAAGGGGGACGGACAGTCTGAATGTGAATCGAATCGGTAGTCGTGGGGCTCAGGCGCTTGCCGAGGCACTCAAAGTGAACAAGAGGTTGAGTGTGCTCATGTAAGTTATTTGTGCTTGTGAGTGGATGGTTTCAGATGGCATTGAGAGTGGCTCACTGATGGAGGAGGAGATTTGGACAGTCTGAGTGAAAATCTGATTGGCGATGCTGGAGCACAGGCGATTGCTGAGGCTCTCAAAGTGAACACGACGCTCACTGCTCTCCAGTAAGATGTTGTGCGCTTTGCTCGTCTCGGCCATTGAGCCAGGGTCAGCCATTACCTTGCCTCGATGTCACCTTGCTCACCCTTGACGAAATAGCTTGTCGTATAATTGCATTAGCGATGTTGCTGTTCAAGCGATCGAAGAGGTACGCAGAGCAAACAGCACGACGTCGGTCTAGTAAGTCGTTCTTGCACGTGAGAGACAATTCCTGCTCATGCAGTGCTTCCTCCGAACTGGCATGTGTGTGCTCCGGCTGACTGGTTTGGTTGCTTGCTGTTTGTTTGTCGCGCAGCATGCTCCACCAGATAAACCCTCTTTCTTTTTCTTTGCCTCCCCGAGCAGCAATGGCAACAGACCTGGAGCTCGTGTTTAGCGTGCTGATCAGCGGTCCGGAATTGAATCATCCGTCTGCGTCTCTACCAATGCTACCAGTCGAGCTTGCCGAGCGTATTATGGACGAGGCGCACTACTGGCAAGGTGTGCAGCATACCAAGCGAGACTACTTTGAGGAGGATAATCTGGAAGTCTCGGTGCCTTTGAGCACGAGTGGAACTTCAATCCGGGTGAAGGCGATTCAAGTGCTTCGTGACTGGCAGACACAGCCCTTCGTCGTTGGCGATGTTGCTTTTGATGTGGTTGTCCGAGATGCGCAAGGTGCTGTTCAATCCGAAGCGGCTGTGAGACCTACCTTTGTTGATACCGTTCAGCTTGTGACAATCTGGCCTGCGAATCTTCCCATCATCCGACAAATGCGCGAGGGTTGGCAAGTTCAAGTGCGACCCAGCTCCTCCTTGTCCCACCGAGTGCGATACGAGTCGCTCTATGTCGGATACGAGGGGATTTTAGCGACCAATCTCCAGAGCACATTTTGAGGCGTGTTCTACACGTTGGCAAAGAGCATTACGAACGGAAATAAACCAAAATCACTCAAAGTCCATGCCAAAGCTGCCCTGATTTTGCTATGGCTTGTCTGCAAAGTGCAGTCAGCAGCATTGCCTCACCAAAAAACACACACACACACACAAGTCCTTTGGGAGCAGCGCCAAGCATAGTTGACTGCTTTCTTTCAAACACCCTGAGACTGCAGTGACCGGTCGCGTGCACGCATGGAAACCCCTTTGTTTGTTTGTGGGTGGGACTCCAAGAATAGCATGCCACTTGTGTCGAAAACCACCGCAAACTTTTACGTCACAGAACTGTTTGAGACGTCGAGCGTGACGCAGCAGCAGAGCGGTTTGCGTCCCTCCGTCCCTCACTCCTTCTCCAATTCCCAATCCCTCTGACCTTGGATGTATTGTTGTTGCCCTTGGTCAATGTCATTCCAGTCGACGACGCGTGTATGGATGCTGGGGAACAGCTCGCTCGCGTTTCGATTGGCAACCAAAAACCAAAACAATCAACTTTTTTTTTTCAGTCTTTTTTTTTTTTTTTTTTTTTTTTTTCCTTTGCTTTTCTTCGTCCTTCGCTTGTGCTGCCTCGTCGCCTGTCTTCTCTCGCAGCACACCACCAAGCCATCTTCCGTGACTATTTTCTCTTTCTCTCTTTTTCTCTTCCTTGTCGAGCAGCACACCCGCTCCACACAAAACAAAGATGAGCTCCACGTCGTCGCTCCACAAGCTGGATGGCGGCAATGGCAGCTCTGCATCGCCGCTGTCGTCGACGCCCTCGTCCGCATCGATGCTGCCCTGGTCGGACCAGTTCAACCACAACTACATCACCGACCGCGGCGTCTTTGCTCTCAAAGAGCACAAGTACAAGTGAGTTTTTGAAACACAAAGCTGTTTTTTTTTTTTTTTTTGGTTTTTTGTTTTTCAGCGAAATAGAGCGACAAGAGACAGAGACACTGACAGAGACAGAGACAGAGTCGGGCACTCGTCCTACCATCAGTAGTGCTGCTGTTCATGATGCAGCGAAGCAGAGCAAAAGAAAGCAAAGCAAACGAGCACCAACGTTTTTTTTTTTTTCTTTCTTTCTTTTTTTTTTTTTTTTTTTTTTTCTTCCATGCGTTTTGTATGGTTTTTTGTATTGTTGTGGCTGCGTATTTAATTTTTTATTATTTTTTATTTTATTATTTTTTATTATTTTTTATTTTTTTTATTATTATTAGCATCCCACACTCTGCGCTTCTTTTGTCTTGTTCTTCTTCCTTCATTCTGCTGTTTGTATGGCGCTCTGCTGCTCAACTCTTCTTGCCTTCGACTCTCTCACTTTCTCTCTCTCTCTCTGTCGCGCTACCGCTCTCTGTCGCTCCAACTCGCGAGCTAGAACGCTCTCGTGGTCGACGTTGCAGTTTTGAGCTTTTTTTTTTTTTGTTCTTTGTGCTCTTTCTCCTTGCTCATTACGCTATTGAGGGGGAGGGGGGTTGTTGGCTGCTGGTGTTACTATCCAACGCTCTACCCCTTGCGTTGACGGGAGCGGAGTGGTGGCGAGTGCTGCAGCGAGGAGGGCACCGCGACCTGAAAGCAGCGTGCACCCATCGGCTCCTCCTCCTCGTCCTCCTCTTCCTGCCTCCTTCCTCGCTCTCTCTCTCTCGCTTAGCCCTCATTCTATTGAATGCGCTTGCTTGTGCTGTTCTTTGGGAACAATGGAGCCGACTCAGTTGAAAGCTCTTGTTGCCTTTTTTTTTTTTCTCTCTGTGCTACACTGCGCTCGTTCCAACCGTCTGTCCTACTCTCGACCTTGCCCACACGGAGTCTACTTTCACTCTCTTTTCTTGTCGTTTGCTTTGTTGACATCTTGAACCTGTTCATCTCACTCTGCCTCTCCTGCGCTTGCTTTTGCACTTTTTGTCTCTTTTTTTTTTTTTTTTTCCTTCTTTCTTCCCCGCCAGTGGCCGTGACTCGTCCATCCTTTACAACAAGGTGCTCCGCCCGCTCGCCATCCACCTCGTGGAACGCTATGTGCCAACGTGGGTCGCCCCGAACGTCCTCACGCTGGTCGGCCTCGCATTCACGATCGCTGGCTTTATTCCAATCTACAGCCACTGCCGCGCCATGTACGAGCCCGCGCCGACGTGGATGTACGTGTGGGCGGCGTTCTGCCTCTTTGCCTACCAAACGCTCGATAACATGGACGGCGTGCAGGCGCGCCGCACCGGTACCTCGTCTCCTTTTGGCCAGCTCCTCGATCACGGCTGCGACGCCCTTAACGCAACGATCGCCACCGCCACCTTTGCTGTTGTGTTGCAGCTGGGACACATGAACGCAATCCGTCTCATTTGCTGCACCTATGCCGTCTTCTTTATGACCACTTGGGACGAGTACTACACTGGCGAAATGCACTTGGCTGTGGTTAACGGCGCCGACGAAGGCATCACGGTCGTCTGGATGCTCTACCTCGCCACCGCAGTGATTGGCCCTGAAATGTGGGACGGCTTCTGGTACGAGGGCGCCAACGCTGGCGGACACATTGTTCTCTACGTGACGTTCGCCGGCGCCATCATTGCCTGCCTGGACGCCCTCCGCCGTGTCTACACGCGCTTCCGTCGTCAAGCGCAGCTGCCAATGCCCGCGCACATCCAGGGCGGCTTTTCCGGCGCGCTCCTGACCCTCTTCCCCGCTGCCTTCATCATTTTCATGGCCCTGTGGTGGATTTGCATCCCCGTTGCGAACGAATACTATGCGCCCAAGGGCAACCTCTACGTTCCATTCGGCGCGGTGGGCTTGCTCTTTGCCTTGACGGTCTGCAAGCTTATTCTCTCGCACATGTGCCGGATGCCCTACCCGGCCTTCCACCGTCCGCTCCTCCTGCTCTTCTTGCCATTGATCAACCGTCATCTCGGCGTCCGCTTCACCGGCGAGCCCTACTATGAGGAAGGCGTTGCTGGCGTTGTCACCCTCCTGCTCGCTCTTGCCGCCTTCGGCCACTATGTTTACTTTGCCACCCACCAAATAACGTCCGCGCTCCAAATCAATGTCTTGACTATTCCCCACGACAAGCCCGGGTCAGCGACGACCGTATAGTTGACCTTTCTGGTTTTTTTCTCTTGTAGCTTTCTTCTTTTCTTTTTTTTTTTTTTTTTTTTTTTTTGCTTGTTCCTATATTTGATCGATTCTTAAAAGCCCCCCCCCCGCCTCCTCCTCCTCCTCCTCCTCTTTGTCCCGTCCCTTTCTGTCGCTGTCCTGTTTCGTTTTTCTTGCCTTGTTTTGTTCTTGTTTGGTGTAGTTCCGCTCTGAACTGTGTTGATTTTTGCTTTTTCTGTTGCCAAGCATGATTTTTGTTATTTGTGTGTGGTTTTGTGTTTGTTGTTGTTATCCTTAACACGATTCTGTTGTGCAAATGCTGGTGATCAAAACCCCCATTCATGCCGATGAAACGAGAATGCAAAGGTCGAAACGAACCTTCATGTATTGCAGTTTAGTTTGTTGCATCAAATTAGCAGACACGGGGAAACGCAATACCCATCAGTCCGTCAAGTTGGATGGAGAATGATAAAAAGGGGGGGGGGATTCACAATCATGGGGAAAGAAAAAAAAAAAGGAAGAAAAAACAAACAACACAAGACACACAACGTTTACTTGGGGGCAAGGGCAGCAAGGTCGCTCAGGCACTTCTTAAGGTAGGCCGCGTCGTCTTCCTTCGACAAGCCCTGGTTGAGCAGGCTTTGCTCAAGGGCGTCAGCCAAATCGAGCTGCTCCTGGCGGCGGGCAGCCTGGACGACGGAAACAGCCAAGTCAAGGGACTTCTTGAGCTCGGCGGCAACGTTAGCGTACTGCTCACGAGCGCGGACCTCAGCGTCAACCTCGTTAAGCTGTTCGTTTGGAAGAAGAAGAAGAAAACAGGGGAGAGTGAGTTGATCCAATGTAAACAATCCAAAAAAAAACCAATAATAATAATAATCATAAACCGCTTCGCGTACGTTGTTCAAGAAGCCACGGAGATCCTGGACAAGATCGGTGGTGTTGAGGTATTGCTCGGCAGCCTTGCGGTCCTTGGCGAGCTTCTCGCGTTGGACGTCGCGGAACTGTTGGAGCGAGTTGACGGAGGCCTGGTAGTCCTGGTCGAGCATCTCGGCAACGGGCTGCTTGATGTTCTTGTAGATGAAGTAGGCGGCAAGACCGAACGAGCCGACCATGATGGTCTCGTGGTGCAGGATGATAATCTCCTTCGAGATGCCGACAGCAGCCAGACCCGAGGCGAGCAGCAGAGCGCCAGTGTTGCCGGTCTTCTCGCTGATCAGCTTGGCAAGGCCGCCCTTGCTGGGCTCCTCGGGCTTCTTGGGGGCCTCCGAGGCACCGAGCGCGCGGGCACCAGCGGCCTTTGACGAGAATGCTCGGGCAGAGGAAGCCGCTGCACGAGGAAGATGAGAGAGCGAGAGTGAGATACAGATGGATGGTCGTTGAATCAGCACAGCGATGCATCTCCCAGCAAATGGGAGGTAAAAAAAGACTGTGAGACTGCACTTGGAGTGGAAGAAGGTCGCGCTCACACCGCCATCAGCAGCAGCAACAGCAGCAACAGCAGCAGCAGCAGGACGATGCAGAAGGACAGAGATCGCAAAAAAAAAAAAAAAAAAAAGCGAGATCTCACGCTCGATCATCTCTCTCTCTGCTCTCGCTTGTTCGCTGTTCTCACTGCTGGCAACGCAGGAGGAAAGGTCAATGGTCGATGGACTTGCTGTCGATGGAAGGCACAAGTGCTGGCTGGCTGGCGATCAGCAACGATGAAAGAAAAACGAGGAAACAAAAAAAAAAAAAAAGTCCATGATAGGATAGGGGAAAAAAGCGTGTGGAGCTCCATTGAAAAAAAAAAAAAAAAAAAAGAGTCAAATCCAAAAACCACGCTCAACCGCAAACGGATCTCGCGAGGGACGGAGGGGAGAGAGAGAGAGAGCGAGGGACGGGGAGAGTGGCTGCCGGATGGGTGGGCAATTGGTTTGATCTGCCATCGGACGCGGGCGACGGCCCAGAGAGTTGAAGAGGACCTCTCCGGTTTTTTTTTCTTTTTATTGGATTTTTTTTTTCTTTACCAAGCAGAGGAAGGCGACGAGCGATCAACGAAGCCATTTGTGGATGAAAACGAAGAGTGGAATCTCAGACTTGAAAAAACAAACAGGAGAATTCTTAGAATGCAGTGTTGAAATAATGCAATAGCGGAATTGGGGGACTTGGCAGATGTGAAGTCGTTGATTTGGTCTGCTCTCACACTTGATACCTTCCAGTCGCTGTGCAATCAAACAGTCAAAGCTGGAGAAGATAACCATTCATTTTAACAACAAAACACCCCACAAAAATGCACATTTCGTGGCTTTTGCTTTTCTTTTCTTTTGACAACAAACTTTTTTCCCTGTGGCTTGCATGGGCCTTTTTTTTTTTTTTCTTGTTCACACATCGCAGAGTGCTGCTTTTGTCTTCTTTTTTTTTTGCTTCTAGTTGCCAACAATCTTGATCATGCAGCGCTTGAAATCGCCCGAAATATCGTCCGAAATCATCTTGGCGAGCGTCTTGTTGTACGTGCGCAAGAATTCCTCCTTGATCTGGACGAGATCGACCTCAGAGCGGGAAATGACGACGCGGATGAGGGTGGTCTCGTCGGTACCGGCGCCCTTCATCGACTTGTACAGCTGCTCGGCAAAGTACGCGGGGCGGTTGCGGATGGACTTGACAACGGCGAGCAGACCGTTCTTAATGTCGCCCGAGAACTCGCGCTCGATCGAGCGCTCGATGGCGTAGCCCGAGGTGCGCGGGTACTCGTCAAACACGGCGCGCAGATGCGCTGGGGAGCGCGCAGCGAGGATTTGGTTGAACTTGGACTCGTCCGTGCCCCACTTGCCCTCGCCGGCAGCGTAGAGAGCGGCAGCATCGGCACGAGCCTTGTCCATGTCGACGGTGGTCGACTCGTCGCGGGCAGCAGTGGCCATCGAGACGAGGAGGCGCTTAAAGTGGCCCGAGGTCTCCGACACGAGGTCCTTCTCGAGGTCGCGGTTGTGCATGGCCTTGTACTCGCGCTTGATCTCCTCAATCTCCTGGTTGGTGCGCGTGCACATGATCTCAATCAGGCAGTTCTCGTTGGTGCCGGCACCCTTCATGGCGTTGCGGAGCGACCAGGCGTCAAACTCGGCGCGGGTGCGCAAGAGCGCCAGAATGGCATTCTCAAAGTTGCCCGAGAGCTCGCTCTTGAGGTCCTTGATGAGATCCTTGCCGTACATTTGCTTGAAGGAAATCATGATGCGCTTGCGCTCGTGGGCGGCGCGGGCACCGAGAACGCCAATGATGGCGGCCTCGTCCGTGCCAAGGCCCTTCATGGCCTTGCGCAAAACCTCGGCATCCTTCTCGGGGTCAAAGCCAGGCGTGCGTGCGGCGATCGTGCCAGTGTACACTGGAGCGGCCGGGACGGCGGGAGCGGCAGCGACAGCAGCAGCGGCAGGCGCCGGAGCAGCGGCAGCAACAGGTGCGGGAGCCGGGGCTGCGGCCGGAGCAGGTGCGTACGACTGACCAGCCGGCTGGGGAGGGCCTTGCTGCTGGTAGCCCTGCTGAGGAGGCTGCTGGCCGTAGCCCTGCTGGGGCGGGTGCTGGCCGTAGCCTTGTTGAGGAGGCTGACCATAGCCTTGTTGGGGAGGCTGACCATAGCCCTGTTGGGGAGGCTGACCATAGCCCTGTTGCGGCGGAGGTGCGCCGTAGCCCTGTTGGGGAGGTGCGCCGTAGCCTTGCTGGGGAGGTGCGCCGTAGCCTTGCTGGGGAGGTGCGCCGTATCCCTGCGGCGGAGCACCATAACCCCCATAACCCTGAGGAGGGGCGCCATAGCCCTGAGGAGGTGCGCCATAGCCCTGCGGAGGTGCGCCGTAGCCTTGGGGCGGCGGAGTGCCATAGCCCTGCGGGGGACCACCGTACGGCATTGCCTGAAAATCGCAGCAACCAGAGCGTGATTTTGAACGCGGTGAGATTCTGCACAAGCATTTCAGACATTTCACACATACACACAGTTCGACCAATTTTGGTCGTCGAAATGCATCCAAAATCTTGGTTTTGACGTCACAGATTTGCGTCCTAAAACGGATTCGACTTCCATTTTGAGGTTGTTTTCGCTTTTTTTTTTCTTTTTTTTTCCTTTGCTTTTTGATTTTGTGCTTTTTCGTTCAGTTTCGCGCTGCAGTCAAATGACATGGAATGAAATGGATTGTCGCAAAGGACTGCAGGTTGCAACTGCTGCGCTTTGCACAACGGCATTGGCAGAAACAAAAAGCAAAACGGAACGAAACGAAATCATGGCAAAAAAAGAATCAAAAAAAAAAAAAGAAAGAAAGAAACGTTCAAGTGCGTTCAAGTGCGTTCGTGATGCTCGAGTCACTCAAACAACACCTCCTCCCTCGACCGCCCCCACTCATTGCTGCGTAAGACGAGCAGCAACACCAAAAAACGCGAAAAAGAGACGCTCAACGAACGCGATTGGAAACGAAAATCAAAACAGAAAGAAAAAGAATCAAATTTGTGTTTGAGCGTCGAAATTTGAAAAAAACAAGAAAAAAAAAAGAATCATAAATTTTCGAATCTTTCTTTGCTCGACTGTGAGCGGTACCTGAGGCATGGCGTTGGGGTCGAAGCCGCCCTGGGGTGGGTAGCCAAAGCCGCCCGACGGAGGGTAGCCAAAGTTGTTGTCTTGCGGTGGGTAGCCGCCTTGAGGGGGGTAGCCGGGCTGAAAAAGGGTGAATCAAGGAAAAAGTGGGGAATGTTGTCAGATCAAAATTTGAAGGGGAAAAGCAAAAAAACAGTTCACTGAAGAGTATCGTTGACGAGTTTAAAAGTCCTTACATAAGCCATTTTGTGGTGCTTTTGTTGTTTTTAAAAAAAAAATGAAGGACTGGAAAAAATTTGTTCTGTTTTGGAATCGCTATTTGAAAGCAACATTCATAAATTTGTGATCTGGCTGCTGTAGTCTCGCTCGCTCCAGAGCTGGGGCACGTGTTTTAGAGGCACGTCACTCCACACCATACAACTCGATGGCAACTGCCGCCTGGGAGCCAAGTAGGACAATGGGATCTCACACGAATTGCAAAAATGGACAAAATGTTGTCGTCACAAACCGCCGCGTGAACATGTGCTGGGTGAGGTCACCTACGCGGTTTTTTGTGTGCTTGGGAGATTCTGTGAACGCTGGTTCATAGACAACGAGTGCTGTGCCAGCGATCGCCAAGACAGAAACGGAAGAACGAGGAGCGAGCGATTTTGGTGTGTTCCTGCTCCCACCTGACCGGAGCATCAGCGAAAATTACTCCTGAAGCACATGCTAGAAGAGATGCCAAAAACAATATCATGTACTTCAGAATATTGGGCAGAACAAAATCAAGTCCGAACGAGCTCCAACCACTCTTCGATTTTGTCCAACAACACAAGGAGCAGCAACACCCAGGTTAGGCCTGCTCGAGCTCAACGAGAACGCCGTTGCAATCCTTGGGGTGCAGGAAGACAACTGGCTTGCCGTGGGCGCCAATCTTGGGCTCTTTGCTGAGAGCGCGGATTTTGCGCGCGGCGAGATCTGCCATGGCCTTGCGAATGTCGGTGACCTGATTGGGTTTGTGGCAAACAAACCAAGAGCACCCCCCAAAGTGAGAACAGAGTCCTGTCAAACCTTTTTTCTTTTTCCTTTCTTTCCAAATCCTCCCAAAAGTACCTCAATGCAAATGTGATGCAAACCGCCATCGGGCTTCTTGTCGAGGAAGTTCTGGATTGGCGAATCCTTGCCGTAGGGCTCGAGCAGCTCAATCTTGGTGTCGCCAAGCTCGACAAAGACTGTGTAGACGCCGTGCTCGGGTTGCGGCTGGATTCGCAATGCAAAAACGAGACAAACCATCTCCAGTCAGTGCCTTTTCGTTGAATAAAACGTTAAACAACCGGATCCGTTTTTTTGCTTTGGTCGAAACAAAACAATCCTTGTCTCAGAAAACGCGCAAACTCGTCTCATCATATACCTGAATATCGCTGACTTTGGCTTGGAGAACGTCGCGGTAGAAGGCACGCGCGGGCTCGGCTTTGGGAACGGCGATGGCGACGTGGTTGAGCTTGCCAAGCTTCCAGACGCTTGCAGGGGCCTAACGCCAAACAGTACGAAGCGTGAGCAGGCGGATCACGGCTTGTAAGGGAAACACATCGTTCGTGAACGAGGAACACCCGACCCGACCCGACCCCGACACGCCACGACTCTCCTGGATTGCATGAATGAATGAATGCGTACAGCGCTGGCGGCGGCAGCGGAGGCGGGAGCGGCAATCGGGGCGGCAGTGGACAATGCGCGCACGGCAACACGAGCTGCAGCAGCAAACATGGTTGAATGTGAACGGACGACTGGGGTGCGGAATGCTAACTAAAATGGAGTGTGTATATTCAACAAGTGCACTTGGACAGCATCGGCATCGATACAATCCCAGCATCAGCATCGGACTGGATACGTGAATTTGCTTGTCAAAATGAAAATCACTCCTTGCTTGATCATCGTCTCACATCGTCTCACTGGAGAAGAAACCCAGTCAGAATAAGAGCGCCAATGCACGTCACTTTGACTGCCTGTGCACGGTGGTTTTTCATGCCGGTCGTGTGGCCCTGCGTCGCCCAGGCAGCGGCAAATCCGGCAAACAACGCTGCCGTCCCCAGCAAGTGACCCTGGCGGGCAACTCGGTCGCCGTAGAGCCCAACCCACACGCCGTTGACAAAGATGCCCAGGTTCATGGCTCCGGCGGCGTACGAGCCCCACCAGCGACCTTCGGGCGACAGCGTTGCACCGCCGCGAAAGGCAACCGGCGTCAGCTCGCGCAGCATTGTCTCGGGCGTGAGCCAGTGCTTCAGGCATGCGCCACCAGCGCCCGCGACAGCAAACCAATACAGCGCAGGTGCAGCGTACTCCATCTTGGTAATTTTGTGGGTGAAGACGTGAGGACCGGTCGATCGTGGTGGGAAATGACTGAGCGTTGGAATTGGAGAAGCGAAATTGATGATGAGTTGGTGATCTCAGACAATCCGCCGATATTCGTTTGAAAATCGGATGCCCGCGTGTTTTGCATGCCGATGGTGTCGGTGGATGGCTGAATCGCGCCGATTTCGGCAGATTTGAAAATTGGTGTGCGCTGGCTTCATATTGTTTTGATCTTTGAAAGTGTATTGTTTTTGCACACACTGCACGTTTTCCAATCCAAACCGGCATCAAAAGATCAAAACACATCTCTACAATAGATTTTCATCAAAAGCGGGGACGTATCTTCAAAGGGTTTCCGCGACTGACAACAATCGCACGTCAAAGTTTCAGACACCTCAAACTTTTGCCTGTGACTCGCAAAAATCGCGTCTTCTCATCCGCAAATGTTGTAAAACTATATCTTTTAATGCACGCTCAAAGTAGGTGGAAGATAGACGCGTCTTACCTTGTGTTTGGATGACCTAAGGCACAGCGTCTGCAAAATGTGAGCTCGGCGCATTTCTCACGCCCTGCCACATCAGAGGTCCCTTTCGTCCGCACCAAATCATCATAATTAATGATAGCAATGACAGTGCATCCGCCCTCATAGGCGTGGCAGCTCAATGCCTCGTTCTTCTCAAGATCGTGAGCTGTGGTCAGCTTTGACAAAGATGAACGCTCCACCCACGCTCGTCCCTTGATCGGTCGCTCCTCGACCTTCCACACACATGTTGCACCATGCTTTGAATGAGTTGCTAATAATAACCATGACGCAAGACTTACTGAGACAAAGAAACTGGATTCAATCCTGGTTTTTTGTTTGTTATCTGACAATCCGAAACAGTGAGGTCATACCGGCCGCGTCGACACTTGCCAACGCGGCCGCTGACTTCAGTGGAAACCTTCTTCCCTTTAAATAGCAATGCTCCTTCACCGAAAGTAAAAGCACTCCTCAGTCTACTTTTTCCTGTCGACCACTTCGAACGAGCAAGGGCAACCAAGATCGAACACGAAAAGCACAAACCCTTTGTTTTTTCCAACGCACATCAACACAACCTCCCACAAACAAATCCATCAAGCAAAACATGGGTCTCCTCGTTAGCAAGATTTCTCAAGCCCTTGAATCGCTCGGGTCTGTGTTTAGCAACCGCCAAGCGCGCATTGTCATGATCGGCCTGGACGCGGCCGGCAAAACCACCATCCTGTACAAGCTCAAGTTGGACGAGGCCGTCCAAACGCTGCCCACCATCGGATTCAATGTGGAAACCATCCAACACAACCGCCTTACCATGACAGTGTGGGATATCGGCGGCCAGCACAAAATCCGACCGCTTTGGCGCCATTACTACCACGGCACGGACGCGGTCATTTTTGTCGTCGATAGCGCCGACCGCGAGCGTCTGTTCGAGGCCCAGGATGAGCTGCAGAAGGTGATGAGCTCGGATGAGCTTGCGCGGGCATGTATCTTGGTGTTTGCCAACAAGCAAGATGTTTCCGGATCGGTTTCTGCCAACGAGATGGCCGAGCAACTTGGCCTGTTCAAGAGCACCCATCGCCAGCGTCTATGGCACGTGCAGCCATGCTGTGCCAAGACTGGTCAAGGCCTGGTTGAAGGACTGCAGGAGCTTGCGCGAATGCTCAAGTCCCAGCCGGCCTCCGTCGACTATTAAGCGTGTTGTGCTTTGCAAGCGCGTTGAAGAAATGATTTGCATCTTGGTGATATTGTATGCGAGCCAACAGATATATTTTGAAAGAGAGCAAGATTACAGTTGTGCAGGCAAGCGATTGAGTTGTAAAGGTGCGAAGCAAGGCGACGGCAAATTCTGAGCTGTGCACCACGAGCACCTCCAAAAAGGAATCAACTATTCTCAACGAATCGGCACACTGCTTTTGCTGACACGCCAATCTCAGAATGCTCAATGTTCCAATTCCGGTAACAAACAACAACAAACAACAACAAACAAACAAAAAGAAGCAGCGGGCTTTTCTCCGAAATTCAATCCGACACCTGCCTCCAGCCCTTGTCTCCGTTTCGCCCCGCACCAGCGACGTGCTCCCGGCGTCCTCTCACCCAACAAAAGCCCCTCAATTCCCTGGCAATCGAACGAGCAACACGAAAACAACGAAACAAACCCACAAAACACCACGCTCAAAAACACTGCCAAAATTCGCCAATCGTTCACCTCTCAAACACGCGCTTCACTCACTCAAACCACACCGCCAAACAATCCTTTCCCCCCGCCCCCAAGGAATCAAACCTAATCTCCAACGTTCCTCCACTAACTCGAATCCCACTGCCAAACGAAGCAACGCACCGTCACTCTAAAATTTTCAATTGTTCAATCTCAATCACCACCTTCAAGAACAAAAGCAACAATGCTGGACCCGTCGTCGCTGCTGACGCCGTCTGCAAGCGATGCCGAGAATGAGCAAAAGTGGACCAAAATCCTGCACAAGGTGTCCAAGCTGAAAGGGGACGACCGGACGTTCTTCGAGTCGATGGTCAAGTCGCTGCGGATTGACGAGTGGCTTGCTCGAGACAACCAGCGCCAGCTCCAAGACAACCGCGTCCTCACTCTCGGTACCGCCCGCTTGCTGTGTTTCCAGCCCTGCCAATTCTCCATTCACTCATTCACTCATCGTCAGTCGTCGTCGCTGAGGAGCTGTTGTGGTTGTGCTGGTTGAGTGTGTGGTTTTGTGGTTGTTTGGGATTCGATTCGCACGTCACTGTTTGCTCTCTCTGGCTCTGGCTCTGGCTCTGGCCCTGGCTTGAATTCGCACCAAGTGTGTATCGTACGATTCTCAACTGACTGACTGATTCGGCGGGCGCGCTTTTTTTGTCCCTTGGGTGCAGGTGGCGGGAACACGGGCAAGACGACCTTGCTCAAGCAGATGCGCGTCCTCTATGCGGGCGGCTTCTCGTCGGACGACAGGACGGAATACAAGTTTAGCATCTACGATAATGTACTCGACGCAATGCTCGCCCTCATCAAGGGATTGCAAATCCTAGCCATCCCAATGGAGTCGCAATTTCAGGTCAGTTTTGTTTTTTTCGAGATTTTTGAGACACTTTCGTCAACAAAGTCACCCCAAAAGACAGTCAAAGCATTGTATGCCAAAGTATGCACTGTTATGATCTCACTGTGGTGGTCTTTTCAAACAATGTACTACTTGCCTCGACTTGCACACAGTCTTACGTGGAGGAGCTGATCGGATTTGCGGCATCCAACAACGCGGCGCCAACAACCCAGGTTCTGCCGCACTCATTCGCCCCGCCAGTGATCGCTTGGACGGATGACAAGTTCCAGTGCCACGTCTATCCACTAGTCAAAACCCTGTGGGCTTTTAGCACTTCGATTCGAACTTGCTTTGAGCGACGGAACGAGCTTCCGTTTCCCGTGCCAGATTGCGCCATCTAGTGCGTTCGTACTGTAGCGTGGGCTTGATGCGATGAATGCACATGTTGCCCTGTGGGCACACATCAAGTAAGGCGTGCTCATTTTGGGCTTTTGGTTTTTGTTTTGGCATCACTCGCAGCTTTTTCAACGAAATTGATCGCATTAGCGAACCGACGTTCACTCCCTGTGAGCAGGACGTGATTCGCATGCGCGTCAAGACACTGGGTGTGGTCGAGCATAACTTTGTCATCAAGAGCCAAAAGTGGACGTAAGGTTATATTCCTTGTTCGAGCCAACTTTGCCGAAACAATCTTACAGTCGAATCTTTCTCGCTCACTCCATCATCCGCTCCTCGTTCTCCTATTACTTTCTGGCTGTTGCATCATCGCCAGATTTATCGATGTCGCTGGACAAAAGTCGGCGCGGCGAAAGTGGATTCATCTGTTTGACGGCGTTTCTGGCGTCGTGTTCTTCGTGTCGCTTAGCAGTTATGACGAAACATATCAAGACACGTTGCCTGCAACCGACTCCTTTGACAATTTGGACGAAGCTGCTGATGGTGAAGAATCGCCGGTAAGCGCGAGCACGGAATGGCAGCAACAATGGACGAATTGCGTTTTGGTGGCTCACTCTTTTGTTTTCGAACTCTCGTCTTGCAGAAGTCGCTGTTGCTAACTGATGGACTGGAGCTGTTCGAGTCTCTCTTACGCGACCCGCATCTCGAGAACGTCCCTTTCACCGTTTTGCTCAACAAGTTTGATTTGTTCTCGACCAAAATCCCACTTCGTCCACTTCGCCAGTTTTTGCCCGGGTACATTGGTACGAGTCCTATTTGGTATTGTTGGCTTGAGTGCCACGTTGTGTGCTCGCGAGCACTCAGTTCGAAGCACGGAATTGCTTTTTTTTTTTTTTTTTTTTTTGGGCAGGGGACGATTCCGATGTTGGAGCAAGCGCCACATACATTCGCAACTTATTCCTAGAACGAGCTGCCAACGTGGATCGCAAAGTGCACGTTGAATTGACCTGTGCCACCCACAAGCCAACCATCGAGCAGTCGCTCAACGCAGGCTTGGCCTTTTTGCAAGAAATGCGCCAGAACGCGGCTCTGACCCCGCGAGCAAGCTCGTCGCGGAGTGCTGGTACGATACGCCGCGGAGACAACGCACAACGCGGATCTGCACACCAACACTCGGTGGGCTCTCCGCCAATCTCGGCCTCATCCAGTCCTCGACCGAGCATTAGCGGGCCGAGCGGCACTGACGCGCAGCAGTCCTCTTCTCCACCACGCTGGGCCTACGAGAGCTTGTAGATTTCTGGACTGGGATGTGATCTATGACGATTTGTGTAGGTTGTTGACGAGCTTTCTCGGATTATTTATTGGTTTTTCAAACCCCATCAGTGTCTTGGCGTGTACGTTCTGTTCCTGTTGTCCTGTAGACTCGCTGACCTTTTAGTAAAGTTAGACATTTCATCAAGGGCATATACATGTAGGAGGTGAACTATTCCGTTGCAGACACAACTGGGTCTGCTGGATTTTTCTCACAATTCAGAACGACCACTCTCGCACCAACCGGTCGTCAAAGACAACTGTCCGAGAAGAATTAAAGATAAATTTACTTGTGTACAGCAATACAAGCACACTGCAATGCATTTTCCCCCTGAATCGAAAAAACAACAAAACAAAAACAACAACAAACAACCAAAAAATAATACAAGCAATCCATAGGCAAATAGGTTCTGACTACAAGAGCGGCTCCTCCTCCAATCGCTCAAAGAACAGCTTGCTGCTGGTCAACTCGAGCACCTTCGCTTCTCCTTCTGCGCAATCCGCACCAACATTGAACGCAATGTACTTGTTGTCGCGGAAAAAGTACGCCGTAGAGCTGTTGTACTTGAGCACGGACGAGACACCTTCGGGGAAGACGCCTGGCCAGTACTTTTCAATCAATTTCGGGTAGCCGGCATCTTGGCGATCCAGCGCAATGTCATACCGACAGTATTCGCGCCCTTTGAAAAAATAGACCTGAGAGCAGATGCCAAAAGATGAGTCAGTCGGGGCTGAGAATCTCTGCAAAGCGCTCACACGCATGCGCGTTTGGCAGCGGCATTTTGTGTCATCACACCTTGCCGTTGCCCCAGTTGGCTGCGGCGTCGATCGATGTAAAGGACAATCCAGGGAAGGATTCGGTGGAGATGAGGCGCGGGTAGCCTTCATCGCCACGTTCGAGACTTGTGTCGTACCGAGCATAGTAGTTTCCGCTAAACAAGTAGGCCTGGCACAAAAAAAAAGAAAAAAAAAACACACACACCCACACACAGAGAAAAACAATGTACAAAAACTTAGTCCAATCGCCACATTCAAACTGACGCCTGTTCCATGTACAAACCTTGTTATTTTGCCAGATAACGGCAGAGTCAATTCGGGAGAAGGGCACATTGACCCAGTTGGTCATGTTGATGGGGCGCGGATAGCCGAAATCGATCACTTCGTCGTCCAGGTCGTAGCGGAAGTAAATTCGGTCCACGTACACGTACAGTTTTCGCTTGCCTTGCTTCACGTAAGACTAGAGGGAGCAATTCAAACCAAGCAAAGCAAAAAAAAAAGCAGTCGTCAGAACGAGCAGCCTCAATCGAGCCAAAAAAGAAACCTCAACTCCAAAATCACCCATACCAAAAAGCCGTTCGCTCGGGCAGCAATCTCAAGCAGCACGCGACGACGTTCCAGACCAAGATCAACAAGAATGCGGCGCTCTGCGCTCAGAGCCTGATTCACAGCCTCCAGCTCCAGAATGCGGTTGTTGGCCTGATCGCTCTGGGTTTGGAGATGGTTGATGTACTCGATCGCCAGTTTGAGAATGTAGGGCTGTCGTGCAACCTTGAGATTTGGATTGATATCTTTGCAGCTCGGCACGGCCATCTCGAGCTCGTCAAATCGCTGCTTCAGAATGAGGCGTCGCTTTTGCTCAATGACAATGTGATTTTTGCGCCTCTCTTCCTTACTGCAGACACAGCGACAACGACAAAAGAGGAGAACACGAAACAAAGGTTTGGTGTGAGTGGCATGTCTCACAAAACACCAATCAAACAAAAACTGAAAACCCCCATCCGCCCCCTCTTTCTTACTTCATGGCGCGCTTCAGCTCGCGGCGCATGATGCGATGCGCAGTCTCCTCCGAGGACTCTGTGCGACGAGCGCGCTTGCGCGAGCCAATCGTTTCGTGCAAGCTCTGCACGGCGTTGGCGACGGCCTGTGCGACGGCTTCGGTCGGCAGGGTTTCGAGCATGGTGCCGTCGGCCGGTCGCTTGCGCCTGCGCGCAGACGAAGCCGCGGCGGCAGCGTCCACAAGCAAGTCTGGCGTAATTGGCACAATGCTCATGGTGCTCGCGTCGTCGGCGTGCGAGATGGCAGCCGCTGCAGCGTCACGTGCTGGATGTTTGGAGCGTTTCCCGGCGGCGGCGGCGGTTTTTGTCGCTGTGGGCGCCGACGCAGCGGAGATAGCTGCCGCAGCGAGCGCCTGTGCCGACATTGCAGCAACTCCACCTGCGGTCGACGAGGATGAGCTCGCTCCGGGCGCTCCGCCAAACAGATGCGTGTCAAATTCTTCCATGTCCGAGATGTCATCTTCGTCGTCGTCGTCGTCGTCGTCGTCGCCCATGCCATCCGTGTACTCGTCGCCTGTGCCTGCAGACAGATCGCCACGGTCGCCCTCCAAGTCGAACGACGATGACATTGCAGACAAGTCATCGTTGTCAACGCACGACGCGGTCGATCCGGCGCCGGACGAGACCACGCTCGTGCCCTTGTTGGGCCTGCTCTGCAGCTGGCTTTGGAGCTGGCTGTGGAGCAGCTGGTTTTGCAGCAGCTGGTTTTGGATGAAACTCTGGCTCTGGCCCTGGCTTGATGAGGGGAAAAGTCCAGAGTGGAGGCCGTCCAGTGCAGCAATCCCATTGAAGCCAGGAGCAGCAGCACTCGCGCCCTGATGAAGTGCTTGTTGTTGTTGCTGTTGCTGCTGCAAGGCGAGCACGGCAGCGTGGTTGAAGCCGGCGAGCGACGCAGCAGACGCAGCCGAGGCCACCTGGACGGGGAAGAGCGACTGCTGACCCCAGGCCGAGGCGTCGGACTGCGAATGGAGCTGCTGCAAAAGCTGCGCCTGCGGGGGTCTGTGCATGTACGCCAGCTGCTGCATGTAGTGCGGTGAGTATGCTGCTGCTGCTGCCGCTGCTGCCGCCGCTGCTGCTGCTGCGTGGGCCTGTTGCTGCTGTGCTGCGGCTGCGAGCGTCATTGAAACCGCAGAGCCGACGTACGAACTGCCGCCGGCGCCGGCTACTGCTGCTGCTGCTGCTGCTGCTGCTGCGGGGCCAATGCCGCTGCCCGTGAGCGAGAACATGCTGGGATTGCCGCTGCTGCTCGGGTTGTGGCCGTGGCCGTGGCTGTTGGCAGCAGCGAGCTCAGCGAGGCCTGCAATCGTGAGCGGCAAAGAGTGGAGTTGCTGCTGCTGCTGCTGCTGCTGCTGTTGCTGCTGCTGCTGGCCGCCCGTCGACTGCATTGCGTGTGAATGTGACTAAAGTGACGACGGCAGCGTAAAGGAAAAGAGAAACAAAGAGAAAGAGTGAGAAAACAAGAGAAAAAGAGTGAACAATCAAAAGAGAGTGAAAATCCAAAACTGGGGAGAGATTTCGTATGTCAGCTGCCACTTTCCAAACTCAACATCAAGACAGTCACTCCAGTCAAGTCAGTCAATTCAGTCAATTCAGTCAATTCAGTCAAGTCAGCCATTCAGTCAATTCAGTCAATTCAAGGAAGACACACCGAAACCACATTTACACAGAGTTGTAACATTGAACGTGACTTTGTATTCATCAAACAACTTGAGGGTTGCCCGCATTCAGATTCGGACTGAGCAACGGTTGGGTTTCGCTGCATGTCGGTGGTGGTACATCGTGCTTGAATCCAGGTAGTTTGACAATATTGTTGTAGACCAGCGTTCCAAATACCAGTGTCAGGAATCCGGCCACTGGAGCAGCAGAATGAAAAATGAAACCAACTCACTCAGATGGGTCAGCACCCCATCAAAAAAAAAAAAAAAACTCAAAACAACAAGACAAGGACAAATAGACACCCGTCCACAAACAAACCTTCAAGTGGGGAATAGTTCGTCCATTGCTCGCCGAGGCTGTCGGTGATGCCGTAGTAAATGACCAGACCAACGAGCCAGACCAGCACGGTGCGACAGGCGTCAATCAACGTCCGATGAACGGCCGTCATGGCCTTGGTGACGGCGAGCCCGAAAAAGTTGTAGAATGCAATCGAAAACACGTACACGACGACGAATGCAATCAAAGCCCCGCTGTGGTACATTTGGACAAAGCCGTCCAGGGCATTTTCGTAGGAGCCGTGGCTGCCAACTTCCGAGGGTTGGCTGCCGGGAATAAAGTAGACGATAGGCAGCGCAACAAACATGGAGATGAGGGCACCAAAGAGGCCCTCGCGGCCCACCACTTCCATTGGAGGGTAGTTTGCGGCCTTGATGAGCTTTTCTTCGACAACGACTTGGCCGGCCGAGCAGAGCTGGCCAGCAAGGTTGAGAGCAATGCCAAGGACGACCTCGGACGTCGGGTGGCTGTCATCGCCACTGTCAGCAAGCACAGAGGCGACGCCGACCATCGCCAGACCGCAAAACACAATGAACAGGCCCGTCCACTTGTGCGGGCCCAGCGTGCGCTTCAGGAAGAGCACGGAAAGCACAGCACTGAAAATGATAATGCTCCCGCGCATGATTTGCCACACGGAAGCGGCGCAGTACAGCAATGCAATGCCGGCGAGGGTCGTGCCAGTGAGATCAAAGCAGGTCGGGATGAGAAAGATGAGCACCTGCCGCCACGTCCGCTTGTGCGTAATTCGATCGACGTGCTTGCTCGTGTCCACATCGGCGTTCTTGCTTGCCGCTGTCCGTGGCAGAAGCGAGCTGCTTGCCGGGTCGGGCGACGCGTAACTTGACGCGAACGGGTCTTGGTTGACGGACGCCGACAGCATCTGAAGCCGTGCAGCTGTCTCGCGGCGGCGTTGGACGTAGAGTCCAATCAGGCACAGTGATTCACCTGAGGAAGAGAGACGGGAGAGAGCGAGAGAGAGAGAGAGAGAGAGAGAGAGACGGGACGAGTGAGCTGTTGTTGGGTCGTGTCGCAGCCTGATTTCGCCCCCTGTCGCCTGTCGCGTCGCCCGGGGTTCGCAAGTTCAACAGCACCAGACTCACCGATGAACATGAAGAAGGTCTGCAGCCATGGTTTGGAGAAGGTGCGCACTGTGCCATCGATGCCCTCCGACCTGCTCAACAAGACAAACACACACATGGTGGGGACATGGTGTGGTGGCGCAAACACTGAGATTTCTGAGCTGTTCAGCATAGGAATCATGCAAGAACAATCACACATCGTACGAGACTTGGTTTTGGGCCTTCTTGGAGAGCGTGTTGATGGAGCCCGTGAGCAGCATCCCAATCACAAGCAACGCGTTGTGCGAGACGGCAAACTTGACCATGGTGAATGGGATGGATTGGGATTTGACTGAGCTACTGTAGTTGGCAAAAAACGGCGAGTGCACGATGAAAACGAGCAAGGGCAGAATGAGTTTGTATTTCGTACAGTACTGGATCTGGGGGTTTGGAGATGCGAATTGGGTGCGCGCAGTGAACGAGAGAAAGCCTAGAGCCGGATTGAAAACACATCCAGCATTCTGCTTTGAGCCGCCGATTGGTGCCTGCCAAAGCTGAACTTGCATTGGCCGATCAAACGTTCGTATTTCAACTGGTGCGAAATGGCTGGCGGCGTGTACCTGTCCAGCTGGACGTGGACGCTCAGTCGGTCGAAATTGATCTATGCGTTTCGGATTCGCCTTTGCTCCAACGGCGTTTCCCTTGTCACACAAACCTCTCTACATCTCGCAATACTGTACTTTGGAATGACTTGATCTGGTGAGATCGGCATGGTGCAATGATTTCGTCAAAGTGCGCAGTGAACTTGGAATACAACAAACAACGCAAACAACCCAAAAACCAACCATCTTTGCCGCTCGTTCAAAACGCACATGGTGACGTTGTGGATGTGATGCGCCTCTTCGTTCCATAGTTCAGCTCTCTGGAAGACCCTTTCCCGCTTTTGTTCGCCTGCTTGCTTGTTTGAGCCTCACGCACGCGCCGGGCCTCACGAGTCGAAACCATTCACCAATGCGCGTTCTCCTCCTTCTTCCTCTGCTTCGTCCTGGTCTCTGAGCTCCATCCACTCTCTTAGGTTTCTTTCACATTGTACTCAAAATCGATGCCCTTTTTATTGTCGTTCTTCGATCGATCTTCACACGATCAGTCCTCTTGAACATTTTTTGTTCGTTTCATTCTTCTTCTTCTTCTTCTCAGATAGTGACAAACTATGACGCAGTACGACGACGCCAACAAGGGTCAGCCCGACCCCGCTGCCGTGCACGACTCGGACGACTACGAAGACGTTGGCGCGCCCCGTGATGCTGGCGCTGGTGCGGTGTCGACTCAGCCGCTTGCAGCGCGGCCCGGCTCGACAGCGACGTATGCGACGCCGTACGCAGTGCAAGGGGACAATGTCTCATCGACCTACACGTCGCCGCAGCCGGCGCCGGGCCAGCCGCCAGTGACGACGTCGATCGACATGCCCGCAAGCAGCCACCGCAAGGCAACCGGCGGCGCGCACGGCAGCGCTGGCAGCTTTGGATGCGGAGGTATGTGCGAAAAACCCCCCACTGACAGAATCGAGTGGCCAATGGTGTCTGTTGATGTGTGGCGCGAGCGAAACGAGCGAGCCAAGGGAAGCAAGACGAAGAGAGAGAGAGAGAGATTGATAGAGAGAGAGAGAGAAGGAGGTTCGAGAGTGAGAGAGAGAGAGAAAGAGAGAAGGAGGGAGGATTTTTGAATGAGTAGGAATTGGAATGGTATTCAAAAAAAAAAAAAATAGGGCAAAAAAAAAAAAGCCATTCAGTGAGGTAGAATTGAGCGATTTGAGCGATTTGAGCGATTTGAGCGATTTGACAGATTTGAGAGGTTGGGCTGAGAGAGGAGGGATGGAAGAGAGGGGGAAGAGAAGGGGGAAGGGGGCTCGTGTTTGAACTCACAGTAGTAGAAAAAAAATCACAAAAGTAGAAACGGAATGACAACTTCCATAATTAAAAAAAAAAAAAGCGGGACAAAGAAGGAAACAAACTGAGACAAGGACAAAATTTCAGCAACAACAAAGTTGAAAAAAGTGGATGAAAATGAAGCAGATGATGAAAAAATGACAAAAAGCTACGGACGAACTGACTTGACTGCCTGACTCATCTGCAAACACGCGACCACACCTTGACTCAACTCACCTCTTGAATGGGTTTCTAACAACGAATGGTCTGTGCTTTTTTTTTTTTGTTGTTGTTGCCTTCGTTGTCCAAACATCAAACGATGACAAACCAGCCTTCATGGTTTCGCTGGCCATGTTCGACGCGCTGCCGGACGTCAAGCACAAGATCTTCCTTGCGCTGCACATGTGCTTCTTCACTTGGTAAACAAAACAGTCGCACCAAAACCCGCACCTTGTTGAAGCAAACACCATGTTTCTTTTTGGGGTGGTTGTCGTCTCTCACTTTGCCTGCTTCCACTGTCTGTCTGTCTGTCTGTAGGGCCTTGTTCACAGGATTTTCCTGGACATACCAATTTGCCAACATGCTGCTCATCGCCATGGGCATCTTCCATGTCTGCATTGAGCCCAAGAATCGCCAACTCTTCTCCATTGTACGCAACCCCACTCAGTACGAGTCACAGTTGCATCGATTGTCTGACTCTTTTGCTTTGGTTGTCTGGTTTCACAGTTGCTCGCCTACCTGTTGTTCTCCATCGTCACTGATATCTGCGTGTTGGGCGTTTTTGGCGAAGCGTACTCCAACGGCCGTAAGCAAAGCATTTGCAGCTTTGCAAAAAGAAACGGGTTGCGTTTTGTTTTTGCGTGAAACCGGCAGCTCATTCTGTGTGTATGCTTTGCTATCCCTTGTATGTCTCTTTGTTCAGTGGCCCGCGACAAGTTCTCATTGGCGTACGTTTTAGCCCTCCCGTTTGTTGTGTACTATCCGACCTGCACCTGTTTGCTCACCAGCCTTCGCCTTCTCCTGTTTGGTTTTCTCCCTATTGCAGAATGGCTGCCATCAACATTGCCGTGAAGCCATTCACCCTCGCCTTCGGTATCAAGGAGTACCGTGATTACTTTGTCCACGGCAACAAGTGTATGACTTTTTATGTTGCCCAAAGGGGGGGGGAGTTGAGCCGCGCATCTCACCTTCCTTCTCTGGCCATTTTGCACAATCACAGAAACTCGCCGTACTTGATCCCAAGTCGCAGACCGAGGCAGGTCTCCTCGCACACACACTTTCACTTCCATTGGTGAATCAGAAATTTAGAAAAAGAGTGTGAAGAGAGCGCGCGCGCGAAAAACCAAAAAACGCTTGATTCGTTTTGTTTGTGAACAATATATTGCATGCCTGATCCACACATTTCATTCACACCTGTCATCACGCCTCCCCTGGTCATTGCATCACAGTGCCATTGGCGATTTTGTCGAAGAGTGTCAGCAGGGAATTTTTGCCTTCGGTTCGGCGCACAAACTCGTCGAGCAGGAAATGCTCCGTCTGAACCATCGCATGGCAGTAATTGGGTCGCGGAGCCGTGCTGGCTCCACCGATGGAACGACCAATGGAAGATGTGGTCGAGACACTCGAGGAGGCGCGTGGACGAGAGCGCAAGGCTTGCATGGCATTGCTCAGTTGCAGCGAGTCGCCCGCATACGGCGAAGCAGAGACGCTCGGGGCCAGCTTGTTGCCTTGAGGAGTCGCCGCGTCATACACGCGCGGAAACCGTGTGGGGACGGGCGAGCCTGGGGCCGGCGACACTCCGACCAAAGGAATTCCAGCCAACGCACCGACGCGACGGCTGCTCCGACCACCCGAGTTGACCGCCAGCAGATCGGCAGGCGACACTGCGCCACCACCATGCTTCCAGCTCTGTTGAGAGGACATGGAGGTTTGTGGCGTGGTGGGTGCCGTCGTCTCGTACGTTTCCAGCAGTTCCTCCTCCAGCTGGTCGTCAACATCGACAACTTCGTCTTCGCTCTCGTCGTCGCGTTCCAAGTCGTCATCAATGTCAAGATTGTGCTCCGTCGCAGCCGTGGTCAGTTCGAACTCGAGCTCTTTGATGCGCCGTGAGGCGTGTGCTAGTTCCTCTCGCAACGATTCGATCGTGTCTGGACGCGCGTCATGTTGGGGGTTGGGCCCAGCCGCTGCCTCTTGTGTGCTCTCAGGAATGACAATCACTGTCGGCAAGGAGGCATCTGCTGGAGCAGACGTCTGCGCCGCTGCTGAGGCCTGCTGGTCCTCTTCGAGCAAGAGCAGCTCGTCTTGACCAGCTGCGTGATCGCCACCCTTCTCGCCGTTCTCCTGAAGCTGGAATTCGGACAAAGTGTGCGCAAGATCAAAATTGTGGCGTTTCAATTCCGCCACTTGGCCCGCCAAATCCTGGGCACGCGTGCGCGAGTCTCGCAGGTCGGCCAGCAGCTGTGCACGGCTCTCCTTTGTTTCTTCGGTCTGGAATTGCATGCGATCCAACTGCTCCGTCACTTGCGCCCTCAACTCGTCGACCTGCTCCATTGTCTCTTGGTGCACGCGGCGCAGCTCTTCCAATTCGATGGACGTTGCAATGTGGCGGTCGCGCTCACGCGTGTTGGCAATCGTGAGCAGTTCCAGCTGCTGCATGCATGTCAGGTGCTGGTCAAGCGAGGTGGAGAGCTCAGCCTCGGACGCAGCAAGTCGCTGCTCCAAATCCAGGATGCGCTCTTTCGATGAGCGACCGCCAGCTGTTGGCGTGTGTGGTTCCTGGCCGTTCGAGTCAATTGCTGTTGCTGCTGCTGTTGCTGACAAACTGCCCCTCGAGAGCGAAGCAATCTCAAATGCGCCGCTTTCGTCGTCTGTTCGATCCAGGGAGCGAATTGCACTCTCAGTGGCCTGATGTTGGAGCTGCGACTGAACTTGCGCCGCAGTGACACGCGCTTGCAACAGCTCGTGGCGGCTCGACTCCAGCTCTGCTTCAAACACAGCCTCCTTGACAGCCAGATCATCACGAGCCGTCTGTGCATCCAAACGCGCTTTTGCATAGAATTCGTTGATCATGTCCAGCTGGGTTTGCAAAAACTCGCTATGCTGAACGGTCTGCACGAGCTGGGCTTCGGCATTCATTCTAGCTTCGCGCTCGGAGGCAATCTGGCCAGCCGCAATAGTGAGCGCAATTGCGTCCAGGTTGGCAGGGCGGGCCACAACCGGCTCGGCCACGACCGCGACGACAGCAACCGATTCCGAATCCGATTCGCCATTCACCTCAGTTGTCAATCCACCAAGGTGCTGAACAGTCTCGCTCAAGATGCTTTGAGCGTCTTCGCTGCCGGGCGCGTTCGTTTGGCCCTCCTCTTGCAGCTCATCTAGAGTGACGTCGACCAGATTGGACGAGGAGGTGATGGATGCAGAGGCGATCGACCCGTTCTCGGCGCCGGAAGACAAGGCGGCGCTCAACGAGCGCGTGGCGGCGACAAACGATGCTAATCCACGAGCGAGCTCCGACTGCGCAGGGCTCAGTTCCGAAAGTTCATCCAGTGCGGTTGTAGCAATGCCGGTTGTAGCGGAGGGTTCGCCGTCACTTTGCACGGTCTGCTGCTTGGTTGCAAGAGTTGCCTCCAAAAGCTCAACCTTCAACTCGAGCTCTGCAATGCGAGTCCGAGCAACTTGAGCAGCAGCGACGGCTCTTTGGTTTTGAATGTCTCCGTGGCTTGTCACTTCCTCGAGCTCTTGGCGTAGTGTGCCCGCTTCCGCTTCCAACTGCTTGACGAGGCTGGCACGAACTGCACAGAGAATGGAGGCAATGACAGCATACGCAAGGCACGAAACGAGAGCTGCGGCGAGAAAATCGACTGTTTGCTCAATCGTCAAGTCGTACTGGTCAAAGTACTGTCGGCAAGCGTGGAACAGCAGGATTGGGCGAACCGGTCCCAGATGTTTTAGCACCGGCTCTGGGTTGCATTCTTCTGGGTCGAGCGGGTCGTGCGAAAGCTCGACCACAGCGCCAGGGTGGTGGGCTGGTGCCGGCAACAGAACCTCTGGTAGCGTCGTCTTTCGTTGCAACTTTTCTTGACACTGGCTCAGTCCAGTATACGAGCGATGCAGAGATGCCGTAGTTTGATGAAGAGCGTGTTGGAGCAAGCGGCTCCGCTCAGACTCGCGTTCAAGCTCGGCTCGAAGTCGAGCCAACGGCAGAGCACCCGCCACCAACGACAGAGGTTCAGGGGCTGCTTCGGTCTGCTCGGTTACGGACTGCACCAACCCTGCTGCCCCTGCCGTCGGAGTCGGGAGGCCAATGTGCTCAACAAACCGGTTCACCTGCGACAAGGCGGGCTGCGCGTCTTCGTTCGCCTCGCTGTCGGCGGCTAGATCGGACGGGTGCTCATCAGTGCACAAATCCACTAAAATCCACTGGCTCGGCTCGCTTTCAGCTGATTCGGCGCCCGTCGTCAGTTGCAGCGCCACTGTCAGCTGCACGTTGAACAGCGAGGATTGCAGTTGCGACTCCTGGTCGGAAGTTTGAGCGGGTTGGCTGGACCCAGTGCGGGTAGCAGAAGCATATCGTGGCTGTTTGAAGTACTCTACAGGGATGAGCACGTCGGTCGAAGTGGACTGGGGTTGAGCATCGAAGCACGGCAAATCGAGTCTGCGGAATGGATGCCTGGCACTCGATCGCTTTACAAACAAAAGGGGACGAAAAACCAAAAAAATGGAGCAAGTGAATTTGATTGATTCACCCCATCTGAGTAAATCTGAGCGCAATCTGAGCGGAAAATTGGAGCGTCGGGTTTACCTCGAACAATGAAAAGCAGCCTGACTGCAGTGCGCCTTGCTCGAGCCCGCCATGGCCGATCGACACGAACAGCATCTCGAATGTCCCATCGTCAGAGCCCAATCCCGCCGGTGCCTGCAACGACGCGTCTGCGAGCGACGCTGTCCCAGAGTACAGCAAAACCCGGCTCGAGCCATCGTCGTTGGCGCTGTTCCACTTGACCTGGAATGCCACCGGCTGCGACAACCCAGCAACACGCAGACACGCACACACATAGGCAACATCAATGAATCAAGCACAGTGAGCCGGCTGCCAGTGGATGAGCGTCCCAGAACTGCGATCATCATGGCGCATTCCCGCTTTCACTCGTGTTACTGTTGCTGTTGTTACTGTTGTTTGTTACTGTTGTTTGTTACTGTTGTTGCTCTTTACCTGGACGGGTCGCGTGACGGTCGGCGGCAGAATGAACGGGACGACGAGCGCCAGCAATGCCAGCCAGTACTTTTGCATTAGAGAACAATGAAAATGAAAAAAAAAAAAAAAAAAAAAAAAAAAAAAAGAAACTGAGCAGCAATGCAAATGTATGGAGATCTGGATCAATGCAGTCCAATACAGTACACAATGGTGATGGTTGATTCACTTGTGGATTGATTTGGCTTTGTCTAGGATTGCTCACGAGTGTCATGGATTGACCTTGGTAGATCTACAGTACACTTTGTCCTCCTCCCTCCCATCCGTCGTCTCAGGTACACGGTCAACCCGATCGCTCTTGATTTCGACAAACACAAAGCACAAAGCAATCCATCTTTTTTTTTTTTTTTTTTTTCATTTTTCTTTTTTTTCCGTTTCTTAGATTTTTTGCATTTCCCCAATTCCTTCCTTCGAATGCAGCCGCAGCACGCAGTTGGCTGGGTTGCAGTCGCCCTTTCGCTGCTCTTTGCCGGCAAGTCACTGCAGCCAATCCCGGCACCACCCAAGGTAGTCACGAGCGGTCGACAGACAGCCGCGAGAGAAGTGAAAGTGCCGTCGGAGAAGCATTCCACACACGCTTCAATGTTCCAGCATTGGATTGGGACTTCATGGTCCGAGACTGACCTTCATCCGACTGCTGGAAACCCCCTTTGTTTATATGTGTGTGTGTTTGTGTGTGAATCCTGCAGCCGGTGGCGTCGCCAATGCAGTTCCAGCCAAGCCAGGCGCTGCTGACGTTCCAGACGGGTTTGCGCGCGGCAGAGTACTCGTCCGAGTTCCTCGCTTCACGCGTCTACAACTGCTCATGCAGAGTCTTCCAAGTGAGTCACTCTTTTGGTTTTGTTTGGTTTTGCGTCTTGCGTCTTGTTGGGGGGGGGGTTGAAGTGCCCTAACCCTCACCGATCACCGATTCGGTCACCTTTGAACTTGAACCGCGCGATTCATATGGCTGTTGTTTTTTGTTTTTGTATCATTGTTGCTTGAAAATAGCTACAACTGGCACAGAATCAATGGAATCCGACGGGTCCGGGCGCAGAGTCGCTCGACAAGCCACCATCAACGTCGGTCGGCGGTAACCATAATGACGACCAGCAGCAGGACCTGCGATGGGCTCCATCGGCAGTACTGTCGTCGTACTCGGTCGGCGCAACGTCCTTGTACGTGACGGTGGGTGCGCTTGAACCGGGTGCAACGTACCAATTCCGCGCGTCGTACATGTGTGTTCATGGCGAAGGACCTGCTGGTCACCCGAGTGCTGCGATTCAATTGCCATTGTCGATAGAGCCAGAGCAACCAGCAGATCCAACTCCAACGAGTAACGTCGTCCCATTGGCAAGCGAGGCAGAGCTCAAGGCCGAATCCGAAAAAGTACAATCTCAACAACGCGAGGAACTGGACTCGTTGACCAAGGAAAACGCCATTTTGCGGAGTCGCATCATTCAGCTGGAAAGCATGCTAGAAACGGCATCGAGTGCTCTTGCACTTGCGCGGGAGGAGCTGGAGCAGTGCCAGTTGCTTCGTGATCGAGCATTGACTTGTCCCGAGTGTCCAGCTTGTCCGGCGCCGATTCCATGCGTCTGTGCCCCTCCGCCCTCGTTGCAAACGCAACTGCTGGGCTTTTTGAAAGGGCTGGCAAGTCCTTCTGCCGACACAGAGGACGAGGACAGCCGCAAGCCCAAAGCGCTTCATCGCCGCTCGGAAGTTCTCATGACCGGCGGCGTTCTTCTGCTGGTCGCACTATTCTTGCTTGCCAAATTGACTTCAAAGCCGCGACCCGGCTCTTCAAATGCGGAGTCCGTTGAACCCACGCAAGTGGCTGGGCTGTTGCAGCCAACCTTCTCCCAACAGCATTCTTCCTCGTTGCTTCCTGTAGCACAAGACGACATTGACCAAGAGTGTGCCACGAACGCAGCTGTCTTGGAATTGGAGCGGGGGCACGAGCTTCAAGTAGCCACGCTGAAGGAGCAGCATGCAGCAGAGTTGGCCAAAATTGAGAATGCAATGGCCGAATGCCAGCAAGCACGCGCGCACGAGTCGGCCGCTGCTGACAGCAAGCTTGCTGAAATCCAAGTAAAGCATGATGCGGCTATGGAGGGACTCCGACTTCAAGTACACGCCGAGGCCGCTGCCCAGAAAGCGTCGGAGGTGGAGGCTTTGACAGCCGCTGCCACAAAGAGCGAGCGGGCAATGCAGCAACGCCACATTGCAGAGCTGGCTGAGGCCAACCAAGCCAGTCAAACAAAGTGGGACACTGCGCTGCAACGTTTGACGGAGCAGCATGCCGCCGACATCTCCTCCATGAAACAGCAACTCGAGGAGGCTGCAGAAAAGCAGTGTCAAGCGCAACTTGCCGCGTTGGAAGCAGCACATCAAGTCAGGTTGGGCAACGCCGTCTCTGCTGCCAGCAAAGCGAGCCTGGATGCACAGGAAATAATCCATCGCCAAGAGCTCGATCAAGCACGGATTACCTCGAATCAGTCGCACGAAATTCATCTCGCAGAATCCTTGAAAGCCCAAGAAGAGCAGCTTCGAGAGGCCTTTGTGCGAGAACTGGCAGAGTCGCTTGCCAAGCACACTAGCGAGCAAGCCGCCGCTGCTGCAGAGCGTGAGAATGAGCTGCAGCATCAATTTTCGCTACGCATCACCACGCTAGAGCAAAATTTTGGTTTGGCGGGCGTGCTTTTGAGCCAGATTGAAGCACAAGTGGAGGCCCAGTTGGTAGCGGCAGCCAGCACCGCCAACCACGAGACCCGGTCCAATCTGTCGACGAGCGAGCCGATTGTCGATGATACCATCATGCAAGCAACTACAATGCATCTCATTCGCATGGAAGAGCTACCGCTTGAGCAGCGGATTGTCAGCCCTGTCGTTGAGACGAGCCTGCCAATCTTGTCTGCGTCTAGCAACATTGCTCAAGCGAGTTCCACCCCAGCTATTCACCTGCATGCTGTTAGAAACACCAGTGACGACTTGCAAAACGAGCGCGTTGAATCGGCCGAGTTCCCGCCAATGACACCGACAGGCAAGACTCGTGCCTCTTCATTTTCTTCTCCGAATGGCTATCCGTCGATTCGACACGACGGCGGCACTGATGCCGGCTCCAGTTTGAGCTCCAATCTCAGTGCCAGTCAGCCCGATCTCAGGGAGCTGTCGCGTTCCGCCAGTCCCGACCGATCCGAGGGAGCTCGAACGCCCCAGCCGCCCTTCCGCCCGCGCGTGCCCTCCGACACTAACAACTTATTCCGATCAGGGGCGCGTGTTTTTGTTCGTGATAGTCCTCACTCCTCGCTCAACACATCACCAAACTTGCCATTTTATTCGCCGTTGCCTCCTGGTGTTCCGCGGCCTCTGCTTGACAATGCGCAGCCCAGCAAGGAGCCAGCGTCCACAGCTCAGTCATCGTTGGATACACCTGCCGCATTGCGGCCTCGCGTATACTCGCTGCCTTCCTCACAAGTAGCCCGTCCATACCGCTCAGGTTCAAGCTACTCAAATCGTTCGAGTTATGTCGCCCCATCCCCTCCGACCAGTTACAGCGAGAGCCCAACCTCGCGCCACTCCTTTGTAAGCCCGTCCAAGGGCTCGCACGGGACGGCAACGCCAACAGATGTGGAGGTAGTACCCCCATGCCCCAAGTGTCCGAGATTGTTGGCGCTTTTGCGGCACCATCACGTGCCCGTCTCAGACGCGCTTGCGTCTGGCATTGCGGATGATGTCCGCTAGTGCAGCACATTCCGTTGTTTTGTTGTGTTTTGTTTCTACTAGTTGCTTTTTTTTTTTTGCTTTTTTTTTTAAGTTCGTTTTGCGATCAGTTTGCTCCCGTTTCGTGTTGTCGTTATTTTGCAATTTTCAGTTTTGTTTTGTTTTGTTTTTCAGTTTGCTTAGAAAAAAAAAGGTCTTGCGGTGATAAAGGTGGTGGTGTTGCGGAAACACCGATTTGTATTCGAGAGGGGGTGCAAATCGGGGATAGATACTTACCTGACACAGGGCAGCGTAGAAATTCACAGGTCGGGTAGCGTTGCGTTGAGCAAATCGACGAGAGTGATTTCGCAAAAGGAGCTGCAATTGCACAGCAAAGCCATCACAAAACACAACCGCGCAGGTTGGATGAAGACCATCAAGTGTACAGCTTGCTGCCTATAGGTCGTGAAACAACATGGGTCAGTCCCTCCGTTTCATCCAATATCAAAACCTGCAACACACTAAAACCAACTGAACGACACCAAGCGACACTGACCCGCTTGCAATGCGCTGGGGCATGCCTATTTCTTGGTTTCTGGACCAAAACGTCTGGTTCACTTCAGGACGGATTGAATGGTCTGCAGTCCTGCATGAAGACGATGTCTGCGCAGAGCTCTGGCTCTCCCAGCAGCGAAAGAATGCAAGTGCAGCACCTTTTTTCGAGTCTGAATCGTATTTCTCGTAAAAAATAAAATCCAAATGGGAATTTTAACGGATGCGGTCCTTGATGCCGACGGAGGTGGCAATGGCGGCAGCCAGCGAGGAAGGGTTGAGCTGGCCAGCGCACTTGGAGAGGACGCCAGTGGACTGGTTGGACTTCTTGGCGGCGGGGGCCGAGGCGAAGCACTTCCAGAAGCGAAGAGTCTCGTCGCTGGAGGCCGACACAACAGTCTCACCGTCAGGGGACATGGCCATGTGAAGAACGCGACCTTGGTGGCCGTTGAGCTCGGCAACCATCTGGAGGGTGGGGTACTTCCAGATCGTGAGGCGGTTGCTGGGCAGGCCGTGCGACGCGACAATCTCCTTGTGGTTCTTGGACCACATGAGCGAGGAGATCTGGGCACCAGTGTCGATGACGTTCATGAGGGCGCCGTTGGCAGTGTTCCAGAAGCGGATGTGGCGGTCAGCAAGGCCGGCGCCAGTGGCGAGCAGGTTGGCCTGCATGGGAGACCAGGCCAGAGCCTTCACGGCAGCACCGTGGCCTTCAAGGCTGTGGGCGGGGGTCGAGCTGGAGAGCGAGGTCACGCCGTCCCAGACAAAGACAGAGTTGTCGTTGCCACCGCTGGCAAGCTGAGTGCCGTCAGGGGACCAAGAGACGTTGCAAACAGCGCCAGTGTGAGCAGAGTAGGTGCCGACGTGGTGGTTGGGGAGGCGAACGTCGTGGTTGTGGATGGCACCAGAGGTCGAGCCGCTGGTCAGGATGTGCGAGCGCCACGACAGAGCGGGAACAGAGCCCTGGTGACCGACCATGTTGCGGATTTGCTTCTCGCGGTTGACATCGTAGATGGCAACGCTCGAGTCGCTCGATCCGACAGCAAGGTAGTTATCAGCCTCGCTCCACTTGAGGGAGGTGACGTGGGCGTCGTCCTTGAGCTCGAGGAGACGGCAGATCGAGCCGCTCGAGGCGTTCCAGACGTAGACGCTGTTGGACAGACCGACAGCGAGGAGGTTGTTCGAGTTCCAGTCGAGGACGTTCATGAAAAAGTCGTCGTGCATGCCGGGGGCATCAAGAGTCTTCTCGGGCACCTGGGGAACGACACGCATGGTCTGCTTGGTCTTGCCAGTCACAGTGCGAGCGCTAGTGGCGTTGGCATCGACGGTCGTCAGGGGGAGCGAAACAACCTTCTGCTTGAGAGCGAGAATGCTGGACTCGGCGGCCTCGCTGAAAAGGAGCTGGGACATCTCGGCACGGCTGCGCTTGCGCGAAGGGGAGGACTCGGCGGCGGCAGCGGTGGCGACAGGGGAGGCCTCAACCGACGCGGCTCCCTCGACGCTCGAGGCAGTGAAGGGAGAGTCGCGGAGCAGGTGGAAGTTGCTCAGCTCGAGGTCCATCGAGTTGCGGTTGGCAATGAAACGGTCGGCGCCAGAGCTGGGGCGGCGGCCAGTCGAGGTGCGGGAGCTGCCACGGCTGCCCATCGACATGGCAGACACGTTCAAGGATGCAGATGCGGGGGTCTGCGGGGCAGAGGTGGCAAGGAAGGAGGAATCGGCAAGGAAGTTCATGGTTGAAATCTGTTTCAAAAAAAAAAACGTTGTTGTTTCACGCAAAACGAGAAGCGGGAGAGGTAGAGTTGAAATGGATGAAAGGGAGGGAAGAAAACAGAGGAGACAAGCAAAAGCGCGCTTGGTAAAAGTGAAAGCAGGTCGCGTGGTGGAAAGAAGAAGAAGAAGAATTTTGCGGATCTCGAAGAAAACACAAAAGTGAAACAAAAAAAAAGACGTTTGTTTGATTCAAAAATTTGAAAAAAATAAACGGCTAGCAAATCGTTTCAGTGATGAAGGAGCAGCGTAGCAGGGTTGCAGATATGAAATCAGCGTGTTTTGGGTTTTGGCGTGTGACGCGAGTAAAGAAGCGTGTGAAGCTGTGGAAGCGAAAAGTTGGAGCTTTGAAGAAAGGCGCGAAGCGTTTGTTCGAAGTTGTGGGGGTTTTCTCAAAAGAGAGTGAACTGAAATATATTTGGATGGGAGTGAAATCAAGTAATTCAATGGTACGAGAAAACCGTGAAAAAGGCGTGCAAGAGTTTTCAAGGAGGTACAAATGGTTGGGGCCTGCGACAAATTCAAAAAACAAACACACAAATGGAACCAACCGAAGCCGAACGGTGGTTGAACAGAAGTATCAAACAGGTTCTGAGAATCACACCACTTCGCAGATCAATCCGTTTGATGATGATGATACTGTAAGAGCTCAGAGAATTCTCGCGCAATCCGTTCTTGATTTTTTTTGTTGCGTTTTGTCTTTTTCAACTGGCGCCTATGTCTGAGCATCTTCGTGTTCCAGTCTTGTTTTGTGCTGGTCCATCCAGAATGTTCAAAAAGAGCAGCCAATCACGACCGTCGAATCTCCGACGACGAGATGGCGATGAAGACGAACCAGCTACGGCGGTCCCATCCACCGCAGCTGCTGCAGCAGAACGACGCGTGCGCAGCCAAGTCGACGACGGCGCGAACGACAGCGACGAGGATCCATCCAAGCTCAAAACGGCAACGAAACAACCAGCCGCGGACGACGCGGACGACTCGGACGATGATGCATCCTCAGACGACGATGGCGAGGACGGCGATGACAGGAAGGCTGGCCATGTCGCGAAACGCGCGCGGCTGGTCACGACGGGCCTCGACGCAGGCACGTCGTCGACGTTGAGCGCAGCGTCATCGAGCGACGGGAGCAAGCTGGCGACGCCGTTCGAGGCAGGCAGACAGAGCCTCGAGCAAAGGAATGGTGGTCCTCGGATGTACAACGAAGCGGATCCAGTGCTGCGGAAGGGCGAAGCGACGTCCACGGGGCTGCGAGGGTTTCGCGCGGCGCCAATGAAGGCGGCCGCCAACATTCGCACAACCGTCCGGTTTGACTACCAGATGGACGTGTGCAAGGACTACAAGGAGACTGGATTCTGCGGCTTTGGTGATACGTGCAAGTTTATGCACGATCGTGGCGACTACAAGACGGGCTGGCAGCTGGACAAGGAATGGGACGAGCACAAGAAGGCTGCAGACAGCAAGCCAAAGACGGGTGCAAAAGAGGTGTTTACACGCGATGATGACTTGCCGTTTGCTTGCCACATTTGCCGAGGAGATTTTGTCAATCCCGTGGTGACGCGGTACGTATTCGAGCTCGAGCTGGTGGTGGGGGGGGGGTTTGTTGTGAGCTAGAACTTGTTTTGCTTGGAGTTTTGGCTGTTTTTGCTCACTTCTGGTCGTCGTCCCGTCATGCTGCAACCAACCTCCAGGTGTAAACACTACTTTTGCGAAAAGTGCGCGCTTGAGCACGCGAAAAAGTCGAGCCTATGCGCAGTCTGCCAAAGCGCCACCAACGGCATGTTCAACCGCGCAAAAGACTTGGCAGACGCTCTCAAACGACGGCAGAAGCGACAAGATGATTCATCGCAAAAAGAGCACGAACAAGCCATGCGCCGCTCGGCGGGAAACGGAATCGCCAACGACGACGAGGATGAAATTGAATTTTGAGATGTGGTTTTTTTGGTCAATGTTATCTTTTTCTTTCCATTCATAACAACACGATAATCAACACGTTTTTGATAACTGGCTGCGCTTGCTGCAACTAGCGAAAGGTCTGCTCTACTTCTTGTTGGCGTTCTCGTTATACTTTTGAAGCAGCAACTTCTTGAACTCTGTGTTGAAGCAAAGTGATGAGTCGAACGATCGGATAAGGGAAATGGTTGCAAGAGGGCAACGCAGTGTGAAGTTGTACCTTCTTGATTGGCCCACAAACCTGCTGCTTGGCCGTTCAGAGGGCTCTCGTTATTTGGCTCTACACGGGCAACAGCAAATCAGCCAAACAGTCGAGACGAAACGTAATTTTGGCTTCCGAGAATCACTCACCTCCGAGCAAGCTTTGAATAGACAGCAGAATAGTGCGAACGTCGTAGAGTGCAGACCATTTGTCCTAGAGTTTGCCGTTCGTTGCAGCACAGTGAGCACCCCAAAAGGAGAACAACAAAACAACAAAGCCATACTTTCCCCCCCCCCTCGACCTCGAGCTTGTCCTTACCTTCAGAATATCCAAGCAAATGTTGCCGCGCTCATCCACGTTGGGGTGGAAGCAGGGTGTCTCGAACGTGACAGTGGGGGCGTTGAACGGGTACGCGCTTGGGAACTTGAGCAAAAGCTTGTAGCTCAGACCCTCATACACCTGGATGAACAAACTCAAAAAGATGAGAGATCGCTGACGTATACAATGCTTGCGAACGTGCGTTGTCACATACAGTGCCGCTGACGCCCTTGATGGTGCCAATCCAGCTAAACAGCGAATCTCCCTGTGGGAAGGCCGAAATGCCCAAATCCGCCGCGCCCTGCACGAAAATACGAAACAAAATATGTCACATCGCAAATGTTAGTACTCGTCTGATGATTCGAACGACCATCACAGCATCCAGCAAAGCTGGTTTCAAAAAAAAAAAAAAAAAAAAAACAAAAGAAACGGCTCCGACGTTTGGCTTTTTTCAAAATATAACGGCTTTTGCTGTTACCATGAGTTGCATGAGTTCTTGCTGGAGTCTGATTTCGCGACAATCAAAGAAGAGCAGCGACATCAAAGAACGGCGAGCGAGAGAGACACACACACACAGTCAGTGGTCAGTGGAGAGTGAGCAAGCAGGCGAAACTGATGACAGTGTGAAACAACTCGGCCGTCTCAAATGTACAAAGGCAACGAGCTGCACCTTCGCGTGACGGCATGGCCATCCATGGTGGACGCTGTGCTCTTGAGCTTCGGGTTGGTGGCCGTGGCGGATGCGGTGCGTCGCGGTGCAGTGTTTTGTGACGCCATCAAAAACAGCAACAAAAAAATTAAAATAAGCTGAAAGGTTGAAAAAACCAAGAGTGCAAAAGAAAGAGGCGAAAGTTGCAAATGGAGAAGAGTATTGGATTAGGTTGGGAATTGGTGGATTATTAAGGAGAACAGAGAGTGACTTGAAGCCGGCGCGAGGACGAGTTCTACTGCCGCGACTTGCACTGTTTGACCGGATCAAACAAGCCTTCCAAAACACTTTTTCATACTGTAGGGATTTCGCAAACAGTACAGAATCCTTGACAATATGATCCGTACACACACAATCGGCTGGATCCTGGAAGAGGGAACGGCTGTAGATCAACTTTCGCAGTGGAGCTCGTATCCACCAAAAAGTCTTTATTCATCGATCAGCTGCTTCCATTGAGGAGCTGTACCTTGATCGTCTCCTTCAGCCCAGAGTGTATTGCGTGAATGAAAGCGATTCCACCCCACAGCCACAATCTGCAGTTGCTCGATACCGAGCAACTGCGAAATCTTGGACTTCCAGTACAGCAAAGTGCAGCGATCACACACGTCAAAATAGGTGAACAAGAGTAAAGTAAACTCCTCATTGCGACGAGTATTGAATGGAATGTTGTCGATGTGCAATGCCAGACTGGCAAGAGCAGCCGGGTCAGTGTCCGAGACCAATTCGAGCTTCTTTCCCTCATAGATTTCGGAAACGATTTTGCGATATTGGTCGCTGAGTTTAGACCCGTGATCTTCAGCACTGCCGCTTGCAGAAACAGCGGAGCTCACACTGGCACTCTGAAAGGGGGTCGAATGCGGGTGGATGCTCCGTAACACTGTGAGCACCAGGCTTGCGTCTTCGCGTGATTTTGGCGACCTCATCAAGTACCAACCAGAGTCAGAGTTGACGGGTGGTTCCTTTTGCAAAAACATGGCACGCGGTCTTTGCTGCCTCGCGTTGCAAAATTGCAAAGAGAGCGACAACGGCGAAACCGCTTGTGAAATCGTGTCGGTCGCCGAGCTAGAAGCTGTCAAAGTCATCTGATTCGAAGAGCGGGTAGCTGGCTCAGAAACCTGGACTGACGAGCTTGGTGAAATCGTGTCGGTCGCCGAGCTGGAAGCTGTCGAAGTCATGTGATTCGAAGAGCTGGGAGCTTGCGGGCGTGGTGTAGCGCGCCCTGACGAGCTTTGTGAAGATGTGGATCCAACGACAGTTTCCGGGCCCCAAAGACTGTAGACGCATGCTTGAGTTTGCTGTCCTGAAAGTTGAACCAGGTGAATGCTCAATGCATTGCCAAGGTCGTTGGTAGCTGGTTGCAGCAGTTTGACGCCCGTTCCGCATTGCTGAGAAGCCTCGACATGGTCTTTTTGTGCGTTCTCCAGCCAATATCTCAGCGACTTTTCTTGTTTTGTCGTTATGGTATCTTTCCCAAATTGTGACAAGGCTGTAGTCGCGGCTTGGAGGTGCTCGGCAAGCACTTGCAGGATGCACTGCAACTGACTGTGATCCAAAAGTTTTGGAAGCATGCGTCCTGTGGTTAGCCCGAGGGCGTCCGATAACGCGTTCCAAATTCGTGTCGCATGCGGCGAGTTAGAGCTTGAAAGCCACTTGTTATCGCGCATACATGTGGTCAGGGTCTCGCGGAGTTTCTCCAGCACAGTGTAGCGAGAGAAGTTTGATCGTAGGTACTGGTCGAAAGTGCAAAACTCGAAAAACGTTTTAGATTGGAGAGCCGTGCGTTCTTCGTCTTTCAACGTCTTCCAATGCAAGACCTTCGAGCGCCGGGGTTGAAGTTCTGGTGGGATCTCGGCACGTGGTGTCGGTTCGTCAGGTTCAGCTGTCTCCGTTCGAGAACAGCAAGGGCACAAACTTGACCAAACCATTTGAAATCGCGAAGAAAAAAAAAAAATGAGGGGTTTTCTTTTGGGGAGCTCATTTTCTTTTTTATTCGTTTATTTTTCAAAAAAAAAAAATGTCTTTCAACGATTTCACTCTCGCCGACCTCGCGTCGACAGACCCGATCACAAAAGCCCTTCCATTGACGAACGAGTCCCATCCAGGCAAGCTCGAAGTGCAGAGCATACGCAAGCTCGATCGCCAAGCAGTACAAGTGGGGCTGGTGCAGCAGCTCAACATGTCGACTCCCCTTGAGCAGGTTGCCGTGAAGCGCCTCTTGGACCTCGTATTCAAACCGAGCCCGTACCAATATGACCATACAACGGGTCGGCTTGACATGAGCCAGGGCAGGGTTTTGTCGCAGGCGCTTCGGGCACTGTCCTTTGCACTTCCTGGGACGTTCATTGACAATGTTTCTCAGCTTCTGCTGCAGGACAGGGAAATAGCGTCAGTCATCACGCTGGATCTCCATGGCAATTCCCTTCGTGACGAAGATCTTCCAACAGTCGTCCAGATTGTGCGGCTATGCCGTCCACTGATTGTCAACCTACGCTCAAACCGCTTCGGTTACGGTTATCCCAACCCTGAAACAGCCGAGTTGCTTTGCCAGATTTGCAAAGTGGACAGTGTCGTGTTCGTGGACATTGCTGGCGAGATGTTCACCGGCAGCGATTGGCAGCCCCTGTATCAAGTATGGGAGCGTCACCTGTGGACAAAGCTAGTGTTCATTCCTCTTCACTGGCTTGCAGGGCATGACTGGGAGCAGACAGATATCTGTGGCGAGCATCGCACTCTTTCCAAAGAAACGCATCGTCTGTACTACTACTTTCAAGAGTACGAACCGGTGTTTGATCAGCAACGTCTGGCAAAAGTGCTGAGCGACGGGTCCGAAGAATGGACACAGGCTCGCGCTGTGCGGTCGTAAATCGTCTGCGAACGGTTCTGATTGAGTGCTGTATATTTGAGCGCGTGCATCTTACAATACAAGGTCATTTTCCGCATGACTATTGGGGCTGAGTGGCATTGTTGAGGGAGATGCCGGTTTCCTTCCCCAGTCCGAAAAACGCGTGCCTGAATCCACCTCTTCCTATGCTCCCTCATAATTGATAGATCCGACCTAAAAATGCTGGACAACTGGAATTACCATCTGACGCAACATTCGCAAGGTTGAAATACAGTTGTCACTCCTCTTCTATTGGATGCGACGCAGGGACGCGCTGCTTGTGCCAGGCACACGGCTCGGCAGCAACAGCAGCACCAACCATCATCATCATCATCATCATCATCATCATCATCATCATCATCATCATCATCATCAACAACAACAACAACAACGCCATAATTCGACTAACACTTGGAATAACAATCACGATGAGTGCACGCTGGTGCGCGTTGCCTGCTCAACAGCGTCCGATCGCCGAACACGGCAGCAGAAGAGTGCCGCGAGTGCGTCCGCGGGTCTGACGGCATCCCTGCGACGGCAGCTCAATCCAGCGCTCGTGCTCGTGCTCGTGCTCCTCCTCCTCCTCGTTCAAGCCGCGCGAGCACAGCAGCAGCAGGTGCGCAACGAAACGACATTCACTCCCCTCGTCCCCCCCCCTCCGTCCCCCCCACCTCTCTCCCTGACTCTTTCTCACCCACTGCTCGGCTTGCTTCACTGTGCACTTGCACAACATGAATCACTCGGCCTCGCACACAAGCCATTCCCCTCGCCTTTTGGGGTGATCTTTTCGCTTGTTTCCTATGTTACATCCATTGCGCTTTTCTTTTTCTTTTTTTCCTTTTTTTTTTCTTTTTTTTTAATCCTGACAACCCTCATGAGGCTTTGGTCTCGCTGGTGGTTTCAGGTTTGGTATTCTACGCTTCTCTCTATGTATTATGCTCGTGAGGGGGGGGTTCCTCTCTCTGCCCCGCCCGAAGAATGGAAGCAAACACATCGTTTCGACTGTATTTTTTCAATGTTTAGATCTGAATCGATTTTTGCACTTTGTTCTCGTTTTCGTTCTTCGTCTATTCCAACGTTTTCGTGTTTTGGCTTGGTGTGGAAGTGGTGCGACGTCGTCTTTGAATGTTTGAGCTATGAGGAGGTCGGGGGGGGGTGGGAGGGGGGGGCGTGCTTCAAAAACAGAAGGACCCGGGCCCCATGCATTGAATCGATCACTTCGTCGTGTCACCCATTGAGTTGTGTGTGGTGAATCGGTGCAAGCGCGGGTGTGTATAGACTGCAATGCATGCATTTGGTGGGGGGGGAGAGATTGGCGACCAAGAGTCGTGCTCCCATGGGAGAGCGGAGAGCGCCAACGTTCTTGTAAATCGATCGAGGCTGGACTGTAAAAATGGTAAAGGACACCCGCCCACCCAATTTCATACAGCTATCCATATCAGCAAACATGTCGAATCTAATCTCGTCCGTCAAATCAAATTGAGCAACTCTCCTTTTGAACATTTTGCTTGAATGCACACGCTTTCGAGTGGAGCACGCAACGCTCTGTCGCTCACTGGGTGACTTCCTCGTGGTGTGTTTGCACTCTCTTGTAGCCACGACTGCTGGGCCCGAGCAATCTGCAGCAAATTCTCGAGCAGAAAGTTCAAGAAGTCACCCAAACGGGCAAGTTATCCGAACCAAGTGCTGCTAGTAGCTGGGTACGGGCGTTTGTTTTCAAGGCAATTGAAGCTTTATGAAGCTTTATTTGTTGTTGGGTAAATCCACGCTCACTGTTTGCGTTTGCGGTGGTTTGTTTGTCGTTCGTCTCCAAACCAGACGCCTCTACATATTGCATCCTATCTCGGCAACGCCGATTTGACCCTGTTCTTTCTGAATCATGGAGCGCGCACAGATGCCTTGCACATCACAGCACGGCACGCTCGTTCGGGTAAGAGTGGGCTTTTTGTTGGTGAATATAGCCTGTCCTGTATCTCACTGACTTTGACCCGCCATGCAGCACTCCACTATGCAGTTTTGGCGTGGGATGAACGCAATCGATTGCAGCACGGCGTTTTGGTCAATCCGGCCACAAATTGGACGGCAGTCATGTAGGTCTCCTATTGTTGAACCAACAGATTGAGTTTTGTTGCTTTGCTTGGCTTTTTGTCTGTCGTCGCTCACCGTGGGATTGATTGGACGACCCGCAGTCAACATCTCGTCAACCATGGCGCCTCACTCTCGGTGGTTGACGAACACGGACTGACGCCGCTCCACCACGCTGCCCAAGCCCATTTTTGGGAAGCCATCCCGTTGCTGGCCAGCGAGATCAGCTGCCCCATGACGTCCTATGGCTTGCGCGTCAATCCACCACCAAAGCACACCACTGCTCTGGCCTCGATCAACCCAAACAAGCCTGGCTGGACTGCACTGCACTTTGCCATCTACTCCAAACGATGGTTGATGAGCGTTTGCACATGGATTCTCAAGAGCGCAACCGACCACCCTGCCAGTCAACAAGACGGTTCCCTTCCCGCGGTTTTGCACGACAGTCTTGCTGCACTCCGGCTGACTGTCACCGCGGCGGCGTTGGATTCCTCGAAAGGTAAGCAAATTTCGCCTCAAACACAAAGCTGCTGTTGGTGTGCCTGGATGTTGCACGCGAGCCTCACTCTTGTGTTGGGTGACCGTGTGTGCCTCATGCAGTAAGCTGCGTCCCTGCAGTCTTTCGGGCTGCCATCTTTCGGTGGAATTCGGCGTTCGTGAGCCATCTGGCCTCGCACTGCCCTGCTTCCACGCTACCACGAGATTCGCAAGACTCGGATGGGTGGGCTCCGTTGCACTTGTCTGCTGATGTTGGCGATGAGCAAGGCACCTCGCTTCTCGCATCACTGCTCCGAGCGCAGATGGAAGAGGCCAATCGCGAAGCGAGCGCTCGACGCTACCACCACCACCCCCACCAGGTCGCAGTTTCAGAGCAACAAGACTCGACTCTTGGACCTGCTTCGGAACAAAACCGGGAGTTTGTCACGCGATTGCTACGGTCGGGTTTTACGCCGATGCATTTGGCGATGGCCCGCGGGTTTCCCCAAATTGTCAATGTGATTGAAAGGGTTCTCCAGGGCGGCACAGAGTCGGAGATGACATCCCTTCGATCGCTCGCAACCATCAAGGATTCGTTCGGGCGGCCATGGGATTTGATTGACGTTCGTCGCACACCCTGGTGGTGGTTGCTGTATCCGGCAAAGCCGGCGCCCGTCCCGCCACCCATTGTCACGCCAAGACCGCTCCCTGCCCCGCCGCCCTTGGTATTCCACGGGCTTGCCTGGATCACCGCAAAGGAAAAGACCCAGCCACTGCTTGCGGAAGCTTCAGGACCGGTAGATCTGGTCGTTGAGGATGCCTCGCGCCTGTGCGATTTCGATGTCCGAGACGCCGCACAATTGACGCGCCGACAGTTTGAGCGAAACTACCTTCACCTCCGTCGGCCCTTGTTGATCAAAGGTGGCGTGGCCAACTGGCCAGCAATTGCCAAATGGACCAACGAGCACTTGCTCCGTACGTTGGCTACGTGGATGGGGTTGGGGTTTTTTTTTTTTTTTTTTTGTTCGGCTCTGTGTGTGAGACACTCGTCTGACTTACGCCTTTGTTGCCTTTTTGCTTTTTTTTTTTGTTCATTTTGCGTTAGACGAGTTTGGAGACCGGAAGTTTGTGGCCTCCACCATTCCCTATGCAGCGCAGTACAATTTGCAAGACACACGCATCACACTGCGCGACTTTCTGAACGGCAGTCATGCCACTGGCTCTGAGCAAGGCACCATGGCCCATTGCTGCATTTCCTGTGAATGGATGCCTGCAGACTGGTCTGAGCGACTCACCCGCCTCGGAATCTGCGACAAGTGTGCGGATGCATTGAACCATTCGCACAGCGCGCTGCCCGTTGCCCCAGCACCGCCGCTTTACATTTTTGACAACACGTTTATCAACGCGCCGCCCGGTGTTGCAGGCTCACTGGCTGGTTCCCGGCGACAAGCGTTCTTGAACAACGATGTTGTCGCACCAACCTGGATGGAGGATCATTCCATGCACGCCGCCCAGTTCATGTTTGGACCTTGCCTTTCTGGCGCGCCAGTCCACTTTCATACTGACGCTTGGAACGGCCTCATTCGAGGACGCAAGCGTTGGTTTGTGTTTGCACCGGTAAGTAGATGCTGATGGCCGTTGATCAAAGGGGGGGGGAAATGTGGATCCCCTGCTGTACCGTCGTTTTCTCACTTGTGTGTTGGTGGGTATCTCAGGGCGCATCCTTCATTTCCAAAGAGCCAGTTCTTGAGTGGTTCCGACGAGAGGAGGAGCGGCAACGCATGATTCAAAAACACGGCGAGCATGCGCCAGCCACTTTCCTCGAATGCATCCAGGAGGCTGGCGATTTGATGTACATCCCAGACAGCTATGGTCACGGTGTGATCAATATGCAAGAATCTCTGGCAATAGCGGTCGAGTTTGTCAACCGCGCATAGCCTTGATTTTTTTTTTTTGTTCATCTTCTCCTTCTGGCTGTCACTCACTCGCTCGCTCTCATGCCCATATTTCACACAGTCAAACCCAATTCATTTCTACCTGTACTTTTACTTTGTTCGGGCTCGGACATTGTACACTAATGCAATAAAGCATGCTGTCCGCATTGGATGCGATTAAGATTCGATTGGCATTTGGGAAAAAGAAAACACAAAAAGGCCGGACATTTGCACACGCTGTCAATGCAATCATACTTGGTGGCATTATGCTTGAGTCGACTCTGGCGCAGCGGCGCTGCTGCTGCTGCCGCCGCTGCTGTTGCTGCTGCTGGCTGCGTTCGACCCGCTGGCTCCGGCAGCTCGAATAACAGGGTCTGTGGACAGTTTGGACAAGGATTGAGCGATGAAACGCAAGAGTTAGTACAACGCGCTGAAGGTAAAAACGGGCAAATCATTGAAGAAAAGAAAGCAAGCAAAAGCGAGGAAACGTACGGAAGTAAGGGTGTTGGAGGGCTTCGGGCGCAGTAATGCGTTGCTGCAATACCAGAGAATTAAACAAATGATCAGTCAAAACAAAAAAACAACTAGGACTTGCGAAATCAACAATGAATGAAAAAAGCGAAAATGCTTACGGCGTGATCGTATCGTAGAAGCTTATCGAGCAAATCCAGGGCTTCGGGAGTAATGAAACGCTTGTTATCAGCAGTGACAAACTTATCCCATGATTTGCGGGGATACCGGCCCAGAATGTTGTCGTAGTGGGCGCCCAAGTTGATGTTGTATTTGTCGAGATAGGCGAAAAGCTCGTCCGTGCCGAGGACCTTGGCGATTTTGATCAATTGATCATAGTTATCATGACCATGGAAGAAGGGCTCTTTGCGGAAGATCTGCAGAAACAGCGAGCGGGGGGTCAGATTGGGTGTAGAAGACAACAAAAAAAAAGGGGGGGGAAAAATGGGGGGAAAAAAAAAAACATCTGGGATAGCTCCATCAACAAAAAATCGTCGTGCTCACCATGCTGGCAAACATGCAGCCGAGGCTCCACATGTCAAGCGAATAATCGTACTCCTGGAAGTCGACCAAAAGCTCAGGGCCCTTAAAGTAGCGAGAGGCGACGCGAACGTTATACTCGCGGCCAGGGTGGTAGAACTCTGCCAAGCCCCAGTCGATCAAGCGCAGCTATAGGAAGAAGAAAGAATGATGCGATGAGTCAAAATGGACGGGGAGCAGGCCCAGAAAAGCAAAAAACCAAAAAACGTGACAAAAGTCGGTCCGTACCTGGCGCTTGGTGTGGTCAATCATGACATTGTGCGGCTTGACATCACGGTGCATGATGCCGTTCGAGTGGCAGAAATCAAGGGCCTGCAGCAGAACAAGAAAGTGTCAAGAAACGAACAAAACGTTAGCAAGCAAAACAAAACAAAATCACGCCGAAACACACACTTTGGTTTCTTGTATTTACCTTCACCAGCTCGTACAAGTAGAAGCGAATGTCGTAATCGCTCAGTGTTGGGTACAACACCTTGAAGTCGACGTTGTCGACATGCTCAAACACGAGTGACGGGATTTTGGACTGCAGCACGAAAAAGCAAATGTCAGAACACAACTCCAATCCTCCGCCTCCGCCTCCGCCGCCACAACATCAGCGAGAAAACCCCCTGCAACATGCACTCACCTGCTGATCCTTCACAACATCGTACAACGAGATGATGTTGGTGCCTCCGCACAGGTTTTGGAGGATTTTGATTTCACGCTTGATCTTCTTCTTCTTGACGGGCTTCAAGATTTTGATGACGCACTTGGCGTCGTTGGTGATGTTGATGCCCTCGAACACCTCGCTGTACTTGCCACGGCCGATCTTGCGGACGATCTGGTACTTTTCCTGCGACCTGTCAGTGCAAAAGACAAAAGGATTGAGTAAAAGTGGCTATTCAGTCGCGCGCTCCTTCGCCTTCCTCGCGCCTCCCCCGCTTCAAAGGTAGTAAATCAGTGCGTGCTTTGATTCAAAAAAAGCGACGCTCTGGACTGTGGTTCGTGCAGTGAGCAAAACGAGAGGGGGCCAAAACGAGAGGCCATGCTCTTCAAAGCCATGGCTTCGGGCTTTGTTTCGCCGTCCCGTCAGAGCAGAGCGGGGAGGAGGAGGGGGGGGAGGAAGAGGGTCGCAATGTGTGTCTTTGGGGTGAAGGGGTTGAGTTGTTCGAATGTGTGCTGTTGAGGAAAGACGGCGCGATGGTCGAACAGCCAAGAAAGAGAGAGAAAAGGACGACGGAAAAAAAAAAAAAAAAAAAAAAGGCTACAGAACGAAGCAGCAGAGGCGGACGGAGAGGGGAGAGCGAGAGATGACAGGAGATGCAAAGAGAGAGAGAGAGAGAAGAGTGTAGGATGATGATTCATAGGACATGGCGGCGTCAGACGAGAGAAAGAGCGAGAAGAGAGGAACAAGAACGAAGCAAAAGGGGAAATAAAAAAAAAAAAAAAGAGGCAAGGGAAAAGTCATCCAAAAAAAAAAAAAAAAAAAAAAAAAAAAAAAAAAAAAAAAAAAAGGTCGCGAGTTGCTGGAGCATTGAGAGCGGATGATGGGGACGATGGTGCATCTGTCGACTCACCCCCATTGAATCACAAGCGACTCGTAGTCCCAGTACTCGCGCGGACGGTGCACGTTGACGTCCTTATAGACGCGAGCGCGCGATGTCATTCGAGAACAGAGCAGAAAGAAAGAGAGAAAGGAAAGACTGGAGCTCATTCTCAGACGAACGGGCCTCCATGTCATGTCGGTAATGTACAAGATAGAGTTGGTGATGGTGCATTGAATAATCTTGCGAAAGACAGCTTCGGCAAAAGTGCAGGGATGGGTCAGACTTGGAACTCTTCAACTGTTCGCTTCAACTCCCCACTCCACCTCCCTCCGCTTTCCAAACCGATCCTGAAGCATTCTCACTTGCTTCAGGTAACACTTCCCCTTCACTTTGATTTTAACCAAAACAAAAGCAGCCAAGCATCGATGACTCGACCCAGCTCACTTCTCCTTTCCAACATCTTCCAGCTCTCAAGTGCTCAGCCGCCATTCGCCGACAATGTCGTACGACTCGGCTTCAGCGGCGTCGCTTTCGACACCACTTGCGAACGTTGCACGAAGAGTGAACAACCCTGTATTCCGATGCAAGAAGCCAGGGTAAGCAGGCAAACTGCATTTTGCGTTTGGCTGTTGAAACGCAGCTTCAATCGCTGTCTGAGCCGCCAGATTGGCTGAAAGTTTGGGACCGCCAGCACACTGCTGCAGTGTTCAACGTCGGCACGCATGTTACTGCTATGTGTCTCATTCATTGAGATCTCGTTTGGTTAGATGCTCGTTCTATGGCAATGCGACCTGGCAAGGGTACTGCTCAGCCTGCTACCGCGAAGTCCATGCGACTCCAGTGAGCGCACTCGCGAGCCCTCCACAGCTGCAGCAGTCGCCGTCAATGCACCAGCCGCAGTACCACCACAACTACCACCACCACCAGCAGCAGCAGCAGCAGGCGTCTCCCGTGCACGTGCCGGTCGCTGCTCCTCCTCCTCGAGTAAGTGGTCATCATTGCGCGCGTCTCTGAGTTTGGCTGCATTTCACCCCCGATGATGCGACAATCCTGTGTGCTTGAATGACAATGCCGCTCATTTGAGAAGCATCCCACTTGCGCAGAAACCAACTGCTGCAGCTCCTCATGCAGGCTCCAATCATCAGAACGCCAATACTGCGTACTCGTCGCCGCCCTCGATAGCGTCCATCTTGGGCTCTGCGTCTTCCTCCAGTCCGCCCCAGCAACCGTCCACACGTGCTCCTGTTGTCGACGATGCGAACGCCGATGTCGGGAATATTTTCAACGACGAGTTGCGAAAATCTGGTAACGCTGTTGTTCTGGAAGCGAAAATCGATGCCAAATCTCCTCGCGCGTTGACTCATTTGACACCTGTGCGCTGTGGTAGAAACATCCGAGTCGAGTACAGCCAAGTCAGTGGTAGAACGCGGTGTAGATCGGCTGCTGAAGGCCGGAGCCAGGTGAGCTTTGCAATTCCAGAATCTTGTCTCCGTTTCGCCTGTGTTCTGACCGGAAACACATTGATTTGATATTTGCCGTGGCTACCGCGACATGACTGTGCAGCACGCGGATATTCAACTACCTGCGACGCGGGAAAAAGAGCGGCGAAGACGAAGCCCAGAGTAAATCCGCAAACAACAAGAACGCCTCGACCGAGCCTGCAGAGGAGCCGCCAGCCAAAGAATTTACCTTCCATGACTTTTTAACGGACATGAAGAAGCCGCAGGCCCAAGATCTGGTCATGCAAACAAAGCGGTACGCCGCGACGCTTCTATTTAGCTACATGTTTGCGCGCACCACTCACATGCGTCTTCATTCTCCTCCTTGACGCAGATTCATTGAAAACTTTTCAACGTCGACAGCGCTCAGCAGTGAAGAACAAAGCGAATCTATTCAAATTTTCCTCCAGGTAAGTGTGCGCACAGCAAGCAAAGTACGGTTTTGGATGTTCACTGCTTGCTTGTCCGCTTTTGCAGAACATGGGCAATCGCATCAGCACGCACCCGCTCTGGAAAAATTCTCAACAAGAAGAGCTCGAGAATGCTATTGACGGCATCGAGAAATACGTCATGACGAAGCTGTATTCTCAGTAAGTCGTTCAACACTTGTTTTTTTTTTTTTTTGTTGTTGTTGTTGTTTCTTTGTTTTTCGTTTCTTTTGCTGTGGTCTTTCTATAGCCTCGCTCGTTTTCGTGCTTGCATGTCGCTGACCCCTTTGTGGAATACCAGAGTGTTCTCGCCGTCGTCGACAGATGACACGGCCAAAGATGAACTCATCGACCAGCGCATTCGACGCTTGCGATGGGTGACGCTCGGTCATCTTGGCCTGGACGCAATGGAGCTCAACGAAAAGTGCGACGAGCCTTTGAAGGCCGCAATGCATTGTGAGTGAAAGTCGAGCAAACCGTTTTGGGAACGTGAGCTGGATGCTCATTTCGTTTTTTTCCTGCACCTCTGGGCTTTTCCAGCGCTCTGCGAAATGGATGCCAAGCGAGCTCCTCAAGACAAGGTCGCGTGCATTGTCAAGTGCAGCAAACTTGTGTTTAGTACGGCACACAGCTTTGTTGAGTTGGCGTCGTTCGTCTGTGTTGCTCATCTCGATTTACATTTGTGGCCTTGAACTCGCAGCTATTCTACAAGCCATGGCTGGCGCGTCCCATGCAGCGAGTGCGGACGAGTTTCTGCCTGTTCTGATCTTCACTGTCATCCGCGCGCACCCCGCTCGGTTGCAAAGCAACCTCCAGTACATTTCGCGGTTTTGCAACCCAACTCGTCTCATTTCTGGAGAGGGCGGTTACTTTTTCACGAACATGGTAACGATGGCATGAAGTGTGACAGTTGGTCGCGCGGACAGGTGCGCAGACTCGATTTGGATTTTGACGATTTCGTTCTCCTCCTCCTCCTCCTCCTCCACCAACACCTCCCACTTGTAGTGCTGTGCCGTAGCCTTCTTGGAAAACCTCCAGGCCAGCTCATTCAAGATGGACGAGCAAGAGTTTACCAGGTGAGGCGCAGCATCATCGTGATTTTTGGCAAATGAACAAGAGTTGTTGCAGTCCTCGCAAAGCGGGTGCTGGCTCACTCCTTTTTGCTACCTGCTCACTCTTTCTGCAACAACCAGCCGAATGAACCCAGAGTTTGAAGCGGACTGGGCGATTTTCGCCAATTTGCCCAACGCGCCGAGCGGGCAAATCCAGCACGACAACCTATTGTTGGCGAGCAGACTTGCAACACGCCAGCAAGCTTCCACGCAAAGCCTGAACGACCTTCGCGCAAGTCTGCAAGGCGTCATCCAGTTTTTCGAGAGTTTCGCGCCGCCGTTGTCGCAACCCGTCGCCCTGCCTTTGTCCCAAGAGCCCGTGCCAGCACAGACGGAGTCGAGTGTGTTGCTTGACTCGTTGGCTTGATTTTTGTTCAACCATGCTGTACAGGAATGAACTAAACGGGGGAGCAGCATTGCTCCAAAATTGCATCTCAATAGCTGTTGTCCAATCCACTCCCCTCCCCTCCCCTCCCCTCCTCCCCCTTCTTGCATCCAATGAAACTAGGCCCAGACGCAGCAACAATCATATAAGCAAAATTGTCTATGGTTAAGAACAAAAATAAAAACCACGGGCAATTCCAAAAGAGAGGCAAGTCACAACAACATGTTTAGTTGGCAACAGTGACGTTCTGGAGGCCCTTGAACTCCTTGGTCTCGACAACCTCGACGAGGGTGTAGAGCTTCTCGGCGGACTCCTCATCCTGGTTGCGCTTGCGTTGGAGCTGGACGCGGATGCGGAACGGGACGTTGCGGACACCCTTGGACCAGATGTGGCGGTTAGTGTCGACGGTGAGGCGGACATCCTTGGTGCCCATCATCTTCTGGGCGAACTTGCGGATCTCGTCGCAAGCGCGGGGGGCACGGCGCTTGAAGCCGACGCCGTGGAGGCGCTTGTGCAAGTTAATGGTGTACTCGCGAGTGACGACGTCCTCAACGGCCGTTCGGGTGCGCTTAGCCTTGTTGTCCTTAACCATGATCTGTGGAAGGGTTTTGAGAAGAGCGAGTGGTTCAGAAGGAAGGTGAGAAAAACGAGTGGAGGATGGAAGAGAGAGGGAACACGATCGAAAGGCCTTCTTCTGCCTTGCGTCCTGCCGCCGTTTCGCCACCAGCAACCCCACAAACATGAAATCCTCGCGGCAACCATCCGCGGGGCTGGGAATGACGATGAACGAGGGGACTGCCGAAGCAAGATGCAACGCAATAAAAAAAATAGTGGCCAGAAGCTTTTCTCGCTGCTCTGACGCGTCTGATAGCCAGCCCAAAGCCGCCGCACTGGACCCGGTGGCGTGCCCTCTACACTACTGGGCATACTGCGCATGACAAGCAGCCGAGCGGCGAGAAAAGGCGTCGAAATGGCGTCCAACAGGGGCAAAAAGACGTTCAAGACGTGCGTCCTTCCGCCCAAAAAACCGTGCTCCGCCTTGTCCTGGCCCTTTCTGCCCTTCGTGCCATTGCACCCCACCCCTCTCACACAACAATCATGATCAGGAGGATGTGCCACGTCGGATTGAGGCTGGAGAACGGAGGGTTGGTGGAGCGATAGCCGTACCGAGGCGGGGAAAGAGAGAACGAGTCCCAAATCGAGTTTGGTTGAACTTTACAATTTGTTTCGGATTATTATTTTATGATTTTTTTTTTCGACCACTCTTTGATTTTCCATTGCATTTTGCATTGAACCGAATTCTTCTTGGTCTTTGCTGCTGAATTCCCGCCTCCTCGATTGTCGTCCGAGAATTCTAAGAAACCAAAACAAAAAACCAAGTACAAATGAGCGAGGCCAGCAGCACCCATTTGCAGATCAACGCGCTCGCTGCCGGCGGGATTGAAGCAGTGCACGAGCTGCTGCGAATGGTCCGCCAGCTGTCGGTCGCGATGCAGTCGTACCAGGTCGAGCGGGCATCAGCCTCGTCGTCGTCGTCTGCATCATCGTCATCGAACGGCGCGAATGCGAGCAGTCTGATGAGCGGGCCTGCGTCGTCCGAGGCAGCCGCGCCAATGGATGTCGCCCAAGATTTGGCGCCAAGACCAAACGCAGTGATCACCTCGACACTCGCAGAAGCCCAGACGCATATTGCGACAATTCGACGAGCTGTCGCGCACATTGCCGAACTGGCACCTGAAGATGCATTTTCAGTACGACTTGTGCGACTTTTTGCTTAGAATTTTGGAACTTGTGCACTCACTCACCATCGCCTTTTATTGAACAGATCGGCGCAGTCAAGCCAATACCACCAAGAGGAGCTGCATTGCCTGTCGACATGACCTCGGAAGCAGCGCTGGCACTGAAGAGCCAAAACGGCTCGCTGAGACAAGAAATGGCGCAGATCAATCGGGCCCTCGTCGCGTCGATTGCGTACCTGCGTGAGAGTCTGTACCAAGTCAACTCGCTGCTGGTAGCACAGTATCCTGCGCAGCAACAGGAAGACGTATTATCGCTGGATGAGTTGATGAAGGCGCTCACACTGCCTCCACCCGAAGCGCCGGCCAAGCCACAGACCGTCTCGCCTCTTGCATCCCAGCAGGACAAATTTGAGACAGTTGCTAACGATGCAAACGGCAATGAGGATGAAAATGGGTTTATTCTGGCCGAATGACCCCCAACGTTTTCGTGTATTTTTGTTGTTGATCTGATTATATATTGATAGCTTCATCCGCAGCTGTGTTATTGAGGTGGGGCTGTTGTGTCTCCTCGAAAATGGGTGCTGTCGTGTGGCGACCCTGCGTTAAGACCCGAGTTCGTCCTGGGCAACACGACAAACGTGGCGATTAGACTCTGCACTTTAAAAAGTCAAACAAAACTTCAACGAAAACGTCTGCTACATACCCTTGTGCTGCTAGCTGGGCACGAAGTTTGGCAATCTCGCTTCGCATTTCGCGGATTTGTTTCTCGTGGTACTGAGCGTGCTCGACAGCTGGATAAACCAAGAAACGAACGGGAAAATGACGAGATGAGACACATGCTTGGTTTTCCCCTCACAAACACACACACACACCAGCAAGCGCCGCTATTGCGCAATTCGCACCTCGACGGATGACTGCAGCTTTGCTGGTTTCAGGAGTCATGCCAAGAACGCTCTTCAGATCGTCAAACCCATCCTTGAGATCGTCCCTTCGCTTCTTTTCGCCAACCTTGTGTGTATTTTTGCGCGCTGTGACACTGGCGACCGCCTCTTCGTCCATACCCAATTCACTGGAAACAAAATGGTGCAACGACAGTAAGAAACAGAAAAGCAAAGGCACGAAACAGCACGAAAACGGCCCAGAGGACAAAAGCACGAAACTTACTGTCCTTTGCCTTCAATCATGGTTTGATAGTTGCTCTTTGAAGGAAGGGCGGCCAAAGGGACGGCGCCTGTCGAAACAGAAAAAAGAATGAGACTCGTGAAAACCACAAGACCGCGCGCACAACAGATTCCATCGACATACCTCGTGGAAGGACCATTTTGGGCACACCAGAGCTGGAAGTGTTGGCAGGAAGCAACATCGGCGAGGGAAGCATGCGTGCAGCAGCCGGATCGGTGGGACGTGCGGGCGCGAGAACGGGAGACGGTTGGGTTGAACCGAAGCCAAGGAAATTAAGGTTGGGCGCCGCAGTCATGCGTGGGGACGGAAGAGGCGGCAGAAAGTCGTGTGACATGGGCAAGCCTGCCGTTGGCATGGGCGGGGGCAGCTTCATTCCGGTGGCGTCGTGTGGCAGGTCGTCCACTTGCATGCCGATCAGAGACATGGGCGTTAACGGGACTCCACTCAATACAGCAGGGCTGGTACTAACACTGGCCGAAGCGCTTGCCGTCGCAGAGCCAGACGTGTTGCGGCGTGGCGTTGTTGATCGCTTGGAAGTGTCCACGCTTGCGCGAGGTGCTCCCATCGGCACAGCACTCGAGCCGAGTGACATGTTTGGCATCAAGTGACTCTCTCCCGAGGGAAGCAATGCAGGAGAGAGTAACGGCGTCATTTCCCGCGCCATTTGCATCTGCAGGGCGTTCATGGAAGGCGTCAAGCTGGACGTGTGCGCGGCGATGGCGGCTGCGGCGGCTGCGACAGCGGCAGCCATCACTTGATGCCCGCTCGCATTGGTCAATCCGAACGAATTCGCCGGGAACAGTCCTGGATTGACTGCAGCGGCCGCGATCTGTTGTTGCTGTTGCTCCTGTTGTTGTTGTTGCTGCTGTTGCTGCTGTTGCTGCTGTAGTTGTTGTAGTTGTTGTTGAGCAGCAACATCACTCGCAGTCACTCGCGGCGAAGGCAACGGAGTGAACGACCGCCCGCCGGCCTCGGGATGGGCATGCATGAGAAACGGCGATGGACCTGGTGTCAGGAACTCGTTCGGATGGCTGAATGGCAGCTGGGTCGTCTCGTGAACACTGGCAGATTGCAGGTTCATACTGGTTGCGGTTCCGAGCGTCGCGCTCTCGATCAGCAGACGGCTGTTGTCCGAGCGCCCGCCAGTCATGGACAGCCTGCCCTGTTGTTGCTGAGCATCCATCGCAGCATCGCCAAAGTCAAACCCGTCATGGTCGGCGTCGTGAAGCAGCTGCTGCTGCTGCTGGCGGCCGTGACTCGGGCCAGCGAACAGACTCACCTCGCTTCCGCCGGTGGTCTGGAGCCTGCGACTGCTGCGCCTGGCCGTGTGCTCCAGCAGCGGTTGTTGTTGTTGTTGACTTGCGCCCATTGCATTCGGAGAGGCGGCAGCAGCAGCAGCGTGGTCGTCCAGCATGCTCGACATCCACTCGTCCAGCATGTCTTCGGGCAGGTTCAAACCGCCGACGCCGCCGACATCCTCATCCGCATGGCCGCTGCTCTGCTGCGAGCCCACCACCACCGCCGCCACCGCAGTGTCTGGTGATGCAAACGACGACAGCGACGCAGCGCGCGTCTCGGCCAGAGTGGCCATCCGACCTCCGACACTCTGCCCGTTCGCAGCAACAGCTCCGCTTCCATTTCCATGCGGGGCAGTACCTCCGACGCCGCCGCCGATGGCTGGAGAACCGCTCCCGTCGCCATTGTAGCCGAGCGTCATCATCTCATCCAGCAGTGGAAACCCAGTGAAGCCATGCGCATGCGACAGGTCGCTTTGCTGCTGATGGTGATGCTGCTCCTGTCGAGCGAGCAGGTGCTCCTTTGGCATTGGGAAAAAAGCAGCACAATAAGAATGACACCAACGGACTTTAATAGATAACTGTACAATGTTCAGCTTGCAGAGGTTGGGATAGACCCAGAGTGAAAGGGGTGGTGTGTGTTACTGCATGGATTGTGTTGGAGGTAGAAACCAGAATTTGGCGGAAAAAAGTTCAGTTTCACCATCTTCAAAGCTTGATTCATGAAGTGCTGCCGTCCATGAGTTCAGACTTGCTCGAACGCGTCCTTGTGTGAAGGGAAAAATTGCCCAAGAAAAATGGTGAGGAAAGCAGGCAGTGTACTACAAATTCTCACCAACAGCGTTGCCGACTGTGATGGTTCGTTGAGCACTCACAAATCTAGCCTTGTTCGCAAAAAATCCCCAATGACCATATCGAGCTCTAACTCAAACAACTCATCAAGACGTGCGCCACATTCGCCGAATCCAAAGAAACCGCAGCGGAAAGTCAAGATGATGCGGCAAGACAGTCACTTGAAAGCTCGGTCAAGTGTAACAGCTCGACTTGACGCTGGACCAACGCTACACCCGCCACTGTGTGTCGAATCGCAGTTGCAATGATATTATTCAATTAATCAAGAAGTGCGAGACCGCCTGAATCTGTATGTTTGTCGCCAAAACGAACGCCAAACCTATCAATTTTGAACGCCGTCCAATTTCTTACTTTGCACAGCACCAGTCCCACTTTTGATTTTCTTCAACGACCTTTTTTTCACAGCAACATCCACTCATGCCGCCGCGAGACCTTTCGGCTCCCATCGCTGAGCTGGCACAGCAGCCAACACGCGTTCATCTTGCGCCGAAGCAGCTTCCGACCACAGCGCCTGAGGAGCAGCAGTCCGTCGTGTCCACCACGCCTCCGGAGGTTGTTGCCACAGCTGCTCCTTTATCAACAACAAAAACAACAACAACACCAACAACAAATATCCTGGCGTCCAATCTCAGTGCGGTGCGGGCTCGAAAGGAGTCCAAACCGTTCGCCTTGCCATCGACTGAGCCGACCCATCCCAACAACAACAACCAAGATGGAGCCCGTGCATCGTCATCCGGCATGACGCGCGAGGATGTGTCACGCGCTTGGACCGAAGAAGGCCGCCAGCTCGTGATTGTGCACCACAAAGTGTACAATGTGGAAAACTTCCTCCCGACCCATCCAGGCGGCAGTGCGATCGTTCGCAAGTACCTGGGCACGGACATTACCCACCTCATGGCCGGCCGTCGTGACGACTTGATTTCTTCCTCGGGCGTGACTGTGGAGGCCAACCGAACGGAGGAGGCGGCCGACAACGAGGAAGGCAATGTTCAAGAGCACGGCGCTCAGAACGGCCACGCAAAAATAAACGCTGCCACTCACACCTCCACGCCGGATGCCAATCAAGCCGCGAGAAACAAGCCGCTCCCAAATGCCACCCCCTCAGTTGGCGCGGACGAGAGTGAAGAAGCCGACGGCAATGCTCGGACTGAGAGTGTGGCAGAGAAGAACGCTGGGGTTGCCTCGACTCGTTCACAAGTGACTCGGCGCGTGCATCGGCACAGCCCTTCTGCATACCGAATCCTTGATTGCTATTGTCTTGGATATGTTGCTGGAGAGGAACACATGCAGGTGAGTTGCAGATAAGATAAGGAAGAGTTGACGTTTTTGGACACGAATTTTTGCACTTGTTGTTGGTTTCCTTCGAGGCTGTGCATTGGGAGTTGCCCACGCTGATCTCATCCAATGCTCCTCGTCTCGTTGCTCGTGCTATTTTGCTGTTGCGCGCACGCAGCTCCAACGCTCCTTGTCGGTCGACGATCCCGAGCTCGCCAAACTCGAGGCTCAGATTGACTACTCGCGCGGAATCATTCAACAGGTCCACCGGCTCGGTGCAGGGTACGACAAGTGGGTGCATTCCCCGATTGCTGTGAGTCTGCGCATGTTCGACTCAAACCTCTTGGAGGCCTTGTCACGAACACGCTGGTACGTGATTCCGCTGGTCTGGATTCCGGTTGTGGTTGCGCTCTCGCTGCTCTCCTTGTACGGAGGCGCGTATACACTCGCCGGGCTGCGGGCTGGTGGAGAAAACCCTGTGGACCAGGCACCTTTCCCTGCTGCCAAGTGGACAAACGCCAGTGGCGTTGCGTCCATCGCTGCTCCAAACACGAGCCCCACCACGCAGCAGCTGATGCAAGCCAGTTGGAACGAGCTCACCTTCCAGACATTTGCTTTCGTCTTCCTGGGCGGCATTCTCCTGTGGACGCTGCTGGAGTACTCGTTGCATCGCTTTGTCTTCCATGCAGTTCCTTCTCGATCGGCGTTCTGGATTACCTTCCACTACCTGATGCACGGCGTGCACCACAAATCTCCAATGGACGGCGACCGCCTTGTCTTCCCTCCCGCGCCTGCGGCAATTGTCATCACCTTGTTGTACTCGCTGTTTGTTGCGGCATTGCCTCTAGGACTTGCGCGAGCGTTGGTGGCTGGCGCTCTTTTCGGATATGTCTGCTACGACTTGACGCACTACTTTTTGCATCATGGGACGCCGACGTCGGAAGTGATTGCAGACATGAAGTCCTATCACATGGCGCACCACTATGTCAACCATGATCTGGGTAAGGATTTTCTGGGGGCAGAAAAAGGTTTTGTGCCGAAGCACAGTTTCTGATGGGGTTTTTTTTTTTTTTTTTTTTCGCTCCCCCTCTCATCTTTTGCATCTCCTGGACGCGTAGGGTATGGAATTTCGTCAAAGCTTTGGGACTTTGTGTGGGGAACGGTCTTGGACTACAAGGCTATTTTGGAATCCCCGACCACTGCGGCTTCCAAGGCCAAAGCCGAATAAGTCGACGTTTTCTCTTATTGATGGCTGGCGTGCGTTTCGTTGCATCTGCTTGCATGGCATCAGAAAAAAAAAAAAAAAGGATGGAAATCTCTTTCTTTTTTGCCAACCAACACCAAAGCGAGAAAAACTGTGTTATTCTCTAACGCGTGACTGGTCAATCGTTTTGAACTGTAAATACTGTCGTTTCCACCGCCGCCAAAAAACCAAATACACTCGGTCTTTTCAAACACTCCCGCTAGCAAGTTATTTACAACGATTGGATGGATGGACAACCAGCAAAGCAAAGTTTGAAAGTGTCAATGAACAAAAAAACAAAAAATACACGCATACAAAAAAACAAAAAAATATGGCGATGTGGACGGCACCAAGAGTAATTTGAACAAAACAAAACCTCAGTCATGAATAGAACCATGACCGAAAGGAGAGAAAGGGACGAGAGAGAGAAAAAAAAAAGACAGGACAGAGCAACGAAAATCGTAGAAAAAGCTTCATGTTCGCTTTTTGTTTTGTTTTTTCTTGTCTGCTGCCTGGTCTTTTGCTGGTTTACTTGCCCGTGTAAACGTGCTTTCGGGTCTTGAGCACAGACCACCGCTGTCGCTTGACATACCAGGTGGCGCCGGCAGCGAGAGTCAGAAGAGTGATGGCCTTCATGCCCATTCGCTTGCGCTCGTTCATTTCAGGCTCAGCGGCCCAGGCAAGGAAAGTGGCAACATCCTTGGCCATTTGGGATTGCGAGGCGGGAGTGCCGTCCTCGTACTCAATCATCTCGTCGTACAGAGCCTGGGCCATGCCGATGGCGCCGCCAGCAAAGTAGGGGTTGTAGTGGAGACCCTCGCGGAGGACGATGCCTGCTGGGGGCTCCTTGTAGCCCGTCAGCAGAGCGAAAAGATAATCCTCACGGCCATGTCGGGCCTTAATCACGAGCGAAAGATCCGGTGGCAGAGCGCCGCCGTTGGCAAAGCGGGCCGCCTGGTCGTTGGGGTACGGGCGCGGCATATAGTCGGAAAGCTTGCCGGGGCGCTTGAACATCTTGCCAGAGTCGTCAGGGCCGTCCTCGACGTCAACATCAGCGGCAAGAGCCTTAGCCTCGTCCAAAGTGTGGGTGACGCCGACCAAGTTGCGGAAGGCAATCTTGTCCAAGCTGTGGCATGCGCTGCACACCTGCTTGTAGACCTCGAAACCACGGCGAACGCTGTCAGAGGGAGAAGGGAGAGGGAGAGGGAGAGGGAGAGGGAGACGAGCAGAAAAGACGAAACGAGGTGAGACACACAGAGAATGAGAGGTCCAAGATCAACCCCTCCACAAGCCTCCAATGGTGCATGCCGCTGCATACCTGGCGTGGTCAAAGGAGCTGAGGGGGCCGCCGTGGCTCCAGGGGTACGCGGCGGGGTGGAGCTCATCGGAGCTGGCCAGAACGGTGGTGTAGAAGCCGGCAGCGGCAACCGTGCTGGCGCCAGCAGCGGCCGTCAGAAGTCCTGCGCGACCACGGAAGAGGCGAGCGAACATGCTGAAGGGGGAAACAAAAGAAAAGGGACAGAAGAAGAAAAAGCTTGGACCTGCAAGAACAATGAGGGGGAGAGGGTGAGTGATAGGATGCAAGGTTGAGGGCAAAAACGGAGAGAAGAAAGAAGAAGAGGCAGAGGACGAGATCCACATGTAAACGATCATGCTGAGATGGTTTGCTGGCATGCTTGTAGAGTCACAATGTTGATGGTGGGAGCAGGGACGAAGAAGAAGGGATGGAAGGGATTTGCGCGGAAACCCAAAAGGCACATGAAGACACACGCACCCCGCTGCGATCGCGCTCGCGGATGCGTTCATCTGCAATCCCCAAGCGCACATCCTCAACGCTGGACGAATCTGCAGGTCGACCACCAGGCTCATTGGAGCGGGAGAGGGAAGAGAACGAAAAAAAAAAATCTTCAAAGCGAGTCCACAGCCGCAGGAGGCTGCCTTTCCCCTCCTTCGGTGAGACTGAGACATTTGGCTCGTTCTGCATGACTCGAGTCGAGTGTAGCCGAAGCGAGCGTGAGAGGGAGTTGACAGAACAGAAGAGGAGAAGGAAGAGAAAGAGTGGGGAAAAAAAAAACGAAAAAAAAAAAAAAAAAAAAAAAAAAAAAAAGAGGAGATCGCTCGTCTCGCTTTTTAGTTTTTCATCGCACTGCAGCCGAGTGGAAGACAAGCAAGCGATGCGACGGGGGTCGACAGTCCGAAAGTCAAGCTCGCAGTTGTGAGGGTGGGTGGGTTTGCCCTGACGGAGGGTGCGTTGGATCGCTGCTCCGGTCTTCGCTTCTGCTGCAGCAAACCTCAAAAGGCCGCGTGCAAAGCTCAAGTCCATTGCTCCCCCCCCCTTGTCTCTCTCTCCCTCTCTCGCTTGCAACGGCTTCATCGCAGACCCCCGTCCCTCGCCCAACTCGACCAGCACAAGCATCATTCTATCAAGGCGAGCTGCGCGTTCGTCGCCACTCGGAGCGAGGAGAGGAAGAGAAGGAGCGCGAGAATGGAAAAGAGCGAAAAACCAAAAAAAAAAAACAAAAAAAAAAAAAAACAGGAAGGTTGCTGTTCTTACTCGCACAACGAATGGTCGCAGTCCAATCTCGGATGAGGGGGGTTGAGATAATGACAAAAAGATGGTGGGAAAAAAATAAAATAAGACAAAGCAAAAAGGATCGCAGGAGAAATTCGAATGTTCGAAGACACCAATTCGTGAGCAGCTGCAAGTGAAAAACCCGATCAACCACTGCTTTTGTCTGTCGAGCTCCTATGCGTGTTGAAGTACCTTCGATGGATTCGCTTTGATAAACTAGATCTATACCAAATCAATTTAGGGGGGTGGTACGGTGGTACGAACCAGGGATCACTGTTCATTTTTTGCTGACTCCAAACAATCTCTAGGCCAAATTTCGACCAGACCAAACACCCCAAATGACGAGCTTGCCGTTTATTTCACGGCGTTCCCCTGTGATGGGCACCCATGGCATGGTTTCATCAAGGTGATTGTTCCGTGGAGTGGACTGACGAGGAGGAGGTGCGATCAACTTGCGACTCAAACACAAACCACCCGATTCTGCCTCGTGTCTTTGGTCTCTCCTCCCCTCCCCCTTCCCCGCTCATCAAACAGCCAGCCGCTGGCAACGCAAATCGGAATCGACATCTTGAAGCGAGGAGGCAACGCAGCGGATGCAGCGATCGCGACCGCGGCAGCACTGAACGTGACTGGTAAGGTTTGGATTGACAAATTTCAACCTTACACTTTGTGTAATTCTGACACGATACATCCCGTTTCCCTTTCGGTTAGAGCCTTGTTCCACTGGAATTGGAGGCGACATGTTCTGCCTATTCTATCGCGCTTCTACTCGGACTGTGCACGCGGTGAATGGGAGTGGCCGATCGCCTGCCGCGTTGACGCTGCAAATTGCTCGGGAATCCTGCGCTGAGAACGCAACGTGTATTCCAACCACCAGCGCGCATGCAGTCACTGTTCCCGGAGCAGTGACGGGTTGGTGCGATACATTCAAGCTCTTTGGCAGCGGGCGTCTCACCATGCAAGACATTTTGACGCCCGCCGTGGAGCTCGCGCAGAAGGGGTGAGGATGGACGCACGACTCGACTGCTGTACATGTAGATGCAAGCAGGAGCAGGATAACACAGTCCCCCGGTGATTGTTGACCTTTGGTCTTGTTCGTTTGACGTGGCAGATTCCCAGTGAGTCACATCACCGCCCATTCTTGGTCCAATCAAGCAGCCCTGCTGAAAAGCCAATCACCAGGTGGTGCTGATTTGTTGGTTGATGGACGTGCGCCATTGCCTGCCGAGCTGTTCCGTAATCCAGCACTGGCAGGGTATGTCGGAGGCCGTCGAACGTCTGTTGTGGATTTTCGGCTGGGATTCGCTTTTTGAACAATGATTGGCTTGTTGAACTTTGGCAGAGTCCTGAAGGAGATTGGAGCAAGGGGCGCAGAGGCATTTTACACGGGTAGAGTGGCCGAAGCGATCGTGGAGTCGCTGTCTGCCAAGGGCGGCGTCATGACGCTGCAAGATTTGCAATGCCACCTGGCGCACAGCCTTTCAATTGGCCCAGACGCCCTCCACCAGGCAGCCTTGCACAATACCACCGTGGTTGCGCCGATTTCCACCTCCTTTGGTGGCCTCCGTGTCTGGGAGTGTCCTCCCAACGGCCAAGGCTTGATTGCGCTGATTGCCCTCAACATTCTGGAAGCCACTCCGGTGCTCAGTCACCCAGTCAACAGCGCCGAGTACCTGCATTACATTATTGAAAGCTTGAGGTGAGACCACAGGGGGTGTGGGTTTTTTGACTTTGTCTTTGTCCCAGATCTAATTGTGCCGTTTCAAACAGACTGGCGTTCGCAGATGGACAATTCCACATCACGGATCCTACAAAGTCAAACATTCCGTTGGACACTCTTCTCAGCAAAGTACGAAGCAAGAGCTCTGGGGAGTGGATGCAGGTTGAGTTCAAATGCTCACCTCCAATTTTGTCACTTTGTTTTTTTTCCTTTGAAGGAGTATGGCAGGACGCGCGCACAGCTCATCCGCCCAGGTTGCGTGCTCCCAGCGACGTCGACTGGTGTTCCCGTGAACTCAACGGACACGGTGTACTTTAGCGTGGTCGACGGCGAAGGCAATGCATGCAGCTTTATTGTAAGGCTTTGGAGGTTGCAGTCATCCAATCTTTCGTGCTGGGAAACTCACGACAGTAATTTTGGACATTGGTGAATCGTTTTTGGCATTGTGCAGAATTCAAACTACACGGGCTTTGGGAGCTGCATTGTCCCAACAGGGACTGGCTTTTCGCTCCAAAGCCGCGGGTCCAACTTTTCACTGGTAAGATTCCCGTACAAGATGCAGTTGAACCAGTGTGAGTGTTTTGACTGATTCCTTGACTTTGATGTTGCTGGTTGACAGATGCCCAACCATCCGAATGTTGTGGCGCCAGAAAAGCGGCCGTACCACACAATCATTCCTGCAATGCTAACAACAGATTCTGGGGAGCTGTATGCAAGTTACGGCGTGATGGGCGGTTTCATGCAGGTATGGTCGTTCTTCCGTGTGCTTGACCTGTTGTTTGCTCTCGTGCTCACCGCAATCGCGATCGGCGTCGCTCAGCCGCAAGGTCACGTTCAAGTGCTTCTCAACCTCCTGAAAGACGACAACCCGCAGCATGCTCTCGACCTGCCCAGAGTCTGCATTACACCCGATGAGCATGGGGATGGGCTGCCAACCGTGTTGCTGGAAGAAGGCATTGACGCTGCAGTGCTGCAACAGCTTGCAGGGTGGGGACACAGCGTCCAGCATGTGACTGGCACTGCGCGGTCTGTCTTTGGACGCGGCCAAGTCATCCGACGTCTGCCTACGGGTGTCCTTGTTGCCGGGTGTGATCCCCGCAGCGATGGGATGGCGTGCGGTTGGTAGCCGTACTTTTTGGCGCTTGATCACTCAGTTTTCCAATGGTTCTCAAGCAGCAGAGCGTTCATCTGCCTGTGGCTGTCTTGTTGACGGAACGGAACGGAACGCCGGGAGTGTGTTATCTCGTGTTTTCGTGTTTCGTGTTTTCGTATTTCGTGTTTCGTGTTGTTTTCGCTCTCTCTCCTTCTCTCCATCTAATGCAATCAATCTCAGCGTGCCCCTTTTTCCACATTATCTTCTTTTTTTTTTTTTTTTTTTTTTTTTTTTTTTTTTTTTTTTTTTTTTTTTTTTTTTTTTTTTTTGGCTCCTTTGCTGATTTCTTATTCCCATTCCCAATTTGGGATCCGATTCACTCCCCCAAAACAAAACACCAAACCAAAACCAACAATGCAAAAGGCCAAGAAGTTCGACATTGAGGACTCCAACATTGCCCTCCTCGGCTCCAGCCTGTACGGCCCCCCCCCCTTTTTCGCTCTTCCACTTCTCCACCTCTTCTCCACCTCTTTTCTCTCTCTTTCTTCTTCCCATTCAGATCCTTCTTCGCTTCCATCGTTGATCAATTCCTTCAACAAAAAGCGCAGAATTCCAAAATTGAAAATGATAATCTGTGACGTTTGCAATTTTTATTTTATTGAAAAGATCCTTTTGTCGTTCTTCTCTTTCTTCTTCTTCTTCTTGCTTCTTCTTCCTTCTTCTTCTTCTTCTTCGAACTGTGAATGAATACGTCTTTCATTCTCTGATTTCGTCGTTGCTGCGATGATCAAAAATCACCCAACAAAAACACAAATCTTGAATAAGAAAAGAAAAAAACCATCATAAAAAAATGCTGGAATTTTTTTTTTTGAATCTTTGATGTTTTGCTTTTTGTTTTTTCAAGCATTGCGTTGTTCGTATTTTGCGTCAGTTGACGTACGATTGAATCGCGTGCGACGCAACGCAATCAAAGCATAACGAAAGCAAAACTACACAACGAAAAACGAAAGAAAACGCCTTTTTTTTGTGTTGTTGTTCTTTGTTTTGGGTGATGCTCGATTAGGAAGTTGCCTGATTCAAACAAAAAAGAAGGAAAAAAAAAAATTCAAATAATAAATGAATAATGAATAAAAACCAACGAATCGGCGTTGATCAGGAACGAAGCGATTGAAAACCAAGTCATGAAAGCGCGATTGGATTGGAAGAACGGAACTGAAGCAAACTGAAGCGAACTGAAGGGCGAAAATTCAAACTCTGCTCTCCTCTTCTCTCTACTCTGACTCGTACTCCTTCTCCCTACACTCTCCCCTTCTGTCTCTGTCTCGTTCTGACTTGAACTCGAACGTCAAAGCATTTTGTCATCGAACGCTAGAGTCGGTTGGTGGTGGAGAACGAGTTTTTGGAAACACTGTGGCAACTTGTTGACTCACTGCACCACACTCCTCCTCCTTCTCCCTCCTGACAGTGACAAGGACGCCCGCAAGGCCGCCGCTGCCAAGGAGCCCGCTTGGAACAACGCTGGCAAGAAGGCTGGCGTCCAGGTCTGGCGCATTGAAAAGTTCCAGGTCAAGGAGTGGCCCGCCAACCAGCACGGCCAGTTCTACTCTGGGGACTCGTACATTGTCCTCAAGACGTACGTCAAGGACCCCGCGAACAACCCCGACAAGCTGAGCTGGAACATCCACTTCTGGATTGGCGAGGAGTCCTCGCAGGACGAGTACGGCACTGCTGCCTACAAGACTGTCGAGCTTGACGACCACCTCGGCGGCGAGCCCGTCCAGTTCCGTGAGGTCCAGGGCTTTGAGAGCCCCGACTTCCTCCAGATCTTCCCCAAGATTGAGCTCCTCAAGGGTGGCGTCGATTCTGGCTTCCGCAAGGTCAAGCCCGAGGAGTACAAGCCCCGCCTGCTGCACATCAAGGGAAAGAAGAGCGTTGTCGTTCGCGAGGTCGATCTGGCCCGCGGCTCGCTCAACTCTGGCGACGCCTTCATCCTCGACAACGGCCTGACCCTGTACCAGTTCCACGGCGCTAAGGCTGGCATCCTCGAGAAGCAGAAGGCTGCCCAGCTCGCTCGCGAGATTGACGCCGACCGCAGCGGCAAGCCCGTCGTTCACGTCGTTGAGGAGTCCGACCCCAGCGACTCGAAGGCCAAGGAGTTCTGGGGCCTGCTCGGCGGCGTCGGTCCCATCAAGACCGCCGAGGAGGGTGGCTCGGACGACGCCCCCAAGGGCGAGAAGAAGCTCTTCCGTCTCTCGGACGCCACTGGCAAGCTCACCTTCACCGAGGTCAAGCCCGTCGCCCGCAAGTCGCTCGACACCTCGGACGTCTTCATCCTTGACGCCATCAACGCCATCTACGTCTGGGTTGGCAAGAAGACCACCGACAACGAGCGCGCCAACGGCATGAAGTTTGCTGCCCAGTACCTGATCGACTTCAACCGCCCCAAGGCCCTCCCCATCTGCCGTATTCTCGAGGGTGGTGAGACCCAGACCTTCGAGGGCTCGTTCTAAATGCAAACGCGCCAGTTGTTTGTCTGCTTGTCGATAGTTTGTATTTGGGGGACGTGGTCTGCTTGACTGAGTTTTGTGGCATGCGTGAAAAAGGTGTTTTGTGTTTTTTTTTTCTTCCCGCCCAGCTGCATGAATACAGTCAACCGTTCGGTGTAAAAAAAAAAAACAAGATGCGCACTCATTTAAGCTGGGAGTACAAAGTCGGATGTAATGCATGTATTTGGGTTGTAGTCACATTATGGTGGAGCATTCCCAGTATTACTGCTGCTACTACTGCTACTCCGACTAGTCCCAAGAACGGACGAATGTGGGACTTTCCATGCATAAAGAGGTTGCTTGGCTGGCGGTTGCGGTGCCTGCCAACCCTGTGCCATCTTGCGTCGGTAAACGTGCTGCGCGAATCGCCGCGAGTATCCTGTGAGAAGCCATCGAGCACCTGTTAGAGAGAATTCGTTAGAGAGAAAATTAAAGGTGAGCCAAGTGATGTTCGGTCACCCAAAACGTCACACAAACAATCATAAAATCTCAGAAATGTCACTGAGAACTGAACCATTGACTTTTGCATCCTCCACCTGCAACAAATGCAACAAATGGCCACCAGCACATCTTCAACTCATGCCACGCAAACCAAAAGGGCCTCCTCACCCCAGAGACCAGCAGCCACGGGCACGACAAAGTAGACTGCTTCGCGCAGCTCGAGCTCGTGCCACCAGCGGTTGACGAGCTGGTACTGCCGCACGTTGTCGCCCAGCGTCGGGTCGCCATGCGGCACGGGAATGACGGCCAGGCCCAGCGGGAGATCCACGGGTGGCGATGTGGACGACGCGGTCTCTGCCGGGACTGGGACGACCAAGGCGGGCGTTACGCCATCTGGTCCACGATGGTGCGAAATCAACAAACCCATCGATGCTGAGAGTGACTGAGAAGGAGAAGGAGAATACAAAAAAAAAATAAAGTAGACTGATCTGAGCCGGATGGACGACTATATTTTGTTAATGCAACTGGAATAGGCTGTAGAATGAAAAACGAACGGGAATGGGGAATAACAACGTCAAACAAAGTCGACAGAGGCGGAAAGGCAAGCAGCAGGGGGGCTCACTTGGCGGCGGCGGGTTGGTCAAAGGCGCCGTACATGCTGTCAATGAGCAGTTGGTACTTTTGCATGACGACGTGACGACGCAGCTTGAGTGTCGGCCCGAGCTCACCGCCATTGGTAGTAAAGTCCATTGGGAGAACGACCCACTTCTGAACGTGCTGGGCATGCGACTCGGATAGCTCATTGACAAGACGCATTCCTTGCTCGAGTGCAGCGTTGAATGCCGGGTGCTCGAGCGCTTCGGGAATGGTTCGCACAGTGTTGGGCACTCCGGCCTGCTCGAGGGCAACCAGAGCGGTGTGATTCAGCTGACTGAGTGCGTTGCCCTCTGCGTCAAACTCGCATCGAAGGGTGAGCAGGCACGAGATGAATTTGCGGCGATCTCCAATCAGCATTGCGTTCGACACGAACGGCAAGACCTGCTTGATGCGCTGCTCGATTGGTGTAGGGGCCACATTTTCACCGCCGGCTGTGATGAGGAGTTCTGCATGGTGCAACGAAAGACAGTGAGAGATGAGCCATGACGAAGATGGCGAAACACTCCAACCCCCAACAAAATAAAGTGCAAGTTTTCCGTGGTGTACCTTTGATGCGCCCGGTGATTTGAACAAAGCCGCCCTGAATGGATGAGTGTGGCAGTCGCAAAGAAAAAGTGTTGCAAGGGTACAATTGAGCAAATCATCATTCCAGGATCTGCAAAACCATTGGCATAGCTCCATCATACCTCAAACATCTGTCCCACATCGCCTGAATGCAGCCAGCCATCGCCATCCACCACTTCAGCCGTCTTTTCGGGATGGCCGAGGTAGCCCATAAAGATGTGGCGACCGCGGAAACAAATTTCTCCAGAGCCATCCAGCCCAGGTCGATGGATGCGCGTCTCTGCGCCGTCAAACGTGACGCCGACAAATCCTGTCTTCCTTTGGCCGGGAACAGAGACAGTGTGTGGGCCGGTGCTTTCACTCATGCCGTAAATTTCAAACAAGGGAAGATTGATGGACAAAAAGTAATCCAGAGTCTCGCGCGAGATTGGCGCGGCGCTCGACAGTGCAATCTTGCATCGGTCAAGTCCCAAAGCTTGGCGAATGTTGCTAAACACCAGCGCATTGGCCAAAGACCAGCCCCAAGGCACGCTCTCGCCGCGCTCTACACGCATGTTGCCTTCCAGTCCAATTTCCTTGGCCCAGCCAGCCACGCGCTGAGAAAATCCCGAGGTCGTCTTTCCGAACGCCTGCAGCTGTTCTGCCATCTTCTCCCAGACGCGCGGTACGCCTAGGAAGATTGTGGGTCGCACAACCCGGAGCGTGTCGACCAGCGAACCCTACCGATGGCGCCATAGGGAAGCCAAAAGTAAGCGGGCAAACCGAGGGCGAGTGGTTCACGTAAACCGATAACAACGTCAGATGATGATGGTACCAACCTTGAGTGCATCGGCTTGGGCAAACCAAGTGGTAGCTCCGTGGAGCATGGGCATGTGAATGTCTGTCATTTGGGCTGCGACGTGGCTCAAAGGCAAGTAGCTCACGGCTGCAGGTAGTGGGCGTTCAAAAACCAAATGTGTTTCCTCCAGTTCGTGAGTACTGACTTGACGCCACAAAAAACCAAACAAACTCGCAAATTCCAAAACCAACCTTGCTCGTTTGCGGCAACCTTGACTTGCTTGCTGGTCTGCGCCGAAGTCCACGTCAAGTTGTCATGCGACAACATGACTCCCTTGGGGTGTCCAGTTGTCCCCGACGTGTAGATTAACGTGCAGCAGTGAGTTGCAGTCTGAGCTTGGATGCGTTCCTCCAAAGTTTCGTCCGAGGTCAAGGATGATTTGCTGAGGAATTCATTCCACTGGGAGAGAGGGAAATGATTGTGAAGCAGAATATAGACCGAGTCAGCAACTGACACCAACAATCAAAACGCAAAAAAAAAAACCATGCCACAACATACCGAGTAAAGGCCTTCGCCTGGCTCGCTGAGCTTGTCGTGATACTGAATGATCGCCTTGACGAGCGGAAGCCGATGCCGTACCTTCAGGATCTTCTGCAGCTGCGTGTCGTTCTCGACAACCACAATATTGGCCCGCGAGTCCTCGATGATAAACTGGCAAGCGTCCGGCGAGTTGGTCGTGTAAATGCCACACCCGAGGCCTCCCGCGAAAATGGCACCCAGGTCTGCGATAAACCACTCGGGCGAGTTGAATCCAAGGATGCACACGCCATGGTGCGGCTCAAGTCCCAGCTGTGCAACAAACAACCACACGTTAAAAACAAAATTGAGCGAAACAAATTTGTGCAAGATTTATCCAAAATTCAGAGGATTTGTGTTTTACCGCGATGAACGCCTTGGCTGCAGTGCGGACGGTCTCGTAGTAGTCCTTGTACGTGATGAACGACCATGCGTTGGCTGGCGGCAGCTTTCTTCCGGAGCTGGTTGCCGGGTGGCTGCTGCTGCTGCTGCTGCTGCTGCTGCTGCTGGTTGAGCTGTTGCTAGCGCGGCGATTGCGAGCAGTGCTGTTGTCATTCGTACTCGTCGCGCTGTTCGTCATGCTATTCGTTGTGCCTGGAGTATCACCGTGTCCGTTCGGCAGGCTGTTGCTGCTCGTGTGGCTGGCTGTGCTGCTGTTGCTGGTCGTCGGAACAGCTGCTGCCGTCGGCGGAAGAAACGCAAGCGCCCGCTTGGTCCCGTGCTTGGTGCTCGCGTCGCGCATGACTTCCATGACAGTGCGTGCTGGCTTGGCAGAGTCCCCCTGAGTGCCCAGCCGCAGCCGCACTGGCACAGACGGGTCGCTCGACCACGTCGGAGTTCCGCCAGGCGAGACTGAGAGCACATCGCCCATCCGACTCGGCGCCGTCGCTGCAAACCCACCCCCGGCAGAGTGCGGCGTGCTTGGCTCGCTGAGTGACGATCCAGACGATGTGGACGCCGTCGTCGAGGTCGACCGGTGGTACTGCCGACTGCTCGCGCTCGCAGACTCGATCGGCACAAACATGGTAAAGCAAAGCAAAAGAGTGAAAAATAAAAATGAAAAATAAAATAACAATAACAATAAAAAATAAAAAAATAAAAACACTGTGCAAGCCACTCAAACAATGGTAAGCCTCCACTTCAATCCAATGGTGCTGTGGGGGGGGGGGGAACCCCCTCCCAAACCCCCTGATTGCAACCAAAAGAACCAACTCGCTCGGAATGAGAGAATGTGACCAAAAGACAAAAGCTTCCATGTGCTGGCAGAATTGAAAATGAACATTGTTAGAAATCGTATTACAACAAACTTGAATGGCTGAATAACAAAAAGGATCCTGGGCAGGAGGGCTATTGCGGTGCAAGTCGCAGGCGCTTGCGAGTCTGGACACCAGTATCGTCATTGGCAGACGGGACGGTGGGTGTTGTGGCAGCGGATTCAGCGGATGGAGTGTCGAGAGATTGCAACCCTGATCCTGCGTCGGTTTCCATTGAGCTTGAATTGCTGCTGCGAAGTCTGCTACTGCTCCTGAGCGGTCGGGATGAGGAGGATGGTGGTACACTGGAAGAAACTTCCAAATGACGGCGTTTGAGTGGAAGCGAATTGCTGGCAGCCTGGGCTGGTGCTAAACGGATAGCAGCAGAAGCTGGACTTGCCAGTGTATTGTCGTCGGCATCATCATTGTTAGGGCTAGCGGAACCTGGCTCAACTGAAGCAAGCGAGGCCATTGTGTCCTTGTCTGGAAGTGAAAAGGCTCGGGACTTGTCCATTTGCGGCAATGGACAGCCAAAAGCCACCAGGGGAAGGTCATCGGTAATGTCGATATACGTAATGTCTGCCAGGGGTGGGAAGAAGCTAAAGGAGCAGCCGCACGGCAGTGCTGGTGGAGGTGAGGTCGGTCGCGGTGCTGGGGCTATCGCCTGCGGTGTAGGTGCGTGGGGTGTTGGTGCAGCAGGAGAGGGTGCGCTGAGTGGTGGCGTTGCTGGAGCGGAATCAACACGGCTGTCGTCCAAGAGTGGTGGCACTGCTGATCGAGAAAAACCCGCACCACCGGCCTTGACGACAGCAACTTCATGACCATTGTGTACGTGCACGCGCGAAGAGTCCACGTTGCGTTTGGGGGCAACATGCTTCAGTGTGCTGGCAAATACAGAGTTATCCAGAAGATTCAAGTGGAACTGGGAAGCGTGGCGCTGGACCAACTTTTGCTTGGCCGCCCTTTCGCGCTCCCACCGCTTGCCCCTCTTTTCTTGGAACTCTGCCTTGTGGTGGCGGTTGTCAAAGGCTGCATCGCTCATATCCTGTTCAAAAAGGCACAGATCAGACACGCAGTTCTCACCCATACGTCCCCTTCAACTCGCGTGAGTAGCTCACCTCGTCACTCGCGTCTTCTGACTGGAGAAGCGCGCTGAGCTCTGGGAAGCTTTTGCTGGAAGTACCAGCGGCCTTTCGACCAGTGGGCTCAGAAGCCAGTCTGCGCCATGTTGGAATTGCTGCCACCACGATTCAAAAACGGGCTTCGAAGGTCAGTCAATGCCGACACATGGACAAAACAGAAAAACAAAGAAATACACACCAATCTCAGGCTCATCGATCCGCGTTTCGACCTTCAATTCATCAAGAAATCCGTATGGACGCGGTTGCAAAAAGAAATCGGGCAGATGTGCAGATCCGAGCGCTGCAAACTCGAGCCTTCGGAACGGTCGAACGTCCTCCTCTGATTCAGAATCGTCTTCATCGGATCCTTCACTTTGTCCAGGTTCGTCAGGAAGGGGGTGAGAATGGTCGCTGTTGTTGTTGTTGTTGTTGTTGTTGTTGTCGGTGGGTACAATTTCGGTCGGGATATGCGACATGGAAGGCGGCACAACTTTTCCGTTTTCGCTCGCAGCAGACGTGTCGTAGGCCCTCAGATGGCTCGGCTGCGAGATTGTTGAGCGGTCTCGCAGTCGGCGCGGCTCGTTGGCCTGCTCTGGAGTGAGCGTTGGGTCCAAGCCCCACCACTTGGAGTTTGTCATCCGAGGTTTCTTGGCGGCGGCAGGTTCGCCATCAGCTGGTGGTTCTGCTGAGGTCCTTGGTGGCACTACCAACGGCGTTGCCGATGACGACGCTGAAGATGACGACAACGATGATGATGATGATGATGATGGCTGTAGCTGCTGATTGGGAATGCTTTGCAATGATTCCTTGCTGTTCGCGGTGGTGTCGGAGGCAGCCGGAATAGGGTGTGACATGTAATTCGAAGCAGCAAGTGCTGTGCTGGTCTCGAGCAATTTCCCATTGCTATGCTCGTGGTTGAGACGTGTCTCTTGAGCTTGCATAGCAGCAATAGGCTGCTCGGTCGTCTTGATGTGTCTTGAGCGAGGGGTTGGCAGGGGTGAGGCTGGTTCAGCGGCGGTCAATGGTGCCTGTTCCGCTGGTGCACCAGCCTCGGCAGATCGCCGAGCCGTGGATTCAGCAAACTCTCGCACATTGCTTCGAAGCACTCGCGCGTCTGCCTTGACCGTTGGTACGAGCAAGACGGGCGGCGCTCGTCCATACACTGAGATGGTCCGGTTTGCGTCTGGCGTGCCGACCACCGCCGCAATCGCCGTGATCTTTGCCGGCACCAGACCTGCCCTTGCCAGGACTGCGGTGGACGCGGCTGGGATGGATCCTGGTGGTGGAGGCGGCGTCGCTGGCTGGAGTGCTGCTGGATCCATGTTGTTGCTGTAGACCAGCCCAGCCTCAGCGACTCCCGCAGCTTGCGGATGGCTCAATGCAGCGCTGATAGTACCAGCAGTCGTAGTCGTAGCAGTAGTCGTAGTAGTAGTCGTTGTAGTAGTTGTAGCAGTCGTAGTCGTAGCGGAGGCAGTCACTATTGGGCTTTGCGCCTCCACCTTCACAGCACTGCTGCTATTACTGTGATTGCCGTTGCCATTGCTGCTTGTTGTCGTCGTTGGTGTATCCGTCAACGCACTCGTCGTAGTAGTGGCGTTGCTGCGACCGTTGCTACTACTATTACTATGACTATTGCTGCTCTCTGGCTCAGATTGCGAGTTGAGCCTGCTCCGAACCATTCGCCTGCTTAGAACCAAAGAAACGCTCACTCGCTCAGAGTTTCAGAAATCTCAGAATCTGTTTTTGGTTTTTATGTTTTGCGGTTGTTGACTTTGATGAGGTACAGTAGTAAGCAAATTTGAATGAAGACTGGCTTTTGCTTTGCTTGACCATTTACCAATGCTATGAGCTCTCTATTGAGAAGCCCCTTTTTTTGTCTTGTTTCTCTCTTTTATTATTGTATCTCGCTTCATTCATCATTTATTATTCTTGTTTTTCTATTTTCTGAGCGTTTTTGTTTTCTTTCCTTTTTTCCATTCGCATCCAACTGCGAAACAAACAAAAAAAGCCTCGCTTTTTTCTTCTTTCGTTTGCTTTTTGCTTGCTTTTTGCTTGCTCTGCGATTACTTTACAAAAATGGGCAACATTGAAGCGAGTCAACGCAGCAGCAGCAGCAGCAGCAGTGTGAATGGGAGCGGGAGTGGGAGTGGGAGTGGGAGTAGCGTGAGCGTCGATCGTCGCCGTCATCCTTCACTCTCGTCGCCCTCCTCTTCCACTTCCACTTCCACGGCTTCGGCTTCGGCTGCGGCTTCGGCTTCGGCTGGGTCTGTACGGTCTCCGTCTGGCCGCTCAAACTCGTCTGCGTCTGCGCACCGCTCCTCAGTCCCAGGTGCCAGCAGCAGCTCTTCTTCTTCCTCGACTGCTGGGGCGTCATCATCACTGTCCTCGCCTTCGTCCGCGCCCACGCTTGCACCACGCACACCCCAACAACAACAACAGCAACAGCAACAGCAGTCTCATACTCATCACTCGCAGGCACCTCACGCTCGCCCAGCGTCAACACACTCGTCGGCCTCGTCCCAGCGTCACTCGACCCACTCCCAGTCGTCCGTCTCAAGCAATGCCGCCGCCGCTGCTGCTGCTGCTGCTGTCTCCACTACTGCTTCATCATCATCATCATCACGACAGCATCGTGCGCCTGCCTCGGGTGGAGCGACGCCAGCACGGTCCAACTCGAGCTCAGCCGCCAGCCCGCGAACTCCCGCCAATGCTGCCAGTAGTGCTGGAGCGTCAAGGTCGAGCTCGTCTGCAGGACCCCGTCGATCTGCCTCAAGTGCATCTGCAGGGTCGTCGGCACCGTCGTCGTCGTCGTCGTCGGGCGCTGGCACAACGTCGCTGAATGACTTGTTGACGCGACTCGTTCTGAGCTGGCAAGACTCGGACAACGATGACCGTGATGACCATGATCATGATGATGCGATTGGCAGCTACGATGGCGACGCATTTGGCGTTGGTGCGCGAGGTCGCAGTGTATCAACGCCGTCCAACAGGAGGTACGGCGGATCGTCCAACAGAGACAGCTCGCTGCTATTCCAGCCAAGTAAGCTAGCTCGAGAGCGGCTGATATGTGAAGCCAAAGACCCGAGACTCATACTGTATTTTTGATCGTCGTTCCCGTTCGTTTCTCTGCAGCTTCAGCCAAGTGTCCGTCCTGCGCGTTAACGTTTGTCGACATGGCCAAATTGGAGCGCCACTTGGAAACTTGCCTTGCCACAGCTTGTGCAGGGTACAATGGTACGTACTGAGTGTGCGTGTGTGCGTGTGTGCGTGTGTGCGTGTGTGCCGGCAGCAGCCAGCTCAAACCTCGATGAGATGGCACGATGAGCGCTCAAAACCAAAACCCCCCTTCCGGCGTTTGTCTTCTTTGACAGATGAAGTCTTGAAAGTGGACATGAGTGCCAACATTGAGTGCGTGATTTGCTTTGAGAGCTTTCTCGCCGGGCAAACCATTGCACGACTTCCGTGCCTTTGTATTTACCACAAGCAGTAAGGCCGCACTCAACAAATTTGGCTTTGGCATTTTGGCCGACGTTGAATGGATTCTGACTATGATGTGTGAAACTGTGGTCCTGCAGCTGCATTGATGATTGGTTTAACACGAGCCGAACCTGTCCCGAGCATCCAGGGTAGTATCTGCGCCTTGTTTGGATTGGTTTAAGACTTTTTCAATTGTTTGCCTCTTGAAAGCCAAAAAACAAAAACTGGCTCCGTTCAGTTTGAATAATTTGTTGATCTTTGTACAAATATAAATGTATACATATGGTTTCATAACAATGGGTGGTTTGCATTAACGATTATCAACAGGACTCCCAAGCTTGACGACACGACGCGCGGCTGCTTTGAAAGGGTTTCCTAAAAGGGCCACCGCAAATAGGAAGGTCGTCCAAAGCAGACAAAAATGTGAGTGACACATGAACAAGAGCTCAACGTCAAAATGAAAAAGGGGGGGGGGGAAACACAAATCAAAAAATTGTCTGTTGAGAATCGAGCAGCCGACCGCTGTCAAAAGCGATCGGCCTGACCAGTCTGGTGGTTCCCTTCTCCTTGCGAGAGTTGGGACAGACGGCGATTGGCATCAACAAGTTGCTCTGGCAAAGATGGATTCTCTTCCTCCACGGGATAACAAGGAACAGAATGAAATCTTTGCAACAAAATCAAACACGAAGACGGCACTCGGGAATGTCGAGTAGCCGCCATCGACGTGTTTGATCAACGTAGGATAGAATGGAGACGAAGCGAGTCGGGGAGGTGGATTGGATCGGCTTGTCCGAAGACAGCTGAGGAACTTACTTTTTCTTCTTTTTGGTTTTCTTAGGCGACGGGAGTATTAACAAGAGCAGAAGCTTCGGCGGCGGCGTGAACAGACAAGGGTGCAGCCGCGCTGGAATTGATGACACTGAGGACGCTGTTCCAGAAGATGCCAAACATGTTGAGGGCGACAAAGCGGTACTTGAGAGGAACAAGCGTAAAGTTGATCATGTTCGCGGCTGGCCAGAAGAGCGTGCCAAGCATGAGGGTTCGCGGGACCACCTCGGACATTTTGTGCTCGATAGACTCTGGCGATCGTCGCTCGAGCATGCACATGCCCGTGAAGAAGGTTGTGACAAAGACCGGGAAGAGCGTCAAGTGGCCCGTGGCCGCCTTCTTTGCCGCGACCGCCAGGGTCTTTGCCGGACCGTAGATGCGATCGAGCTGTCGGAATCCGTAAAAGAAGAACGGTCCATGCAAGACTGCGCCGAGGGTGGCAAACCGAAGCGTGCGCGCTCCGTCAAATCCGTCCGGCAGGAGCCCAGCGAGCGACGGCGGGAGCTCTGCCAGGATCCGCGGCGGCAGCTCGAGCCCAGTGCTTCCCAACGCGACGACGTACGGCGGCGTGCTGAGCGGCGGGTGTGGTGGCGGCGGCGGCACAGCGGTCGCGGCTGGCTGACCACGCGGTCGATCCTTCGCTTCAGCACTGGCAGCACTGTCAGGAGCAGTCGTGGAGCCGCTGCTCTGCAGGTAGATTTGGGCGAGTTGGATGCCAGTGTCGCCAATCGCCATGAGCGAGCACGAGGCCAGCGAAGCGCGCAAAAAGGCCATTGAAAAGGAAAGGGAAAGGAAAGGAAAGGGAAAAAAAAAAAAAAAAAAAAAAAAACCCTTTGGATTCAAAGGTCTGAAACAAGCTGCAGTGAAGAAGAAGACTGATCTGAGATGGACGAGCTCAAGCTGAGAGTCTCAAAAAGGGAAGAGAGTACAACAAGTGGTGAGAACGATAAAGGATTGAGTGACGATGGATTTGAAGGATGGATCAATGAAGGAGGAGAATGAAAAGAAGGAAATGAAACAAGGAAACGTGCGATCTGTCTGACATTTCACCGAGAAGTTACTTCGGAAGCGATGCATAACGAGTGGAACTGGCAGAATCGAACGTAGTCGAGTGACTCAGAAACGTTTTGTTCCTCGCGCTTTTTGTATTCTGAACCGGGAGCAAGCGCCATGCATCAGCGTGGAAAATTTACTTGGAAACCTCGTCATACAGCCACCAAAGCACCATTGCTCGATCGGGCGGCGGGGTACGCGACAACAAGAAAACGAGCCCCCACTGGCCAGTGGCGCGCTTTTACAGCATCGCTCCAATTTCGCGGATGGGCGTGCCATCCTCAAAGCCTTTCAACCCTTTGATGAGCTGCGTAAAGGTTGGTCGCAGTTCCGGAATAGTGTTCCAGCAACTGAACATCAGGCCAAAGAGGTCAGCTGAGCAGTGCTCCGGCTGAGGCAGTCGTCCACCAGCCTCCACATGCGCCAAAGTCGCTCGCCCCTCGAGGTTGCCGTACGGCATTGCGCCGTAACTGAGGCATTCCCCTACCAGTATGCACCAACAATAAGTGAGATGCAAGTGCAAATTTTCACAGCACACGACTCGACTTACAGGCGGTCACGCCGAACGACCACACATCGGACATGGACGAGAACTTGCGGAAAGTCATTGATTCCGGCGCCATCCACTACAAAACGCAGGATCGCCATAAAATGAGTATCAAAACCGCAAACAGCAACCCGTTCACACGCTCAACTCACCTTCACAGGAAGCTTGCCGCGCGTTTGCATGCGATAATAATCGTTCTCATCGGTCAGTTCGCGAGAAAGCCCGAAATCGGCAATCTTGACCACCATCCCCTTGCCAACAAGGCAGTTTCGAGCAGCAAGGTCACGATGAACAAAGTGGAGCGTGCCCAGATACTCCATGCCAAGTGCAATTTGGCGGATGGCATGCACCTGCTCGTTCTCAGACCACTCGAACGACTGCTTTTTGGACTTTTGCAACAGCGTGTGCAAATCGCCATACTGCACAAACTCGAGCAGAACGAGATGAGGCTCTGACTCTACGAGAGCCGCAAGTAGACGCACGACATTCGGATGCACGAACGGAGCCATCAATGTCGCCTCGCTCTCAAAGTCTTTGTGGGATTGTTCGTCCGCGTTGGACTTGAGACTCTTGACTGCGACTTGCACGGCTTCAGACGGCGCTTTACGTCCAAGCAAGGCCTGCGCTCGTTGGGGCAGCACGTTGAACGCCACTTGACCCAGTGCCACATCGCCAAAGTTACCACTGGCAAGGTACTTGACAATGGTCAAGCCTTCACGAACGCGACGAGAATTGCTGCCCGTGACATACGGGCTTTCATTGTCGTAGAGCCCCTCTGTAGAAGAAGGCGTTGAGAAATCTTCGTACAAAGGTTGTGGCTGCCTTGGATCGACGTTGTCGTAAACTGAACTGCCATCGTTTTTGGGAGACTGAGTCGGATGGTTCAGAGGAGAAATTGCCAGTTCAACAGCCTCCTGGTAGACGGGACCGGCAGAATCGTTCGGTCGCTTCACGAAGCCTTGCGAGCGCCTGCGCCGCAACACGATAAATACCGCTGCAATTATCGCAACACCGGCAACAGAGGCAACAACAGCAGCGATGACAGCCGCTGAGTCGCCGCCGCCGCCTTGTTGTAATTCACATGATCCACTCGTCATGCCATACCCATCATAGCACTGAGTGCAGGGAGCGGATGAATTGCAGGTCAAACAATTGAGTGCGCAACACGCACCGGACCCAGCATCATAGCAGGTGGCACAGGCTGCATCACACGCTGCAGTACAAACGTCAGTGAGATGGTCACATTCAGAGTGCAATCGCCTCTCAAACGTACGATGTGGTTCGGAAGCACTTCCGTATGTGCTGGGCGGAGCGACAGAGTTCCCACCATAGGTAAAGTTGTTGGGGGCCAGATTCATCACAAACATGACATAGGGCAGCCCCTGAAACAGACCGGGCGGCAAAGTGGTGAAGGGATTGTTTTCCAAGGCCCTGAAAGTATCTCGAAGTGAGAAAATTGAATGGAACGCGAGCTTTTCAGGTGCTTGCCTTACAAGTAATTCAGCATACTGAGATCTTTGAATGCGTCAGCCGGAATGCTGGTGAGCAGGTTGTCCGATAGATACCTACAAATAAGAGTTGCAAACGAGTGAGCTGGATGTCGGGGTGAGCGTGATTCTTGTGTCCTTGCTTGCTCACAACGAATGCAGCACAGGTAGGCCTGTGAATGCAGACCCGGAAATGCTGGTGATCTTGTTCTGATGTAGATATCTACAGATAGAGTCGCCAAGGAGTGAGCCATGTCAGCGTGGCTCGTTCTCTGTCGCTGCTTGCTTACAGTGTATGCATCGCAGTCAGCCCTGCGAATGCATTTGCGGGAATCCGAGAGATCTGGTTGGATTGCAGCGTCCTATCAACCCTTGGCAAATCAGGGGAGGGTCATGATGATTCAATTCACATCTCAACTCGACGGCAGCACCTACAGCAGCGTTGTGGTCGCTGGGATTCCACTGGGGATGGTTGTGAGGGAGTTGCCGATGCAGTTGACGGAAGTTCCGTCCGAGCAATCGCACGCGCCGCCAGGGCCACAGGCATTGACTGCTTGTGTCAATTGGACGTGCTGAATCACGCACATCAGCAAAAGCAGACCAAAGGCAAGTCCTTTTGATCTCATCTGGCATCGGAGACACAAGCATTGGCGGAATATTCAAAGGTGAGCGCAATGTAAAATTCAGTCGCTCCATAGGTTGTCCCCCAATCTCTGTCCTTCGAAATTCCCACACACAGTCTGCAAGCTAGGCGTGTGTGCTGTTTGCTAGCTGCTCCTTTCCCCTCTGGGTCACGCTCAACCCCCTTTCCCAAAGTTGACCCGATTATCGCGCTTCAACTTTCCCTGCCCTCTGCGGATGATTTGCGTGCATACAGTATTGGAGCAGCCTTGCATTTTTTTCCAGAGGATGCTGGCGTCTGTTTGTCCACGAATGAAACGCCTCTGTCGATTTTCCGGGGGTGCGGGGGTGGTGGGGTGGTGGGATGGGGGTGGGAGAGAGGTGAGCGCCAGGGTCACCCGAGGGTCAAAACCCAAAACCCAATAAAGCAATCTACTACTCGTTTCTCCTGCCGACTGTCTTTGCTTCTAGTTCGGTGATTGCCGCCGCATTGAACATCGACATTGGGGGGCAGCTCGACGACAAGCTGGAGGGGCAAGCTGAGGGAGCTGGGGTTCTAAACCTCGTTCTCTGTCCCGGCCGCTCTTTCGCTTCTCTATCTCTCTCTCTCTCTCTCGCCTCTGATCCTTCGGATGTGCTCCTTGTTCTGTTGCAGCAAGCTCAATCCAGTCAAGATACAGAAGGGATGGAGCGGAAGCAACAGCGGGACTCGCAATTGGTGGAGGGGGGCCCTTATTGGCTAACCGTTGTCAAGTGGGAGAACAAATACAAAGAGTGATCATCGTCCTCGTCTGTTCGGCACATTCAAGTCAGTTGTGGCAATGAAATAGAATGCGACGCAGGGTCAATTGCGGGTGTTGCGCGCAGAGTGGCGAGGCGGCCAGCAAGGGATGGCCGAGTACAGTACCAACGAGTACAGTGACTTGTTTCACTTCGTTCGCTTTCGTCTGAATGAAACAAAGTTCAAGCCACAACTCACCCCCCCCCCGACTTGCATGGTCGAGCAGAAGAGCAAAGCAACATTAAAACAGGATTGGTGTTCATGAAGCTGCAATAGCTCAAGCCCACCCCCATTCAGGCCCGAATTCAGGTCGCACAGAAGATCAAACAATCGCAGTCATTTTTTGCTTGTGATTTTCTGCATTTTCTCAGACTAGCGCATCATTCACTTTATATTCTGCTTGTTTGTTCTTTGGCGAGCCACAAGTGAAGAGGAGGGATGAGCGGTGGTGCTGGCTCGGATTCTGACTCCAACCGAGCCATGGACTGCCCATCGCCAACCCACGCCAATGGTCCCCATCGTGATCATGGAGACCATCATCGCACAATGGTCACTGAAGCATCAGACCAGCCCGACTCACAGCCACCAGCGCTGCAAAGTCCTGCCGCCAACTGTATGCGGTTTAGCCGCCGAGACGCCGAGCTGGCCTTCCTCGACCGCGTGCTGGACCTCGCCGATACTACTGCTGCTGCAGCAGCCGTGTTGGATGGTGATGCAAGACCAAAGCCAAGGCGGGCGCACGGGCAAGGCGACGCGGTCGAAACGCCGACCCCAACTCCGGCTGCCTCGTCACTGGAGCACTGGTCTGGTGGTGGTGGTGGTGGTGAATGCATCCCGTTGCTGGAGCGCCTGCGATTCCTGGCGATTGTCGCGTCGTCGTTGGATGCATTCTCGCTGAAACGGCTGGGCAAGCTCGAGCTGGAACAGTCGCAAGCCAACGCGGCCGTCAAAGCCAGTCGTGCCGCTATGCCTGAGCGCACAACGGCGGCAACACCAGCGACGCCATCGTCGCAGCGGCCGTCAGACAGTCGGGACTCGACACAGACATCGATGGACGCTACGTCGGACTGGGCGGTGGGTGCCCTCCCATCCGAGCTACTCCCAGTGGCGCTGCTCCACCAAGCGCGTCGCGAGCAGCAGGCCGCAAGTCAGCCTGACAGTGGTAGTAGCAGCACTGAGGCTGGCAATGGCCAACCTGACACCAACAACTCGCAGCTACATCGGTTACAAAGTTCGTTAGAGCGGTACGCTGCGGCAGCAGCTCCAGATACGTCTGATTCCGTCGCTCCAACCACCAGTTCGGTCTTGCAATCAAACGACAAATGCATGGTGCTGCTGCCCGAGTATTTGCAAGTGAACCAGCACATTAGCCAGCTCGAGTGTCGGATGCGGCAACTCTTTGCGCGCCAGCTACAACCCGACCTTGCGGCGGTTGGAATTGACATTGTCACCAATCCAAACACCCTCTCCGTCGTCGAACGGTCGGAAGTTATTGCGCAGTGTGAAACCAAGCTGCTTCCGCATTTACGCATCTCGACAAAGCTCCCTCACCCAGCGTCCTTGGATGCAGCGGTTGGCACAATACACTTGTTTGTGGGCAGTGCCGCTGCCGTTTCTTTGGCGGGGCAAGCTGAATCCTCCTCAACAACTCCATTCTTCCCAAGTTGGTTTCGACCGTCCGGCGCCCAAGACCAAGCCGACGAGCAGCAGCAGCAGTTCTTGTGGATTGAAATTCCACCAGTCGCGGGCAAGTGGTTGTATCTGGCGCGAAAGAACGATCGCCATGCGTTTGTCCCGGTGGAAGTCGCCGTTGCGTTGTCTCTGCGCCAAGTGGCTGTCGAACACCCACAATTGCTTTCCCTCTTTGCCAAGCTAGCAATTCTTCCTCAGTCCACAGGAACTTCACTCTCGCCACCATATATCTGCGCAGGAGTGCACATACTGCGTGATTCTCACCCTCATGCAGATACGCCACGACAGGACGACGACTCTGCCTCCGAAATACCAATCCCCGAATCCATGTTGCAGCTCTTACAGGAACGACAGGACGCTCGCATTGTGCGATTCGTTGCCCAGCCGCTGTGTACCTGCTCCCTCCAGTCTCCGTGTCCAGCGTGTGCTCCAGCGGATACGATGCGCGCTGTCTATCAAACGTGGTTGTGGTCGCTAATGGCCCAACTCGACCTGCCGCTGGAAAGTGTCTTGCTCGTGCTGGCAAGCGGCCATCGAGCTGCTTCGGCCCACACCGCCACCTCAGCGTTGGCGGGACTTCCGGAACTCAGAATCGTAGAGCAGTCAGCTTCGCTGCTGCACTTGCATCGTCTGGACCAGTTAGTCAGCGCGGTCAGCAACCCGCAACTCAAGTTCCCGCCATGGCGTCCCGTGGTTCATCCGCTGTTTGCTTTCTTGCCAAATTCGCTGAACGAAATGAACCCCGAGATTGCCGACCGATTTTTCGAACGTCTCACCGAGCGCGACGTCATGGCGCATCATCCGTTCCACAGTTGGACCCATTCGGTGCTGGCCATGCTGCGGGCGGCTTGTCTTGATCCCAAGGTATGTGCTTTCCTTGCGTTGCTGGCCACGTTGAGTTGCTGTTGGTTGTTGAGCTTGGGGGTGGGGCGCTTATCGTTGCTCTCTCTCTCTCTCACACACATCGCGTCATTTTCGGTCAATCTGGTAGGTCACCGACATTACCATTAGCCTGTATCGCGTAGCGGAGAATTCGGCCGTGGTACAGAGCTTGGTGGAGGCTGCTACCACCTTTCAGAAACGCGTAACATGCATTGTCGAGCTCCGAGCCTCGCTGGACGAGGAACGCAACGCGTGGGCGGCTCGTCGGTTGCGAGATACGGGCCGTTGCCGCGTTCTGTTTGGTCGGCAAGCTTGGATTATGCACGCAAAGTTGCTGGTTGTGACGCGGCGAGAAGGCGGTGACAGGCCCGGGACCGCGGCGCCAACTGAGCGCCTGTATGCTCAGATCGGGTCGGGCAACTACAATGAGAGCACATGCGATCGCTACACGGACTTGAGTTACTTTACCTCCAACCCGCTGATTACTGCTGAAATTACCCAGCTGTTGGCGCGCGTCGCGGCCGAAGGAGTGCCAATTTGGCAAGAGGTTGTCTTGTGGTTGTCTGCGCTGCTTGCCGCTCTGGTCCTGTACGTGGCGGCCATTTTTTCCTTGTCGTTTTTCAAGCAACTGCTGGCCTCAAAGTCAGAAACACCGACCGAACCTGTCCCGACCTCGGCTTTGCCTGCCAGCGAAGAAGCAGAGTTTCCCACCCAACATGTTCTCGTTTCGCCTTTCAACATGCGCGATCGCTTTCTTGCGTTGATTGCGCACGAGACGGAGATGGCCAAGAGCAAAGCCAAGTCCGATTCCAGCGACGACGGGCTGCCAGACATTTTTGCGTGTTGCAATGCTTTGGATGACGGTGCGATCGTAGAGGCCCTGATTCAAGCTGCACAGGCGGGTGCTGTGAGTTTGAGGTCGCTGTTTGTTTGGCGGCCAGTCGAGATTTGAAAAGTAACTTTGTTGCTGCCACTTTTTTTTTTTTTTGTGGTTGCATTTTGGCAGAATATTTTCCTGTCGGTGCGAGGTCCAAGCCGTATCACTCCCAAGATGCGGAATATTCGCAGTTTGCGCATCATCAGCGTTGTTGGACGATTTCTCGAGCACACACGATTCTTCTACTTTCGCAACGGTTGGAGCGGCTGGAAGGACGCCAACGGCGAGCCTTCTAGCAACCCCAATTCGAACGATTCTCAGCTGGCCCTACCTAGATCTGGTCCGATGTACATTGTCGGCAGTGCAGATTGGGCCCATTCAAAGCTGAGCAAGCGCATCGAGGTACGAGAGGTTCACCAACAAGCTACTGTTTGTTCCCTTTTTTCCCCCGCAAGCCTCACCCCTTCCTTCACCCCTCTATTTGTGTTCCACAGATTGCTTTGCCTGTGCGCGACCCGTTGATTGCCTCTCATCTGGAACGTACGATGCGACTCTACCTCAGCACCTCGACAGCCTGTCAAATGCAAGAGGATGGCAGCTATTCGGTTCAGTCTGCAACGACTGCGCGCGCTGATGACGTGCAAGTTTCGCTCATGAAGCTCGTGCAACAATCTCGTCTCTAGACCCAACCCCGCTCGAGTAGAGCTCTCATATATCTTTTTGATTGATTTATTTTCATGTGTGTGAAGTTTACCATATGTACAACAATTTATTCTTCTGTACACAGCGCTGCCTTGACTGTTGCATCTGCGCTACTGGCTTTGAAGGTGCTTCCAGTACTGCTTTGTGCAATGGTTGACGAGCGGGATGACCTCTGTCTCGACGTTGGAGGCAATCGTGGTTGGCGACGCAAACGCCGGTAGCGCGCCAGACGTGACAAACTCGGCGTTGCGCTCCATCACCGCTTCGGCCATTGCTTTTGCCACCGAAAATCCGTACATTCCCGTGTTCTCGACCCTGAGGAAGAAGTGACGGTCGGGCGATTCTGCGCCTCCGGTCGTGCGAATGCGGCCGCTGATTTGAGCGACAACGCCGTCCGAACGCTCTGGGGATGCCACGACCTTCAAGCTGTCTACTTGGTTGGTGTTATGCTTGTGAGTGCTGGCCCGAGTGGACATTCGTCCAACGACGGGAGTGCAGCGTTGGTTCCATACGCCTGAATTGCGCTGAATGAACGCCAGCCTGCTGAGTTGGCCCGATGCCGGCTGTCCCATCGTCGTCGCCGATGCAATGGCAGCAGCGCCGGGCGCAGCAACGCTCTGCCCAACGAGACGCAGGAGTCGCGCGCTGTTCATTTCTGAGCTGTGTTTTGACAAATTTCAGAATTTCAGTCAGATTCAAGTCAGATTGTGAGAATTGAAGCAAAGCTGGCAATGAGTTGTGTGACTAGGATTTCTTACGAGGATAGTAAAAGACTGCACTTGTATGTACATACATGTAAATCTAACAGTTTTGAAGTCAGCTTCAGTCTTCAAGTCTCTCACAAATAAATGGATTCGGCTGTGATTGAGATTGAAAAGACTGCTGCTTACATTGCGAGCTATGAGAATGTAACTCACTATGCGCGCAAAACTCGGAATGAATTTGAGCAGTGTTGTGGTGGCACTGAGTGAATTCGGACTGACTGAGTGGATCTGGGCGTCTTGCTCAGAAGGCAGAGGTCGACTTTGAGCACTGTGTGACCGACCATCTGCGCGTGTCGGGCATCTACTGGGGCCTGAATGCACTGTGTCTGATGGGCATGCCAGATCGCCTGAACAGAGCGGCGACGGTCGCATACATTCGCGACTGCCAGCAACCGAACGGTGAGGCGGCGAGTTCATGCTTTTCCCAAATGGTGATCTCAGTCAAAGAGTACAAAGGTGATACGGATGTATTTTTTCTGAATGGTGTTGACTGGATGGATGATTGGACAGGCGGCTTTGCGGGAGCACTGGGACACGACGCAACGATGCTGCATACATACAGCGCAATCCAAGTCCTCTTGTTGGAGAAATCACTGCGATCTACGGATGGAACTATGGCTGATACGATTGATATTGCTGGCGTTATACGTTATGTAGCTGGTAGGTGTGCTCTCACAGTATTGGGGCGGGAGGGAATGGGAAGGGAACGTTCAACATTTTACAGACTGCAGATGACTTACGGTGTTGCTTGTTGTCGTTGTTGTGAATCACATCTCAACATTGTTACATTGGAGATAGGTTTGCAACAACCAGACGGATCTTTTGCGTGCGATGAATGGGGCGAGCGAGACACAAGAGCAACGTACTGCGCAATCGCCACGCTCTACCTGCTGAACGGACTCGACTCAATCAAGGTGGATGCTGCAGTTGCACATCTAATGAGATGCCAGAATTGGGATTTTGGATTCGGAAGTGTGCCTGACACAGAGTCGCATGCAGGTCAAAGTGAGTTTGTTTGCTCTCTGAGGCTAACGACAACTTGATCCTTCACTCAACCTTGCTTGTTTGCTTGTTTGATTGTTGGCCAGTATTCTGCTGTCTTGCGACGCTCGCGATCTTGAATCGACTTTCACAACTAGACCAACGCGCGCAGCAACAGCTCTCCGACTGGCTGGTTGAGCGGCAGCGTGATTCTGGCGGCCTGAACGGACGTCCTGGGAAGATTCATGATGTGAGTCTGCTCCCATGTTCGAGAAACAGTCGCACTGTATTCTTCTCGCTTGTGTTGACCATGTCCTTTGATGCAACATTTCCCTGTATAGGCGTGCTACGCTTGGTGGACTTTGGCTTCGCTTGCCATTTTAGACCCCTCTGGCTGGAAGTCCCGTATCAATCTAGAAGGCGCGTGTCAATACTTGATCTCGACACAAAATCGTTCTACGGGAGGGCTTGCCCCTCGACCGAACGAGCGAGCCGATGTTTTTCACACCCATTTCGCCATTGCGGGACTGGCCCTCCTTGGCCATGCATCCATCCAGGCCGTCGATGCTAGATTTTGCTTGCCCACGTTGGCATTACAGCAGTATCTCTCCCAGACGCCTTAAGTCGTGCACGGTGGACGAGCCGAACATCGCTTGTGTTTTGGGTTGTCCTGTTCTACGACAAAAAAGTGTATTTCCGCACCGTCACCAACAAAGAACAGTAAACTACACGCAAGACATCAATACAATCCAACTTCCATCAACAGCGAGTTTCACCGAGCTGACAAAATGTTTCTCAACGCCAAAATCAGTGCCGTCTCAAAAACAACCAACTCTTTGGTCCCTTAAACAGGGAAAGGACTGTCAAGAGCAGCGACACCAGCTGCAACGCCACCATCGTCAAAGGACGCAAGCTTGGAACGCAGCAAGTGACCGGCAGCTTCGTTCTTGATAATACGGCTGTCGTCGGCAATAAACACGCCGTAAATGCCGAGCTCGCTCACAATCTCGCCGCGCTGAGCCAGGCCGTGTCGCACAATGTAGTTGGCAACCTTGGGAGGAGTGATTCGGTCCATCAGGATGTGGGCAGAGCGTTGCTGGGCGGTCATGACGGTCAGAGCGCGCTGCAAATCCTCGCCGTACAGGTTGTTACCGCCGCCTTCGCGCTGGGGCTTGAGGACAAACTTGTGCGGCTGCTCGATGGCGGTTTTGACAATGGCGTCGCCATTCTCGTGAGGAGAGAGCGAGTACAAGCCCATGAAAACGCTCAGCATGTCTGAAATGACCTCCGGGTCGGAGATGAACTGCGCCAGCGCCTCGTGGGTGGAGAGAGCCTGCTGCACCTTCTTGGTGCCCGCAAGGTGGTAGCCAATGTTGGGGCACTTGATGGCACGCGAGCGCTCAATCAGGAGTCGGCCGTCCCACTCGTCTTCGGTCGGGTAGTCCAGCGGCGAGTAGCCGGCACGGAAGTAGGCCACGGCAACCTCCCTTGCATCCACCCAGAGTGCCTTTTCAACGTCGTCCAGGATTGCGTACGTGTAAATCTCTGTGAGCGTCTGACGGATCATCTTGACGTGGTACCGCTCCCAGAGCGTGTGCTCCATCCAGCGCTGGTCGTACGAGTTGTGCTCACCAGGCTGCACCACCATCATGATGACGGCGCCCGGTTTGTTGTAGAGACGCCAGGCCTGCGCCATGCCTTCCGCCAACTTGGCCAGCGCAACGTTCTCGGGCAATGCCAGATTTTCACTCTTAAAGTTGTGCCGTGACATGATGTACTCGTGCATGCGTGTGGTGATGGAGCCAAGACCGCCGAAGGACGCGGCAATCGTGTTGATTTCAACCTGCTTGAGTCGTGGTGTCTTGGAGGTCGAGGAACGATGGCGGGCGTCGGGCAGGGTGGAGACAGCCGTGGCGACCGAGTCGGACTGATCGTTCGCGGCGTCACCCTCGCGATCCACGCGCCTGCGCTTCTGTGCGTGGACTGCATCGCCTGCCGCGGCGTCGTCTGCGGCGGCAGCGGAGGCAACTTCCTCGCCATCATCATTGGCAGCAACGCTTTGAAGCGAGGCGTCGGCGTGAAGCATGTAATCGGCGCGATGGATGCCGAGAACGACCTTTTGGGTCTTCTCCTCTGCACTCACCGTCTTCAGAATGCTCAGCAAGTGTGCAGTGAAGACGTCGCTCTCCGCAGCCTCTGCGAGGGTGGAAGCGAGAAACTCGGGACTCTGGCTCACCCGGTGAATGAGCTCGTTAAAGTGCGGCTGGAGCGCCTGTGCCCGCTTGAGCTCTGCAGCCGGGATTGGCGACGGGAACAAGGTGAATGGCGCATGTGTGACTGTCGCAGTGACTGAGACGCCGCCGCCCGGGCGCCCAGCAACCGAGGCGGCACTCGCCGATCCGCCCGCCGCGCCGCCGCCACCGACGCTGCTCGATCCGCTTCCTGAAGCAGAACTGGGATGGCCGCCGCTTGCAGCGGACTTGCTCTGCGCGGCGCCTGCAGCAGATGAGGCCGACGACGCTCTGGCGGTGGCTGACTCTGCGTGCGCCATGGCCATGACGAGCTTTGGCGTCATGACGATGCCATGCGTGAGCGCATAGTCCTTGGCCTGCTCGACCAGCGCGTAGAGGAAGGCTTCGTGGACCTCCGGGACGGGGTAGGTTTCCGCGTACCAGGACGAGTCGAGCGTCGCGTCCACTGCAGCCGTCGCAGTCCCAGTAGCAGTAGTAGCAGTGGCAGTAGCAGTGGCAGTCCCAGTGGCAGTCGGAGTGGCAGTCAGAGTGGACGCAGAGTCAGCCGCAAGTTCGACCGTCGCTGAAGAAGGATCAACGGACATTTTAATTTTTATTTAAAATAAAATAAAAAGAAAAAACGGAGAATGAGCTCAAAAAAGCAATCTCAGAGATCAAAGATGCTCAGAGAACAAAAATGCGAGAACAGCAAATGCGTGAGATCAAAGATGAAAAGATCAAAAATGCTCAGAGGAACAGAAAGCATCACAGTGATCAAAGTGATCAAGGCTCAAAAAAGCGCAAAGAACAGATCAGTGGCGCTTCAATGAACTCGGCTCAAGAACAAGATGATGCTCAGCTGAACGACCAGATGCTCAAGGATCAGAGAGCTCACAAGACAAGACACTTTGCAAAAGATGCTCAAGAACAAAGATGCTCAAGAACGTTGTACTTTTGTTTGGATGAACTCGGGCTTTGTGCGAGGAGGCCTCGGATTTAACAACGAAGCAGTAGGATGGGATGGGAATAAGCAGAAGCGGGGTGGAGGGGGGCGCAAGTCTCAGTCTCAGTCTCAGTTTCGTCGCGTGCTGTTTCCCCTATTTTCTGAGCCTTTTTTCGTTTTTCGTTTTTGGGTTTTTGGATTTTTTGCGAAATGCGGCTGTCGACTCGCACGCTGACTGTTTCCGTGCTCGTTGGCGTTTGCTTACTGGTCGCATTTGCAAACCGACCAACAGCATGGCCGACTCTGCCGACAGTGCCAGTGGTGGCGCAAGTCGTGTCTGTCGTGTCTGTCGTGACGGCCGAACCAGCGGCGCCAGGCGACAACCACCGAATCGACGGCACTGCCGCTGATGCTGACACTGAAGAAGAACCTCCCATCACGCCGCAGCTTCAGTGGCGTGCAGAGGTCTGCGAGCGGACGGCGCTCGACTGCGCCACTGCGATTGCGCCATGCGTCGACCGCCCGCCAGACAGGCGACACGATCCGATCGCGTTCAACTTGCCGTTCAGTCAGGACGTGTGTGAGACTGAAATCCGGCCCATCGCGGGCTGCTATCCGGACGAGCTCCAAAAGTGCCTCCAGCGCGGCGCCGGCCAGAACAAGTGGATTGTCTTTATTGGCGACTCTGTCACTCGCAAAATGTTTGAGAGAACCGCTCTCTTGCTTGGTCCCGAGGTCTTTGAACCGCTCGAAATGTCGGGGGACAGGCACAATCGCTTTACCATTGCGCCACATTACGAGTAAGAGCGGACCGGACTGATCGCTGTATTGTTTGTTTGTGTTTGTTTGTTTGTGTGTTTGTTTGTTTGTTTGCGTGTGAATGTCTTGTGGGTGTGCCTCTTGGTTTGTTTGGCACGTTGTCTCACCGCGTTGTGCATTGCACGCTGACAGAAACAAGGAATTCCTGGCATTCGGTCAGGTACTTTTGACAGAGCTGTTTATCGGTGGCTCAACAGACGAACACTTGCTGGACAATTTCAGAGTGGGACTGCAGCTCCCAGAGGAAGACCGCCTTCGGCTGCTGGCCCGGCAAGGCTTGGGCGCTGACAGTTTGCTTTATCGCAAGCCAGACCGCGTCTTTGTCAATGTGGGGCTGTGGGATTCGCGCGATGTTCCAGTGCCTCAATACCGAGAACAGCTTTCAAAGTGGCCTTTGTTCTTCCACAACGAGATGAAGCTGTCGGCCGACGCTATGGTGTGGCGGTCGACAACACCGACATCCGATCGACTGCCTACGCAAGATCCAAGCCGTGCTGAAATGACGGTTGGCAAAATTTCCGCCATGAATGACGTTGCGTACGACATTTTCGTTCAAACCTCGGGCTGGCACTTTCTCGACCAGTTCAACCTCGTTGGTGGTTGGGACGCTTCCAAGCGAGAGCCCCTGATTGCAGGCGATCGTTACCATCCCTTGCTTTCAGTCATCTGCATGCTCGCCGAGTATGCCCTCAACTCGATTTGCATGCTGCCACCACCTTGAGGGGGGCGTGTTTTTTGTGTCCTTGACTTTGGCTTTTGCGAATGCTGTATGTGAAAGTGTGTGTGTGTGCTATTTGATGTCGAGCTTGGGGTTTCTCGACCATTACAGTTTTATTCTCGTTGCAACGAATTGAGTGAATAAACAGACTGAATGAAAGAAATACCATCATCAAATAACTTGAATGTATGGTCGCGGTTACATCAACCCAAAATTGATTGTTTCGAGTCGTTCAAGTGAATGATTTGCTTTGCTCAATCGTGATGAATCGTCCGGCTGCTACATAACATGGAAGTCTGCCAAGCTCAAGCTCAAGTCAAGTCAGTCCAGCATCAAAGCCTCCACTTCAATTGCGTTATTATTGGATTCTCAGATTTGAACAATTTGCTTTTGGATTTTGATCAACAACGCAAGCAGGAGCGTGCCGACCTCGAATGCTTTGGCGGAGTGTCTGAAACACGTCTGTTTGCTTTTGCGTCGAAGGCTCCATTACAAAACGACTGCGAAAAGGACTGAGCAGCTCAGATGTATTCTCAGATACTCTATCATGCTTCTGACGGAATGGGTGCTTGGCCACAGAACGTGAGGGTGGTGCAAAAACCAATGGATTCAGTCTCAAACTTTGAGATCAGTGGACGTTGCAATGAGCCAAGTTTCTTCCCTCCTTCCCTCTTCTCCAGAGCTGGCTGCAATTCACAGATATTCGTGATAGTGTAATAACTGCCCTGCTTCAAAAGAAACGCTCTTCCGTATCAGTTTGCCAATAGTCTAATAAAGCTCGCTTTTGTTCGTTTTGTTACATTTCAATCCTCCCACTTCGAAGCTCATGAATGCAACTACAAAATCAGGATAATCAGAACAAACTCAATGCAGTACAAATGAAGATGTGCAACGTCACAGCTCACTCTCTCTGCATTGCTGTGACGTAGGTTTGGTTTGTTCACAACATCTCAAATCAAACAAAACAACAATCTTGTTCAATCTCGTTCAAGATCAGCCGTTGCTTGTTTCTGAGGGCCGCTGTTGGGCTGTCGTCCCAACAACTTCGGAGGGCAGCTGGTGGACTGTCGGTTCACCAAACGCGAAGCTGAGGCGGGGAGAGGAAGGAAGGGAGGACTGTATGATTGTAATGCGTGAAGCTTGTGACCTCCAAACACCATCAACAGAAGGATCAAACAGCTTGTGCCTTGGGGCATGGTGGGGGCATGGCTGCTGCTGCTGCGGATGGTGGAGTGACAAATAGAATCGTCTGCAAAGTTGCTCTGTGCAGCAGCAGCGATCAGAGACTGATGAGCAGGGTCGAAAACACTCAGAGAATCCACTCATTTGTTGTGATTGTTTGTGTTCAGGTTTGCCATGCCGCTGTCTTGCGAGGCGATGACGCCAGAACAGCGCCAGTGGTATGAGCAAGTCAAGAATGCGAGTGGTGAGCTCCTGTAAGAGAGCAAAAACAAACAGACAAAAGTGCTGAATTATGACACTGACATGAGGCGACAGTTTAAGTTGGTGCAAAATTGGTGATGTTGAAGCGCAAGCAATTGCTGAAGCACTCGAGGTGAACACGACGCTCATCAAGCTCAAGTAAGTTGACTGGCCGTGATGAATGAGATTGAGCGACAGATCAGGGCAGCCGAAGCTGACAATGCCTTGCTAGTCTGCTCTCCGGTCAGATTGGTGATGCTGGAGCAAAGGCAATTGCTGAAGCACTCAAGGTGAACACAACGCTCACCCAGCTTCAGTAAGTTGACTGCCAGTGATGAATGAGATCGAGTGACCGATCTGAGCGGCCGAACCGTGTCGCTGACGGTAGTGTGACAGCCTTTCAACAATCCAACTGTTCAACAATCAAATTGGTGATGTTGGAGCGCAGGCACTCGCTGAAGCACTCGAGGTGAACACGACGCTCACCCAGCTTGAGTAAGTTGACTGGCAGTGATGAATGAGATCGAGTGACGGATTCGGGTTGCCGAACCGTGGCACTGACAGGAGCGTGACAGTCTTCACGGCAATCAGATTGGCGAGGTCGGAGCGCAAGCAATTGCTGAAGCACTCGAGGTGAACACAACGCTCACCAAGCTCATGTAAGTTAATTCGCCAGCAAGATTCATCGACGAGTTCTTTCACTCAATGCCTCAACAGTTTGAGCGACAACCAGGTTGGCGACGCTGGGGCTCTTTCCATCTCGAAAGCACTCCAAAAGAATACGATCTTGCAAAATCTCAGGTAAGTGCTTCAATGTTGAATGCCCAGCAATAGCATTACTCACTGTGCAATCGTTAGTCTGGCATCGAATCAGATCGGAGACGCTGGGGCTCTTTCCATCTCAGAAGCACTTCAGAAGAATACGACCTTGCAAATTCTCAAGTAAGTGCTTCAATGTTGAATGCCCAACTGCGCAACTCACTGTGCAATCGTTAGTCTGTGGCTTAATCAGATCGGAGACGCTGGGGCTCTTTCCCTCTCAGAAGCACTTCAGAAGAATACGACCTTGCAAAACCTCAAGTAAGCCGTTTCAACGTTGAATGCCCATCAACGCAACTCACTGTGCAATCGTTAGTCTGTGGCTTAATCAGATCGGAAACGCTGGGGCTCTTTCCATCTCGGAAGCACTCCAAAAGAATACGACCTTGCAAAATCTCAAGTAAGCCGTTTAAATGTTAAATGCCCAGCAACATCATTTCTCACTGAGTAATTGTTAGTCTGGAGTTCAATCAGATCGGTTATGTGGAGGAAACGGTTCTCCGCCACAGTATCCATCCAACCTTGCGATTGTAAGTTTTCCGCTTCGTCCGAGTTTGTCCAACGTCCCCATTCTGCTCTCACTTTTCCCGCCACTTTCAGACTCATTGATAGTCAGGATAGATCTGATTCGGCTTGATGTCAGGAAGTCCGCGTAGTCGTTCTTGGAGATCCTTCAGTCGGCAAGACCTCGCTTGTTCGGGGAATCGCCGACGGTTATGTTCGACAGGCGTTCTCCAATATGTTCAGCATTGCCAATTCCACCGATGGTATTGATATTTCGACAGTCATTCTGCGTGCAAAACACGAATCCATGATTTTGATCGTTTGGGATTTCGCTGGTCAAGAAGTCTATCTGGTTTCGCACCAGTTCTTTCTTCGTGAACGAACAGTCTACTTGGTCTTGTTTGACGTGCGTGAAGACTTATCACTCAATTCGCGCCTTGCCTTTTGGCTACGCAGCTTGCACGCTTGCGTTCCAAACGCCGATATCATTCTCGTTGGAACTCACATTGATGATCCGTCATACACTTCGGAGCGGCAGCAAGAGCAACACCACAATCTTGCTAATTTGCTCAGCACCTTGCAAGAATCAAGTGTTTCGTTTAACGTGCGTTCGACCGTCTACATTAACGCGCGGAACTCTACGGGGGCCCCGAGCATGCCGGAACTCAAGACTGCATTGTTTCAAGCGGGACAAGACATGCCATTCTACGATCGGCCATTGGATGGCCGATACATTCAGTTCAGAGACTCGCTCCGAAAGCGAGCTGATCGGTTGACCGCCCAGAAACAACCACCCCTCTGTCGATGGCATGAAATTGTCGAGCTTGGCCAGTCGCAGAGTCTCAGCGGGCGAGCAATCGATGCATTCATGCAGCTCTTGCGTTTTCAAGGCTGGGTCGTTTTCCATCGTCTCGCCAATTCAGCGACCCCAGACACGTCCAATGTTCCCGCGTTGCAACCTGCCACTCTCCTCGCTTCGTTGGACGATATAGTCATCTTGAACCCTCAATGGTTCACGAAAACAGTCCTGACTGGAGTGATTACCCAGAAACCTCAAGATCGATGGGTCAAGGATGGCATTGTGACTCGTGCAAATCTGCATCAAAACGCTTGGAAGGGCATCGATTCTGCGATTTGTGATCAGTTTGTGCTGCTCCTTCAGCGATACGAGCTCTTGTACAAGATGAGCGATGGCGATCAGCCTGGAACCGATTCTGGCACTCGCTATGTCATCCCTTCGTACCTGCCAGCTTACGAGTTTGACCCTAGTAGATGGTCTCTGAAGCCTGCAGCGGGCGAGCCGCATGAAGTTGCTATTGTGATGGAGACCAAGTTTTTGCTGGAGGGATTTTTCTCGAGGCTGCTTGTGCGCTTTCACGAGCGGAAATTCAATTTGATGGCGTGGAAAGATGCTGTTCTGGTCAATTACGGCGGTCCTCGAGCACTACTCCGTGTTCATCGCAACGCTTCCAATGTGCGCCTCGAGTTTACCGTGCGAGGGCAACATCCAGAGGAGCTGCTGCCAACCCTGATTGAGATACTGGACAAGCTCAGCTCGGATTGGTATCCTGGAATCTCGTGGGAAACCTACCTGCGCTGTCCCATGCAGGTGCCTCATGACAAACCGTGCAGGTGGCTGCTCCGACCTCAAGTTCGAGACGCGGTGATTGACAAGATGAAAAACTTATCTTGTTCGCACACGCTCGCCACTTTCCGCCAGGAGGAATGGCTTCCTGTTCTCAGCTCGCTTTTGCAGCGTCGCTTGAACGCAGTTTCGCAACCCACACCGGAGGATATCGAAGCGCTACGGCAACTCGAGCCGCAACCGGCACCGGCGAGCGAGATCCAAACAGCAGCGACGGAAGCTGCATCACTTGTCGCAGCACAACTGATTGCATCTGGAAAGCAAGCATTGCAGGAAGTTGGTGCGGCGGCCATCCATTCTGTTCGCGAAGTCGAGAAGCAAGTGACTTCCTCTGGAGTGCAGCAGCTTCAAAAAATTGCCGGCCAGTCATCGCAGGACTTGCAGCGTTTCAATAAGGCTTTGGATGGCATCATTGGATCGATTCCAAATGCGGTCAAAACTGATCCTGTCGAGTTTGATCGGCTGATCCAGTCTACAGTTTTGAAGCGCATCGATGAGCTTGCCAAAGCTTTGGATTCGAGATTTGACGCAGCAGAATCTTTGCAAAAGGAGCAGAAAGATGAAATCGCTCGTTTTTTCACGAGTCAAGTCCAAATGCAGCTGGACTTGCTGGACAAACCATGCCCCTTGTTGTTTGTCGTGGTACCTCCGACCAAGAAGTGGCATTCCAAACTCACGGATCTTTACAAGTCAAGCCACACTGCGCACCTGCTATGCGCTCACATGGGTACCAACAACCAGCCCGAGTGGCATCGTATCGACAGTCATCCCGGCTACGAAATTGCCAAGTTTTCAAAGTGGCTGAAAAAGTATGGTTCCCGTGTTCGAAGCCTGCTTGAGTTTGTGCGTCCGTTCTTGAAGGTAGCCAGTTTGGCTCCTGGTGGACCAGATGTAACGGATGCGGTTGATTCAGCCATTACTGCTTTGGAAGACCCGCTCGAGGCTCTGCCCTACTTGCAAAGATTGCTCGACCACGCCGATCAGAAAAAGGGTTCCAGCGCGAAGGGAAAGCAACCAGCGCCTGCATCTGCTGCTTCCTCGGAAGTCACACACTCGTCCCAAGAGGCAGCAAGGGAATGGGCTGCTTTCCTATCCAAGAAAGACGAGTACAAGTCCTTTGCCGGTTTGGAGCGAGCTGTTGTGCTCAGCACTGGTGAGGTTCGTTGGGTCTGTCCGACGCACGCGCGAGAGTCCATCTATGGCACCAGCTCCATTTCGAGCAGCTCGTCCGCCGGCTCCTCTAGCAATGCGCCAAGCAGCTCTTCCAGTGGCAACGTTGCTAGCAGCTCCTCCAGTGGCAATGCTACAAGCAGTTCCTCCGCGCCATCCACTTCAACACCGTGATGCAGGCACGTCGTGTTTTGTCTTCACTCGCTGTCAAGATTGTGCTTTCATGTCTGATTCTTTTCAATTGTGTGCATGTTCTCGTTGCAACGAATTGAGCGTTGAATGTACTTTGTTGACGGAGGTTTCTTCCTTGTACCCGTGCTCTGAGGCTGGGCTGAGCTGGTGTTGTCGTAGAGAATAGAATACAGTGCTGTACTTTATTCAAGCCTCGGTCGGATGGATGTCGGGTGACGTTCGGGTGATCGTCAGACTGTTGTGTTTTTGCCACCCTTTTGATTTGTGCTCTTGTCCACTTTGAGCTCCCGAGTCTTTTTGATGCTGTTTTATTTCTTACTCTATCTTGTGATTGTGTATCTCGTCTTTTGCCCAGTTTAAGTTTGAGATCCACGTTCACTTTTCATTTTTGTTTGCTTCTTTGATTGTAAGTGAAAGTCAAAGTGCGCTGCTTTTTTTGTGCTTATTCCGAAACCGCATTTTCCCCCTTTTTTTCGTTTCAATCTGTTTCAATCTCCTTCCGCTGTCCACCTTCTCCGTCTTCTTCTATTGCTGCGCTTTTCTTCTCTCGTTTTCAAAGTGTGAATGCGTCTTGTGTTTGGATGGATGATACAACCGTGAACACGCGGCGGAGCGTTTTTTTTTTTCTTCTTCTTCCACAGTGTCCGGTTTCCCTCTCTATCTCTCTATCTCTCTCTCTATCTCTCTCTCTATCTGTCTCTCTCTCTCTATCTGTCTCTCTCTCTGCTTTGATGCTTGCTTCTCTTCCCTTCCTCTTCCCATCACTGCCAAGAACAGATCTTCACACATGTTCAACGGGTCGTTTGCTCTCTCGTTTTCTACCACAATGCGCCTTTTTTTTTTTAAATTCTTCGGTTTTCCCGCGCAATTTTTCCTTTCTCTCTTTCCTCTCCTTCGACCCCCACTCAGTCCCTTCCGCTCTCTCCTTCGCGCTACCCACCACATTGCGAAATCCGCTTATTTTGATGCAATACTCCTCCTCTTTTCCGTGGTGATTATTGATGATGATGTCATGAAAAATCGCTTCGACTCAATTTTCCGTTCTTATCTTCTTATCTGTTGTCGTGGTTTTTTGTTATCTGCCCAACAAAATATCACGAGCTTTTTCGTATCGTAACCATTTAAAACCGAAACTTTTAAACATACGAAAAATATCAGTCTTTTTTTCAATAATTGTGCGGTTTTTGGCTTTTCTTTTTTTTTTTCTTTTTTTTTTTTTTTTTCTATTGTTCAGTTCAAACTGTGACCAACCGAGTGTCCGATCGATGAGCTGGATTCGAACTGCATTTGACTCACTTCTCATATGATCGCTTGCTTGGATCATCTTGTTTTGTTTGTCTGTCGGACCTCAAAGCAGCTCAAACCCCCAGAATCAAAATCATCATCATGGACGCAACGGCAGTCAACTCATACAAGAAGGTCGCCTCGCACGAGGCCCACCGTGGCGAGTTTGCCACCTGCTTGCTGCTGTACAGCGGCGGTCTCGATACGTCCGTCATGCTCAAGTGGATCCAGGAAGAGTACAAGTGCAGCGTCATTGCGCTCACGCTCAACCTCGGCCAAACCGCCGACGATCTCACCGCCATCCGCGAGAAGGCGCTCATGCTGGGCGCCAAGGAAGCCATCGTCGTGGACGCCACCGACGAGTTTGCCGACGACCTGCTCGCAGAGGCCATCAAGGCCAACGCCGACTACCAGGGCGGATATGCGCTCGGCTGCCCGCTCGGCCGAGTCATGATTGCCCGCATTGCCGTGCGCATGGCCGCCCAGTACAACTGCCAAGTGGTTGCTCACGGCTGCACCGGCAAGGGCAACGACCAGGTCCGCTTTGAGAGCTACATTACCACCCTCAACCCCAAGCTCAAGACCATCGCGCCCGTCCGCGAGTGGGGCATGGGCCGTGACGAGGAGATTGACTATGCTGCCAAGCACAACATCCCCGTCAAGCAGAAGAAGGACTCGCCATACTCGTACGACGAGAACATGTGGGCCAACACTGGCGAGGGCGGTGAGATTGAAAACCCCGAGCTGATTCCCCCGCTCGACCGCATCCTCCAATGGTGCAAGACCCCAGAGGCCGCCCCGGAGACCGCCGAGACCCTCCGCGTGGACTTTGAGAAGGGCGTCCCCGTCGCCATCGCCATCGAGTCGCCCGACGCTGCCGGCGCCGTCGCTTCGGCCTCCAAGCCCCTTCCCCGCCAAAAGCTCTCCGACATTATCCGCTTTGCCAACAAGATTGGCGGCAACCACGGCGTTGGTGTCTTCCAGCTGATTGAGGACCGCGTCGTCGGCCTCAAGGTCCGCGGCGTGTACGAAAACCCTGCCGCCACCATTCTTATTTCGGCACACCGCAAGCTCGAGTACCTCGTCTCGACTCGCGAGGAGAACGAGCTCAAGTACATTATGGATAACAAGTGGGCATACCTCACCTACGGCGCCAAGTGGTACGACCCCGTCATGTACCACATCCACGCTTACATTGAGAGCCAAAACCAAAAGGTGTCCGGCACCGTCTTTGTCAAGCTGTACAAGGGCAACGCCACCGTGGTTTCGCTCTCCTCGCCGCACTCGCTTTTCGATCACAGCCTGGCCACCTTCAACAAGTCGGCCACCTTCAACCAGAACGCATCGGCTGGCTTTATCGAAATCTGGAACTTGCCCCAAAAAACCGCCCACTCGGTCTACAACTATGGTGCCGCAATGGATGCCCAAGGCAACGGCGGTGCTGCAGGCCACGGCTTGGCGTATGTCTCCAAGTAGAGATCTAGTAGTTTTGTGAATTTTGACAAAAGAGGGGTGAACGAGGATTTGTAAATCTACAAAAAGTTACCATTCTACTGTATTTTCCGTTGCGCATTGTCTGAATCGACAAGCTATGGATGTGCATGCTTTCGGTAGAATTGAGGTGGGGCGGCGGGGAGCCGGGGAATTTTTAAAAGAAACAATAGAATCAAGCAAGTAACGCACACACAACGGCTTCAACGACAAAATCACTTGCGATGTTGAGCGCAAAACTCGGCAAGGCGCTCGTACGCGATTTTCAGCTTGTCCTTGGGCACGGTGATGACGATTCGGAAAAAGTTGGGGTAGGCGAAGCACTGCATACGGAAGCAGAGCAGAACATGAGCATTGGACAACCAAAGAAAAAAACAAAACAGTCGTAAAAAAAAAAAAAAGGAAAAACCTACCGAGGCAGGAAGAGCGAAAACAGACTGCTCTGTCACAAGCTTTTGAACAAAGTCCATGTCATTGGCAATGTCCTTGAACTTTTCAATTTGGATGCCCACCTGTCGAAACACACCAAAAAAAAAACCCGTGAATTTTTCATCCTGCCTGCAGCCCACTTCCTCCTGTCCCAAGAACGCTCGCCGAGACATTCTTCTCACCATAAAATACATGGTACCCTGCGGCATAATCGGAACAAGACCGTCAATCTTGCCCAACATCTCATAGCTCAGCTTGGCATGCTCTTCAATGGTCGCGAGCGTCGCTGTCAAGAAGCCGCGCGGGGTCTTGTGGAGCATGGTCGGCAAAGCATCTTGGACGATGGTGTTGGCACCAAGAATGAGCGTCGTCAACTTGAGCAAGCCTTCGCGGATCTGGTCAAATTGCAAAGTCGATGTCAGAATCAACCACAACAAACTACAAAAATGGAGCTCCACGACACGAAAAGAAAAAAAGTCAAAGTACCTCCTTGAAGGTGTTGTTGCGATCGTGAATCATCAGCCAGCCGACACGCCAGCCGGGAACGAGGAACTGCTTGGCAATGCCGCCACAAGCGAGAATGGGCACGGTCTTTGTCAAAGGAGCCATGGGCTCAAAGACTTGACCCGAAAAGACCATGTCGGCGTAGATTTCGTCCGAAATGATGGGGAGGAAGTTCTTCTCGGCCACTGCGGAGTTGCAGGAGACAACCAAAGAGGAGAACAGAGCAGGAATGAATTAAAACAAACCAAGGAAGCAAACAGCACAGCGGTCGCAAAATACGCGCCGTACGCTGCAGAATGTCGAGCAAGTGGGCACGGCTGTAGTTGGAGCCACACGGGTTGGACGGGTTGTTGACAACAATCGCTGCAGTCTGGTCGTCAACGAGCGACTGCAAGTGCTCCAGGTCGATCTCCCAGTTCTTCTCCGGCTGTTTTTGGCCCCCGCCCCCAAAACAGACCATGACAAGAAGTAAGATTCTCGTGCAATGCAAGTCAAGAATAAAACTCAAGCACAACCCACAAGTGACCGCAAACTCGCGTGTGCTTTACCAGCAAATTGTAATGGCGGACTTTGATGCCCTTGGAGTCGGCAAGAGTCTGGTAGAGCGAGAATCCCGGGCGAGGGATGAGAATGTTCTGGCCCGGGTTGGCGAGCGCCGTGATGGCCAGATCGAGCGCACCAGAGCAGCCCGACGCGATAATCACGTCCTTGCTGGTGAGCGGGGCATCCGGGTGCGAATAGCGCTCCGCAACGGCCTCGCGAGCATGCTCGTATCCGGTGGAATGCGTGTATCCATTCGCTTTGGAGGACTTGACTGCGTCGATCACTGCGTCGACCACCGAGTCGTGCGTCGGCAAATTTCCAAAGACGGTCGGATCGCCTGTCAACGAGAAACCGCGCAAAACCAACTGTGAGTTTGGTACAAAATTGATTGATGTAGACGACTGATGATGATGATGATTCACCAGTTGTCGCTCTTCAATGTTCAATGGGAGAGTAACGTTGGAGTTTTTCCACAGCAGCAGCAGTGTGGCTGTGAGTAGGACACATGCGTTGCGTCCACATCAGCAAGACCAGCACCCAACCCCCCTCCACACTCGTCGCGCATGACCGCAGCACAAGAGGCTGCGTATGTCATCCACATGTCCAGGCGACCCCCATCGCGCAGAGTCACAACGCTGGGAGGACGAGCAACAGCCGAGCAACAGCCGAGACAAAGAGCCGTGACCCTCATCCAAAAAAAAAAAAAAAAAAAAAAAAAAAGGGAGGAGGCTTCAATGGGACGCTGACCATCATCAGAAGTACAAGGGAGGGGAAGGGAGAGGAAAGGGGGAGGGGGAGGGGGTGTTCGTACCGATGGAGACGGAGATCAGGTCCTTGCCGGGGCATGGGACAATCTTGAGCTGGTCCACAATGGCGCGGATTGGGTTGCTGGTGTGCTTGGCCGTCTCGGACTGCTTGACATCCCAGCCAGTGCGCGTCATTATTGAAGTGATGTGTGAATAAGTGATTGGATCACAAAATGAAGAGTGAGAGAAAAAAATGCTCCAAATGGAACAAGAAGATGCTCGAGTTGAGAATGGTACATTTTGGGAGTAAAAGCAGAATTGTAAAAACCTCAGACACACTCAAACACGACAACACATCCGCAAGGAAGAGTAGGACAAGAGAAGAAGCAAACACAAAAACACACAAGCAAAAGGGGGGGGGTATTTACAACAATAGTCGAGTCGCAAAAAGTCGATAGTAAAGATTACTACTTTGTCGCCCATTGTTCAAATAGTTGCATCGGTGACCTTGGCCTTCTTGATGCGCTGCAGCTCGACGATCGGGTTGCACTTGATACTGGCATTGATGCTGTTGATCCAGTCGTTCATCTCGTCTCCGTTGGCAGCACAGATCAGATAGCGCTCGTGACGACCTGGTATGATGACGAACGAAAACAGCGAATGAAAACAAATGAGCAACCTGCCATCAAAATCGAGTCCCCCATTAGCCAAGACGTTGTTGATGTGCCTTGCCTTCGACCACGGTGCCGTCAGATGATGTCTTGCAGGCCTTGATGAAACCGTCCGTTGCGTTGTAAATCTCAAAGCAGTGGGCTCGCTTGGAGGCCACACTGACATCGCGCACTCGCAAATCCTCAAGCGGGATGATGCCGAGCGGGTGGGGATCCTGTTGATACGGAGCAAAGTGAGTTCGTGCAGTATCGTTTAATTTCGTTTTGTCTCTTTGTGGTGAAACGCGGTCAAAACCGCCCCCAATTCGCCAAATGCGTAATCATCCCTTACAGCCGTCTCCTTGAAGTAGTACAGGCAGTTACCAGTCAAGACAAACCATCGCTTGCGCCAGTTCTTTTTGCGTCCGCCTGCAAAAGTGCAAAAGTCGGCAAGTGAGACACTCGAACGACAACCAACCCGAAACTAGCTACATCCCAATTCCCGAAAATAAAGCAATGAATGGACATACCTTGCTTGGTCAGCCAGCCTTCTCGCTCGGGGTTGAAGAACGTGTACGACATGTCCGTCCCGTCTTCGTCTTTTGGCATTTCCAGCTCTTCGTTCTTGATCCGATCGTACAGCACCTGCACCAATGAGCCGACGGAAAATGAGATGTCTGGCAAGTCGTGTGGTTCTGAGCGACACAAAGGATATACGCACAGAGAGGAACTCTGGTGCCAAATCTTGGCCCTGATTGATGCCACGATTGTTCTTGATAAAGCCCTCGAGCGTAATCTTATTCTTGATGCTCGGATTATGCAAGTCCGTGTTGAGCATGATAATTGAGAATGCCAGAACGTAGCAGGTGTCTACAAAATTGCCAAACAAACAAAAGCGGGGATGAGACAATACGCAAAACCAAAACTCCTTGCAAAACCCCACTTTTCGTGCTCTCCGCTAAACTGCGCTAAACTCTGCGCTAAACTCACCTGGATGCGCAAATACGTCCGTGTTTTCCTTGCAGTACTTGTCAGCGAAGCGTTCCATCATGCGATCAATCTTCTGGGCCTCTCCAGGCAGGCGAAAACTCGACAGGAATTTTCTGTTCCAACCAACGAGAATTATGTTGAAGCATGAGTGCACAAAAAGTCTCTGCGTGAACATTGTCCATCGAGCAGAGAGAGCAACTTTTTGAACAAACCTTAATGCGGTGTCGAACGTCATGCCTCCGAATTTTTGCAAATCAACAAAACGCTGCAACGTAGCGAGGTTGAACTCCTTCCTGCACTCGCGGCAGCGGCGATTGGTGTTTGAGCGTCGACCGCGAAACAAGCAGCACAAAAGACAAAATAATACAGTGAGGACAAGTTGGATGTCGCGAGAGAGAGGAGGGGGGCGCGTTGAAGAGAAGATCAGGAACATGCCACGCCGACAAAAAAAAAAGCCGTACAGCTCGCCGAGATAATCGCCAATGGCAGTCTTGCTCAGCATGTCGCTCTCCAGCAAGAACTTGGCGACTGCTTCGGGTGTTAGTTGAATCAGGCCATTGTCGGTGAGGTATTGGAGGCCCTGTTGTTTTCGAAACGAGGACAGAATTGAGCGTTTTCACGAAATCGCAGAACTGAAAAGCAGGCAAACACGTCTCAACTGGCTCACCTTCTTTGGATCCATGTTGAACTTTTTCTTGCCAATGTTGAGCTGACGGGCCTTCAGGGCCTCGTCATCATCAGGGCTGTCAAGCACCAATCAACGAACGAGAAATGAGAATGGTCAACATTGTGTCCATTCAGCTTTGCGGGAATGCTCACGCAGTGTCTGCTTTCGGTGCCTGAGCGTCCAGCGCAGCGAGCTCTGCTTGGATTTTGGAGACCTCCTCCTTCAGGTGTCGGATTTCTTCCCGCAGGCGCTCCTTGCGCTGACCGAGCCGTGCGACCGTCCTGCGTTCGGACGTGTTGAGATCGGCACCCAGCAAAGGTTCTCCGCCTGCCACGCCGACAAGTACCGCACCACCAAAAAGCAAGTCCACCAAAATCAATTTGCTTGCAGGGTGAGATTCCAGCCACACAGAATAGCTTCCCATAACGTCGAGTCAGCCAGCCAAATCGTTGTTACCAAGTGTCATCTGAGCAGGTATTTCGATGGGTTTGTTGCTTGGAACTCGAAATCTCAAAGGAAGGGGGGGGGTTTGTTTGAAATTCCTTGATCTCACAGAAAACAATGATGATGATCTGACCAAGACAAGACAAGACAAGACAAGACAAGACAAGACAAGACAAGCCAGCGATCGACAGAAAAAGTGAGCAAGTTCAAAGTTTGGTTATAAAAAAAAAATAGAAAATAAAAAATAAAAAATAAAAAAATAAAAAATAAAAATAAAAATAAATGCTGATATCGATCATCCGTTTCTTTGCTTCTTTGCTGGAGTTGCGCTGCAGTCTGCCTCCAGCCAACGTCTTCCCTTTACTTTTCTTTACCTTGCTTCCCATTTCCTCGCTTTGGTGGCTGCCGAGCACCCCAACACCTAGCCGTTCCAATGCAATGCCACTGATTCGTGGTTTTGTCTTTTTTTTCCTTTTTTTTTTCTTTTTTTTTTTTTTTGTCTTCTTCCAGTTCGTTCAGCGTTGACGATGGAGCAGCACGCAACACACAGCAACAGCATCAACACAAGGCAATGGAGCACCGAACGACCACAAGCGCAAGAAGGTCGACCCGCCGCCGATGGACTCCCTCCGGGTTGACGGCAGTCAAAAACCGCTAGCTTCCGCTCATTCGTTCTCACCCTCCTTCTCACCCCTTCTCACCTCTCCCCCCCCCCGCTTCTCTCCTTCATCTCTCTCCTTCATCTCTCTCGCTTCAATTCACGCATCCAACAAGCAGACGTCGACAACGAGCGACACACACAAAAACCCACACAATCGTTCTTACCAAAATGCAACAAAAAACGACTGCTTCTGGTTGCCTTGCCAATTCAGGCAGCTCGCTCTGCATCCACGCTCACTACTGCACTTGCAATCGCATATACACCTTGTGCACGCCACCAGAACAACTGAAAGGCAAGTGACTCGGATTATCACGTAAACGAATGCTCCAAAACCCCCGTTTCTGCGTAAACTTGCAGTCGTCCTTTTCTTTTTACGGTGCTGGAGGAAGGCTCGAAAAAGCATGTGCAACCAAGCTCGAATGCGGATCATCACTGTGCTGCTTGTGCTGGTCCTGCACGTCGAGCTGGCGCTGGGCGATGACGCTGCGGTGCTCGACAACGACCAGCTCTTGAGCGCACTTGGCATTCCCAGCAACGCCCTCGATCACGTCTCACTGTCACGTCGCCCGTTCAACGCCCTGGTCGAGCCAGAAGTGCCCGTGTACACATTCACAAAGTTCCAAAGCTCGAAGAAAAATGTAAACGCGACGACTTGTTGTTCGTTGACGTGAAACTGCACTCACTGTCACGGTGATGCAACGTTAGGACCATCGCGTGCGACAGTTGGAAACAATCTGCACGACAGAATGCGGCTCGGAGGCGACCGAGGAGTGTGTGCGCCGCTGCATGTGTGCGCCGTGTTACGACGAGCTGTACGCCAGCGATCCCGTAAAGCGCGACAACCACACTCCTTTCACGATGGTACACAATGGTTGGTATCTATTCTCACTCTGTTTTACCCGTGTTGCTTCATGTAGCTGGAAGCCGGCGAGCTGGATGTCCGGCTGCAGAGCTTTCGCTCGTGCGTTCAGTTGATGATTGACCAGGACGTTCCGATCGCTCGTCGTCGCTTGCCACCACATCTACTCGAGCAGGGAGAAGCATTCAAGCAGCAGTATGCCAAGCGGATAGAAACGCTTCCTTGAACGGCCGAGAAAAAAACAGACGCGCAAAAAGCCGCACAATTTGTATCACAACTAAAAACACTATTTATTGTCGCTCTTAGTCGTGCGATTCACCACCAACAGCTTGATTGAGTGCCATGTCCCAGTAATGTTCCACGCCATGCGAACGCAGGGCTTCACGGGCAGTCCCTTCAGTTGGACACACCAGGAAGCTCCATTTCTTAAAGTTGTGCTCCTTCACCGTTCCCTGTCAATTGCAACGTCAAGACAATCGGGGGAAAATCAACCAAATACATGAATTGGGTGAGAGCCATGAGTAGACAAAGCGATGAGCTCCAGCTCTCGAAAAAAAAAAAGCAACCCCATACCTCCCAAACGAGCGAGCAGCCATCGGTCGATGTGGCGCTCGAGATGGCACCGGTAGCATCTGCCGCGTCGTCGTCCGATTCAGCTTCCGAGTTGTCTGAATCGTCAGCGGCATCGTCCGCCGCTGGAGCCATTCGGGACTTTTTGCTCCAGGCTTGCCCCCATTTGATTCGATTCAGCATCAACCGCTTATACCGCTTGATGGAGCGAGGACCTGTGTGGTGTTTCAATGAGGCGATCAGTTAGATATGCGAATGCACATGCAATGCCACAACAAAAACCACGCAGCAAACGACACATTGGCGGCTTCTTACCTCCTTCGACAATCACCAAATTCATATCTTGAAAGTGAACAACAATGCCAGTCAGCAGGTACTGCTGCGCGTTAATATCAACCTTGTACCGGTAGCGGGGATTGCTCAAATCCTTGACCAGGAAGACAGCCACATTGACGCTAAACTGGGTATCGCGCATGCGCTTCTCCAGACGCTTGGCTCTCCGCTCTTCCGGCTTGAGCTTGCGCGATTCGTTGTCTGCCAGGTGCTTGGCATGGCGTGCAGCGACTTCTGCGCGCACTTGGGCTTCCAACTTGGTCGGGTCTTGGACAGCCTGGTCACCCAGCACGCGCATGAGATTGGAGAGCTTGAGCTTGCCCGCGGGCGCCGCCTCGAGACCCAGTCGAATTCGATCCTCCTTCTCCTTTTGCTTTTCGAGGCGCATCTGACGGCGGAGCTTCTTTCGTTCGCGAGGCGTCAACATGATTGGCATGACAGGCTGAACGAGCGGCTCGAACGGGGGTCGCAACGGGATTGGGTGTTCTACGAGTTGTGAAATGGACGTGAGCTTGCAGATTCGGTCCACGAGCGCCTGCGTTGCTTCCGGCAAGGGCGGCTGCTGTTGTGAGTTGTCGGTAGTTGCCGTGTCCATGGCCGAGCTGTCGTTCTTGCCGTTCACTCGCAACGCGGTGGAGAAGGCCAGAGTCAACTCCTCGGTTGACAGGACAGGAAAGTCGGGGTAAGAAACTTGCGTCAGTGGTCGGTCACGGGTGCCAAGGTTGGTGGCAGTGGATGGATCGGGCGCGGTCAGCACTTCGGCGTCCCACCATTCGATATCGGGGACCATCTCGTCCATCGCAGAGTCCCGATTCGAGACGATGAGTGCCAGCTTTGTCGCTGATGACAGCGCGGTCTTTTTGGCAGCATTGGCAATCTCCTGCTGCAACATTTCCAGCTGTGCACGCGCGCGAATCTGGTGCGCCTGGTTTTCAAACTTGCCCGGCTGGTGAAACCGCATCGAACGTGCCGCACGCTGCGACGCGCCACCTCCAAGTCGTGGATCGTAATACGGGTTGTTCTCTGGCCTCGCTGCCTCGCGCTCTGCAGCCTCCTGTGCCTTCCAGGCTTCCTTCTGCTGGAGGCGCTCCTCCTCGCGTTGCTGCTTGGCCGTCGCAGCGCGGATGTTCACTTGCATCGTCGGCACAAACTTTGGCGCGTCCTCGATGATCTTTCCCGACGTGTCCACCATGCGACCTTGGCTGTCAATGTTCACCTTGGGCATCGGCGGCGCCGCATCGTCGAGATCTCGACGCATTCGCTTGCGCTCGGCTTCGGACGCTTCCTCGGCAGCCCGCTTGCGTTCGAGCAGCTGCTGTGCCTGCTGGATGGAAGCCTGGATTGCCGAGCTCGAGAACTGCAGCTGCACTGCCGGAGCCGCAGCAGGGGCAGCAGCAGTCGCAGGTGGATGAGCAGGCTGAATTGTCGTTGCGGCTGCTGCTGCTGCTGCCGCAGGACCGAGACGCGAAGCCCCCGCCAGGCTCTCGAAGCGTGCCTTGATGGTGCGTGCCTTGGCTTGGCCGATCTCATGCAGGAGGCCCGAGGCGAGCCCGCTGGCTGCCGACGCATTGCCGTTGAGCGAGCGCGTCAACTCTTGCGCGAGCTGTTCGCGCGTCGCGTTGCTCCTGTACAGCGTGATGGCCGAGTTCACCACGGCAGCGTCCGAAGCAGCTCCGCCAGTGATGGCTGCCAATGCCCGGTGCATCCATGTGCGCACCTCGGTTGCTTCCGAGTCGGTGAGCGACATTGGAGTTTGCAGCAGTGATGAGAACGGAGAACGAAAAGACTGATCAAGTCACTAATCTTGTATTGTATTGGATTAGTACTGTTACCAGTGTTGTCGATTTGGAAGAGCCAAGGTAACGAACGGTCAGTCTTACTGCTACAGCATCAATGGCGGATCAGTCAGCGCCGCCGCTCGTGGCCGCCAGTCCGCGTCGGTTTGCATTCGATTGGAAGCCGCTGATCTCAGCTTACTATGCTGTCAATGCACTGATTGCGCTGTTCCTGGTGTGGGGCAAGTGGGTGCCTGTCCCGTGGATGAGCGGCCAAGTGGACCAAGTCTTGAACTGGACGCACACGGATGTAACGTCGCAGATCCGGCTTAAGGGGGGTGCCCTCTGAGAACCATGGATTATGCTCACAATTGCAGCAAAAATGCAATGGTGTTTTTTGTTTTTGCGTGCAGGGCACTTCACGAGAGCGTTATGTGACGACGTTGGTCTGCGTCGCCTTCTTGATCCAAGCACGGCGCAATCCGTCCATCATGGCGTATCTGAGCAGCGCAATGGCGGCTGGGAAAGTGTACACGCTGCTGGCCTTGTACTTGCGGTTGCCAAGCTCGATGCTGTGCTGGGCGTACAGCGTGGTTTGCATTGGTGAGTTGTTGAGCGGAGAGCAACGCTGCACCTCCTGTGCAAGCATGGATGTTCCATCCCAGGGTGATGTGGCAATGCAGTTGAAGATGCTATTCGAATGCACACGTCGATCTGACACGATTCATTCATCTCCCTGTCGTTCGTTCTGCGCTGTTTACAGTTTCGTTCGTCTTCCTCCGCCAACCGGAGGCAACGCTGCGCGCAAAGTCTAGCAAGCTCGACCCCAAGCAACTTCGGCAGCTCTTTTTGATTTTCGGTCCGGACGACTATCTCTTGCTCGAGCTGACGATTCCGTGGCAAACGCGCTCGCAAGCCCTCGTACCCGCCATCGCTGAAGTGATTGCCCAAACCCCAAAGCATGGAAAAGTGGCGTTCGCCCATCTCGATGTGGCCCGGTATCCAGCTCAGGCTACGCAGCTGAGCGTTGACAACAATGCGAATGGCGTGGCGATTCCAGCGCTCGTCTTGTTCAAGGGCAACAAGGAAATCCAGCGCTCGACCAGCGTTCCAGTACATCTGGGCACTGCTGCGCTTTCGGTATGTGCTTTATTGTGCTTTGGCTCACGAGGGATGGGAAGGTTGTTGCCTTTTTGCGACTGAGTGCGGTTTTTGTTTTCGTTTGACTGCGCAGAGATGGATTCTTTCCGAGTTCAAGTTGAACGAGATCAATTCCAGTTCTTGAATGAATGCTTTTTATGGGGAAGCTTCTTTTTTTTGGACCTGTTGAATGTATTAAACCATTTTATTCTAGGAGATCGACGAACGCGCAAAAATAAAGACTTGTTGCGAAAGATTTTTGGATTTCCGATTTGTCGTTGAATAGCTCATATAAGGATATGCCCTAGGTCTAACCAGAAGCCCGATTAGCTCAGTCGGTAGAGCGTGAGACTCTTAATCTCAGTGTCACGGGTTCGAGCCCCGTATCGGGCTGGCTTCTTTTTTTGTCTTTTTTTCGCTTTTTTTTTTTTTTTTTTTTTTTTTTTTTTTGCTCCATCCTCCTCCTCGTGCTAAACTTTGCATCACTCAGACAAGACACGTACAACATCACACAAGCACACGAGCAACGACTGCGCTTTTCATTTCGCACTGAAGCCTGGCTCAGTCTCTCTCTTCGTCCCATCGACCGACCAATGCAATCGCATCGCAGCTTCCCCCGCTCCCTTCCACCTTTGGTTTTCAAGCCCGACTCGTTTGAAGATGCCACACCGCGCCAACCCACGGCCGAAGTGCTTCCAGACGTGTGCATGGACGATGGCCTCGTTCCAGTTGAGTGAAACGAAACGCGTGTTTTTTTGCTCGCGTTTTGGGTGTTAGAGTGCAAGGCATGGGGGGGGCATCATCTGACTTGTGAATGGGTGTGGTGGTATTGTACGCTGCGTGAGATGTATGAGGAACACGGGAGAGGGGAGGCAGCGAAGCGGGGCGTTGATCAAAACCCCTACTGCTGGCGTTCGTTTTGGCGGGAAACCAATTGGCGTTCATTTGGTCGCGCTGTATTTTTTTTTCTTTTTTTCTTGCTTGTTCCCCAGAAGACCAGTCTCGAGGCACCCGTCCTCGCAACGGTTTCAGCTGCTGCTGCTAATACGGGGACCATGTCATACCATCCGCCCCTGCCACCAGGCAACTCGCCAGGACGCTCGAATGAAGCCATCGTGCCGAGTGGATTTCCGCCTGAAACACTTGCCGCGTTCGCCTGCGAAGTGTCCTCGCTTGCCAGAGACCACTCCTGTGCCAAGCCCCCTCCGCTAGTTCGCTCAGATGCAGTGGCGGCAGACATCTTCCCGGTCTGTCGAACGCCTGACATGGCGACCGCGATGAGAGTGTCGGCTCCTGCACCTCCATTCACCCCGCTTGCGCGTCGTGTTGCTGCCCCTTCCAGTACCACTTACTCCGCCGCACCTCGCAAAAGCAATGCAAAAAGTTGTTCTAGCTTTTCCTCGAGCTCGGCGTTGGTTGTCCGGCGCGGTGTGGTGGTGCATGTCGAGGTGTGCCAACAGCCCCATTCAGACATGAGCTTTTCAGCTCTGCGCGAGCGTATTCTCTCCTATCTTCGCCAGCACGATCGTGTTTGTACCAACATTACATTGCACAGGCTGGATTTTGTGTAAGTGGGTCGGTTGTGTGTGTTTTGAAATTGTCATTGCTGGTTGAGAGTTTGGTTCCGTTGCCAGACCAACATTGCATGAATTGACCGGCATCACATCGTGCCTTTACCCACACCCCGCCTCCAAATACACCCAAACCACCATCAGGACGGACCAAGTCTTGCAAAACAACGTCGAATTCATTTCCATATCGGATAACAAGACCAGCGCCGCCGAGCCAGGAATTGTCGTTTCGCTTGCAGATGTTCAGGTCGACCCCGGCATCCCGGGAGTGGCTCCATTGTCGTCGGTCGACAATACTGTGCTCATGCTGCATTTGTATCAGATGAGCGATGCCGACACGTCGGGAGCGATCGACATGGATCAAGCACCCGGTTCAAACCACGAGCACCCGCCGTCGTTCCACGCCGACACGACGGGATTCGATGGCGATCAAGCCGCCATGAATGGAGCACAGCCAACATCCGGCGAGGAGACAGCGCAAGAGGATGCCAGCTGCATGGAATATGCAATTCCAAACCGCGAGTTTCACGGTATTTGGGAAAGCTTGGTGTTTGACCAAAACGGCCAAGTGCAAAGCCGTCTGTTACAGTACGCGACGACGGCCATGTTGTTTTCCGAGTACAATGTCAACTCGAACGTGGTGTCTTGGAATCGCGTGATTCTTCTGCATGGGCCACCGGGCTCCGGCAAGACGTCGCTCTGCAAGGTAGAAGAGTACTTTATCAGGTTTGTCCGCTGTCCGATCGACCTAACTTGCATCCCGACATCATCCTTCCCTCCCACACCGTCGTCTCCAAAACAGGCACTTGCACAGAAACTTGCCATTCGCCTGTCTGGACGGCATTTCGCGCAAGGCCGCTTCATTGAAATCAACAGCCACAACCTCTTCTCCAAGTACTTTAGCGAGAGTGGCAAGCTGGTCGGGCGCTTGTTTGCACGCATTCGTCAAGTCGTCCGCGATGAGCGCACGTTGGTGTGCCTTCTGATTGACGAGGTCGAGAGCATCACGGCTGCGCGGCAGTCTGCTTCAACCGGCGCCGACCCTTCGGACGCGCTACGTGTCGTGAATGCAGTACTCACACAGATCGACTCTCTCCGCCATAATCGAAATGTTCTGCTCATGGCGACGTCCAACCTGACCAAGTGCATCGATGCTGTAGGTGGATGATGAATGAAAAATGTGCCATTTTTTGCCATCATTTGCGCTTGCGCACTGAACCAGCAACATGCCTCGGATGACATGCGCATGCAAACACACCCCCACAACAGGCCTTCTTGGACCGTGCTGACATCAAAATGCACGTGGGATATCCGAGCTGGCGCGCAGTGTACACGATCTTGTTCACTGCCATCCAAGAGCTCATGCTTCGAGGCATCATTGCTCCTGTCGAGCCTGTTCTCGAACTGGTAAGTCGACAAGTAGCTGAAGAAGAGTATCACAGAGCATGGTTGGTCTTTTTGATTTAGGAGAGTTTTGTTGACTTTGTTTCGGTTCCATTTTCGGCGGCAGCTCGCACTCGACAATGTCGACAACCCTAGTGCCCCCGGCGTATTATCCAGCGTGCGACTCCGCGATGCAGCCAAGGCGGCTCAGGTACACTTAATCATGCAACAACGGTGTGCATCGTGCATGTTAGAGGGCCCAACAACTAGACTTTTTGATGTGTTTCGACTTTTTAGGGGATCAGCGGGCGAACCCTCAAAAAACTCCCTCTGCTGGCTCACGCGTTCTACAGCAATGGAACCGTTACAATGACGCTTCAGGCCTTTATCACTGCCTTGCACAACGTGGCGGAAGATCAACATCGCACTGCCGTCGAGACCGAGTGAAAGCTGTGCTGCCAGAATAGATTTACCTGCCTTTGCAGCTCTCATCGAATCGTACAACAACATGCATGCGTTGCTTCACGCAATAGAAAACCAAAACCCTTCCATCTCTGAGTCGCAATGAGATCGAACGCTGAATCCAGCAACCAAAGAGAGATGGCGTCAAATTATTCAAACAGCAAAAAAACCTTTCCCAGAACCATACGGTTGACAGGTAAACTCGCAAGAGATTCACATACACACGAAAGAAACGTGTCTATGCCGTTGCTACTGCGGGTGCTGCGCCAGCAGGAGCGGAGGTAGCAGGAGCAGCAGCAGCCGCAGCAGCCGCAGCAGCCGCCTTGACGTTCTTTGGCCGATCGTCAATGACCCTTACGCCGAGCGCGCGGGCGGTGCCAATAACGCACTGTGCCATGGTCTGCATGTTCAGATGTTTGACGGACGGGTCCTTGAGCTTGATCTGGGCGATCTCATACACGTGCCGCAGCGAGATGGTGCCCATGACTTCCTTGCCGGCCGCCTTTGCGCCCTTGGCCAGGCCCGCTGCGCGCAGCACAAAGTACGCCGTGGTTGGCTGGCCCACTGTGTATGAATAAGAGCGATCGCCCTTGACGGCAAGTCGCACGGGCAGCTCCGTCCCTGGCACAAACTGCTTTGTCTGGTCGTTGAAGTCCTTGACGAACTGGCCGATCGCGACACCCTTCTGACCCAGCGCGGGGCCCAATGGAGGCGCAGGCGCAGCCTTGCCAGCGGGAATGAGCAGCTTGAGCGTGGCGACGACAATGTGTGCTCCGCCGGCCGCTCCTTTTGCTTTGGACATGCTGGAAAAAAAAAGTGTACAATGGAAAACAACAACAAAAGCAAACAAGGTGGACTGCACTCAGAGTCGAGTCTAGACACAAAAATAGAACAGGGAATTTGATGGGGATCAAGAAATAATAAATACGATAGAGACAGAGGGGTGACGGAAGAGAATGAGAATGGAATAAATTATGAAACAAGCACACAACACATCAAACCAGCATCAACGCTCCTCCTAGGCTTCATGATCTGCTCGCTTGGACGACGTCTCCTTGCGTTGCCGAAACCGCGATGGATAGACCCGGATGGTCGACTCGTCGTCTGAAAGCGGCGAGTGTGATTCAGGCGAGACTCGGCTGCCATTCCGGACGTTTGGGTACGCGTCTACTTGCTGAAACTGGTCCAGTTGTATGTCATTGCCTTGCGACAATAGTCTGGAAGTATCGCTCGTTCTCGAGTATGCATAGCGTTCATCGGCGCTAGAGTCAAAGTGGTGGGTGGCCGAACCAGCGTCGGCTTCCATCCCCCCTCCAACATGCTTGTGCTGCTGGTACTTGATGTAGTGAAAGAAGGCCACACCAAAGAACAAGGCCACCCCGCCCACGATATTAATTTCGGAAAAGCGATCCTCGTGGAGGAACATGGCGGAAATCGCAATCGTGACAACGTCCTTGACTACGCCAGCCACAGCCATCACCAACCCGGACGTTTGCCAGATGAGCAGGTACTCGCAAAAGTTCATCATGAAGGCGAGCGTGCCTCCGACCAGCAACACTGCGATCGTGGTTGCGAGTCGGGTGGCCGAATCATGGAAGAGGTCGGACGAGAAGAGCGCCGCACCTTCAAAGTACATGGCCAACGGGAGTAACAGCAATGCCATGACGGATGTGAGATGGTACAGTGTATCGAGCGGTCCGTTCAGGATGCGCTCGCGTTGCTCGGGTCCCGGTTTGCTTGGTCCATGCCCATGCCCAGCGTTGCCTTGAACAAGAACTTGAACCAACACCCACCGCAAACCGCCGCTCATCGCTGCACCGAGCGTCACAAACAACCCCAGAACGTCAACGGTGGTGCTTCCGTACGAGAACAAAATCAGTCCCACGCAGATGGACAGGACGACGGCAATGAGATTGGCGCGGAAGCGCTCAATGCGGAAGAGAATGGCAAACCCGAGCAGAAACACGATGGAACTGGCCTTGATCATGGTATACAGAATGACCGTGACCATCATGATGGCGGAATTCGACAGGGCGATATCCAGCGCAGCCATCAATGCACACGGCACCACCTGTCGAGATCGCATCGCATCCATGTATTTGGAGTGCAGTGTAGCACGTCCAAGTGAGTGGAAATTTGAGCTGTCGTGTTGATTCTCGTTTCCCCCCCCCTCCTCCAGCCATTTTTTTCGATTCAACTTTAATCAACACACCAACATGGAGCAAGCACCAAGCACTCTCCTGTGCTAATCTCGTCGACACCTCACCTTGGTCAGTGTTTGGCGCCAATTGAGTGTGGTTCGCGGGCGATTCTGCCGTGATTCGTCGGCAGCGCGCACAATCCAGCAGAGCGTCCAGTTGACAGTCATGTGGACCATGGTCAGAGTGATGGGGAAGTGGAAGCCGTAGCTTCGCAGCAGCCATCGGTTGTAGTACGTCAGGCCGACAGAGAACACGTACCACAGCAGAATGCTCGCCAGTGGCGCGAGGAAGCGCACCAACGCATGGCGGAGTCCAGACATTCGAGGAGGGGCCCAAGGTGGGACAAACGCGGGGGAAGGGGGCCAGACTTATTCACGAAATGGCACGATCCTAGTCCTCGAGAGGCGGCCGGTGGCTGGCTAGGGGGGCGGTCAGGTGGCTGGAGGCTGGAGGCGGGGGGAGTGAGCACAAGCGATTGAGGCGCAGCTTGAGAACAAAGAGTAAAATGCTCAGAAATCAATGGACAATGAAGACTGAAGTGATGCGATGGGTTTTGATCTTCGATGTGAGGCGCGGCGGGAAGGGAGGGGGGTTGGACTCGACCGAAACTCACGAGCTCAGCAAAGCTCAACTCAGATCGCAGCAACGCCAATTCTTGCAACAATGTCAACCTCATCCAACCGTGTCAAATTTCATAGCATTGTTTGAAAAAGCCTACCTGTCTAAATCAAGCGCTTGAAACAGTCTTCGATTTCAATCACGACCTGAGCACAAAATGGTACTTTGCTGGAACACGTTGTCTGAGCCGGCTGAGCCAGCGGAATAATGATGGAAGCTTCCATCACTATAATAATAATAATACTGCGAGCGCCTGAGTGTGATGAGGAAGCCGGAGAGTTAGAGCGAAGTGGTCGATTCCTAGAAAAGCTGACACAAGTGTTGGCAGATTAGTTAGCACCGCCGTATACACTCATCGTGAAACACGATTGAAACGCCTTACGAAAAGCTCACCCAAAGCATGTTGAGATCTCGCTTTTTGGACCACTTTGGAACCAAAGCGGATCGCTCCACCACCGCCGCCGCCGCTGACCCCACGACATGCGCATTTGCTCACATTGATCCCATACTACAAACACGTGTGCTTCGTTTTTGCGTGGCAGGCCGCAGCAGTAGCAAGCGACAGTGAGCCGCAACTCACTTGGGAAGACCAGGAGCGCATCAACCTGTTTGGCCGCCTCAACAACCGCGCAGACGAGCTCGACGAGCTGATCAAGATCAACAAGGTGCGATTGATGGAGTCGGAGTCGGGTCGGAGTCGGAGGCAGGAGCTTGGGGTTGGCTGGTCCATGCTTGAGCATTCGCATGCTCACTGCTGAACACTGTGGGTCTATTGGCAATATCATGGTCAACACAATGTGCCCGGAAAAAAACAATTCTGATCGAGTAGAAGCGATTGGATGGCTTCAGCGACGCCGAGGAGAGCATTCTGCTGGCAGACTCGGACGAAGCACCTGTTCGGTACGCGTATTACTTGGTCAGCTTCAGTGAAGCAAGATGCGTCTACGACCAAATTCTCATGTTGCGTGTGTTGGTTTGGGGGTGGTGCATAGGTACCGATTGGGCGAGGTGTTTGTCGAAATGCCCGCTGACAAGGCTACAGAGATGCTCACCGCAGCGACCGAGAAGGTGACTGCAGAGGTCAACAAGCAACAAGAAGAGGTAAGGAACGAGCAAAAAACAAGGTGGTGTGTGTGTGGGGGGTTGTGGTTGTTCTGATCTCTTGTGCGGGTGTGGCACGAAACTTGCCGACGAACGAGCTCACTGGTGTGTCCTCCGTACATGTTCCTACAAATCACAGGTTGCCTCCATCCGAGCAAAGATGGTCGAGCTCAAGCGCGCACTGTATGCCAAGCTTGGTGACACGATCAACCTCGAAAGCGGCGACGATGAATAACGCCCAGAATCGATGAATGCGCTTTCAGTTTGAACACATCTCTGGTGACTTTCGTGTCCTAGCCTTTACCAGTTAGTTGTATTGGTACCAGCCGGGGGATTCATGTCTGGTCAAAAGCTTTTGACCTGCTGTTGAATAAAGTACGTTTCCAGCTCGACAAGAATGCAAGACTCTGTCCGGCGCCACTCCGTCCAAACGAGTTCGATCGATTGGATTGCAATTCCCGGAAGCTGCATGCTGGGACGATACCCAGGCAGAATTTTCCTCAGCTCTGTGAGATAAACTCGCGAGGTCTCAGAAAGTTGAAACTTTGCATCCAGGCCTCAATTCGTTGCATCACTGCCCCTTCCAGGTCCAAGTTGTCCAAGAACCATTCTTCTATTCGTGCATTGCATTTTCGACTTTTTCAAGTCAGTCCAACAGAATGAGCGCTCAGGCTCCAGCAGACTGGTCCGTTCCACTCGACCATGTCCTCTCTCTCTCTCTCTCTCTCTCTCTCTCTCTCTCTCTCTCTCTCTCTCTCTCTATCTCTCTCTCTCTCTCTCTCTCTCTCTCTCTCTCTCTCTCTCTCTCTCTCTCGCGTCCGCTGCCCCCCGCTTCCATCTGCTCTGCGTTTCGTCACACCACGAGCCCACTGGACGCCAGCCATGTCCCAGACCAGCGACGGTCGAGCAAAGCGACGCAACAGTCTGGATTCGTTCAACTTTCCCGCGCTTTTTTTTGAAACCCTGCTTTCACTGCGTTTGTCGTTGAGGGGGACACTGACGCTTGTCTGCGCTGCGTTTCGCTGATTGAACTCACCATTCTCACTTTGTTGTGTGTGTGTGCTGCAGGAGCTCAAGCAGCTTCTCGCTGTCTCCAGCGGCAGTCAGATCGAGCTCAGTCAGCCGCAATGCAACGCCCAGTCACAGTCAGGGTCACGCTGCTGCTGCAGCCAGCGTCGGAACCATGACCCCTGGGGCCAGCACATCGTCAGCTGCTGCGTCCGTGTTCTCTACACCGTTGCGGCCGCTGGCGACGTGGACGAGCGCAAGTACCACTTTTGTTCCGCTCGAGTCCATTGCCGGCCAGCTCTTGGACGACTCGGACGTCGACTCGAATAACGTGACATCGGCGTTATGGAGCGATGATAGTACCATTGCACCTGGTGCGGGCCGCAGTGCCTCGCAACCCTCCAAAGGGGCGGCGCGTATGCAAAGCGCGACCCCTCCGTCCCGTTCTGAGCCAGCGCCGCAGCTCGTTCCCATGACGCCAGGTGCATTTTTTGGACAGCGTTCCCATGAACTTGGCGCGCTGGATAGCAGGTCAGTTGCAACGCCGCTGCGGCCACACTTTCGAAGCAATCCGGCGTCGGCCGCTGCCAAGCGAACGGCCGCTGGCACAAACCAACCAGCTAGCACCACAAAGCCCGTTGATCCATATAGTTACTCTCGAACTCCGCAAGTGAATCGGTTTGCGCCAACCGCTCCACTCTACGTTACCGCTCCAGCCGCGATCTCTGATGCCGAGGATGACGACGAGGAAGAAGACGCGACGAAGAGCGCGGCACAACCAGCTTCCGGAGCGCACACATCCTCATCAGCACACTCACCAGCACATCCATCTGCGGTGACGACTTCATCCTCTGCAGCCCCAACTCGTACTCTGGCAAGCACCTCGAGCAGTCAGCCAGCTGTTCGGCCCGAAACTGTCCCCGTCAGCCTACACCAGCCAACCAGCAATCCATCTGCAAGGAAGAGCTTGTCGTCTCCGCCTCAAAAAGAAAATGTTCAACCGCACACATCGGCGAGCACCACCGGCAAGCTGATTGGCCACATCATTGAAGGGGACAGCGTTCTGGCACCTGCGCAACAACGCCCTGCGACCGCCATGCCCAATGCTCGAACACCAATCTCCCAGCCATCCATCGCCCTCAGTGGACACAACCTGCTCGAGTCGTGCGCCTCGGTTGCTGGTGGACTACAGAGGATGAAGTTTAATGTCCGAAACACTGATTCACGCCCCTGTGAGATTGCTGCTCGGATCGTGCCCAACGAGCACAGTCCGGCACCCCAAGTCTGTGCCCAGTTCTTTGCTTTGCAACCGCCCAGCGCCCACTTGCTTCAACCAACCCAGGAAGCACAGATTGTAATCGTGTTTGACGCCAATCCCGCACTGATTTCCCAACTGCAGCCTCCAATTTTGAACGATCTGCTGGCAGTACTTGAGTTGCAAGTTACACCTGTGGTGCAGGGCGCAGTGGTCTCTTCGCAATTGGCCAGTCTTCGCCTTCGAGGCCGTGTGCTTTCCAATAGCGCTGCAGCTCCACAACAACAGCAGCAGCAGCAGCCGTCTGATTTACACCGCTCCATGCAAGCCCAACCCAGCCAAGCCACCCAATCTGTGCAACAACTCCCACCACAAGGTTCTAGTTTCCACCACTCAGTGCAGGCTCCAAGCCAATCGTCCCAATCTTCTCCGACGCAGTCCTCCCAGCCTGCATTATCCAATGGGCAAACTGCGACTCCCAGCAAGAGCGAACTTTCGACAGTAGTGATGGTGCGGTTCCCAATGGGCACCGATTCCTCCTCGTCTGCAACTCTTACCTTTTCCAATCCTTTCCCCGGCTCGCGGTGTCGCTGGAAGCTTCGCCAAGTCGCGCCCCCATTTCTTCGCCCTTGGACGACTCGGAGTGAAAACGATTCTGCTCAGTATGATTCGAGCAACGTCATTCGGCTCGCCCCGGGATCGGCTTCGTTTTTCGAGCTGAGAAACAAGTCGGCGCACGGTGTTCTGGCGCCGGACGCAATCGAGCAGCTTCCAATCACATTTGCACTTGCAGCCGCTACAGCTGCCATGCTGCGTCTCGAGCTGGATACCAATGTGACCTTTGCTGGAGGGTGGGTGACTGAAGGGTGGACGCTGCAGCTGCGTGCTCTCGATGGCAAAGCTCGAGCGTCCGTGCTCGTAAACAACATTGCCTATGTCCATTCCGACCCGCCAGAGGCTTCGTTGCTCTAAACCGTCAGGGTCAAACGTTCATATGAACGGCTAACAAAAACTATTTACTGTAGAAAAATGAAGCATAATTGGCACGAGACGACCATGAACAAGTCATAAACGATAGTACTGTAGAGAAAGTGTGCTCACATGGCTTCTTTACCGCACCTTTTCGTGCACGGTGAGGGCGGGTCGTGTTGGAGACTCTTCGATGAGAATGCCTGCCATTTCGTTGACCATCGCGATTTGCGAGGGGTGGGATTGTTTCGGAGTGTGCTGATCGACAAACTTGTCGCGAAGCGCCTTCACACCGACGCCCGCACCAGCGCCCACTCCTGCGCCCAACGCAGCTGCGCTCATGAGGCCGCCACCCTGGAAAGAGAGAGAGAGAGAGAAAAAAAAAATAAACGACAGATAACAACCAATTGAGTTCTGTTTCCTGCACAAAAGCCCACTTGAGGAAGCACACATACTTTCAAGCCAGCAACAAGGCCCACTGGTCCGGCAATCGCTCCGCCAACAATTCCAAACAATAATGGGTACATTACGGCCTGGATCTTGGCAGCCTGTAGCACGAGAAACCGCAGATGAGCGCAACGTTGCGCGTTTTTCTCTAGAATCGCCCACCTTCCCCCGCAAAGTGACCCTCGACGTACCTTGCTCAGCTCTTTGGTCCCGGCAGCAACTTGGCTTTTAGTTTCTTCGACCTGCTGTTCGAGACGTGTGACGACACTGGCGCTCTTCTGGACAAAGTGCTGCAGGTCGAAAAACATTGAGTTTAGCTCCATTAGCTCGCGCTCAAGCTGCTCTTGCCGTGCGCGACGTTGACGGAGTTGCTCCTCAACTGGATGGAGACAAAAGGCATGCAGGACAACACGTGAAAGTGAGACAGGCCAGAATGAGGCAGATAGAACGGAAAAGGCAGTTTGTAAAACGTACTCAAGGGATTGCGCGAATCCAGCACTTGTCGCTCATCCTCGGCCATCTGTTCTAACTGGTGAACAATTTCATCTCGGCGTCTGGAGCGATCAAGTTCCTGTTCGCGCTGCTTGTTTTCAATCAATTCAGTGCGTTCGGCGCTCGTTGTCACCGAAGACAGATCGAGCGAGTTTTCGCGGTCAAGCCGAGTGTTGCTGTACTGATCGCTGTAAGGGAAGCAGAGCAGCTCAAACTCGCTCACGACAAAGCCATAGTCGATGAAAAGTGGTTGAAATCGTGCTTGCAACCACGATTGCAAATGTTCCGGCACCAATTGTTGCAGTTGTCTGCGAAATGAGCAAGAGCGTGAGTCAACCTGCGCTGTCACTCTTGCGCTGGCACAATCCACCAAGCGGTATCGAATAGAGTGCAGAGCAAGAGAGGGAAGTGGACCAATTTCCAACAAATCCAAGCTTTTTCACTCACGTCAATTCGGCAAACAGGCTCCGGAGATGGTTGAACGTCGAGGCAGCCTGCTCTCGCTCCAGAGTTAGCTCTTGGAATGTATCCACCGACGAACCCATCAATTGGTTTTGCTGCATGACAAGACGAGAACAAGAAGAGAGCCGCAAAGTGTAAGTTTCTCTGAAATCCTGACAACAAACGAGGCTTCTCTTCGACGCCTCGGTTGGCAAAAATCAAGAGCGAGCAACAAACAAACGTGTCTCAGTTACCAAGGACGTAATGTTGGAGCAGTGTGTTTGTAACTTGGCAATGGCAATCACGATGCCTGCCTCGACCGACTTGACATCGGCAATCACTTGCTGCAGCGTCCGTTCTGCTCGGACACTTGGCGACAGTTCTCCATCGCCTGACTGGTCAACGAGATCTAGCAGATGCAATATCAAAAAGCCACAAGTTCAATGAGCACCAGATGCCGGTGCAAAGTTGGCTGTCTCAATGCCGCCAATCGTTTGCCACATATCCAAAGCATTCGCTTTTTGCATGGCTCCGCAACATCCATATCAAGCTTCATGAACAGCACACAGTCGAGCAAAGTCGGTGCCGGAGCAGGCAGACCCAGAAGGGGGGGGGGTAAGCTGTTTCAAGGTGAGGCCCGGCTCAGTGATGACGCACAGCAAGAACGAGCAGTGCTTCTTGAACCCCCCGCCCGTTCACCGTATTCACTGCTGCGACTCCACCAAACACTTGCAAACGAGCAACACAACCGAGGCCCCAACGAAGCTGCAGGACGAGCTCGAATGGCTGGAAGCGAGGCTCATGCAAGAAGAAGAAGTGATGACCAACGCTTACTCAGAAGCCGAGCGCGGTCATCGTCGGCGCCATGGTCAGCCGCGAGCGCACTACTGCTGCCGTTGCTCAAGGACGAGCGAACACTGCTGCCGGGACTGCCCTGGGTCCCCGGTTGGCGCTTGCGGACGAGCCGGGTGCCGCTGGCCGAGTTGATAGAGTCGGCAAAGGACATGTTGGCAAGCTGTTTGGTTTGAGTTTTTTTGCTTAGAAACGCGACCTGGGCACGAACAATAATATGAGAAGGTTTCAAAAGGTGGACTGACGCATTGATGATATAGATAGTCGATGGCACTGGCACGACATCAGCACGACACAGGACCGAAGCTGAACTGTTGTACAGTAGATCTAGATAGAAATTTACGGCCGAGAAGTTGCGTTGGAAGCATTTGTACGAATTTCGTTGGACTTGAGAGTTGGCAATCCGTCGCCTTCGAGTATTGCTCCGTGATCTATTTATCTTGAGCTCGCAAACTTGTAATTGGCGCGATTGCGATAAGGAAACCCCCGCCACCTCCAAAACAACAAAACAAACATCTGTTTGATCAACCTAGTCGGGATCAGACGAATGAGATGGGGATGCGCAATGACACACAGGATCAATTGCGATGCCGCGTGCAGAGCGGGTGGAAGTCCAGGAAGGATGATCCCGTTTTACAAAGCGAGTGAGAATAAATCGGGAAAGTTTCCTTCTTCTTTTGTTCGTTTTTGTGGTTTTTTGTGGTTTGTTCGTTTTCCATTTTTCCAAGTAGCAGTAAGCCAACGCACACACACACACACCCAAGGAGTGAACAACTCTCTTTGCTTGTTTTACTTCCTCTATTTTTCTGAAGCGATCTCTGCCGCATTGCGAACGTCGGCAAGCGGATTGCGTCTGCTGAAAGAGTGCGATTTCGCGTTTTTTTTTTTTTGGATTCCCCTGCAGTCTCTTTCTCTCACTGCATCTCTCTCTTTTCCGATTCTTTTACGAGCTCTGGTGCAGTAAGCTAAAGCAGTAATTCAGCAGAATCAGTGACGAAGCGGAAGGAGCCTGGCCCTGCGACTGGCCATGAAATTTCGCTACTTGAACAAAAACAGCATTATCAGAAAACAGAACATGACAAGTTAACTACCGCAAGCGTCAGCTGATGCGGTCGAACTGTCGCGTCGCCGCTCTTCTCCACTCTCTACTGAACGACAAAAATAATGAAAGTGATCAAGAAACGCGCTCGGAATCGAGGAAAGGCTGGCAGAGAGAGAGAGAGAGAGAGAGATCACGCACATGGGGAAACGAACACATGGAGTGGGGCATACCCGCAGACAGTCGCACGACGCAGCACACTCCCACACACACACACACACTCTCTCTCGCTCTCCCTATCTCTCTCTCTCTCTCTCTCTCTCTCCACAGCTAAAACAATCATTAAACCCATACTTCCGCGCACAAACGTTCTTGCAGCACTGTGTCATTGCGGGCGAGTGTTTGAAATCCGCACAACTCATTTTGTTAATGTCTCTGCATCTCAGATTTTTTTTTTCGTCTAAAAGCTTTATTACGAATAACAAAGAAAAAGAACGTAGGAAGGATATGAGACAGTTGGATGTCGCATAATAACACACCAAAAAAAGGCATGCTTAGGAGTGCTCAAGAGTTCACAGAGGAACTCGAACAGATGATCAGCCTAGCTGACGGTGGATGGATCAGGCTTTCCCCACCTATACACCACGAAAGACATGTTGCTAGCCATTTCGGTTCACTAACAAGTAGACGGCTGGCAGGCGGTGGGACAGCACACTGTCGTAAGGAGCGACAATTCAGATCGAAACCAACCGCTCACCACACAAGTCGCGGGTACTAGGTGTACGCGAGGGCAACCAGCGTGGCAAGACGTTCATTGGTCCGGATCTCCAAGGTCTGGTGGACCACTTCTTCGGGAGTGAGAGAGACCTTGGTGCATCAGTAGCGGGAACGAAGAGTTGAAGGTGGGCCACTGTGCCTCGGGACCTGGCAGGAAGCAGCACGAGAGGAGAAAAGAAAATGGAGAGCGGAACAACGTGACGAGCTGGAGCTCGCCGACGCGAAGACAGGGGCGTGGGGGCCAGCCACTGTGTTCAGCCATGAAGGCAGAGGACGTTTGGTCTGTCTGGAAGACAGGGAGGACGTGCCCGGTGACGGGCGGGGCCTGCCGCGAGGGCAGGACGATGGAGAGTGCCGCGTGGCGGCGAGATGGGTTGAGATGGTAGAGAGAGAAGCCGCGTACCCCGTATTGCCCGAGTTACCAGCTCGGGGCTTGAATGATGGTGACAACCAGTTTCCGAGGCCATCACATCGCCATGCTGATTGGGCGACGGGATGCCGCTGCACCCGAGTCCTGAGGAGCAGCGGTGGTTGACACCCAATTCTATGACGACCCCAAAAATCACCACAAAAAAGAAGACTTCATCTCAGATGACACCCAGAGGATTGGCCTTTGGTCTGCTACTTTTGCTGCTCGGCGTGACTTGTCACGTTCAGGTGGCACAAGCAGCCGTTGCATGTGGCACTGGCGCCGTGTGCACTTGCTCGTTAAATTCTGTCACTTGCGCACCTAGCACACCTCTCACTGCCATTCCGAGCGGAATCCCAGCGACCACAACGTACCTGTACGTGTCGTCGTTAAGTTGAACTTGAATTCACGCATGGCTTTCTTAACCCGGCACACGGTTGATAGGCAAATGTACAACAACCAGATCAGCACCATTTCTGCAAACGCATTCACTGGCTTGACAGCGTTAACCACTCTGTAAGCAAGCAAAAATGGAAAAACTCACAAAGAAACACGGCTCACTTGGTTTGTGACTCGATATGTAGGTTTCTGTCCGGCAACCAGATCATCAACATTGCTCCAAATGCATTCGCAGGTCTGACTGCGCTGAAGTCCTTGTAAGCAAGCAAATCCACGAAGAAAGCGCACACAAACCACCGGCTCACTCGGTTACCATGCGACTCGATTTTGTAGCTCTCTGGCCAACAACCTGATCACCAGCCTTCCCGCGGCTGCATTCGCAGGCCTAACTGCGCTGAAAGATATGTAAGCAAACAAAGACAAGAAGAAGCACATAACGTATACGGCTCACTCGTTTGCGACTCCATCGGTAGGTCTCTGACCGGCAACCAGATCACCAGCATTCCCGCGAGCTTGTTCACAGGCATGAGTGCGTTGACGTCCCTGTAAGCATTCAAAGACAAGCCCAGTCACACCGATGACTCACTCGTTTGCGACACTCTCTGAAGAAATTTGTATCAGAATCAGATCACCAGCCTTTCTGCAAACGCATTCGCTGGCCTGGCTGCACTGACGACATTGTAATCAAGCAACGACAGGAAGAATCACATACAAACGGCTCACTCGTTGATAACTCGCTTTGTAGGGGTCTGTTCACCAATCAAATCTCCAGTATGTCCGCAGACGCATTCGCTGGTCTGCCTGCACTGAAACTCTTGTAGGCGAGCAAGACAAGAAAAATCGCGCAGAGGTGGCGAACCATCGCGCAGAAGTGGCTCATTTGTTTGTGCCAACATGTAGGTTTCTGTCCAGCAACAAAATCACCAGCATTCCCGCTTCTGCATTTACCAGCCTAACTGCCCTGACTAGCTTGTAAGCAAACAAAGAGTTGCAGAATCACACACATCTGGCTCACTCGTTTGCGACTTCATTTGTAGGCAGCTGCACAAGAATCAGATGATCAGCATGTCCGCAAACACATTCACAGGTCTCACTGCACTCACTACATTGTAAAGAACAAAAAAACCCGCTTATTGCGCGGATTCGAACCGCCTCTTACTTTGCGGTACTTGTAGGACTTTGGGTGACAATCCCTTTACGACTTTGCCACCCGGTCTGTTTAAGGGCTTGCCAAATGGATTGAAATTGTCGGAGTCTGGAACCGTGTATCTGATCCCCAACAACTTTACGTTTGATGGAAACACTGCCGTTCCGCCCAGTACATACGGCTCTTTATCACTTCCATCCAGTAAGCTTTAGAGGTGACTGCAATTCTCGTGATCAATATTTTGCTGACATTTGTGCTGCAGAGTGTGATACGGCTTGCGCCACCTGCTATGACGCTGGGTCCAGTGCGTGTTGCCCGATCAATTGTCTGATTTGCACATCATCCACTGTGTGCACTCAGTGCTATGATGGTTATGGCATGATGAGTGGATCATGCGTTCCGCTCGCTTCCATCGCTTCTGCTTCCGTCGCTTCCATTGCTTCCGTCGCGTCCACACAGTCCGCCTCGGCTGCCTCAGCTGCCTCTGATGTATCCGCAACCACGGCATCCTTTGCTTCCCTCGCGACGGCATCCTCAGCATCAATTGCATCGCAGGCGTCCGCATCTGCTGCTTCTGCATCTGCCGCTTCTGGTGTTTTTGCTACCTCGGCCTCTGATGCTTCACTTGCTGCGGCATCTTCAGCTTCTATTGCAACCGCTGCGAGCGCGTCATCTGCATCTGTTGCTTCAGTCGCTTCAGATGTTTCCGCTACCTCGGCATCTGATGCTTCACTCGCTGTGGCATCTTCAGCGTCAATTGCATCTGCTGCCAGCGCGTCATCTGCATCTGTTGCTTCAGACGTTTCCGCCACTTTGGCGTCCTTTGCTTCACTCGCAACTGCGTCGTCAGCGTCAATTGCCTCACAGGCCTCTGCATCAGCCGCCAGTGCTTCCTCTGCGTGGCAGACCTCTGTTGCATCTGCTGCATCCGTTGCATCTGCCGCATCCGCTGCGTCCAGTGCTCCAAACAAGTCAAGTGATGCATCCTCTGGGCCTATCATTGGCGGAGTGATTGGTGGCGTGGCTGCCCTCGTTTTGTTGGTTGCGCTGTTGGTGGTCCTTCGGCGTCGTCGCTCACCCAAGACTCTGGCGGCCTCCAAGCTACGCAAGTCACAATCCGGCACCGAACCGACTGACCAATCTGTTGAACACACCGGCACCGTGCTCAACGCTTTGCATCCCAGCTACGCCGACGTCTCGTCTGCTCGTCCAGTCTATGACTCGTTGACTCCGAATCCAACCTACAGCAGCCACGCCTTGTACGAACCAGTCGGCTCAACACCCCTGGCTTCTGCACCGGAACAGGTGTATGCGGAAGCATCTGTGTCTGTGTCCGATGAAAAGCCAACGTCGAGCGGCGGTGTCGAGTACGTCGACCCTTCGCTGCCCAATCACTTGTATGTGAGCGCGCCGCCCGCGTCCTCTCCAACCAGTTACGCGACGATCGATGTTACAGCTTCCAAGCAGATCGGAAATGTTGACTACGCGTCGATTGCAAACTAGCAAACGAACAAACTAGAGTTGCTGGTTTGTGCTGCCTGACTGTTTTTTTTTTGTTTCCTGTTTTTGTCTTGCCATCCTCGTGCATTTTCACTGTGATATCCACTTGTTCCAGTACCTAATTCAACCATTTGATAGAAACGAGTTTCCAAACAATTCGATTGCTCATTCCTTGTTTTTCGTGGTTTGTTGTTTTCGTTACTTTTCTGCCCAAAGCGACCGCGCGCGCCGCCCAACCCCACCCAAACGATAGACCCACTTCTCATTCGATTTTCTGCGTTGTTGTGTAGTGATCTCTGCCGCATTGCAAAAGTCAGTCGGCGATGCGTAGTTGGAATGACGTGACCCGATTTTCACCCTTCTGCTGGCCCTGACTCTCTCTCTCTCTCTCTCTCTCTCTCTCTCTCTCTCTCTCTCTCTCTCTCTCTCTCTCTCTCTCTCTCTCTCTCTCTCTCTCTCTCTCTCCTCTGATTCTTTGATGCATCTGCTGCATGAAGCTAGTCGAATCAAGCAGACGTAGCGGTGGCCTTTCAAATTCGCTTTGGAACCCCCCCCCCCCACAAAAAAAAAAAAAAAAAACACCAAAAAAGCAAACAAGAAAAAAAGGAAACAATAACAAATTTCCCCCCTCCATCAACAAAACAGAGATGGGTGCCAATAGGGTGATGTGGTCGAGCTGCCGCGTCGTCTCGTCTCGTCTCGCTCTGCGGCTGTCATGATGTGAGCAATTTTGTCAGCGAGCACAGAGGGAAACCGATCAAGGAAGCGTGCGCGGGAGGACAGACCGGCAGCATGATTGGTGTTGCGGAGGGTTTTCAAACAAGTCTCCGCAAAAAAAGTGCGTGAAGTCATCCAAGCTCACTTTTGCCAATGTCTCTGATCCACATCCTCAAAGATGACACCCAAAGGATTGGCCTTTGGTCTGCTGCTTCTGCTATTCTGCGTGATTTCCTACGGCCAGTTGGCACAAGCAGTCAATGCATGTGACCCTGGCGTGTGCAGTTGCAACGGAAATTCTGTCAATTGCATCGGCAGATCTCTCACAACCATTCCGAGCGCAATCCCACCGAACACAAGGGAGCTGTAGGTGTTTCCGTCGAGTTGTAATTCCATCAGAGCATTGCTCTTCTCATTGGCATTCGGTCGATAGGTCTCTCTCCAATAACCCGCTCTACAGTATTTCCGCCTCTGCATTTACCGGGCTGACGGCTCTCACTTACTTGTAAGCAACCAAAAAGAAAGGGAAAACGCGCGCGCACGCACAAACGGCTCACTTGTTTGTGCCTTTATCTGCAGGAGTCTGTCCGACTGCTATCTCACCAGCATTCCCTCAAACGCATTCGCAGACCTGCCTGCGTTGATAAGCTTGTAAGCAAGCACATGCAGCAAAAACCCCACACAGACAGCTCAATCGTTGGTGGCTGCATCTATAGATTTCTCTCCTGGAACCAAATCACCAGCTTTCCCGCAGACGCATTCACAGGGCTGACGGTGCTGAGTGCCCTGTAAGCAAGCACAAACAAAGAAGTTCGCACATTGGACTCACTTGTTTGTGACTCGATCTGCAGGCAGTTGAACAGCAACAACATCACCAGCATTCCGGATGGCGCATTCACGGACCTGACTCAGCTGACTTACCTGTAAGCAAACAATGAGACGCAGCATCGCGCAAACGACTTACTCATTTTGAGACACGACATGTAGATCTCTGCTCAACAACCAGATCACCACCGTTTCTGCAAATGCATTCACAGGCCTGACTGCACTGACTTACCTGTACGCAAGTGAGACCTGGGGTATCGCGCACTAACGGCGGCTCACTCGTCGGTGACTCTCTCTGCAGGTATCTGACCAACAACCTCTTTACCACCGTCCCTCCTAGCGTATTCGCAGGCCTGACTGCGCTGAAGACCTTGTAAGCAAGTAAAGATGTGAAGGACTCGTTTATCACATAAATGACTCATTGTGTTTTTTTTGTTTGATGCCTCCTTCTGTAGGATGTTGTCAAGGAACCCAATCACCAGCATTTCTGCAGATGCATTCACAGGCCTGTCCGCGCTGACTTCCCTGTAAACAAGCAAAAGAAAAAAAAAGTATCACACACAATCGGCTCACACTTGATTAGAGAGAACCCTCCTACAATGGGACATAATGCATTTCCAGTCATTTTGATTTTTGTCGCCCTCCTACAACGGGACAGAGGCGTTCTTGGGCTCTGAGTCTTGTTCTGCTACCCCCTCCTTGCGGATATCCACTAAATAGCATCTGATGAACCCACTGGGCACACCGGGCGGAGTCGTCAGTCCGCGGAACGAGCGGGCCTTCGACCTGCTGCGGGAGGCTAGACAGGCCAAGGACGCCGACTCTCCTCGCTTTTTCAAGGCCGCCGTGCTGAAAACCTACTTTACACCTTGTGCTGACATCAGTGGACCAGGTGGCGCGGGAGCCAAGGAGACGAAACCGACCATCAGGCAGCTGGAGGCGATTTTCGAGGTCCCGCGATCTACTGTCGGCAAATGGATCGCGCATCACCGCCATCAAGCCGATCTCTTCGCCCGTTCTACCCTCGATCAGGCAGTTGATCTAGTTCAGGATGACGCCATCTCGGGGGACCGCAGCGTCTTCCTCCGGTCGGAGGAGCTCAAGATCGTTAACTACCTTTTTGTTCGGAGCGCATTTGCTCACGTCGCCCTCACCAAACCCAATACAATCGAACTCTTCATGCGCCTGTCTCAAGTTCCACGACCAGATGGAAAGCCTCGCCGCCAGTTCGGTCCCAACGGCCCGAGCGAGTCGTTTTTGGAGCGGTTTTTCGCCGAGTTTTCCGACGAACTCCGCTGGATCACTGCACACTCGATCGAAACCATTCGTACGGCCGCGATGAACGAGGAAACCCTCAGAAGCTTCTTTGAGCGCCTGCAGGAGCTTTGCGACAAGTCTGGAGGGAAGCTGTGGGCCGAGCCTGGGCGGATTTTCAGCTGCGTCCGGAAACTCAGCGCCTCCTTGACGCTTTCGTGAGTGATGTGCGCACCCTGCTACAGATTCCATCGCTTCTCACATTCGAGGAGTTGCTGCGAGCGCCCCCGCTGACACCGTCGTCGAGCTGCACCGAGCCTGCCACTGTCCGAACCGTCAAGCAGAACAAGGCCTACTCGCCCCAAGATGCGGCACAGCGTGCTGCCCAGCACGAGCGAGAAGCTCGGGAACAAGAAAAGGCTCAGGTTGCGCCTCTCATGGAGGAGTACAACCGGGCAATGCGGACCTACGAAGACAAAATCGAGCCCGTCATGAATCAGCAGGACCAACTCAAGTCGACGATCGCTGCCGACCAGGCCCGGCTCGCAGAACTCGAGGCAGACGACTCGGCAGCCGCTCTGGTTGCAGACGTGCGTGCGCAACTTCACGCGAACCAGCAGAGGCTCGCCAAAGTCAACGCGACCGTGAAGCAAATGGTCGCCGCAAAACCCAAGCGCCCCGACGTCCGACACGTCCGCGCGCTTGCCGCCTCGAAAGCAGCAGCTGCGGCACCGGCTTTGCAATCGGTTGCGACGATGGCGGTTGAGTAGGACGACTCTGACGACGAATGCGAAGAGGACGGCATTCCGCCGTCGCCAATGCAGGTGACTTCTGCCGCTCCAGCGCGCTTCAGGAAGAGAATCTATGAAAGAGACTCTGACGACGAGGCCGCTCCATCATTTGAAACAGCCCAGAGTGGCGGGTCGGACGAGAATGTGACCTATTCACTGTCGTCAAGATCTCTCGAGCGGCTGAAGGAGCCCCGTCTTGCTACTCGCAGCTCATCGCGGCTCATTTTGTCTCCAGGTGTGACACTCAGTCGTGCCAACACAAGTGGCGTGAGCAGCTGGCTGACAAACGACATGGCGGCGATGCAGCTTGTGTCAACCGATGAAAATGTGTCGTCCACGCCGAAAACCGATCGCCGGAAGCGACTCGCGCTATCTGACCTCTCCAATTCGAACTAAATGTGTTACATGTATGGCTTTATATGCAATTTGATGTATGTTATTGTTGTCGGGTTGATTAAACGACGATAATTCTTTGTCCCGATTCGAACCCGCGCACACTCCCGGCCATAAGTACGCACAACATGACCCTATCGTCCACCAATACGGATAATATCGATTTTCTTTGCATCTTCGCTGCATGTCCACTGTCGGGGGCGGGCGGGAAGGTGCCGGGAGTGCTGCGGAGGTTGTCCCTCCTACAATGGGACAAGATTTTTCGCGCCCAGCCAAAGGTCAATGCAAAGTCAAAATTTCATATTGCTCCGACCGCCGCCATTTTTTGCACATCGTCTATATTAATAATATTGAACAAGAATATGAAGAGAGCTAGATGCAGGGTGGTCTCCATTTTTTGTCCCATTGTAGGAGGGTTCTCTCTAAATCTGTAGGGATTTAAGCAGCAACCAGATCGTCAGCATTCCGGCACTTTCACACCTTACTGCTCTGACGGACATGTAAGTAAGCAAGACATGACACTCAAGCACAAATGGCTCACTGGTGGGCGATTGTTCGCAGACTGTTGGAAGCCAACCAAATCACCAGCATTCCCGCAAACGCCTTCACAGGTCTGACTGCGTTGACTCGCTTGTAAGCACTTCACTATGCGCAAGAGCAGAGATAAAGCACCACCCATACAGTCGGCTTACTTGTTATAAATTGGTAGGGAGTTAAGCAGCAACCGAATCACCAGCATCTCAGCATTCACAGACCTCACTGCACTGACTGTCTTGTGAGTAGGACTAAGTATTGGCAGGCTGAATATCACACACACACCAACTGCTCACTCGTTTGAGACTATCTTTAGGAACCTGGAAGCCAACCAAATCACCAGCATTCCCGCAAACGCGTTCACAGGCTTGACTGCGTTGGTTGGCATGTAAGCAGGTAAAGTACATCAGAATCACACAAAGGGCTCACTCGTTGGTGACTCCACTATTGGCAGGGCTCTTTCCAGCAACCAGATCACAGAGCTTCCCCCCTCGGCATTCATAGGCTTGTCTGCGATGGACAACTTGTAAACAAGCAAAGACATGAAGAATGACTCAATGCTATACGCACGGCTCACTCGTTGGCGAGTCTACTTGTAGGGATCTCTCCAACAACTCGATCTCCAGCATCTCCGCAAACACATTCACGGACCTGGCTGCGCTGTATTTCTTGTAAGCAAGCAAAGACATGAAGAATCTCACAGGCGGCTCAATCGTTGGTGACTATCTGCAGGGATTTGAGCATCAACCTGATCACCAGTATTTCCTCGTCTGCGTTCAGTGGCCTGCCTGGGCTGGGTTTTCTGTAAGTAAGAACCCTTCATGCACGTGTTCGACTCGTCTCTTACGTTTCTTTCCACTGGCAGGACTTTGACTGAAAATCCCTTCACCACTTTGCCGCCTGGTCTGTTCCAGGGCCTGCCAAATGGCTTGTATTTGTCGGACTTCGACTCATACATGAGCCCCACCAACCTTACCTTTGGTGGAAACACTGTCGCTCCGCCCAGCACATACGGCAGTGCGTCTTATCCTTACCGTAAGAGGTCGACGCGACTGCTATGCAATTCCTCCGTGATCGTTCACTGACATTTGTGATGCAGAGTGTGATACAGTCTGTGCCACCTGCTATGCCTCTGGGTCTGGTGCATGTTGCGGAACCAACTGTCTGACGTGCAATTCATCCAATCCCTGCACTCAGTGCTATGACGGTTATGGTATGATGAGTGGATCCTGTGTTCCGCTCGCTTCCATTGCTTCGGTCGCTTCGGTTGCGTCCACGCAATCTGCCTCGGCAGCCTCGATTGCCTCTGATATTTCCGCTGCCTCGGCGTCCGTTGCCACTGTGTCTTCAGCGTCAATTGCCTCGCAAGCGTCTGCATCTGCCGCCAGCGCATCCTCTGCATGGCAGACATCGGCTGCATCTGCTGCATCCAATGCGCCAAAAGGTTCAGGCGATGCATCTTCTTTGCCCATTATTCTCGGAGTCATTTTTGGCGTGTTAGGTCTTCTCTTGTTGGTTGCGCTGGTTGTGGCCCTTCGGCGTCGTCGCTCGCCAAACGCTCTGGCAACCACCGGCTCGGCCATCAAGCTCCGCGAATCAGCACCCGGCTCGGAACCGACCTATCAGGCCGTTGATCACAGCGGAACTGTGTCAAACGTTGTGAATCCAACCTACAGCACGTTGTCTGCGACTGGCGACCACGCCTTGTACGAACACGTTGGCTCACAGCCTCAAGGTCCTACGAGCTCGGAACAAGTGTATGCCGAAGCATCTGTGTCTGCATCCAGTGCAACCAGCGGTGTCGACTACGCCGATCCATCGCTGCCCAATGCCTCGTCGGTTCGTGTGCCGTCCGCATCCTCACCAACCACTTACGCGACGGTCACGAGTGCACCATCCGAGCAGACCTACGAAGATGTTGGCTCAGCGCCCCAGGCTCCTGTGGGTTTGTCTGAAGTGCAGTATTCCAACGCGGCTGTCTCGGGTGTCGAGTACGCCGATCCTTCGCTGCCCAACGCCTCATCTGTTCGTGTGCCGCCCGCGTCCTCACCCACCTCATACGCGACGGTGACTGTTGTCCCTTCCACTCAGAATGGGAATGCCGACTATGCGTCGATTGCAAACTAGCAACAACGACATTCCAGTAGTTTTTGTAGGTGTGTGCTTTTTCGGATGCCTTCAAATGTTTTTTTGTTTTTGGTTCTGTCAGTGTCATGCTTCTCTTTTTTTCTCGTTTTGCTGTGCCATCCTCGTGCTTGTGCTCTGAAAGCCGCTTGTTTCAATATCCGATTTCTACAATTTGTCTGAGCTCAAGTCGTTCTCTAAAAATTTGTTTTTCAATGCCGTTCTTCACCTCAATCGTTTGGCTTTATTCACTGACCTCATTTCAAATTTACAAATTCTCTTGTCCATCCAGTCCTCTCTCTGTGACAATTTTTCATCATGGCTGACGCAAAGGTCAAAGAAGCGCTCAGTCTGATGGCCGAAGCCGCCAAACTGTAACCGAAAAAAACAAAAACAACCTTGCTGACGAACAGCAACCAAAAGCTTTTCTGATGCGTTCATACTCTTGTCAATATTGTCTTGTTTATTCTGTCACCTCAAGTCTTGCATTGAAAACGATGGAAGTGGGGAAGGGGAAATAGAAAAGCCGGGGTTGTTTTGGCTGAGCTGACATTGTGAAAGTCTGGTTTTGCTTGCTGACCATCGTTTTGCTGCGACTCGACTTTCTTGCTTCTGTCGACAAACAACAGGGAAACGACGTCTGTGTTTGCCATGCGCTTCAAGCCTGACTGGGAGGGTGCGAGTGCGCTGTACGACCGCGCTGCCAACCTCACCAACGCAGCCAGGGCGTACGAGCACAACATCAATGCCAACACCAAGCTCGCCCGCGCCATGCTCCAGATTCGAAGGTAACGACAAGAACAGCAGGGAACGAGTGTCGCGTCCTGCGTTGGGCACACCAGCAGCGCAGGCGGCGCGTCCGACTGATTTCGCTGGACTTGCATTGCGTTTTTCTTACTCGGTTTTTCCCATCCAAAATGCAAATGTGACGTTTTCTGGATTTTGTCTGGACATGGGCTTCGGGAATCTCGGCAACCTCCTCGTCGCATGCATCCTACATGCATGATGATACTGATATGGCAATCCCCAAAAAAACACTGGTTTTTTTTTTTTGGACTTGCGCGCTAAAGCTACTTTCAAGCTGCAAAAGCGTTCGAGGCGGCCGCCAACTCGGCGCGAATGCTCAAGGACATGAAGCAAGCGTCGGACTTGTACAAGAAGTCAGTCGAGCTGTATCGCCAAAATGGCACCAACGATACGGCCGTCCAGGTTCTTGAAAAGGCCGCAAAGTGCGTTTCACGCGAGTTGTTTTTTTTTTTTGGCGCCACCCCACTCTGAATCATTTTCATGTTCTCATCCTCGCTTTGCCACTTCGTTTTATGCTTGGTACAGATACACGGAAGAGGTAGACCCCCTCCAGGCTGCACAAATGTACCTCGATGCTATCGACATTCAGCTCGCCGAAGGCAAGAAGCGTCAAGTGTCGGAGGCCTTCCGTCGCGCTGCTGCACTCTTCTTGAACGCGAACAAGTGAGCCCTCTAGTCTGAATCGTACTCGAATTGAATTTGCGGCGATAGCTGTTCTCAATTCGTTTGTGACCCCCCCTTTTTTTTTTTTTTTTTTTTTTTTTTTGCGCAGGACTCGAGAGGCTGTCAAAGCACTGCAGGACCACCTTGCTGTGCTGCAGGAAATCAACCAGCTGGAGGTTGCTCACAAGAACATCTTGGCCATTGTCGTTGTCTTCTTGAAGGCTGAGGACTATGTCGCTGCAGACAAGGCTGCCCAAGATGGCCTTTCCGTCCAGCGATTTGCCATGTCCGACGAGGGCAAGGCTGCGTTTGATCTGCTGGAGGCCTATGACAAGGGTGATGCCAAGGGCTTTGAGGCTGTCACGAAGCGCCAGGTGTTTTCCTTCCTCGACAATGAGGTATGAGTTTTCTTTTTTTTTTTTTTTGGGTTTGTGTGTTTTCATGATTTTGGCGCAACCCATCCGTCTCATGCTTGTGTATCTGTTTGGCCGCATCTCGACAGATTTGCAAGGTCGCTCGCAATCTCCGTGTGGGTGGCAGCACTATGGGTGCCAGCTCGACGAGTTCCCAGCCAGCGCCTGCTGGCCGAAATGAGCTTTTTGCTCGTTCTACTCCCGCTCCTGTCGCTACTCCGGCCGCACCCGTTGCTCCCGTCGCTTCGGCTGCTCCCATCGATTCAGAGCCGACAGAGCAAGACGCCGACGCTGACAACGAGGCCTCCTCGCTATTTTCGCCGACCACTGCCATTCCGACCGACGTCGCACCCGCGGCTGCTGTCCAAAGCGCGCCTGCCGCCCCGCAGCAGGAGGACTCGAACGATCTTCTTTAATATTTTTTTTTGCCTTGTTTGAAAGTTTCCGCGAGTGCTTTGTCGCATGATATTGTTGTTTGTTTTGTGCAGAAAATTTCAAGTCTATTTGGGTTCTAGTAGTCAAAAATGTCACTTGATCACGTACGTCACACACATAACACAAAGTATCAAGAGAGAGAGAGAGAGAGAGAGAGAGAGAGAGAGCAACAAGAACAAACACCAACAATAACTGGACAGTAGGCAGCGTCAACCACACACGATGCCGGCTGTTGGCTTTAATAGTCAAAAAGCAGACCAATCGCTTCGGCCGCCTTCTCGCGAACAAGAGGCGACGACTCTTGCAACAGGTTGGTCAATGCTGCAAAAGGAGAACAAAAAATGAAAAACAAATACATGAGCGACAGTTGCTTTTGTAAACCCTCAGAAATATGTGACTTACAAGAGCAGACATGCTCGACCGTGACAGACCCGCGAGCAGTCTTGTTGATTTGGCACAGCAGGAAGCCTACAGCAGCAACAAGAGCAACAGCAACAAGGAAACGCTAAGATGACCGGACAAAGAGCACAGTGTCGCCGCATTCCACCACCCGAAAACTGGAGCTTACCGGCAAACAGGGCGGCGTTCGCCTTGATGGTGTCCCAGTCACTCTTGAAGAAATTGACATTGCCCATCACAAAGAAGTTCATCTTCTCAGGGAAGGCATCAATCTATCGATTCGGAAACAAACAGTCAGCCGACAGTCTCAATCAGTGTCAACCATTCATTTTTCAGTGTGTGGCCAAAGTCCACCACATACCACAAGCTTGGAGAGATCGCTCATAAAGTCAGGGTAGAGCAACGAGCCCTTCTCCAACAGGTACTTTTGGAACATGGCATTCACATCATCAGCGCCAAGCAAGGGACCAACATCCTTCAAGGCAGATTTGCAAGCCTACCAACGAGTGTGCATACGACAACAAGTCAGCATGTTTGTCGACCAACTCCAAATTTGTTGAACAAAAGGCCCAGCCTGCCTCTACATACCGTGCGGACAAGAACCGAGTCGTCATTGAGATGCAAAAGCATGCTGACAAAGTTGGCAAGAATCTGCTCAAAGAACGGAGCCTTGGATGGGCCGTCACCAAAGCGGGAAAGCTTGCCGAACAGTGTGATGGCCGCTGCACGAACACCATCCTGTTGCTTTTCAAAGCAAGGGCGGATGCGCAAGCAAATGTTGATCAGGATGGGACGGATGTGGTTCTCGTCCAGCTTGGCGAGGATCTTTGAGAGGCCATTCATGGCCTCCATCGTAATCTCCTCGTCAATGTCGTTCTTATCGTCCATGCCAGCCATCATTGCGGACAAGATGGTCGTCGAGTAGCGTTGGATCTGGATAAAAAAACCAGAGACAAGCAGTGAGTCAATCAAGCCCAACTTGCCCAAGCGAGCAAAAAAAAAAAAAAAAAAAAAAAAAAAAAAGCACAACCACATCTTCTGAACTCTACCTGAGCCTCGGGAGCGTTGGCAACGTTGCCCAAGCCACGGATGCACAGCTTGCGAACAACATGCGAGTCGTCAATCAGACGACCAAGACATGCGTTCATCAGCTGCTCAATCAGGTTGACATTCTCGGCGCAGCGGTTGTAGATGAACTCGGCAAAGAGGGCAGCCGTAACGACGCGCTGGGTGTCGTAGGGAGAGGAGAGGAAGGGCATCAGGAACTCAATCATGGCCGGCACGTGCTCGCCGCCGTGAACGCAGATCGAGCGAGCAACCGTTGTGAGGCCGTTGAAGAACTCGTCCTCGTCCGACAGCAAGTCCCAATGGTCCTGTTCATCAAGGTCCTTGGTCACGTAGTCTGCCTTGGAGCGGATCAAGAACTCCTTGAATGCAGAAATGGTATCGCTGCGTCCACACGAGCCAAAGCACAGTGAGTTTGAATGCAAGCAAAAGAAAGTCGGTGGAAAAAAAACCCCACAAAAGCACATCACAAAAACAACCACCAGTTACCCGATGGGGAGCTTGGGACCGTCCATGCCGTTCGACGTGCCGATGCGAATCAGCAGGCTGCACATAATGCGCGGCAACAGCTTGCCAACAAGGGCCTCCGAGTCCTCAGCACGGAAAACCTCAGCGAGAGCGCTGGTGGCTTGCATTGGCGGACGAGTGGCCTCGCGAGTGTACTCCTTCTTGTTGTTTTTGCTGGGCTTTTCTTCGTAAGGTTGGTTCTTGGTGATGACGGTCAGCAAGTGCTCCAGCATGGGCAGTGCGGTCACCTCCTCTCCTGCCAACGTCTTCCAGATCTTGACCACAACTCTGTAGGTAGAGCAATCAAAAGCACCAACGCGTCGAGTGAGACCAAATCAAGCCAAAGCACCAACGAGTCAAGTGAGACAAAAAGCCAAAAAAAAAAAAAAAAAAAAAGAAAGAAAAAAAAAGAAAAAAGAAAAAAAAAAAAGCTGAAAGCTCGCTACCACACACCACCCTCTCAAAATTCCACTCACTCATCGTATGGCAGATCGAAGGCAAGCAGATCGGTGACGACAGTCTTGAGATGATGGGTGGCAAGCGTGCGAAGGGATCGGAGCGTGCCAATCTCAGTCTGCTCGTGCTTGATCAGCTTCAGACGCTTGTGAATTTCACCGAGGAGCAGCTGGACGTCAGTGCCAAGTTCAGCGCCGCGTTGGCGGAACAAGCCATTCAGAACAACGCATGCACCAGAAGCAGCGGCGTCCTCCTTGTCCGTGAGACCCTCCAGCAGCTCGACCACGAACGGAAGCAGCTCAATGGGATCGAGGGTCTTGGCCAAAACCTTGGAGAGATCGTTGACCACGGCAAACTGCGCGTTCGGCTCGCTCTTCTCGGCACGCTCCTTGAGCACAGTCACAGCTTCAATGGCGGGGTTGGATGTCAGCTTGTCAGGGCTGCCGGCGCGGGTGAGCTCACTGACGCGGAGCAGCACCTGGATGGCGTCCAGCGCGGTTTGACGGATCTTGACAACCGGGTCGGTGCAGCGAGGAGCAAGGAAGGCAATGAGCTTGCCAAAGCCCAAAAAGTCCTCAGGCACCTCAGGATTCTCCTTCAGGCGCTCGCTCTTGAACTTAAAGTACTGCTGCGACACGTACAGGGCAGCCTCAACGGCACGCTGGCGACGGTGCGCTTGGTCGGAACGGATGGTCGGGGCCAAGCTCTCGAGCATGGACGTGAGGCTAGAAATGGAGGCATTCTCCTCAATGATGGCCGCGAGCATCTTGTTCAGCGAAGTCAGTGTTTGAGTCATCAGCTCAGCGTCCACGTTCTCGGGCAGTTCGTAGATGGCGGTTGTGCATGTGCGGACGGCGTCGAGACGATCAGCATCGCTCAGAACTGGGGCCATGTGCCTGAGCAAGCACAAGAAGGGACAGAGTTAGGGTGGTTGGTTTAGCAAACAAACAACCAAACAAAACAAAACAAAACAAAGGCGACAAACTCTCCAAACGCCGACTCAAGTACACTTACACCATGGTCGTGAGCGCATCCATGGCGAGAGCTTGAACCTGGTTCTTGAGCGTGTTCTTCTCAGCGGTAATGTAGGTCAGCATGTTGTTGAGCAGCTCGGTGCGACGAGTGCAGACAAACTTGGGATCGTCGATGCGGTCGGGAAGAAGCGCCGTGCAGATCAGGGCAACCGCTCGAGTGACATTCTCGCGCACAAACGTCTCGCGGATGGTCGCAAACTGCGGAATGATAATGTTGAAGATGGACACGTCAATGCGGGACGTGATGAGGCTGTGTACATAGAGCACAAACAGAACCGACGAGGACAGCAACATTGACGCCACTCGTGTTAGTCAACGACAATCTGCCAAAAAACACTCTAGCCACCCAAAACAACAACAACAGCAACACAGCAACAACAACACCGCCACCACCACCACCACCACCACCACCAACAACAACAACAACAGCTACAAGTGGAAACTTACTTGGAAGGAGCATACAGCGCAGTGTAACCAAAGCCCAGCATGACGGTGGCGCGAAGCCGCTCAACGTCAATCTCAGACTTGTCCTTGACCATGCCAAAGAAGCCAGAGGACTTGCGAACCATGTCAGTCTTGGTCACGGTCTGCAGCTTTTCAATGACCGTGTCGAGGTGGGACGATGCGGCAAAACCAAAGCCTTGGGCCACACCCTCGCGCTCGACCTGGTCCTTGTGGTCGATGCTGTTGAACATGATGTCGAGGTGCGTCTTGATAAAGTTCTTGTTGGTCGACTTTTTCATGCACACACCGATGCAGCGCAGCAAAAAGTTCTTGTGCGTCACGAGCTTGTCGTACAAGGGCAGCTGCTTGGCCATATCTTCGCCGAGAGAGACAGTCCAGTCCTCGTTGCCAACCTTGTCAATGGTGCGCGCAAGGAACTTGAGCAAAAGTTCCTCCCACGCCTTCTGGTCAAACTCGCCGTCCGCGTTGGCCTCGAGATAGGCCAGAAGCTTCGGGATGACGTCGTCCCACATGTCTGGCAGCGTCGCTCGCAAATTGGGCGAGAACGATTGCAGCAGCTGCAACGCATGCATGCCACGCTGACGCTCTTGCGGATGGCTGGCCATGACAAGCAGACGACCAATCAGTGCGAACGGGCGCGGGACGTTGACCTTGCGGTCAAAGTTGATCATGTAGTCCTCGGCGTTCTCGGCGCGCTTCTTGGAGGCAAGATAGGTCAAGCACTTGCACACGATCGCAAAGGCGTCCGTGTACTGAACGGGCACCAGGAACTCGGTCAGGAACGGCCACAGCACCTCTTCCATGTGAGGAATGGTCGTTGTGATGAGATGAAGCACATTCTCGCACATGCTGCGCAAGCCTTGAGGGGATGTGACTTCGAGCTCGCTGAACGCACGCTGGCGGCTCTCGTCCGAATCCTTGGATTGGGCGGCGCGGCGCTTGCGCTCCTCTTCCTCGCGCTTCTTGCGGTCGGCGGCATCCTCGACCAGAGCACACTGACGGACGACAAACTCAATCATGGCGTTGCCGCCCTCCAGGCCCAGGTACTTTTTGGAGGCCATGGCAATCACAACGGTGCCGAACGTTTTGCGCACCGACAGGTTGGGCTCTTGGAGCACTTGCTTGAGGCCGCTCAGGATGAGCTCCTTCTTGTCCTTGAGCTCAGCATCGCGCGAGTTGATAATGTGCTTGAGCACGTCAAGCGTGGCGATGCGGTTGGCCGGGTTGGAGTTCTCGAGCTTTTGAATGAGGAAGGCAACGACGCGGTCAGAGTACGAGCGTGCCAGAATCTCAAAGCAGCGCAGCAGCTCGTTGTGGTTTTTCAACGACGTGGACGAGCCGTAATCGATTGGGATGGCCACCATAGGCTGGAGTGTTTGCAGGGTTTGTTCCAGCAGCGGGTCCAGCGCACGGGTGTCCTCCTTGACTGCCGTTTCGAGGATCATGCACATGCCCTGAGAGACAAATGAGGAATGCGAAGAGGCAAGAGGCCCCGGGGAGGGGGGGGGGAATGGAAAGGAAGCAGCAATACAGCAACAAGAAGCATGAGCGCACACTCTTTTGACCAACACACAAAAAGAAAACCCAGCTCGAGCAAGCGTACAGCAGTGATCGGCAGGTGCTCGTTGTGCTTTTTGTACAGGGCCAGAACACCGGGAACCAGCTTGGGTAGCTGAATGTCAAACTGCTCGCGAGAAAGGCACTGTGCCATGAAACCGAGCGCTTCGACAATCGCCATACGAAGCTGCAAATCATTCGATCGATGCACAAAGGTAAGGACGAGCCTTTTTCACACCCTTCACATTCCCGTCCGCATCTCATGATGCAGCGGGCCATACCTTGGGGTCGTTGCCGTTGGGCAACCACACATTGAACATGACTTCGAACGCAGTGAAGACTTGACCAGCGAAATCACGCTGACCGAGGTTGTCGGCAGTGTGGTCGGTCTTGTTTGCAACGAAGGTGATGATGCTCTCGCAGAAATGGCCGATCGCTGTTTGTGTTTTGTTTGATTGTTCCATGGGAGGTGAGGGGCGCAGTGAGCAGAGATTGGAGAACGACGGTGAAGGGAATAAAATGGCTTACAGGTTGAGAAAACCAACTTCATGTTGTCCTGCTTGATCATGCCAAGAACAGGCAGCAATCGACTAAAGACATCGTTGAGGCATGGCACCATCAGGGCAGCTGGTCAGGAACAAGAGAAAACAAAATAGAAGGTGAGCCGCGTGCTGTTGCCAAAGCGAAAAAAAAAAAAGAAAAAAAAGTCACGAGCGCAAAACCATGCATGGCGGACACATACCGTGGGACGAAGCAAAGTTGCCAAGAGTCTTGACGATATAGAAGTGGGGAATGGTGGCGGGTTCGCACTTGCTGAGCAGCTCGTCAACGACTTCCTTGCCAAAGCGGCCACCGAGCGAGACAATCAACTCGGAGGAGGTGCTTTGCCAGTCCGGCACAAGATCCTGTCCAAGAGATTCGTACAATGACAAAGTGAGCAATTTCTCGGGTAAGAGTAGCCGACAATTGCACACACACACACATACCTTCGTGGCGGTGAGCTCGGAAGACGCGAGGCGAATCAGCATGGCGCAAAGATCGTGTGGCAGCTTTTCCAGACGCTCGTTGACGATATCACGAAGCACGCGCAGCAGCAAGGTGCGGTGCGGGAGCGGAATGTTCTAAAACCACAGTAAACGATTGGTTCGATGGACGACCAGACAAAAACACAAAAAAAATTGAGGGAAGACACTCCAAACCGCAAAGGGTCGTCTGGATGAACAGCATTCAAGCATACCTTCTTGTTCTTGTGGAAGAACACGAGGATGGAGCTCAAGACGAGGTTGGGCTGCTGCAGACCGAGATCGACGAGCGACTGACGGACGCGGTCGTGGACGGTTTCCTCCTTGTCGGCGGCAGTCTCAATGAGGGCCATGACCATGCCTGCCAACCCCCCGAAGCACAAAGCGTGAGTCTTCAATGTGCACACGCCACTGGTCTAGACGCTCCAAGCCGTGCCAAGTGCCAAGGTGCGTGTGTCGCTTCTTACCATCGATATGACCACCCGTCTTGAGGACAGTCGGGTCCTTGTCGTCCTTGAAGACTGGTACTTTGGACATGTTCTGCCAGTGTTGCACAAGCGTCAAATCACAATGTAAGATATGATTGTTGCAAGCTGCTCGAGTTGTGTGTGTGTGTCACGTATCACCATCAGTTCAGTTCAGCTCAGCGCAGAGAGACGCAGCTTCCTCAGGCGCACAAGCTCGATGGCGATCTTGTTCAATGGCGAGTCATCCCATCTCCAATCTCATACAATTCCCCCCTCCCCCAACTCCCCACCATCTCCAATCTCATACAATCATCTTCAGAGCAAAGGCTTCCTTGTGACTTTTTTTTTTTCATTGCAATTCCTTTTTTTTTTTTTTTTTTTTTTTTTTGGTTTTTGAGCCGTTGTGTGTGTGACGATGATGACGATCAGTCAAGCGATGGCACAGCGCCGCATCGTGAGCTCAAACCGCTCTCCCACATACGAGATGCAAGCAAATCATCGGGCCATGCGAGTGCTCCTTCGCATCTCCCCCCACCCCACCCCGCGTCAGTCTCCCCCATCGCTCATCGCTGGTCTCGACAAAGAGCAAAGTGAAAGCAACAAAAAAAAAAAAAAAAAAAAGCCGGACAATCATGTCACGCGCTACGCTCCACAGTGCGCAACGCAGGCCGCACCGCCGATGCCCCCGTCCGTAGGTCGCGTCACTGTGCATCGTTCGTGTAGAGTGCAAGCAGCGAGGCGCACAAAGGCAGCGAGGAGTGCGTGGCGCAACGGCTCATCAATTGTCCAATTGTTCAACCCAAACGTTTTTTTTTTTTTTTTTTTTTTTTGATTTTGGTTGAATTGAAAAATTTCGTCCCAATTTTTTTGTTCTTTGTTTCTTTACCGAAAACTGAGACGAAGAAAAAAAAAAGTTAAGAGTGAAACGAATGGAAAATGAATGGAAATGGAAACAAAGAAAAATACAACTCAATGACAGGATCAAACCATCACTAACTGACACAACAAAATTCATGGAGTGGAGGGCAGCAGAGTCGAACGAAAGGGTGAATGGCAACTAGAACACCGATGCAAAGCAACCCGTGTATGTGGTCTGAAGGAAGGTAAAACAACACCGCTGATGCGGGGTACTTGCACTGCTTGTTCAGGGAAGTACCGAGAAACCTGAAGCGAAACGAGCGAAGCGATCCGATCTCGTTCTACAATCCAATGCTCGCTTCCAACGATGCTGCAAAGTCATCTTCGTCGTCATCGTTGTCGTCCTCGCTGTTGTCAGCATCATCTTCATCATCTTCATCGCCAGTATCGGTCTCCTTGGATGGCATTGCTGTTTCGCTCACGTCGCTTCCAGAATCAGAATCATTGTCATCGTCGTCGTCATCCTCAGCATCACTGTCTTTGTCAGCATCACCATCCAGACGAGGCTCCTTGGATCGACGCCTCTCTTCGTCGTTTTCAGCCTTTCTCTTGGCCCGTCTCACGGCCGACCCCGACTCTTCGTCCTGACTGGGCTGTGGAAGCTCCTCATCGCCGTCGCCATCGCCGTCGCCGTCGTCGTCGTCCAGATCGAACAGGGCAGACATGTCACTCGAATCAAGGGGCTTGATGTCGGCCATTTCCGCTGGCATGGTTGCGTCCCGGCGCATGGGAGGCCCCGCTTCCTCGTCGGCAGGCAGCGCAAGGGTTTCGACGGAGCGCAACGTTGGCCGGGGAAGCGGCAGCAGCTCTGGTGCCAGCGACACCGATGCGCGCTGCAGCAGATCGTGGACTTCGCTCAGCTCGACCAGCTCATTGAAAGGGAGGCGCTCGTTGTTCATGAGCGCTCTGGACGGAACAAACGCCCGCAGCAGGTCGGGAATAACGCGCGCAACGTCGGGTTCCTGGACCGCTCCGTGCTGCTGCTGCTGCTGCTGCTGCTGCTGCTGCTGCTGAGCACGTCGCATTCGCTTGAAAAATTCAATGTGCACCAGAACAAGGAAGGTGAGCGCATTGTAAAGCGCACAATCATTGTCGGTTCGCGCAGGGTAGGTGATGCCCAATCGCAGCGCGTCCCGCGGCAGCGGCACGGCTGCTGGTGCTGCGACAGACGTGTCTTCACTAGGCGTCGCCTGCTCGGGCGTCGCAGCTACGCTGGCACTGGTACTGGTTTCGCCGGACGGAGCCTCCGTCATCACAGCGTCTGCAATAGGCGCTCCAGCGTCGTCGGTGGGTGGTTCCAAGGACTCCTCACTCGACAGGAAACCAGCGATCGTCTCGGTGACAACTTGCATGGGAATACTGCCGTCAGCGAACAGAGCTGGTCGAAATTGCACGTCGTCATTGGGCTCGGGCACGAGCATGGCCGGGTCCTCGACGGTCACAGGCTGAGGAATGCGGGCTGCAAGCGAGACTGGGATGTGCAAATTGGCCGCCAGCTTGTTCTCCAAATCTACTTGCACAGATTCCGCTTCCGCAAGAGTGCGAAGTGCAGCAGCGTCTTCTGCAGGCGGTTCTGTGGCGTCAGTGTTGTTTGTTGCTGCAGCTGTTGCTGTACTTGTTGCTGTTGATGTTGCTGTGGATGATGATGGTGATGCTGGAGCGTCGACACCAGCAGGTGACTCGAGGCCATCCACATCTTGAGCGGCTGCCGTACTTCGTCCCCCCTTTGCCAAATCCATGGGGAGAGCGTTGATATCGTTCGCGCCTAAAAAGTACTCGTAAGGGGATATTTGAATCACGTTGCCCAGCCGCGCCCAGACATCGATTCGATCGTCCAGTACCGCCACCATGTTGTGCCCCGAAGGAAAGAGCTGGCTGAGCTGCGTATGCTTGAAGTTGGCACTCTTTGATTCGTCGCGGGACATGATGCGCGACCCAAACAGCGCGCCGTCAGGATCGAGAACCGCCGCGACTCTGCTGGCGTACATGCGAGAGCCCATGGTGAAAATGTGCAGCTCGAACAGCTTTGTGGCTTGGGCCAGGAACTCTCGCGCGCCAGGTCGTAGTTTGATGTAGTACAAGTGCGGGTGGTTGGGTAATGAAAAGTTGAAAATCTCCTTTTGCAGCTGGAGGGAGGATGTTTGAAAGCAAGTGAGTGTGGCGGAAAAGTAAGAAAGGGGGTCGCTGCCGCAGACCAAACAGACATGGCAACATTATGCGTTCTTACCTCGACATTATCACGCAGGAATTGACCAATCCATGGTACTTGCGACGAGACGACTGCGTGAATCAGCGTCTGGTCGAGGTCGACAATGAGAACCAGCTTTTTCGATTGCAACAGCGATTCTTTTTCTCGGGACGCAATTGCCTTTGCGGCCTGGTCAATTCGGCGAGCATTGTGCGGCGGCGAGGAAGAGCGCAGGGCATGGCGGAAAACAGTCAAGAAACATGTCAGTAAGTCGCTCATGCCATCTAACGAGCTTGATGATAGAGGCAACAGAATACAAACTCACCTTCTCATCAACCTGCAATCCAGGCATATTGTGAATCATCGAGAAGAGTTGCGGGTCGCGTCGCTTGTCGTTGTTGAGGTTGGACATTTCGGATTTGGCTCGTTCTCTAAACAGCGACAGCAAGAAAGGAATGAGACGCGAGTACTCGGGCTTTTGCTTTCATAGATCGTCTCTCTCTCATAACAGCTGCAAGCAAGGAGGTATGAGTATCTTACTGCTGGACGTCGGCACCGCAAACTGCGCAAAGCGCGTCAGCGATGATCATCGGATGTCGGCAACCCTGCTCAATCACAACAACCGGCTCTCTATGATCACAAAAGCAAAATCCCGACAAGCGGACAAAACAAACAAACAAACAAACAAACAAACAAAAGAAGCACATTCGCAATGAAGTGAGATGCTCAGAAACTGAGAAACTTGGTCGAGTTCGTGTCAAGATCCAATCCAATCTGGGGAGCGGGGCGGAAACTCACCCAGTCCGTGCATGGCCGCCAGCAGGCACGAGAATCCCGCTGATCTTGCCTTTGACACGCGTTTTGAGCTCCTTGATCACTTGCGGGGTGGCTGCACCGTGGCCTTCAGTGACTGTGTAGTGGCAGAGCGTGTCGTCCCACGAGACGCTGTCGCCCACCGCAAACAGCCAGCGCACAATGGAGCCAGCCCTGCGATTCGGCAGCGCCAGTCGCGCCTGGCCATCGGCGGCCGTGTCCAGCGCGTCGGCTGCGGGCTGGTTCGCGTCGTTCTGGTGCAAATCCTGCTGCTGCTCTGCTGGTGCTCGCCGGCGTCGTGGGCCACCTTGCGCGCGGCGTTCAGCTGGATCGGCACCCAGTCCATGTCCAGTGCCACTATGGCTACCGCTCCGAGTGGCGCTGCTCAACGTGTCGTCCTCGTCAGCGCGACCGTGTCCATCGTCCATCCTGTCATTCATTTTCGCGGGCACAGGCACCGGGTCGTCCGACGGTCGTCCGTTCCGCACCGACGCTGCGTCATACCACGCCGACATCGACAAACAAACGCACACTCGAGTCTGTGACTTGATCGAAGATGAAAAACGGGGTTCACAAAGGAAAGAATGATCGTCGGCGGTTTGAAAAAGTGCGCCAAAAAAAAAAAAAAAAAAAAGTGTCAAAAACCCAAAAAAAGAGAAGCGTTAAAGACAAACAGAAAAGCAACTCTTTGCTATTACAAAGTCACAATACATCAACAAATTACACAGTCAAATTCGACGGAAAACAACAAGGCGCGAATGAAAACCAAAAAAACCCCTTTCCAAACGAAAACAAACTTTTCCAAAGCCTAGGCTCGGGTTTGTTACTTGGAATTCTTGCCGCCACCCTGAATGTGCTCCCAAGGGCTCTGAAACTCAAAGCGACGCATTTCTTGAGTCATTTCGAGGGGCTCGACAACGACGCGCTTGAGCTCGTCGTCGTATCGGGCTTCAACATAACCAGTCAGCGGGAAATCCTTGCGCATGGGGTGGCCCTCAAAGCCATAGTCTGTCAGAATGCGTCGCAAGTCGGGGTGGTTGGAGAAGAGAATGCCGTAGAGGTCCCATGCCTCGCGCTCAAACCAGGTGGCCGAGCTGTACAGGCAGGTGGCCGATTCGACCGGTGTGACTTCGTCCGTGTACGTCTTGACGCGGATGCGGGCGTTGAACCGCAGCGACAGCAAGTTATACACAACCTCGAAGCGGTTTGTTCGCTTTGGGTAATCGACGCCGGCGACGTCCAGCAGCTGCTTGAACTGGGCGTTGGTGTGATCGCGCAAGAACTGGAGCACGGGCAGGACGCCCTCCGGCGCAACCAGGACCTCCAGCTCGTTGGTGTGCTGTACTTGCGTTGCCTGCACAAACTTGGGCAGCACGTCCACCAGGTACTGGCCGTACTCTTCCAGCTGCTTGCGCGAGGCGGCGGTGATGGGTGCAGTTGAAACTGTCGTGGTTGCTGTTCAACAGGAGGCAAGAGAGACGGTTTTCCGGTGAGATCGACGATCAAAACGAGTAATAACACATATCAATGTAGACAGGCCATGCGTGGACAGCCAGTCCCGAAGCGAGGGAAGCGAGGGAAGCGAGGGAAGAGGGAAAGAAAAAAAAAAAAAAAAAGATCTCGCTTTCCCCTTTGCCCCATCATGTGTGTTCAGAACAGCGGCCAGTGCATGGAGCAGGGATGAGAGGTCAAACAACGACTTACCCGGAGCGACGCTGCTCGACTGGCGAATGGCAGCTGTCGAGAAAGCAACAAAAAGCCAAGAGCAATCGAAGAAGGGGGAACGATGGGTGAGCTGTTGAAGAGAGCGAGAGAACCCAGCACGAAAGAAGCGGCTGCAGCTCCCACAACCAACCGTCACAAGCCAGCGGAACGAGAAGAAATCAACGCACCACGAGAAGCAGTAGCAGCAGACGGAGCGGCAAGGCGCGACACGGCGCCGGTTGAGGCAGCGCGAGTTGCCAACTGAGCAAAGCGGTACATTGGGAAATACTTGGAGATGGACTGCGCTCGAGCTTGGCTCGACTCTGAATGAGAATTTGGCATTGGCCACTTGGCGGGGATTCAAATAAGCTCAGGAGGTTCCATCATGGACAAGTCTAATACGGGCAGCGGGATCCCGCTAGAAATAGGAAGCGATTGCAATCACCAACAGCTTGCAAACTATGCACAACCCTTCACGTACTGTAATCACATCATTCTCAACCAAGATATACTGCTATGTGCACATGATGGCACAAAGCATCCAGAGGAAACTGCGACTCTGCAAAATCATGCTTGACATTTTCAGAATGTTTCAAAATTTTCAAAGCAATAAGGCAAAACAAGGCAACTCAGGGAAACAACACACAAGCGAAGAATGCACACGGTCGGAATCGAACAATCGAAAGGAAAGAACAAAAACAAAGCAAAGAAACCACAAAAAAAGCACTACACATCACGGTCAATCGAGCAGAAGTAAGAAATTTCTAACGATTTCTGACACACGAACTGAGAAAAACCCAAATCAGTAGACTGGGTAGCCCGTGTTGTTCGATCCATAGTATCCACTTCTACAACATTGCGATGGCCAACTGAGCGTTAGAGAGCCACACGTAGAAAAAAAATAATCCCAAAACGAAAACAAGTCGAGCGACTTACGATGGCTCATCGTCCGCTTCATAGTGTTCCATAAACTCATCCTCCTCTCCCCATGAAGCCATTTCGTCTTCCGGACAAGGTGCGGTGACACTAAGCGAAGGACAACACAAAATCAGTCACAACCGAAAACGTTCTGCAAAAGCACACACCCCTTCCCTTCTCGCTCGCTGTACCTCAAACATCTGCATGAGAAGAACACGATTCGCTTGAGCTTGTGGTTGTAGAAGAAGTAATTCATCGACCATCTGCCAGCACAACGAAAGTGCGGATGAGCTTTAAAACTTGCAGCAGAAAGCAGCAGCTGCAACAACAACAACAAACACATACAGGTTGCCATCCTCCGCGAATGGGTTGTCGGCGTCCGTCTCGGGCACGTACGAGTAGATGGCACAGTCTCGGAGAGCAACGTCGGCGTCGATGGAGGACCAGAACTTGGCGGCGATGGCCACCCACTCGTCCTGAAGCTCGGTGGACAGGGTCGAGTTGATGTAGTTGGAGACCATGTCGAATCGCTCTTTGCTAAAGTTGTGCGACTTGAGTGTCGAAAAGTCGTAATCGGGGAAGGCCGAGTTGAGCACGGCAATCAGGTAGAAGAGTGTTTTGCGGTTGCACGACTCGTAGCACAGCTCGTTGAACTGCGAGAGGGGCGACACGGACATGCTCTGCGGCGGTGAGAATGCCAGGATGTGCTCTGGCTCGGTGTATTCGGCGCTGCGACCGACGAATGGGAACCCAAAGCAAAAGCACAAACACCAAAACAAAAAGCGGTGAGCGAATGCGAAATCATTTGCCACGGTCGACCGTTTCCACGCAAAAAGGGGAGAACATCAACGCGTCGCAGATGGTGACATGTGAGCGGGCAGAGCAGCAGAGTGCGGCTGACGAGAGACGAGGACGGAACAAAGGGCCACCAAAAAAAAAAAAAAAAAAAAAAAGGTTCAAAATAACAGCAATGAAAGGTAGGTAATCTTGGATCGTTGCTTCCGAACACGTCCACAGCGCAAACTCCAATCTCACTCTATGAGGACATGGCGAGGGGAGAAAGGGGGCGCCTCTGCAAAGAGATCACAGAGCAAAGCGGCGAAAAAAAAAAAAGAAAAAAAAAAGGGGAAGGCGGGAGAGTTTTTGTTGTTTTTGGCGCCATTTTTGAGTGTCGGTCTTCACGTTCTCGCGCTGGCTCTTCCCCCACGACAACGCCAGTTGATAGAGTGAGTCTGACAGTGAAGCGCGGCGGTGCTGGTTTGTCCACCTCTCGGTTGGCGCCCGTGAATGCGAGCAAAGAAGAAACGAAGCCGCTTTTTTTTTTTTTTTTTTTCGTTTGCCACACAAGCAAATTCTCGCTCGCTCGAGGCTCTCACTGGCCTTCCAGCTTAAAACGCCTGCTGCGACGCTCGGGGAAGAGCTGCACGTGTCCATCGTACGAGATGGAGGCGGAGGGACAAGGATCGCAAGGCCCAAGCCGCATTCCCCAGGCCGCAAAGCCGTCATCAATCATGAGACACTTTGAACCTTTTTCTCCCCACCTCGGTCTCTGCCCATTTTCGCTGACAAGACCCTCGCCGAGCGTCTGCCATCATCAGTGAACGAATGCTGGCAACCAGCACTGTCGACAACGGTGGGTGAGGTGGTGGTGGCGGTGCTGTTGCTGCTGGCAGTGCTCTTTTCAACGCCGAAACGCGCGCAAAACTCACGTAAAGTTCTGCTTGTACTGCTTCTTGTCCGTGCCCGCTAGCTTGCACGAGTAGCTCTCAACACGTCCAACCATACGCTTGTCGCCACGCACGACACTGAGACTGGAGCCCAGCGCGTCGAGGTTGACATTCTCCAATATTTTCATGGGGGAAAAACCGAAAACGAAAAGTGTCAAAAACCAAAAAGGAGTGGAGAAAGCAGCTCGAGCTATGGTCGAACTATGGTCGAAGCAGATTCACTGGCAGGAAACTCGACCAATCGCAGCACACCACAATCGGAGGGGGTGGGGGATTGCATGCTCCGTGGCGCTTGTTATGACATCCGAAAGTTATGAAAGATTTTCAGCAAAAAGGCCTGCCAACCCCACCTTCTGGGCGCTCCTCACACCGCCCGAATCAGGCCCAGCCATCTCGCAATGTTTGGATTTGCATTTGAATGTTGTGTACAGCGGCTTTGCACTGCGTTGCTTTGTCGGAGAAGTATCCGCATTTGGATGCAGTTTTTGTTCTCTCTCCTCTTTTTACATTCTCATTTGCCAACATGAGGTAACGATCCAGCTTCTTCTCGGCGATTGCAGGAGCACACCTATCGACAGTTTGATAGTTGGGGAAGTGTGCGGTATCGGGCACAGGAGCGATGGTGGAGGACCGGGGAGATGAGAGCGTGCGGCAAGGATGTCAAGCGAAGCCACACGGGGTACTCGAGGGCTCGCCGGATCGTCCTCTCGAGCGGCTGCCAATTCAAATGCTAGGCGGCGCCATCTCGGACAGAGAGTCGCGGGAGCGTGGCATTGACGGCTCGAGGGGAGGGGAGGGATGAGCAGGGATGGGCATTGCGGCTGCTCGTTCGTGAGATTTGTACATTGAATCTCTCGCCGCCTCCAGTTCCACCGTGCATCCCGGCGCCCTGCTGGTTCCCAGCCGCCCAAACCCCGGCAAATCCGATAGAGTATATAATTCTCCAGCGGATTTCGTTGCCAGAGCAGACCGCCGAGCACTCGAAAGGGGGCAGGAGGCCGCTGTCTACGATTTCTTCGATTTTCATTGCACAATCATTGCACAACTTTTTTCGATTTTCGTTTTTTCGTTTTTTCGTTTTTTCGTTTTTTCGTTTTTTTTTTTTTTTGCGACCAACTCACCCCCGATCTCCCTCTTTCCCACTTTACAGCAAGATTTCCCGCGAGTCTCTCCGTGAGTCCGTCCAGCTTATCATCAAGGGTTCTGCCGAAGACAAGCGCAAGTTCCTCGAGACCATCGAGCTCCAGGTCGGTCTGAAGAACATTGATCCCAACAAGGACAAGCGTTTCTCTGGCTCCATCAAGCTGCCCGTCATCCCCCGCCCGAAGATGAAGGTTTGCATCCTCGGTGACCAGCAGCACCTCGACCAGGCCCAGGCTGCCGGCCTCCCCACCATGTCCGTCGACGACCTCAAGAAGATGAACAAGAACAAGAAGCTCATCAAGAAGATGGCCAAGAGCTACGACGCCTTCCTCGCCTCGGACTCTGTCATCAAGCAAATCCCCCGTCTGCTTGGCCCCGGTCTTAACAAGGCTGGCAAGTTCCCCACCCTCATCAACCACACCGACGACCTCGTCGCCAAGGTTGCCGAGACCAAGGCCACCATCAAGTTCCAGATGAAGAAGGTTCTCTGCCTCGGCGTTGCCGTCGGCAACATTGGCATGACTGAGGACGAGCTTGTTTCCAACATCAACATCTCGATCAACTTCCTCGTCTCGCTCCTCAAGAAGAACTGGCAGAACGTTCGCTCGATCTACATCAAGAGCTCCATGGGCAAGCCCCAGCGCCTCTACTAAACACTCACTTGCATGCTCCTACCAGCAAGGCTCGAAGATGGAATGGTCCCCAGGAATGCGTGACGAGCGGGAGAGGGCGGAGACTTGAATGTTCGCTTGTCCCCCTCCTTTCTTTGTCCTTTCGTCGCGTTTTTATTTTCTTTCTTCAAGTTTGTGTGTTTTGTTTGCTCTGTCCCTGTTTCTCTTTTTCTCTCAACCCCCCTTTTTTTCACATTTCTTTTTGCCGAACACAAAAACAAATCGGAACCAAAGCAATTTGGTTTTCGCGAGGGACTCCTTTCGCACCTTGCGCTAGTGATTACCAAAGCGTCTCTGTTTCATTCTAGAGTCGTTCTTGGGAGCGGAAATCTTTCTCATGGCAATACACTTATTCTTCTTTTCCACCTCTTTGGCAAGTAGTTTAGTTTCATAGAAATCACTTGAAGTCATTTTGAAAACAACGAGCATGACTATGTATTTTAGCTAATCGATACCATCACCCCTACTTGCAGTCTTCTTTGTTGCATTCGAGACGGTACCGATCTGAGTTGGCACCAACCAACGCACGCAAAACAAAAAAAATACCAAATGGGCGACGACGTCGAGTTCGTGAACGACGACGATGACGATCCCGTTTACGTTCCATCGGCCGCTCCTACTCTCGACCACCCGTCTGTAGAGTCGTCGGGTGGGCGCCGGACGGAGCTATCTCGACGGCGCGTTTTGGCGCCCTCGTCGTTGCAGTCGTCCTCGCGGCAGTCGTCCTTGGGCTACTACGGCACGCTCTCCGTCAATGACATTGCGCATACATCACCAATACCGCCAGCACCACAACGGGCTACCAGCACCACCACCGGCAGCAGCCACGACGTGCTGGCCGAGAGTGAGACCACGACTCGTGCGGGAACATTGCCTGCTCGTCCTCCGCTTGTGCCGGCTGTCAAGACCTCCCCAGTACCAGTCGTCAACGCGACCAAGCACCCAAGATCATCAAGTTCGATCTCGTCTGATACTGGCGCCAGTGCGAGCGACGATCCACAGGGCGTGGCGCCAGTCTACACCAATGGCGCCAAAACCAAGCACCGCGGATTCCCCAAGCCAGCACGTTCGTCACGGATACCGCAGCCCAAGAAGGCGACAGACGACGATGATGACAATGATGGTGATGATGATGATGATGATGCTGACCACGACCACGACCACGACCACGACCCGGAGGAGAAGGAGCCAGCCGAGGAGATGAGCAAGGCGATCAACGTGCCGGACGACGAAGAGGGATTCTTCTTTGTCGAGTGCATTGTGGATCAGCGCGACGAGGCAGACGGGCCGCGATACTTGGTTCGGTGGCAAGGCCACGGGCCAGAGTATGACACCTGGGAGCCAGCGTCCCATCTGACCGAGTGCGCGGACAAGATTGCTGCCTTTCGTCGTCGGAAAGCCCAGCAGTCGAAGCGAAGGTCTCCTGCGCCAGCCCACCCAGACGCCTCGCACACTGCCCTGCAGTCTGGTCGCGCGGCGGATCCCACCGAGTCGGCATCCATGGCCTCTCTACCGTCATCCCACCGAGATGAATCCGGAATTTCTGGTCAACACTCAAGCCCCATTCCTGTTCCCCGATTGAGCAATGCAACATCCGCCTTGAGTGTAAAGCAGGAGGCTCCTGCTATGGACACTCCCGAAGTGACAGTACGGTCTGGTCGGGGCCAATTTTCGGTGCTGCAGCGCGGGCGGCCCCGTCTGCCAGCATTTGTCAGTACTACAACGGAACTCCCACGAATCGCGTCGTCAGATAGCGTTTTGACGCCAACCCTGGGCTCTGCTGTTGGCGACGCCGCAGAACACCAGAGCACGACCCAGTTGGCCAGATTCCCCACCACCAAGTCGGAGCCTGCACCACAACCACCGCAACAGCAACCACAAGAAGCACAGCAACCGCAAGAATCACAGCAACAACCACACTGGCCAGTCGAGTCTTCTGATGCCAGCACCGCTCCTATGAGCGGCTCAGCGACCCTGCTCTCGCCAACACCGATGGCAATCGACCCACCTCGGCAAACCAGCACTCCAGCCAACCCCGAACCGTCGCCTGTGGAGACCGCGCAACTACAGTCTGCGATATTAGAACCGGCCCACGTTGTTTTCGCAGATATGACTTCGAGCCGTTCGTTGTTAATCTCCACAGAAGACGACTCTGACGGTGCTTTTTTGTTCACCGAGCTCTCAGTCGACGAGGACGAGGATGCGCTTTTGGAACCTCCATTTGCGTTGCCTGTCAATGATGCACGGCAGCTGGAGATTGTCGCAACCGGGGGCGACTCGGCCACGGCGTTTGTTTTCACCGATCAAACGAGCGAAGATCAGGAACAGATGCACTCTACAGACTCGAGTGCGCTTCATGACAGCGGAAATCTGCAATACGACCTACCTGTCGAAGCTGACGCGCAAGAGCAAACTTCTTCCGCACCGGACGCAACAGTCTCCGAGCCGGTGCCAATGGACGATGGCATACCTGCAACAGATTCCGTGTCGGGTATTGAAAGTGGAAATCTGCAAGCTGCTGCTGCCATGCCTTCCACAGCTGGCTCCACGCCGCCGGTGCCAATAGATACTGGAGTATCTACGAAAGATTCTGCCTCTTGGAAACGTAACAGCCCTGCAATTTCAACGAAAACAACAGCGGAGCATGACTTCAAGGCAGATCCCTCAACTGCTTCCGCAGTTCGACCAGCCATTTCAGCGAAAACAACCGCAGAGGTTGTCATTAAGACCGAGAGCTCAACTGCTTCCCTCGACCCTTCGCGTGCCGCAAAACCCGACACACCACCATTGGCCATGAACAAGTCGTCCGGCCAAAAACCTCCGACACCAGCCGCCGCCGCCCAACCGTCGTTTTGGAGCACCATGTTTCAGCAGTTCTCAGCTCCGCTTGCGAGCAGCCCCACGGTTCAGCCAGCAGACGCCCTTCCATCCTTTCGTTTCCACACTCCTGCTACACAGGTGCCGGCCGTTAATGGCCCGGCCCAACCCTCCAGACAAGATTCGACAGAAACTTTTCAACGCGATTCGACAGAGTCGTCGAGCAGCGCCGCTGCAAAAAGTTCCAACACTCGAGCGAATGCTGACCAACAAACCTCGCGATACGCGACCAGGAGGTATTGGCATCCTGTGCGACTGACGGGGACTGAGCTGGGAAAATCCATTGATTACAACAGTTATTGTTTTCAATGCTTGACGTCGAGCTATACCGTCCGGCTTTGTTTCTCTTGCGACCAGAACTTTCACCCGGAATGCTTGGGTCTGACGGACAAGTCGACTCTCGAAAAGTGTGCGTTCTGCATCTCGAAAAGCCACCGATGCACGACGTGTCAACGGAGAGGAACCGACGACCAGCCCGTCGTGCGGTGCTGGCTCTGCCCTCGCAGATTTCACAACCGTTGCACCAGCCCGTCGTTTCGGCTAACCCCAGGGGGCGGATTTATTTGCGATAGCCATCACTGTGCCGTCTGCAAGTCTGAAACTCTGGACCCTTCGATCGACGACACATCGTCGGATTTGACAACTCGCGAGTATCGAGACCTGGAACCATCGAGTACACCCGGACATAACCAGCATCTTGTGGCATGCGTCGTTTGTGGTGATGCATACCACGAGCGGTGCCTTGAGGCCTCTGCTGGATTGAGTCAATCCAGACGCCTGAATGTCGATGCTGTGGTTTGCCAAAACTGCGCGCCCCGCTGGGATGGGCAGCTTGCATCAAAACGGTTGCCTTCCAACCGTGCCAAGAAGTTCAATGAGCTGGGCCTGTCCTTTGTCGAATCGCGCAAGGTCCTGCAGGCCAACGTGCTGACTTGCCTGGCGCAGCAAACCCGTGTCTCGAGTCACTCGTGTCTCTTGGCGTGGAACAAGACTTGCGAGCAAGCCGTGTCCGCGACCCGGCCGCCATCATCATCGTCATCATCATCATCAACTGCTGGAACCAGCCGTCGTGCCTTGAGCATTCCCAATGCGTCTGAAAGTGCTGCTGTTGACAAAGGGTTCACAGCCTCTTCCAGCGCCGCTTCAACTTCCGCCTCCACCACCTCGGAGCTCAGCCGGCTGTTGTCAACAAGTGCACTTGACCTTCCGCCATCCTTGCAGCTGAGCCCGTCAGAGTTCTCAGCCAAAAACCTGCCATTGTCGCTGGGAACGCCCACCTCTTCTGCTGCGCTAAGTGAAGGAGACATTTTCAACGTGGTCGATCGTCGTTTGGGCGAGCGCCATCGTCTGCTGACGGACGAACCCTCTTCGCCCCTGAGCCGGTCTCGACGATTGATTTCAACTTTGGGCCAGTCGTCCAACCACAACTTGCCCCCATCCTCGCAAGCCGACAAGCGGCACGAAAGTTCTGCAGTTTCCGCAACCGCGGTTCCTGACGATGCGTATGAAGCCTGGTCCTTTCATTCGAGCAGCAGCAGCAGCTCTCCCAAGCACAGTTCAGCACAGTCACGGCGTGCCGCTCCCACGCGACTGGGCAAGTCGTCAAATGCTAACACGCCGGCGGGCTCGGATGGAGAGGCTGATGGCAGGACTGGACTTGGACCGGGAGTTGACGGCACCTTCCACCGCAACCAGCTGTACGACGAAGAGCGAGGCACCAGGCGTGTCGTCGTGAAATCCGAGGGACAGATCGATTCACTCGCTACTCCAGCCACGCTGGCCGTGTCCCGTGCTCCCACTCATCAGGAATCGGTTGCAGACTCAATGTCTGTCCCTCCTTTTGCCTCTGCCCCTGTCGCGCCTTCAGCAGCAGCCCCTTCAGCAGCAGCCCCTTCCGCATTCACTGCCGCATTGCCCGTGTCCGTGTCGGTAGACCCTTTCCCCCCGATGACCACTGCAGCTGTTGCTGGTGGGCTCCCCCAGCCCCAGCATCCTGCCATCCAAGTGTCCGAACTAGCCCAAGTGGTGCAAGCGCTTTCTACAGGCTGGCGAGCACCCAACCCACCACTTCCGGCCGAATGGAGCACTCAGCGTCTGATACAACACCAGCAGCAGTTGCAGTTTCGGTTGCAGCAGCGGTTTTTGCAGCAACGATGGCAACTTGAGCGCCAGAACGAGCCTGTACCACCGGAATTGGGCTCGTTTCTTCCGCCCTCTCCGCCCCCGTCTCGAGACAGCGCGTTTTGGCGGGCTCCCGCAGGCATGCCTCCAACGGAAGCCGAGCCTCCATCCCAGGAGGTCGACCATAAGCCCCCGGTCTCTCCAAGCCAAGAGAACCCGAATCACGCGGCAACTTTGGTGGTCACCGAGGCTTCCTCTTCGACCGACACGCCTGTCGCAGACATGAATCCTCAAACCGATGAACATGACGACTCGTGGAACGCGACACATGCGACCTCCACCGCACCAGCGGTCGTGTTCACACACGCCGATCGGCAAGCCGCGTTGGCACCGTACCAGGACATTTTGGCAAGCTCGACCGACTCTGACGGCAACCCCATCTCGACCGAAATGAAGCATGCTGCGCTTTATCAAGTCGTCAAATTCGCGTACTTTGGGCGATTGAACGGTCTTCCTCATACAGTGCATGTTCCTGCGATCGGCGAGTTCATCATCTTGCGGAGCATTACGCCCGTCATTGCCTGCATGAGGAGCATGGCTCCTGGCGGCAAACTCACCGGTTTCCTTCGCCTTTTCCCGACCTTTTTTTCCATCAACTTTCGCAATGCTCAAAGCGTGACTGTTTCTCGGGACGCCTATCTGCTCGCGAAGCGAACACTACGAGACGACGCCAAAACTGCCAAGGCGTGCCTGGCTGGGTACCGCGTCAAAAGTCGCGTCCGCTACCAACTTCAAATGAATGCATCACCCAAGGCCAACAAGCAGCGTCCGTCGAGTTACGGAGTGAATTCTGGTCACCAATCCCAATCCTACACCACCGGATCCTATCAACAGAGCCAAGGCCCACCCCGTCGTGCCCATGATACTTCTGCACCCATTGCCACCCGTCTGGCTGCTCACATCCCAGTGCGTGATCAGCCCTCGCCGAGAGTGACTGCGCCACCGCTTTCGTAAGTTTTTGTTGTTGTTGTTGTTGTTGTTGTTGTTGTTGTTGTTGTTGTTGTTGTTGTTGTTGTTGTTGTTGTTGTTGTTGTTGCAACGGCGATGGTCACAGCTGCGAGGAGAGTTTTCTGACCTGTGGTTTTCGAAACACAAAATCCGTGGTACTGTTTTTTTTTTTTGGTCATTGCAGGTCGCACCAGCGCGGGAGGTCGAGCGAAGCTCCACTCGATCGACCACGGCGGACCTTTTCCGACGGCCCTGGTGCGTCCGATCCCGAGCACAGCCCCGATCGAGACCCCGCCCGCAAGCAAGGACGCCGTTCCTAAGACGACAGTTCCGAGTTCCGATCCGAAATTGCAGTTTGCGTGCTGTCTTTGCTACTTGTACTTTTGACCCCAGTCCAATGTATTGTATCTCCTTTGTTACTGTGTATCATCCTGTGGACTGCAATTCCCACTCGTGTTTACAAGCAAGGAGGTTTGGTAACAAGTGGACGACAGCGACAACAATGCCTCCAATCTCTCTTTAGGGTGTGTTTCATTTTCCGTGCAGTGTGTAAATTCTTTGCTGAATTTTCCAGGTTGACTTCATTCCTTGTTTTTCTTCTCTGTTTGTTTTTTCGTAAGTGATTCAACGGTGAACACCGAACGACACGGCGATTTTCATGCTTGCTGACCTGGCTTGGCGTTGTATGTGTTTTTCTCTTTTGGTTCTCGAACCCAGCTCGACTGGGACAGCAAGCAAGCTCAACAGCCCCTCCTCCACCCCAAGAAACAAAACCAACAACTCCACTCCACTTGACCAACAAAACATGGCTGATGCGACTGTGCGCGAGTGGTTTCTCGGCGTGCCCATCATTACTCGGGTCTGGTTTGCAGCAGCGATGGGTCTGACGTTGGTCGCAAACTTCCACCGTCCGCTCATGTTCTACATGTATCTGGACTACTCCCAAGTGTTTTACCACTTTAACGTAAGGCCCATGTCAGCGTGGGAGGGAGGTGGGGGGGGAGGAAAGAGAGTGTGTGAACACTGTGGGCAAACAGCAATTTTACACTCGGGGTAGCTGTTCGCGCCGAGTCAACCACCCCCAACAACACAACACAATGATTGACGTTGTATTGGCCTTGTAACACTGTTCTGCAAAAACGCGTTGAGCAGTTCTGGAGGCCCGTGACGAGCGCCTTCTTCTTGGGCAAGCTCTCGTTCAGTTTCCTGATGAGCTTGTACTTTTTGTACAAGTACTCGCGGACTCTGGAAGAGCAGCACTTCCTTGGCCGCAAGGCCGAGTATGCGACGCTTGTTGGATTCATCTGGCTCGTGCTGTTGGTACGTAACTTGAGGATGGGTCACTTTGCACCACTTTTTCTGCTTGTTTTGTTGGTTGCTGATTTGCGTTCTGCCTTGTGTACAGGCCCTCGCTCCAATCCTCAACATGCCTTTCATCGGCCTTGCCGCGATCTACTCGCTCATCTATGTGTGGTCGCAGTTCTACGCCAATGTCATTGTCTCGTTCATTTTTGGCATTCAATTCAAGGTCAGCAGTTTGCGTTGTGCTCGTTTCAACCTTTTGTTGAAACAGAAACCTTGGTTTCCATGCTTTGTGCAGTTTGAGCTGACCCCCAGTGTATCTTCTACTTCTTCTTGCTCTTGTTCTTGTTCTTGTTGGTGTCGACTCGATTGTCCTCTGCAGGCCATGTACTTGCCGTGGGTGCTCGCCGCGTTCAGCCTGCTGACTGGCAACTTCCCCTTCGACGAGCTTGTGGGCATCTTTGTTGGCCACGCATACTTTTACCTTGCCACCATCTATCCCCAGCGCTCTGGTCGGCAGCTGCTCTTCACGCCCGGCTTCTTGCTCAAGCTCTTCCCCGCCGAGCGCCCCACCGTCCAGGGCTTTGCTCCCGTCGGCCGCCGACCCCAAGATGTGGACAACAACATCCGACAAGACGGCCATGCCTGGGGCACTGGCAACACGCTCGGCAACCAGTAATTATTGTATGAGGGCGCTCTTTTTGGAAGACGCAGCGGTTTCTTGTTGCTTTGCTCTCCTTTGTAGTCATTAAAGTACCTACTCGCTTTGCATTGGCAGTTGAGCGTGAGTGCCGAGGCGTCATGTTTTTGGAAGAAGATGAAATTTCAAAGCATTGAATTTTTCTGGGCTTTTTTTTTGTTTCTTCATTGGCTTCCCTAATAACCGCCTTCAGCACTAGCATGAACGACGATTTCAGCATCTTGCTGTATCTCGCTTCTCTGATCTTTAAAAAGGCCCCACTCCAAAATTGGACGAGTTCAGTCGTTGCAGGTATTGTTATTTTGTTCATTGTTTTCTTTCATTTTCATTTTGTTCTTCTTTCGTTTTCCTTCGTTTTCTTTCTTCTTCCGCTTCCGCTTCTGCTTCCGCTGCTGTCGCCCTCCGCCACCCCCCTTCTTCTGCGACTGCAACTACTTCTCTCTTCCTCTTTCTTCTTCTTCTTCTGTCACTGCACTACTGCTGCTGCTATGGCCTGTGGCTGTGGCTGTGGCTGTGGCTTGTGATTTTTTTTTTGCTGATCTTTTCTTTTTTTCGTTTTTTGTTTTTCTCCGTTACCGTTTTTGTTTGTCTCTCTCGCCGGCTGGACTCGTGTCTGCGCCCCCTTGCAGCATCACGCACTCTCCATGCTCTATTTGCTTTCCGCCGCTCGCTTGTCTCCCTCGCGGCGTGCGTTTTCACTGCTGCGCTGCAGTCGAACGGGAAAAAAAAAAGCATAATGAATCAACCCGTGACCTTTTTTTTTTTTTTTTTTGTCATTGATGGTCAGCAGTTTCGCTTCTTCTTCTTCTCGCTGCTTCTCGCTGCTTCTTCCATCGCTCTGACTCTTCTCTCTCTTGCAACACGCTTCATCATCGCGCAATGTCATTGCCTTTTGGTCGTGATTTCGAGTGTTGATTGTTTTTTTCCGATGATTAGCTCTTTTTTTTTTCCACTTCCTGCTTTTTTTGGACGGTGACACAAACAAACACGAATTTATTTTTTTGTGGCTTTTTTTGTCGTTTTCTTTTGTGTTATTCTTCCGCCGCCTTTTTGCTTGTCTGCTTCTTTCGTCTTTGGCGTCGAGCCGCGCATCGTTCAACGGTGTCTCTTGTCTCGCAACAGCACGCCGACAAAACAATCTCCCTCCCTTCATTTCCTGATCATCTGAAAAGGCGTGATGCGTGACATTTCACAAAAAGTTTTGTTGCGCCATATTTTTTTTTTCCAAATGTTCAATTCGACTCATGACGCTTTTTGCAACTCGTGATTGGTTCTTTATTTCCTTATTTCTTCGAATGCATGTTTTTTTTTTTAATTTGCGCACTTTTTGTCTTGTCAACACACTCACTCTTCCTTTTTTTCTTTTTTGTTTATATCTGCAGAATACAAACATGAAGGTCGCTGTCGCCCTCCTTGCTCTCGCCGCTGTCGCCACCGCCATCCCCCTCAACATGGAGTTTGAGGCGTGGAAGCGCACTTTTGGCAAGTCTTACTCTGACGCTGTCGAGGAGATCAACCGCCGTGCCGTCTGGGAGGCCAACAAGATGCTTGTTGACGCCCACAACGGTGCTGGCATCCACTCGTACACTCTTGGCATGAACATCTTCGCTGACCTCACCCACGAGGAGTTCAAGCGCTTCTACCTCGGCACCAAGGTCGACCTCAACCGCCCCCGCTCCAACTTCTCGTCCACCTTCATCCCCACTGCCAACGTCGGTGCCCTCCCCGACTCTGTTGACTGGCGCACTGCTGGCATCGTCACCCCCGTCAAGGACCAGGGCCAGTGCGGCTCCTGCTGGTCGTTCTCCACCACCGGCTCCGTCGAGGGCCAGCACGCCCGCAAGACTGGCCAGCTCGTCTCGCTCTCTGAGCAGAACCTCGTTGACTGCTCCAAGGCTCAGGGCAACCAGGGCTGCAACGGTGGTCTGATGGACGATGCTTTCCAGTACATCATCACCAACAAGGGCATTGACACTGAGGCCTCGTACCCCTACACTGCCAAGGACGGCACTTGCAAGTTCAACGCTGCCAACGTCGGTGCTACCCTCTCCTCCTTCCAGGACATCACCCGCGGCTCTGAGTCTGACCTCCAGAACGCTGTTGCCACCGTCGGCCCCGTCTCGGTCGCCATCGATGCCTCCAAGAACTCGTTCCAGCTCTACACCTCTGGCGTCTACAACGAGAAGAAGTGCTCGTCCACCTCCCTCGACCACGGTGTCCTCGCTGCCGGCTATGGCACCTCCAACGGCACCCCCTACTGGCTCGTCAAGAACTCCTGGGGCTCGTCCTGGGGCCAGGCTGGCTACATCTGGATGTCCCGCAACGCCAACAACCAGTGCGGCATTGCCACCTCCGCCTCGTACCCCATCGTCTAAGCGTTGTTCCATCGCTTATTCGGCAAGCACTCGTTAGTTGAGTTTTTGCTTGTTTCTCTTTTTGCTCTGGAGATGACGAACTGGCTGTCTTTGTCTGTTTTGTTGTTTTTTTTTTGATGCAAATAGAGTACTTTTTTTCAAACCCTTGTTTTGTTTTCTGTCGTTGAGAGTCGAGAGCAGAAGAGAGTGAAGAGGGAATGAATGAAGCAATTTTTTATGTATTTTTTTCTCAAACACCAAGGCCATTTAGAGAGCGACTTCGGGCTGCTGGGTCATGAGGATGCCGAATCGCTTCTTGAGAGTGACACGGTGGCGCGAATACTTGTCATCGGGCGAGAAGCGAGCTGCGCGAGAGAGAACGGAAAAAAAAAAAAAAAAAGTGAGCGAAATCAAAACTCAGCACAATCCACAACCAGAAAGGATCGGCGGCACAACTCCACTCCAACGACCCGTCTGAGAGGCGCAGAACTTACCAGGGTGTGCCGACTTTGTTGGTGTGCCATCAGGAGCGGTTTTCTGTGACGCAGAGTCAAAAACGACAAAAAAAAGATGAGAAAATCATAGACTTGAACGAAACGAGACGAGACGAGACGAGAGTGTCTCTGTGGGCTGAAGCACGAAGCTGTTGGCCTTATTGATCTACAACCGAGATCTGAGCGGCGACAGGCTCCAGCCACCACCCAGCAAAGCGACAAAGGCCATTGTGCCATGATTGTTTGCAATGGACGCTCCATACAACGTGGGCCTTTTTTTTTTTTTTTTTTTTTTCCCTTCGTTTTGGGTGACTTTCCATGGCGCTTTTTCTGCCATTCCACTGCTTTGGCACGGCCATGCACCGCGACCCCGATCTGACGTCTCCCGACCGTCGGGCAGTCTGCGGGACGAGACGGCGAGCGGCCGAGCAGAAGGCAGGAAGGGCGAAAGAAGAGTAAAGGGAAAGCATGGCTTTTTTTTCCCTCTTTTCTTTGCTTTCTGGTTTTCCATTGCATCCCCGTTCGCTCTCCTTGGAGTCTCGCTTCCATGATCCAAGTCCCAAATAGACACAGCAAGCGTCTTGCTGAAGGGCGGGCTGCTGCTGTGAGGAGAAGGAGGAGGTACCTTCATGGTGTATTGGCGCTTGCCATTCTCCTCGTAGTACATCAAGTACATGGCTGTTTTGCAATAGGAAAAAGTTAGAGAGAGCGATCGCCACATTCGTCCTCCGACAAAATACAATGCGATTGGTTAAATGATTCAAAGATCACTCTCTTTTTGCTACGGCTCGAGCTTTTTGAGTGTTTTTGGGGAAGCTCAGAAAATGGCACACAAGCGAGACGCTCGATTCACGCTGGACTTGGCGCGCACTCTGCCGCAGGACTCGACTGCCACGGACGCATCTGGCAGCAGCAGCAGCAGCACGAGCATTAGCACCAGCAACAACAGTGGCAGCGGCGAGCTCCTCAGTGGCTACGACGCCACGTTCCGAGGCTCAGCGGTGAGAAAAGCGCGTTTCTCGAGAGTTGCTGCTTCACTCTACTCTGGCTTGGCCCCCCCTCCGCCTCCTCTTTTGGCGGTGGTTTGGCATATGAATCCTGTAGAAGAAATAGAGACAGACCTGCACACGAGCCGAACAGGTCCCCCGCTTTTGTCGTCGCTTTGTTCCGCCAGCTCACCATCCCCAAAAGACCTTTCCATCGCCAGCTTGGGTTGCTACATCTGCAAGCTCACTCACGTCTGTGACTGCTTCATGATTGGATTGTGTGAGCACAGGATGCACGCACTGCTCGAAACCCAGAGGCCCTCGCACAGCTCAAGTCAATGGTACGGCCGTGTTCATCACGATGACTATCTTCCAGTTGAGCGTTTCCTCACTCGCTGCCTCTTGACACAATGCGATTGCAGAAAGCATGGGAGATGGCTCTGGCACCGGCAAAGTCAGTCCCCATGAACGGATTCATGATGTGGATGGCTGGCAACTCGATTCACATTTTCAGCATCATGATCACCGTCATGATGCTCATCACGCCCGTCAAGGCAATCTTCTCGACTGGAACCAGTATGCCTGTCGTTCTTTGTTTTTTTTTTGGGGGGGCACCTTGTGAGAGATTAGGGTTGTGGTATTGCAACAGCACCCTCACTTTTTTTTTTTGTTCTGACAGCTTTCGCCAAGCTCACGGAAGATGGCAAATCCCAGCTCCTGCAGCAAAAGCTCGTGTTTATTCTGGCAAACTGCCTTTCTATCGGCATGGCCATGTACAAATTCTCCGTGCTCGGTCTGCTTCCAACATCCCCGTCCGATTGGTTGTCCTTCCTCGATCCCAAGCAGGTTTGGCTTGAGCTTGTTTTCGTTGGTGTTGTCTGCTTGTTTGCTACTTTGCGACCTCATTCGACCTCGCCATTTTGTGCTACAGATCTTGGAAGTCTCTGTTGGCAGCACGGCTGCTGCGCCGATGTGATTTGCGTTGCGGCTTTTGGACAACAAAATGTTTCCTGGATGTACATCATTTTTTCAATTTTTTTTTGGCGTTTTAACATGTTGGCGACGAGAGTTTCACACACAGTCAACGGGCAATCTTGAAACGCAACAGCACCAGGCAGTGTTGTTGGGCAAAAAAAAAAAGGTCAACACAGCTACTTTGGCGGCTGTTCAATGGTGCGTTTGACCATTGTGACAATATTTGGAACCTAGCAACCCAACCCCAATCCCCCCCACACACACATCAACACGACATACAAGACAAAGACACATCAACAGAGCAATATAGACAACACAACAAACAGAGACAAGAAGACAGCAAAGCAAGGGGTCAGGGTCAGTTTCAGATTGCCTCAAAAACCAACACAGCATGATGCAGTTTCAGGCATCGGGTGAGGTGATGACGACGCGCGCGCCTGGTGGGATGGTGATGGTCTGTGGGACTGCACTCGAGTTGGTGATGGTTGCCTCAGATGGCGATGGGGCCGAGGCAGTCTGCTGCTGCTGCTGCTGCTGGTGGTGTTGCTGTTGCTGCTGCTGGTGGTGTTGCTGGTGCCATTGCTCCCAGCGACCAACGCGCTCGTGCATCGCATCCAGCCACTCGTGTGCCGTCGCGGCTGCAGTTGCCACCGACTGCTGCTGAGCAGGGCTCGGTGGTGGCAGTGGCGGTGGTTGCGAGCGGTGGCAGCTCGTTGCAGCAGCATCACCATCGCGCTTTCGGAATACCTGGAAGTTCTGGGCAACGTAGACGCCAATCACCGTTCCGAGCACAATGCCAAGCTGTACAAGACGAAAACAAGCAGCATAATAAAAGTAAGAAAACACACACACATATACTAGCAGGGTGGAAAAAGCATGGTGTTTGGGAGGATGAATCCGAAGCTGGACGAGCTGAAAAGAGAGAACGCTGCTCAGAAATTCAAAAGAAACCGCCAAGACAGACGCAGCGTTGACCTCCGCTTCGAACCCACCCACCTTCCAACCCATCAAAAGCCCATCTCCAGCATCATCGTGCGAAACAAAAAAATAAGATATGCAAACACGGAGGAGCGACTTACGCCAAAGCGGCCTCGGGGGCGAGCGTGGTAGTGGTGCTCCATTTTGAATGGCCGAGAAGAAGACTGGGCTGCCGCTTTTGTCGCCTCCGACCACTTGTACCAAGCTTCGTGCATGTTGTTGTCTGCGTTTCTTGGAGGAGAAGGAGAGGACTTGCTGTTGTGGTTTTGGGAGATTGGAGGCGTTCGAGTGTTGCCGTTCAGAAGCGAGCGTTGCAAATCGTCAAGAAGCTGGATTCCGGTGACTTGGAGATTTGTAGCGCGAGCTGAGAGGTGTATTTGATGTTATGAAACGCAGCTAAGGTTGTCAAGCGTCGCAACGGTCAGGTAACTGTGGTTGAAGCTGACGAGCCGAGGATTGTTGCGTTTTGTGCTGGAAGTTTCACTCGGACGAGGTCGAGCGAGGCTTTTGGTATATTGCAATGAGCTCAAAGGAGGAGTGATGGGATGTGAGATGCCAAAACGCGGCGCTTAAATTGTCAAACGCCTTGTCTTGGCGAAGTTTTTGTTGCTTTGTGTCGGGCGATGTTTGATTTGTCTTGGCGAGTTTTCGGATTTGTTCCGCACAACCCCGCCAAGACAACTCTGAGTGAAACACTCGGCACCTGCCAAGACGGCACAACTATGGCCTAGACAACTCTGAGTGAAACGTTCGATACCTAGCCAAGATTGCCAGAGGGCATGTTTGAAACACGGCGCAATTTGGAAACCTGAGACTGCGAGTTTGACGCGTTTCATGGTTTTCTTCTCTAATCGTTCAAACCCAGTACAGTACATGTATCTTTGATATGTAGTTTTAAAATAAAAGAGACAACAAGGCAACGCGTCCTCGGTCAACACAACAAGTTTGAATCGATTATGATCAGAATGTTCCAATCCCAGCTCGAAAGTGGTCGAGCACCGCCATCCATCACGCAGTTCCAGATCTGCTGCGCTGTGACACTGACACTGCAGACCTACAGTGGTGGCAGCATGCAAATCGAGTTGAATGCGTACTCGGCGAGCAGGCAAATGGACGACGCCTGCGGGTGATACAAGTCGCCTTGGATGAGGGGCTCTCGCTTGGCAGCATTCCATCCGCCAAGAAGGTTGAACTGGTCGAGAAAGTGCCAGCCCGCGTTCTGAACGAAAACGTCGTACGCAATGTCGTTCAACGCGGAAATTTTGCCAACCGTCATTTCAGCACGGCTGGGATCTTCCAGAGGCAGTCGATCGGATGTGGGGGTTGTCGACCGCCACACCATCGCGTTGGCCGACAGCTTCATCTCGTTGTGGAAGAACGAGGGCCACTTTAAAAGTTGCTCGCGGTATTGAGGCAGCGGAACATCGCGGGAATCCCACAACCCCACATTGACCAGAACGCGGTCTGGCTGGCGATAAAGCAAGCTATCAGCACCCAAGCTTTGCCGTGCCAGCAGGCGAAGGCGGTCTTCCTTCGGGAGTTGCAGTCCCACTCTGAAATTGTCAATCAAGTGAGCGTCGGTTGTTCCGCCGATGAAAATCTGTGTCATGAGGATCTGGCCGAATGCCAGGAATTCCTTGTTTCTGCCAGCGTGCAATGCATCATGTGGTGAGACTGAGCACCAACCAAGCAAAACAGCGGCAAACAAACAAAAAAAAATCGAACAAAAGCAAAAGGCCGTCCGCTCTTACTCGTAATGTGGCGCAATCGAAAACCGATTGTGCCTGTCTCCCGACATTTCGAGCGGTTCAAAGACCTCGGGACCAAGCAAGAGAGCGGTTCTCTCAAACATTTTGCGAGTGACAGAGTCGCCAATAAAGACAATCCACTTGTTCTGGCCGGAGCTCGTCTGGATAGCAGCCCGCGATGGGCCGGATTTCAGTCTCACACACGTCCTGACTGACTGTCGAGTTGACTGCAGACGGATCGTGCCGCCTGTCTGGCGGGCGGTCGACGCATGGCGCAATCGCAGTGTCGCACTCGGGCGATCTGAGCCCACAGGACTCTGCGTGCCACTGAAGCTTCTTTTGCATGAGGGCAGCCTGCTGAGCCTCCGCATCGAGAGCAGCACCAGCAGCAGCATCAGCATCAGCAGCAGCAGGAATCGCAGCAGGAATCGCAGCATCAGCAGCAGCAGCAGCAGCAGCAGCAGCAGCAGCAGCAGCACTGTCGTCGGTTCCGTGGGCGTGCTCCTCAACGTCCTTGCGGTCGGGCTGTTCGGTCGGCACCACGACTGGCACAACTGGTAGGTCAGGCACGACCGTCATCACAGTCACCACAGTCACCACGGGCACGACTGGCTCGGTCGACACTGCTGGCCATGCTGCTGGCCGGCTTGCAAACGCGAGCAGCAGGCAGCCGCCAACGAGAACAGCAGCAGTCAGCGTGCGCCTTGAAAACCGCATCTCAGAAAAAAAAACCAAAACTGAGACTGAGCGTTCACAACATAAACAAACAGTCTCAACGATCAAAACTCAAAACTCACTCGCTCAAGCTCAACAGACGCACGGCACTTTGCATTGAGAGTAGCGTCAAAGTCAAGTCGCTTCTTCGTTGCCTCAACTCAAAGGCTCAGTCCTTTGTTCTTGCTGTTGTATGGCGTCGCGACGATCGGTCAGAGTTGCCGTTCAGCTCAGTCTGAGCGAACAGCGCGCCAAGGAAGCTGCTGCACGGGTGAGGAAATTGTATTGAACGAGAGAGAGAGAGAGAGAGAGAGAGAGAGAGAGTGTGTGTGTGTGTGTTCAGGTTGCTGAATGAACAACCGACCGAACCATTGACATTTTTGACCGTAGGCCGCCGCCGAAGCAGAGCAGACCAAGCAGAAAGCACCGACGTCAAAGCATGTCGTGCAGCCAAGTAAGAGCGAGCGCGAGGCAGCCAGAATGGCAGAACGGCAGGACGACGCGGTCGAGCTCGAGGCGAAATTGGACGCATTGGCAGACCTCGTACGAACGAGCTACACTGGCGCAGGTAGGTTAGAAGACTGGCTATAAGCTCGGCTAGGCTAGGCTGGGCTAGGCTGGGCTAGGCTAGTTTCGGAAGGCGTCACGCCGGAGGTCGTCCCCATGCTAAAATTTGGCGCCCTTTTGGTTTTGACAGGTATCAGCACGGTTTGCTCGTTACCAGATTATCGCGGACCGGACGGCGTATGGACGCGTCTCAAGCAAGGGTTGGATGCGCCTGAAATGACCGTGCCAATTGTCAGTGTTTGCATGGTCTTGTCGGGAAGTCCATCCGATCGCACTTTGCTCAACCAGTCTATCTCGCAGAGCCAGGTTCAACCCTCCGACACCCACATGGCTCTTGCCACGCTCGTCCACAAGAAGATTGTCAAGCATGTTGTCTCTCAAAACTGCGATGGGTTGCATCGGCGCTCGGGAATACCTCAGGAGCGACTTTCCGAGATTCACGGGAACACGTTTGTAAGGACGCTGGTCGCATCGCAGCGGCCTGCCGAGGCGTATTTGCTGACTCTTCGAATCTCTTGCCATTACTGACCCGTTGGTGTGGTAATGCCTGCCTGCCAGATTGAGGTTTGCACCAACTGCCGTCCGCAACGGCTGCATCCACGCGAATTCGATGTGACTTGGCTCACAAAGTACAAGCAGCACGAAACAGGGCGGCTATGCACGGTATGCCAACAGCCCCTTGTTGACACCATTGTCCATTTCAAAGAACTCGGGGGAGAGCGGGCCCCGCAAGTTTTGAACTGGTCTGCAGCCATGCGTCAAGCAGCGGACGCCGACACCATCATTTGTCTTGGCTCAAGTTTGGCAGTCTTACAGCATTACAATGACTTGTGGAAGCGAAAAAAGGCCGTGCCACTGGTCGCAAATGCCAATAGCGGCAATTCCCAGGAGACCTCTCCTGCCGATGCTCAGCCGGCCTCAGCAACACTAGCAACAGCAACGTCGCCGTCTGCTGGAACGGAGCCAAGTCAAGCCTTGTCGGAAGTCGACGCACCGCCAGTGGCAAATAACACCAACGTGAAATCTGAAGCAACACCGGAACTCGGCTCGCTAACTTCCGATGACCCGCTTCCCGTCGACAATCCGTCGTCATCTTCCGATGGCACACCTTCCGAGCCTCAGCCAGGCTCGTCCGAACCTAGCAGCTCTCAAGCCGAATGGTCTGACTCTTCGACATCCGCTTCGCAGGCCAGTTCTTCGTCCCTTTTGCCATCCGAAAGGACAACCCGGCGGCACCGACTCGCCATTGTTAATCTACAATGGACACCAAGAGACCGGTACGCAGACATTAAAATACACGCCCGCTGTGATTTTGTCATGGCTGGGCTGATGCAGCGACTCGGGCTTGTCGCCAGTGTTTATTCCCGCGACAAGGACCCGCTGTTCCGTACCTGTATTCCTTTGACAGCGGCTGAAGAAGCCTTGGTTTGGCGAGATGTGCAAGAGCGGCTGTCTGAAAAGCGGCGTCACGAGAGCGAGAGCGAGGCTGTTGCTGCGACCGAATCGTCACTTGCTGCATGGCAGCCCAACACTGAAAAATCATCCTCAACCAACAGTCTCATGCTCGAGTACCAAACGCTACAACAGTTGCTTGCACAGCCGCTTTTGCACGATCCGAGTGTGATCAGCGAGGCGGCAACTCGCTTTCAAAATGTCCAGCTGCAACTGACGGCTCTCGCTCCGAATCCCAGTTCGCTGGGCGTCGGATTCCTGCCGCAGGAGACAGGAAACACCGTCAGCTTTGGTGCTGCACCAGGATCTTCATTTTTAGCATCTGCCGTCGTCCCATTGGCTCCGGCTTGGCTCGGGTCGACGGTTAGCCGGAAGAAGCCTCGTCTTGAACCGAGTTAACAGTGGAATTCTCTCTCAAGCATCCTGCATACAATCTACATGATTGGTTGATTAGTTGGTATTGCTCTGGAGGTCACCCCCCAATACACTTGAAATTACAGTAAATTGAAAATTACACGTTCAGAAAAAAACAAACCCAAAAAAACTAAATGCCAAACCCAAAACACCTATCGAGAAGACCACTTGGAGTAAGCAACGGCGACAACACACACCGCAGCCGTCCAAGTAATTCCACGTCGAAATTGAGCAAAAATGGAGCGATGGGTGCCGATTTGACGTTCCAGAGGCGATGTCCAGGGACGACGCAGGGAGGAAATGGACTCTGCCACGGCCAGGCCGCTCCGTGCGGCATTCTCGAGAAGAGGAATTCCAGGCAGACTGTATGCGCCGCAGTACCAAATGTTGGAGCGTCCTTGGATGGAGCGGAGCACTTCGAGGGCATGCGCGGTTTTGAGCGTGACGACCGGCCGTTGGAAGTGTCCAGTGGCGACCAGCAGCTCAGGCTTGGGCTCGAGCAGCGGATTCCATGTTTGGAAGACGTGATCGTTTTGATCAAGCGTTGGCTGGATGTAGTTTTGCCACGCCGTGCACATGACCTCGCCACCTGCAGGAGTGACAAAAATGTTCATCGGCGACCAGTTGGCCGGCGACGCGGGCATCAGTCCCCGATCACGGTGCAACTTGACGCACGTGGTCTCATAGTTGATGCCAGACAAGGCGACGCGCTGTTCCTCTGTTGGTTCCTTGAGGATTTGAAGCGCATGGTTGGCCTGGGTGCCCAGGACGACGTGATCGAAATGGAGTGTTTGGCCGTCGACCTCCACATTGACGCGACCCGAGCCGTCGGGGGTTGGGTAGACGGCAGTCACTTTGGTGCCCAGATGCACCTTGTCCAGGTGCCGCGCCAGGCGATTGACAATATCACGCGTACCGCACACCGATCGCTTCACGCCATTCCCCTGCAGTGTCAAGCAGAGCATAAACTCGACAATGTCATGCAGGGGGTAGTTTCTGACCGACTCGCATGTGCACGTGCAAATCACTAGAGAGAGAGAGAGAGATGACGAGTGTGGCGAGATGGTGAGAGGCGATAGCAAACACAAAAACGGGAAAGACGTCAGCAAACACAAAAACGGAGACGGGCCACAAAACACACCACCCCGCCCTCAACAAGCTACAAGTTACAAAAAAAAAGGCAGCATACCTGCAAACATGGGAATGAAGAAACGATCTGAGAAATCCTCCGAGTACTTGTTGGCGACGAGGAATTCACCCAGAGTAATCCCGTGGGTCTTGCCGGACAAGAAGGCTTCGCGAGTCTGGCGCTTAAACCGGAACATGTCGATGGCAATGCGCCAGAAGGAGCGTGTGAGGAGGAAGCGTGGCGAGATCATTGGCACCGACCACGGTCCGACGAGCAGATTGAAGAACTGGAAGTGCAAGTCGTCGTCCGCGTCGTTTCGCGCAGCAGCAGCAGCAGCAGCAGCAGCAGCAGCAGCAGCAGTAGCGCTAGCGGCATCCGTTGAAGACGAGCCCGTTGAGCTGGTAGCGGTGGTCGCGTCGGCCGCCTGCGCTTCTTCGGCAGCAACTGCTGACGCGGGCAGCGTGAGGTAGGTTGTCGCGGCGTTCGAAGTAAAGAACGGAATGCCAATGTGAGTGTACAGTGAGATGATTTGCGTGTAGAACTGGTTGACAAAGACGCGCGGCGGGATGTCGACGACGGCGTCATGAGCACCGACGCGGAGGTCGACCGCGTGCGCCCCGAGGCCCAGCGCGTGCTGCGACTCGAACAGCTCGACGTGGATGGGTCGCGCACTACTCGTGGACGTAGCAGTAGTTGTGCTTGCCATTGGTGCGGTCTGGGTCGCCTGGGCCTCGGTGGCCCGCTGCTCAGTGTCCAGCTTGAGCAGCCACGCTGCAGTCAGTCCCGCCATTCCGCTGCCAATGATGGCGACGCGCAGCGGCTCCTCCTTCTCCTTCTCCTCGTTCTCTGCCACGACGACGAGCTCATCGCGCGGGTGGTTGCGAGACACGGATGCTGCGGCGCCAGGCTGCGCACTTGCGTCGGGGCTGCTCGATGGCGCGGCGGATGGTGCCATCAGTGAAGTGCGGAGGATTCTGAGACAAAAAAATATGGATATCAAAAAAAGGAACAGTGGGGCTGTATTGCATTGAGCTGAGACATGTATGAGGCTGATAAGCACCACCATCAAGACCTGCTCATGCGTACAGCAGAGCGTTGGAGGGATTTTCGATCGAATTGTGAGAGGGCAAACTTTTGCCGTCAGGTTGCTTTTGACGGATCGCTTTGTGATTTTGCTTGCTTGCTTGCTTGCTGCTGTTGTTGTTGAAGGAAGGGCAGTGTTGATCGTGTTTTCTGCAACGGTACATGCACTGCTCGACAATCCAATGAGCTCCTTGAGCGTACGATGGATCCTTCGTGATTGAAACTCACAATCGCGGAAAATTTCATTCAGCTTGCGAAAGGACAGGCATTGGCTATCGTCTCTTGTCCCGTATATGTGCACTTGCTCGACGAATGCAACATGTTCAACGCAATTCACCAGATCGTTCTGTTGGGAGATGAGGGCGAGCGAGCAAACAAAATTCTCATCAACGGGATTTTGCCGGCATCCGCATCCGCTCGGTTTGTGATTTTTTGCACGTCGCTTCTCGCTCAATCACATCGACTTGCCAACTTGTGTGTGGCAGCTTTCGCTAGATCTTTGCTGGCCCATATTTAGGTCAAGAATCCAGTTTTTTCTTTTTGATTTTTCCACATCTACTTTGTGGGTATTTTTGAGTTTTTTTTTTTTTTTTTTTCCCCATTGTTGTGCGAATTGTTGGCATGGGTGTTTGCGCTCTCCCGCTCCATTTGGCTGAGATACCGCATGCCGTCTGTCGCTCACCCTTCGTGTGCTTGTGTGCCTGCATGTCTGGATGCTGTGTCTGCGATGTTTCACCGCCCGGGCCCCCCGCCAACCGCCGCAGATTTGCGGTAGTCGCCTGTGAGACGTAGCAAACCTCAAAAACAAGAAACGAAAAACAAAAAACATCCATTTTCAGTTCTCACCCTCATGTGCAATCTCTTCCGCAAGTTCTCCACGCCCCAGCGCGTCGTCCTGCACCTTGCATTGATTTTTGCGATTGCCTCATTTGCGGCATACGCGGCCGTGCAAATCCAGCAGTGCCGCGACGCCTATTCAAGCCCTTCCAACCGCTTGTTTGTCGACGAGGTGTCGGACTTTCCCTTCCCCAAGATTGCAGTGTGCACGCCGCAGACGTCTCCCGTCTTCTCTTTCGCGAACATGATTGTTGACTGGAACAATACCTGCAGCATCACCATCGACAATACGGCTCTCGATTGCCTGGCCCCGCCTTCTGCTGGGCTCAACAATGCCAACCTGACGGTGGAGAACCGTCAACTCTACGGCGGCCATTCCTGCATTGAATTCACTGCGCCCAACCTGGTCGCTCAACGATCTGACTCTGGATTCGCTGGAATGCTCATCAGCATTTTCCCAGCGGATGGAGTGCTTCCCACGCTCGACTCGCTGCAAGTGTACACCTACTTTGACGAGCCTTCGCCGCTTCGTCAGGGTAGCCAAGCCACATATGCTCCCCTTCCTCAAACAACATTCATGTCGCTCTATCGGCAGCGTCACGATCGCTCCGACGTTGGCGGCGAATCCGTCACGACAGTGCACTCATCCTCTAGAGTGTTCAGTTCGCACCGCAACATCTCCTACCCGCCCGACCACAGCGCATTCCCGTACCTCCTGTTTGCCGTCATTGACAACTTTGATGTCCAAGTCACGCAAGAGTACTACAGCTTCACCTGGGTCGACCTGCTCGGTTCTCTGGGTGGTTTTGCCGGCATCTGCGCCACATTTGTGTCGGTGATTGCTTGGTTGTTCAAAAAGTGCAGGCACCATCGCCCCAGCGATGCGGAGAAGGTGCATTCATCGCAGAGCGGTACTCCCATGTGGTCTCACTGAAATGCGCTGCCATGTCTGGAAAACGTTGCAGGTGTGGATAGAACCACACTGGGCTCAAAAGAGGGCGGGAAAAGAGCGCCAGAGACGCGCTGGAGGGTGAAAAGCCGAGGTCCAGGGTTTTTGGAAGGTTTGTGGATTTTTGCTGTTCACCCGTGGACACGAGCGAGCTTTCCCAATACTGTAGATCTAAAAAAAAAAAAAAAGAGAATAAAAAAAAAGAAAATTCAATGTTTGGTCGTGTCTCCCGCTCCGTTTGTTCACCCACTATGAGCATGACTGCAGAGCACGATTTTGCCAAGTGCCGAGTCAAAAATAGGCTGTTCTGAGAGCGATACTGTTTTTGAGCGAGGCAGTCTTTTTCTATTGATTCAACGCTTCCTTCCAGAATGCTGTCCTATGAGAGTATGACTGAGAGACAGCGCCAGTTGTATGACAGAGTCAAGAATGCGAGTGGAACGCTCTTGTAAGAGAGAAGTCCGAGTTGATTGGGAACAAAGTCTGATCGCGCGTGTGTACTGACGAACTGAATCTTCAGACTCGACCCCTACCACGCGAACGACCCCAACCTGCTTGGCGACGCTGAAGCACAGGCGATTGCTGAGGCACTCAAAGTGAACACGACGCTGATTGTGCTCAAGTAAGTCCCTTTACTTTGATGCATGTGAGTGGGTGAACCCGTAGAGGGCGTGAAGATTGCTCACTGGACGGACAGTCTGGACTATAATCAGATCGGCAATGCTGGAGCGAAGGCGATTGCTAAGGCGCTCAAAGTGAACAAGACGGTGAAGGAGATCTGGTAAGTTACTGTGCGCGTTGTTTGTCCAGACCATTGAGCCTGAGTCAGCCATTCCTTGCTACCTTCTCATTCTGCTCACCCATTGGGCAACAGTCTATTTTATAATTGCATTGACAAACGTGTTTTTCGAGCGGTCTATGAGATACGCAACGGCAAATGCAGCTCTGAGAATTTGTAAGCTTGTTCTTGCCAATCACAGCCATTGATGCTCGGAGAATGTTCCTTTCACCGACGGAATGGCCATACTTACACTTCGCTTGTTCATTGCTCAGCATCAACTGCCAGATCAACCCTCTTGCGTTTTCCTTACTTCCACGATTTGCGAGTGTTGAGGACATCCAAGAAGTGTTCCGCATGCTGACTAGCGGGTTGGAGCTGGAGAATCAGCCCGCGTCTCTCCCTGCACTACCAACCGAGATTGCTGAACTCATCATGGACGAAGCGCAATACTGGCAAAGCGCGCAGCACACCAAACGAAGAAATTTTCATATCGATGATCCCCGCTGGATTATGAAAGTCACTGTGCCTCAAGGAAATTCAATCCGTGTGAAAGCAATTCAAGTGCTTCGTGACTGGAGCGAGCGTCCCGACAACTCCGACGACTGTGTTTTCGATTTGACTGTCCAGGATGAACAAGGTGATGTTCAATACGAGTGTGCTGTGCACCCGACTTTCGTCAAATCAAACCTTGCGCTTGCGACAATCTGGCCTGCGAGTCATCCCATCCTCCGCCAAATGCGCGAGGGTTGGCAAGTTCAAGTTCGAGCCAGCAAGTTTTCCCTCGATGTGCTATTTGAATCGCTTTATGTCGGATATGTCTAATGGCAATCTTTGCAACGCACCACATCCTTTGGACGGACGATTCCCAGAAGAACTAGCATCGAAAAAACCCATACTGTATTAAATTTCAAGCAATTTCAGTATTCAATGTACAGTATATTTGCATTGATCATGTTGTCGGCAGTGCAGCAGACGCGGTCAACGGTGAGCGAGCAGCACCAACCCCGAACGCGACTCGCATCAGAGCACCTGCCACTTGCTTACTGATATGGCATGACTTGCTGTTGACCGAGTTGGAGTGACCGAGTTGGAGTGACTGCGCGTTGGAGTGAGACTTGAGTGAGAGCACATGCATTGAGGGAAATGGCAAAAAAACGCGAGATCTGTCCATTGTTCAGCTCCCCTACCACCACTTTCCCCCTCTTCAGCGTCCCTTCCACCGGGTCGATGAATGAAAGTGTGGCCTGAGCAGAAAGCAGCTCGTGGATGAAAGCGCAAAAGGCTTGGGGGAAAGCTGGTGGAGTGTTGTGTAGACCATCCGTCCTTAACCTTGCTCTTTGCTTGTGGTCGACGATTGACAGACATCGCTCATGCTGCGGCAAGCAGTGCGCACAATGACTACACACAAGCCGTACTTGGACGCCGTGCGCAGGCCGCAGCCGATCGCCATCACGCCAGACCCCGTCGATCCGCTGAACAACGTGCCGCCGCTCGACCAGCTCCCGCCTGGATCGACCTACATGGGCCTGTACGTCGTGCTGCCAGGACTCGCACGCACGCGTTTGCGCAAGTGCCCAATCGTGCAGACGCCGGCCTTCTTTGATCGCCTCAAGCGCGAGCGCGAGCAGGTTCGTGAGCTCAGGTCGGACCCCGAGCGCGAGCTTCGCGCACGCACTGGTCAAGGTGAGAAAGAAGAGGGCATTGAGCTGAGGAGACATTTGTGTAGGACATCGTGCAACATGACTTGACGAAAAAGCAACAAAAAAACCCCCACCAACACCAACCAACGATCTGACTTTGTTGACTCGTGTTTTCGTTTTGTCTTGCAGAAATCGTCCCATTCGACCAGCCACTCACTCAAACAACGTGGGCCAACTCCATTTCACGCCAGCTTACCTTGACGTTTGGCATTCACAACCGCATCTGGACCGATTTGGCCGAGAAGGTGCCCAAGCTCACTCGGTACCTCAAGGTCACCTACCCGGAGACCGCTATTGTCCACGGCAACCTGGTTCCTGCTGGCTTGGTAACCAATCACAGCGTCTATGCCCTGATGAAGGGGGATTGTGCGGCCACATTGGTGAATTTGTTTTGTTGACCTTTCTCGCCCTGCCAAATCTTCTTCAATCTTCGATCAGACGAGCTCTGCTCCGACTGTCACGTTCGAGCCCGAGAGTGGCAAATACTATACACTCATGATGGTTGGTCTGGATAGCAACATTTCGTCTGCCAACCACCAATACATGCACTGGCTCGTGTAAGTTTGCCTGAATCCTGTGGAGCGCACGTTCCGCTTTTTCGTCCATCTCATCCCGTTGCTATTGATCGGTTTGTTGGCAGCGCGGACATTTCTGAAGCCGGCATTTCTTCTGGCAACACCATCTATCCATACGTGCAAGCGCTGCCTCTGAAGGATACTGGATACCACCGAGTTGCTTTCTTGTTGCTCGAGCATGCCGCACCATTAGGCATGCAGGCAGAATCGATCTACAATCGAATGTAAGGAGCGCGTTTGGTTTGTATGTTCCTAGCTGCGTCTGGAGCCTTGCTTACTTGGCGTATTTCGTCATGTTTCTCCAATCATCAGCGACTTGTACGCAAGATCCTTCTCAACTGCCCTCTTTGTCAACGAATTTGGCGTGCGAATTGTGGGAGCCAGCTTCTGCCAAACCTTCCACGACGACTCTGTCGAGAAAGCCTTCGCCCGCGAAAGTACGTTTAGGAGCATAGTTTTTTTTTGTTGGTTTGTTGTTGTTGTTGAGCCAGCCTGGCGGTGGCACGCACACTCAAATTATTGTGTTACTCAGATGTCCAACTGCCAGTGGTGAAGGTCACCTATACGCCCGATACGTCGCATGGCAAGCACACTCGATTGCCGCACGTCGGTCCGTTGGTGCCGATCAAGGACGCTTCTATGCGCAAATTCGACCAGCGTACCGAGCGTCGTCTTCGCAAGAAGTAAACACGCTTTTTGACCGACCTCCCAGTGCTGTACCACCATTCCCGATGTCGTTTCCCCACGACTACCAAAATAAAAACCTTGCACATTCACACCAACGTGAAGACAAACTTCATTCGACGGAAAAAGACATCACCATCGCAAACTCGACATGAAACAAGAAAGCTCAAAAGAAGAGAAAAACAAAGCATCGAAAGCAAATAGAAAACAAAAGCACTGGAGGGAAACTGCAGCCATTCGATTACAAACGACGAATTCTCTGATCTTCGGAGAATAACAGGACACCGTCGCGTTGAAGAATGGACGCTGCGGCACTGATCAGCTCGGGATTGACGATAATCTGCCGGAATAGGTGACAGTAACAACAAGCAGATGCAAAAACATACAACAAAATGTGAGTACCGGTTAACAGAGCGCAACAACAACACCTACAACAACAGCAACAACAGCAAGCGAACGTACATCTGTGCGGCTTTGCACCTGTGTCATCATTTGATGGGTGGTCATGGCCGGCTCCTTCATATCATACACAATTTCACGCATGATTTCGGAAACAGCAACAATGACGCTGCGCGCCGATGTGCTCTGACCAGTGGTCAACAGAGAAATATCGACCAAACCGGTCGATGGATCTGTGGCTGCCTGCTGAAGCGCAACTCGCACCAGACTGTCATTTTCAGAAAAAAAAGAAAACAAAAAGAAAAAGAAAAAGAAGTGAGCCTTCAACAACGACCTTTAAGCGCCCACACATCCAACGCTCACCGCAAGGCTTCATGAACATCGCCCTCGTCGACAGTCTCGGAAAAGCGCATGCGGGCAAGCGCTTCAGAAATGCGAATGAGCGATTCGAGCTGTCGGGGCGTGGCGGTAATAGTGTGCTTATTTCCACCAGCCTTGCGCATCTCTGAGGATCGGAGCCAAGCATCACACGTGTTGGGTGAGTAACCTCAGTCAGTCATGCCGAGCATGGGAGAGGCTTTCAAAAACACCATACCAACATAGCCAGCAACGAGCAAGAGCGCTGCTTCGTTCGTCAGGACCGGGTTGAAGTGCTTGCGTGCGTAGGAAATGTACTCGCTCAGAGTTTCGAGTGACTAGCAATCCGAGCAGACAAAAAAAAAGTCATCAAAAGTCAGTCCGTCGCACCAAGACCATTGAGCAAAGAGCTGGTGAGCGTATGCACGTACCATGCCGTCTTCAGTTCGATCTTCGCCTGATTCTTGATACAACGACACAATGTGGCGAGCCAGACGACGATCAAGAATTTCGTTCGGTGTGTCCAGAATGAGGTAGATCAAATCGAATCTATCCAAGGTGGGACGGTAAAATGGGCACATCAGCAAAAAAAAAAGGCGTCCTCATAACGCATCTGAGGAAGATGACACACGTGTGAAACATACCGAGAAAGTAGCGTTGGGCCCAACTGAATGTTATCAACAATGGACGCGCGAGGGTTCCAGCGAGACTCGCGGGGATTGGCGGCAGCAAGAATCGAAGTTCGTGCGTTCAGCGAGCAAATGATACCGGCTTTGGCAACGGAGATGGTTTGTTGTTCCTGCCAGGAGCGAAATAAAGGGGGGAGGGGTGGGTCAGTTAACCGCGTTACAGAGCCTCGTTCCATTCATTCATTCAATCCAAAAAAAAAAACAAAAAAAAAAAACAAATCCAGTCTCAACGTACCATTGCTTCATGCAGAACGGATCGGGTAGCCTCAGGCATTTTGTCAAACTCATCAATACAGCAGACGCCGCCATCACTCAACACGAGCGCGCCACTTTCGAGCACCAACTGCCGAGTTTCAGGGTCGCGCGTCACGTAGGCGGTCAGACCGACAGCCGACGAGCCCTTGCCTGATGTGTAAATGCCTCGCGGAGCAATCTTGTGCACGTACTAGAGTATGGGTGCATGTACCAAATGTGAGACGCTACGTTTTTTTTTTCTTTTGGGGGGGGGGTTGCTGTGCGGCGGGACAACTGTACCTGCAAGAGCTGCGATTTACTGGTACCAGGATCGCCACAAAGCAAGATGTTAAGATCGCTCCTGTTCAACGACAAAAGACGGGTCCAAGGCGAGGCATTAGTGAGCCAAATTCACAACGATAAAACGCAACCATCAACCCGGACAAAGTACCTGAATCGCGCTCGTCCATGAGCCGCTAGAGACTTCGGAGCACCGCCAAACAGCAAACACAGCAGCCCACGTTTTGTATCGTCCAATTCCCAGATGCCAGGTGCTGATTGGTGCAACAACCCCACAAGATGAGTTCCTTCGAATGACAGCAGGCTGTCGCCACAAACTAAGTCATTTTACCCAGCGCTTTTGTCAGTCGGTCGTAGATGTCGGGTGTGCGAGACAGAGCAACGAGTCTCTCGACTTGATTGGCACCGTAGTTGACGACGTTTTCAGTGTCCTCCTCTCTGACAAATCCGCAGCAAAAACAAAACACAGTCAGAAGGGTGCTGGACAGCTTTGATTCAACCAAAGCAACACCACAGTTGCAAAACAGTCTTACAAGACTGGCGCGGTCTGATCGGCAGTGTCGGTCCGCTGGAAGCGACGCTTGTCGGTCTTTCGGAAGTGGATGACATCAATGTGGATTTTGAACAGGGCTTTCTGCGCCCGTTGACGAGGATTGACGCGCATTGGCGTTGCGCGATAGATGCCAGTAACTTCCACGCTGTTCCAAGCCAGCGTAAGCGGGTGAGTGAGCTCGGAAAATGCATGCGCGCACAAAGACGAGAGCAAACCAAAACTCAAACTCACCGATCACCTGGCTGAACGCTGTCCACGAGATCATCGTACGCAAACATCAACACAGAGTACGGTGTCTGACCCTCCGGAATCATTTCTTCAGATTCCAAAGAAGAACGAACATAAAGCAACGCAAAAACAAAGCGAACCAAAAAGGAAAGAAAGAAAAAAAAAGTTGAGACGATGAACGGACTCTGAACGAATCAGCATCGAATCGACCTCTCACCTGGATTCTCTTGAAGCTTAATCATCTGCTTATCGGCAAATATGCAGCGGTTGTGGATGAGCTCCATGGTTCGACTGACTTTGCAACGCTTGCAGACGAGCGGCTCCGCAATCCGACCGCGATCCACCTCAACGCGCTCAGTCGCCTTGCAGGAGATGCAGCAAAAGAATGCTGCCAAAATTGAAGGCAAGCAAACAGTGTCAGTCAACCCCGGAAAAAGGGGGGGGGGCGACAGGCAACGCAAAAGCGTGTAGACCGACGTACCCGACTTCAAATCAGGAATCACGGATGAAGTGCGCACCACCATGCCTTGCACGCTGACAAGAACCTCGATATCGCGCGGTCCCAGCTCGCGGACACCAATCGAACGTTCCAGGCGGAAGGGACGAACCTGCATGAGGAGAAATTGAGATGGAAAACATGCTTGCTCTCATCACAATCGTGCAGTCAACTACCTGAATGTTCACATCACCCTCTTCGCCAAAGCGCTCCGCTGACAGGGAGCTGACGACATAATCAAACATGGGCACCACTTCCTGCGGGAAGGAGCACATGTTTGTGTAGAGCGTCAAGTCGTATTCGCGCAAGTGACTAGCATCCAGGTTCAAATAGCGAGCTTCTGATACAGCCATCTAGTAGCGCACAGGACAGTTGGCAGCAATAAGCGTGGTGAACAGAGCCAGAAAAGGTAAGAAACAAACACACAAACCAAAAAAAAAAAAAAAAAAAAAAAAGAGCAAAACTCGGCCTTTCGCCAACGTGTACCTGATCCAGCACGTGCAGGTAGAAGGGCTGTCCCGTCTGGTCAGGCACAACGAAGTCGTTGAGGAAGGCACGGAACGTTTCCATCGTCTCTTGGACGTTCACATTGGTTCCCCAAATGACGGTGCGCGACGCCGCATTGTCACCAGGTGCGCGGTCGCCAGGGAGAGCATTGACGTCAGATCCACCCTGCACGTACGTGTGATGGCCATTGCGAGGTTTGTGGGTTGGATTGAGGGTGGTTGAGGAATGAGCATACAGCACAACAGACGAAAAGCCTTTGTTCGCACTGACCTCGGCACTGGGGCCACCAGTCACGACAGCACGGAGGCGCGTTGACGATCCGAGCTCTGCACGAACGCGACCCGAGCCACCGCTGTTCGACGATTGGATTGGATTGGATTGGTGAGTTGAGCAGGGAAGCAACAATGCAGCAAGCGCAGCCGAGAGATCGAGAACGAGAACGCGCGCGACTTACGGCGTGGCAAGCTGGCTCAGTACTGGTGTGCTCGCTGCGCCATACGGCAACGGCGAGCTCATGTCGGAGGCAAACGATCGCCCCGAGCGACCGTCTGTCATTCAAACATTCATTCAAAAAAAAAAAAAAAAAAAAAAAGGATCAATGCAAACTTCAGCCAAACAAAAAAAAAAAAAAAAAAAAATCCAATGCAAATCCAGCCAAATGCTCGACGCTGCAACCCCGCGAGGGAACTGCAGCGAGTGTGCAGCCGTTCGTTGTTTGCACTCTCATGCAAGAACGGCGATCGCACAGACGGAGAGGCGCGGTCGTGGGTTTTTGGTCTCGCTGTTGTTGCGACTCGAGGCGAGCAAACGGGCGACCTGTCAAAAATCCCTCTTTCGCTTGCTCTCTCTGTCTCTCTCTCTGTGTTTTACCTGGATCAATTCTGCGATCGCTGGTTTGGCTGGCAGAGCCGCCTGGTGCGCTGCTGCGTGGTGAGCCGCGGGACCCTGCGCCGCCGCGGGCCGAGGACGTCGGGGTGCCGAGCGAGGGCGGGGTTGCGGCAAGATCCGGCTCGCTGGAGAGGAGGGCGGACTCGGCAGCGGCGGTGCGTTGGCGCGGCCGACTGGATGTGCGGCGGCTCGATCCCGCGCCGTCCGACTGCGACATGATGAAATCAGAGAAGAATGGAGGGAAGAAAAAAAGGAAGCAAGAACGAAGAAGGAGAAGGAGAAGAGGAGGGAAGAAGATAGAGAAGGAGAAGAGAAATGAGGAGTGGGATGGAAAACTTTGAATCTGAGAAATGAAAGTCCCAGGTGGACCGGTCGCCGACCAGCGAGTTACTGCCTTTCGAAGCTGCTGAGGGATTTTTCAGGAAGAAGGAATGTGTCCATGTATTCGTCAAGAAAGGCGTTTGGTGATCACAGTCGTTCGACATACCCGACATAAAACCATGCCATTCGCAAATCGTACACAGACCCACTGGGGCGAACTTGAACTTGCCACTCCTCGCGCATTTGTCGGATGATGGGAGTACTCGCTGGGCAGAGCGTCACGAATTCGACGGTTGAATCGAGCAAAGTCGGGTGCACAGCACTTTCGAGCTGGACGTTACCCTGCTCATCATAGACAATTAACTCAAAAACTCTGTTATCGGTGACGTCGAAACCTTCACTCCTGTCACAAAGCGCATGAATTGCTTTCACGCGGATCGAACTGCCATCGGCGCCTTGAGGCAGTGTGACGATCGGCCCACCAGTATACATCGTCTGCAGGACGCCTTGCCAGTAACATGCTTCGTCCAAGATGCGCTCGGCAAGCTCGGCCGGTAGTGCTGGTAGAGATGCGGATTGATCCTGCAGCTCCGGCCCGCGGATCAGCAAGTGAAATACGGTCTGAAGGTCTTCAGCCGTCGCTAACCGTGGAAGTAAGGAAAGTGCCAGAGGGTTTATCTGGTTGTCGATGCTGTCAAACGAGCAAGCAAGACACAGGAGCAGTCAGACGGGTTCACTCCATTGGCTGGAGGTACATCGCAAGGACTGGAAACCCCCCCCCCTACTGAAGTGAGGTCAACGTGCCGTTGACTCTGCGTGCCTCATCAAGCGCTTGAGCAGCAACACTGCCAATATAATTTTTCGTGAAACTGTCGAGAGAAATGAAATGGGTGAGCAGGATGACACAGTAACAATGGCTGGCGCAATGTCCAAGACGAACAGCATGCACAGCAACTTACTCGAGTCGAGTCAGCGTCTTGTTCACCTTGAGCGCTTCAGCAATCGCCTGTGCTCCAACATCGCCAATCTCATTCCGGCCAAGACTGTCCGTTCCCCCCCCCCTCCCATAAATGAGGACGTTGAACTGCTTTCTGCTGAAGCCACCCACTCACATGTATCAGTCCACTTACTAGAACTGAGTCAGTGTTGTGTTCACTTTGAGTGCCTCGGCAATCGCCTGCGCTCCAGCGTCGCCGATCTGATTCTGTTGCAGACTGTCCATTCCCTCCATCAGTGAGCACTCGTAATGTCCTCTGCTGCACCCATCCACTCACATGTACAATTCACAGCGAGACGCCTCACCCGAGCAAGGTCACCCCCATGTTCACTTTGAGCGCCTCGGCAATCGCTCGTGCACCAACATTGCCAATCTGATTTCCATCCAATCTGTCCATCGCACTCATGAGTGAGCTGCTCAACCCACCCGCACCCACAAGCATCCGTCGACAGGAAGATGCCTTTACCCGAGCACAGTCAGCGTCGTGTTCACCTTGAGTGCCTCGGCAATCACCTTTGCTGCAACTTGGTGCATCTGCTTCCTGTCCAGACTGTCCCTCCAGTTCAATCAGTACACACGCGCCCGTTGCTCCGATAAACTCGGGGCGTTTTCTTACCTGAGCTCTCCACTCGCATTCTTGACTTGGTCATACAAGTCGCGCTGTCTCTGATTCATACGCTCATACGACAGCATTGCGGACGAACGCTTCGAATCTTTCGGAAAAGACTGCCACCTCGCCCAAAAACGGCATCACTCTCAGTTCAACCTATTGGACTCGGCACTTTGCAAAATCGCGCTCTGCAGTCATGCTCATAGTGGGTGAATAAAACGGAGCGGGAGACACGACCAAACTTTGGATTTTTTAGGAGCAGGTACAGCAGAATGCTCGTTCGAACGTGTCCACGAATTCGAACAAAAGTGCAGACAAGTCGTATATGAGCTACAGTAGTGTACTTGTCATCTTTTTGGATTGAAAGGCCGAAGTGGACCGGTCGTCCGTCGACATTGCCTTTCGAAATTGCTGAGAAAACTTTAAATGTATTGGTCGACAGTAGGGCGCGCTTTGAGGCGCTTTGTGATCACTGTAGATCTAGGTCGACATACTCGACACATAGCCATTGGATTTGCAAATTGTCCCTGGTGAATCGAATTTGAACTTGCCAACCCTCGCGCATTTGTCGGAGGATAGGATGGCTCGTTGGCCAGATTGTCGCACGCGCAAGGTTCGACTCGACGAGAGTCGGGTGCACAGCACACTCGTACTGAACATCACCTTGTTCATCTCGGACAGTCAAACCGAAAGCACAGTCGTCGGAGTTGTAGAAACTAGATGTCCAGTCACGAAGCACTTGAATTGCTTTCACACGGATCGAATTTCCATCCATACTCCGAGGCACAGTGACTGTCAGAACGCCGTCGGAGGTATCGACATGAAAACGGTTCCGTTTGGTGTGCTGCGCGCCTTGCCAATAACGCGCCTCGTCCATAATGAGTTCGGCAATTTCGGTTGGTAGTGCTGGAAGAGATGCGGGCTGATTCTCTAACCCGCCAGTCAGCATGCGGAACACGGCTTGACTGTCTTCACCACTCGCCAATCGTGGAAATAAAGAGAACGCAAAAGGGCTGATCTGGGTGTTGAGGCTGAGCAATGAACAAGCGAAGTGTAAGTATGGCCACTCCATCGGTGGGAGGAACATTCTCCGAGCATCAATGTCGGTGGTTGGCAAGAACAAACTTACCCAACCAGACATCTGCGGTTGCCTGCGCATGCCGCATCGATCGCTTGAGAACCAAGCTTGCCAATGCAATTAGAAAACAGACTGTTGCCCAATGGGTGAGCAGAATGAGAAGGTAGCAAGGTATGGCTGACCCAGGCTCAATGGTCTGGACAAACAGCGCGCACAGTAGCTTACACGAGCTGAGTCAACGTTTTGTTCACTCTGAGTGCCTCAGCAATCGCCTGCGCTCCAACATCGCCAATCTGATTAAAGTTCAACCTGTTCATCCCTCAGTGAGACACTCTGACTTCCCTTTGTTGCATCACCCACTGGCATGCATCAGTCAAAGTGAGATGCCTTACCAGAGTTCAGTCAGCGTCTTGTTCACCTTGAGTGCTTCAGCAAGCGCCTGCGCTCCAGCATCGCCAATCTGATTATTCAACAGACTGTGCATTCATTGCATCAGTGAGCCATTTTCACTGTCACATATGACCCATTCACATGCATCAGTTCAATGCGAGATGACTGACGCAAACTTCCTCATCGCTGTGTTCACTTTGAGTGCTTCGGCAAGTGCGGTCGCGCCTGCATTGCCAATCTGATTGTCGCTCAGACTGTCCATCAGTGAGCATTCTGAAGACCATCTGCGTAATTACCCACGCGCATGCATTCCATCCACGTCAGATGGCTTACAGGAGCTCTTTCAACGTCGTGTTCACTTTGAGTGCCTCAGCAATCGCCTGCACACCGGCATCGCCGATCTGGTTTTGATTCAAACTGTTGATTTTATTCCATTAGTGAGCCACTCTAACTGCCCTATGCTGAAATCAAAGTGAGATGCCTTACTCGAGCCCAGCCACCGTCCTGTTCACTTGGACCACCTCAGCAATGGCCTGCGCTCCAGCATCGCCAATCTGATTCTGGTCCAACCTGTCCGCTCCTTCCGTCAGTGAACGCTTTCATATCGTCTGCTTAGATCATCCCCTCCCAAGCATCAAAGTAAAGGGACTTACTTGAGCCAAGTCAGCGTCGTGTTCACTTCGAGTGCCTCACCAAGCGCCTGCGCTCCAGCATCGCCAATGTGATTCTTCACCAGACTGTACATTCCGTCCATTCGTGAGCACTCTAAATGTCCTCTGCTGACATCACCCACTCACACGCATCAATCGAAGCGAATGCCTTACTGGAGGTTGGTCAGCGTCTCGTTCACTTTGAGTGCTTCGGCGAGTGCGGTCGCGCCTGCATTGCTAATCTGATCGTTGCTCAGACTGTGTCCATCGCCTCCATCAGTGAGCCACTCTGAACGCCCTCTGCCTCTCACCCACTTCCATACAGCAGTCAAAGTCAAATGCCTTACTGGATGCCACTCAACGTCTTGTTCACTGTGAGTGCTTCAGCAATCGCCTGCGCTCCAGCATCGCCAATCCGATTATCACTCAGACTGTCCATCCCCTCCAATCGTGAGCCCTCTGAATGCCCTCCGCCGAAATCAACCACTCACATCCGTCAACGTGAGACAGCTTACTCGAGAAATTTCAGTCTCGTGTTCATTTTAAGTGCTTCCACAATCGCCAGTGCACCTGCACAGCTTATGTGATTCTCACTCAGACTGTCCATCCGTGAGCACCTTTGAAGGCCTGCTGCTGAAATCACCCACTCACATGCACCAGTCAAAGCGATATGCCTTACTCGACATAAGTCGTTGTCGCTGTGAATTTGAGAGCTTTGGCAACCGCCTGTGCTTCTGCATCGCCAATCTGCGATCGAGACAGCCTGTGTTCTCCATATCGTCAACACACACGCGCTATCATACTGATTCCAACCGACTTGGCTTTCACTTACAGGACCTTTCCAGGCGCAGTCTTGACTTTTTTACACAGCCCGCGCAAACCATGAAATGTAATCATTTGGAAGAAAGCAGAGCGACGTATCGACCCAGCAAAACGAACAAGGACTGACCCTCGACTTTTTCCCAAATCCGTAGCTGTTGCATTCATGCTCATAGTCGAGGAGCAAAACATTTGAGCAAGTTCTAGAGGACAGTCCAAGAGCTGTAGATCTATCGGCCGACGTTTGCCTCACGTATCATTGAGATCAAAACCACGTCCCACGCAGGCTTTTTCGCTTTTCTCAGACTAGGTTTCACTTCCTTATCGGATTTGTATACAGTAGATCTACTGTACTTCTTATTCTCTCAAACATAGAAATGACAGAAAAAGAAATCTACAGTACATTTGCACAGAAAGCTTCACAAAGGTGTTCGAAACAGGAAAGCAAACAAACAACACAAGCGGCACACAAGCATTGTCGCATCATTGCTTGCTCGCCTTGGACTCTGGAACAAAGTCATCCACGCTCACAAAGCCAGACATGCCAACGCCCTGGGTGTACAGCTCGTTGAGAACGCAGACGGATTGTCGCACGGCAAGTTCGAGAGCAGGAACGGGAGGCAAGTTCAGCCATTCTGTGGGTCATGCACAAGAGCGAAAAGTGAGCCGAAATTCCTGCTGCACAAACACTTTGCAAGCTTTGACAACGGGCTTTACGGAGCATGGTGCAATTCAGCTCATCGGCAAGCGGTTCTCGTTGCGCAGGATTCAACAAGCCGGCCACTGGACTCTGTGTGGGCTCGGGGTAAGCGAGCAGACTAAACGCGTCCTGTGGTGCCGAGGAAAAAAAAACCCCCATCCAAAAACCAAACAACGTGCCCAATGAGCAAAGGGAGAAATTCAAAACAAGCACGTAAAACGTACAACCGAACAACAAGGGTGTCGTTCCAAACCGACCTCAAGATCCTTCAGACTGGCAGCACCCACTTGCTCCGCCTCGGACATTTGCTGCAACTCTTGACCAAATTGCATGATTTGCATCAGACTTTCGGAGGTCGTGGCACCTGCCCTGACCATCTCGATGAACTTGCGGCATTTGAGCTTGAAATGCAACTCTGTCTCGGAGGCAAGCAAGCCTGGAATCAACTGGTTGACGGCAGCGATGCTCTCGTCAATTTGTCCACCAAGAACCAGTTCGCGAATATCTGCCGTTTTTCATGGAAGGGGGAATTAGGAAAGTCAGAAGACCATTGCAACAACACAAGCACACTCGGAACTTCATCGCGCGCGACTGTTTACGTTGGCGGCTGCGGATGGACTCCTCGCTTTCCTGAAGTTCAGTGTTTGAGTCTTGCGCAAATGCACGGGCAGTCTCAGTGTACCCGTGGTGGACAAGGTAGGAAGCGATTAAAGAAGTGAAGGCCTTTTCAGGCGCGCTCGTGAACAGACGGGATTCAGCAAGCGTGCGCTTCTTGATGGTTGCAAGGGCTTTGGCCTTTGTCTCCTGAGGGGGGAAAGATCAGGCGACGTGCGATGAGGCATGAAAAACAAACAAACAACAGGGATGACAAAAAACAAAAAAAAAGGCAGAAAAATGGTCTTGTCGAACAAAACTGTACCTCCATGTACCCTTCTAGATCGAACACGAACGGGTCTTGACCAAAGTTGGCCTCGACAACCTCGCCCTGCGTCCGCAAGCCAACGATAGGGAAGAGCTTACCGCGCATGTTTCGGAATGCAACGGCTGAAACGCACGAGAAAAATGAGATACAAACAACAACAACAACAACAACAACAACAACAACAACAACAGCAAAAAAAAAAAAAGCAAAAAAAAAACTGCAAAAGATTCACAAAAATCACGCTCTGGGCCATGGCAATCTCACCTAGCGCTGTGCCATTCTTCGTATAAAAGCATGTGTTGTCGACAAAGTTAATACAGCAACCCACGACATCGTGCGAGGTGTATGTTGGACCGTACACGGTGCCAGTGTTGGACGAGGCGAATGTATGTCCATCATCGCCGTGGTAGCCCCACGATTGTCGCTCCCAGCCTGGCAGGCGATTGAGTGAAACGTTACTAGTTGCCACTCCAACGCCAATGTAGCTGCACAGGCACCACAGTGAGCGAAAACGTGTTGGAGGCACAAAACAAAACAGACCACCAGCAACCGCATGGCCCCGTACCCTTCACGGCCCTTGTCTCGGACAAGCATTTCAAAGTAGTAGACACCACATTCTGGAGGAATGAACGCGTTGGCACGCACTGCAGCAGCGTCGGTGTCGCCTTTGCCCTGACCCTTGTAGGTGACTTTGCAATTGTTGTGCGAGAGCTCGAGCAGATTGAACTTGTCCTTTGGGTTCCATGCCGATGGAAGCGGCGTTGCGTCATGGTTTAATCTTGGCCACAGAGCCTTTTGACGCTCGCGCATACGACCAAGCACTGACATGGTTTGGTTTGGGATTGACTTGCCCTTGAGGGGTTGAGATCGGAGAGACGCTTGTTCGAGGAATAAACTAACGTTTGATCTGTTTTGTAAAACAGATCGAAACAAGCCGAATGAGTGAGGTTGCATGGACATGGACAGGTGTATGCAACTGCATTGCAAAGCAAGAGACTGTGAGGTTGCATTGGAAATTGGCTGGCTCTGCTCCCAACCCCCCTTCCTCCCGTCTCTGACCCCACAGCCACAGCCAGACCACAGTCACACTTGAATGACCACATCTCAGATGCGCATCTCATTCAGCCGCAGCCAAGACGAGAGGCAGTGGCAAGCAATACAACTCTCACTGCGACTTTTCTCGCTGCTTGGCCTCGCTTGCTCTTGCTCTTGCCGCGCAAAGTCCCCTCTTCAACTGCCACCACCAAGTGATCCCACCTCTGCACAAGCACATGCAATCGCCATCCTGAACGCGGGTTGGAGGCGGGCGTCGTCACACCTTGGTTGGCCCCTTCTTGCAGCCGTCATCGACTTTCGCCCCCCTTGTTGTCTCGACTCTGCTCTCTGCCCCCCCCCCCAACCACTCTGCACTCTCTCCACCACCTGCGTATGGCGTATGTTCGAAAACTCAACCACACAGCAAACAACCAGCTCTGCATCTCAAACCACAATGAAGCGCCAAACTCGCTTTTGACTGATATTCTCAGACAAGCCAGCGAATTTCGTACCGAAAGAGAACTAACCAAAACCCCCAATGCACACATTCCCTATTCAATTATAATTACGGTACAAAGCGTCAGTCCTTGACTTTGATTGAGATTGGGATTGGCAAGCTGAGAAGAATGGCCTTCTCGACCGGCAATCTCGAGACCAAGCTCAACGCACTGAACGAGACGCAGGCGGCCATCCAGTCCGTCTCGCTGTGGATTATGCACCACCGCCGCCACGCCAGCGAGTCCGTCGACACTTGGTTTGAGAAGCTCTGCGCCGTCGACGCAAGCAAGAAGCTCGCGTACATGTTCGTCGCCAACGATGTCCTGCAGAACGCGAGGAAGCATGGCACAGAGTTCACCGAGGCCTTCCGCCCAGTTCTCATCGACGCGTTTGCGCACGTCGCTGGGTAAGAATTACGTTTAGCCAAAACAAAAAACCCCAGCGTCGTGGCGAGGCCAGAGGGCGGCAGTCAGTGGGACAAACTGAGGGCGTTTCAATCCAGCTCAATGGGATTGCTACCATTTCTCAGCTGCTCATGACATGACATGACGGTCGTTGATCACTCAATGTTCAATGGGTCGATGAGAATTCTCACACAAGTCCATTGAATCCGATGCTACAGAGAGTGCGAACCGCCCGTGGTCAAGTCGCTCAATCGAGTCCTCACAGTCTGGCAAGATCGGTCGCTGTATCCAGCAGACTTTGTCGCACAGCTCAAATCTGCTCTCAGTAAGGATTCATGCGTCAAAAAGCCTCATTTTCGTGCATGATGTTGACAATGGCGAGGAACGCTCGGTCGCTGATGGGGTCACTGACGGGAAGTCTGTTTTTTTTTTTTTTTTCACCAAAGATTCGTCGTCGTCGGAGTCGTCATCTGCAACTGCAAGCACGAGTGCTGCAGCAAGTCAAGTTGAAAAGCGCATCCCTCAGCCAGTTGATGTAGGTTCGAGCCACCGCTGCCGCCTGTTGCTCTTGCCTTTTTTGTATCTAATCTGGCTGCTGGATTTTGATTTTTGTTTTTCCCCAGCCCGATGCGCTTGCGCTGCAATTACGACAAATCCAAGACGCCGTTGTCTCCGATACGCTCATTCAACAACGAGTTACAGTCCTGCCGGTTTCTTCCTTGAAGCAGCGCGTCGCCACAGAAGTTAAAGGTGATTGATTGCTCGAGCAGACTTGTAGCTTTTTGCTGGCTTTTGGTTTTTTTGGTCAAATCCTTTTGGACGACAAGCTCACACATCGTGCACTTGCAGATCACCAAAGTGGCACATACTTTCAAGATCAAGTGTCACAAGGGCAGCGCGCAACCTTGCAGCTAATGGAGAGACTCGAAGCTCAAACCAAGCAGCGCAAGCGGGTGATTGAAATGCTCCAAGATGCCCTTGCGTTACAAAATCAGGCTGTTGCAAAGCTGGCAGAGACTGCCAAGGTCAGCGGTGTTTTTGAGCGAACTGGGTGGGTATTCGTGTGTGCGAGTTTCTGCTCCACTGACTGTGCAATTTTTTCGACCAACAACATAGGAATGCCAAGAAAAGATGGACACGTTGAATGCCGCGGAAACCGAGTTGAACTCCATTATGAAGTCTCTTCCCTCAATAGGCTACGACACCTCCTCCTACAGTCGATTGCCTTCCACAAGCGAGCTGTTCTCTCGCGGTGGTTCCGGCGCTTCTTCCTCGCGATCTCACATGCCGTACGCAACGGGCGGCTATGCCAGCGGCTACCAGCAACCGTCCTCCTCGTCCGCTTCTGCACCCGCGTGGCGTACAGCTCCTGCCGTTCAGCCTCCGACATCAAGTAGCGAGGCTCCCGTGGATCCACGAAAGCGCACTGCAACGGCCGCAGGGTTTGAGCAAATGGGTCGACAGTGAATGAGACGGGGGTTGTCTGCCAAATGTAATCGATTTTAACTTGATTGAAAAAGCATACACGTTCAACAAACCAGTGTTTCTGATCATAGCCATGCACAACCAAAAACAATAATCAAAGATACGGCACCAGTCGTTCGTCTGGTTGCGGACTCATGCTCGCGCCGCTTGCTGTCGGTGAAACTCGGTGTGCAGCGCAGCAACACGCTGAGCCTCCTCTGGCGCCAGATTATCAATAAACTCTAGCACGATTGTATCAATCGACGAAACAGGCAGCCTCTGCTGAGCCAGCAGGACCAAAAGGTGACTTCGAATCTGCGGCGAGAGCAAAGAGAAAAGAACATGTCAGCAACCACTTCATCCTTTGCAACTTGCCCCCCAAAAAATCAGCAAGTGGCCCGACCTCGTCAATACCGCTAACAAGAAGCTCGAGAATGATGGTGTCAACAAGCTGCAGCGTGGCCAAGCCAACGTCGAGGCGACGCATGAAAAACTCATTCTCCAACGCATCGTCAACCTCTTCGTATTCGTCTCGCTCGCGTGCAATCTGCTGGTCGACGCGCGACAGCAAACGCGTGTACTTGCTGTGCAGCTCGACCAATCGCTCGCACTTGGCAAAATCCGCTTCCATAAACTTGTTCAGCAGACGATTCCTTGCCACTCCCGCGGGCAGCGATCGAAAGAGACCAGCCACGATGGTGCAAATGTGCTCTAGTGAGCGGTTGGGCGCGCAAAGTGAGCACACAATGTCCCAGTTTCGAAAGTTCGCGTGTTGTTCTTTTCTTTACCTTCAAACTGTCGCTCAGGCGTTCCAATCTTCTTGAGATCGGGTGCGGTCTGCCCAGTACGTTGCCAAGCAAGTCATTAAACGACCGCACGACCTACTTCCCTCATCTAACTGCAATCGTGTCAACCTACCATAAACCATGGAAACACGGCCGACAATCCCAGCTTGTCGACAAAGCGCGAACACGTGGCATCGCCGTTCGGGAATGCCATAGCAAAGTTGAGAACCTTGACTGCAGCTTTGCCAGCTTGAAGGTTGGATCTGCAGAAGAGGAGCAGAAAAAAGTGAATGAAAATCAAATCTAAAAAAAAAAAAAACCCCCGTCATGGCGTCCCCAAATCCAACACGTACTTGATGAGCAGCAACATCAACTCCACGCCTTCTACATCCAAGAAGACGGTCTTGTGCTCGGGAACAATCAAGAGTGCGCACAGGCAATCGAAAAGATTGGCCAGCATTTCTGCTTCTTCCACCGAACGCGGATCGCGCTTTTTGTAGGGCTGGGCAAGACAAGATCGCAAAATCAAAGAACTGAGCATTTTCCTTCTCACCATCAGGGACCAGTGGCCAACCATTGTTTGTCGGGGTTTTGCTTACCGCTACTGCGCGCAGCAAACTGTCCATTCCGCCTTCGCGGACAAAGTCAATCTTGTTTTCTACGCCACCGATCACTTTGTGAGTCTCTCAAAAGCAGCACAACAATCACCTCAATAGGAGCACACTGACCAAACCAGCCCCCCTTACCTTGCGACGTCTGAAGAAGAATGGCGAGCAGTTCGCTCGCGTAGAGGCGATTGTCGTCCGCAGTATCGTGCTTGTCGGTGAACCGCTGGGCGCGATCAATGACCCAAGCGACAAGCGCCGGTGCTTGCTCGTACAGCGAGCGCGCCATGGACGTCTCGCACTCGATGGCATTTTCGAGGATGCCGAGAATCTTGTGCACCGCCTCCGATTCTTCGTTGCGTGACTCGTCCAACCGCTGCAAGTTGAAATGCAGCCCTGACCACAAGCTGCCCTCCACCTGCATTGCGCAAAAAAACAGAACCAACACAAAAACCATTGAGTGCACACTTTGGACGGCGCGAACACGACAAGTTGGCCAAAAAAACAAAAACAAAACAAAACAAAAAAACGCACAAGCGCTCGAACAAGCAGCAAGAAACTCTGTTGCTGGTCGCTGTCACCCTCTTCCATGTCAGTCAGCTCGTTGAGGAGCTCGATGGTGGCGATGGCGATATCCACATTGTCGTGCGAAAGCAGAGTGATGAGCGAGTTTGGCGTGTTGAGTCGAATCAGCTCGCCGTAAAACTCTGGTGCTGTGGACAAGACGTGCAACTTTTGTAGCTCTTCGTTGAGTTCGACCTCAGAGTCCACAAACCTGAAGAGGAGGAAGCAGGGAAGAGGAGGGGGGGGTGGAAAACGGAACGTTCAGCAACAAGCACCACAACCAAGAGGTAATCCCATTCATGCATACTTGGCAGGCTGCTTGGGAAACTTGATGCGCATCTCTTCGTTCTTGGCAATTCGTTTCTCGAGTGCCAGGGCAAGGCGTTTGACAGCAGTGGATGAGATTGAGTTTTCCTGAATTATGCATCAACAGCCGGGTTGAGTGGTGAGATTCTTTCAAGGTATCTCCACCAAACCCCCCTCCCCCACATACACACATAAATCTTACATCATCCGTGTCGGTCGGCAGAGCAACATGGCGCTGCTGCTGGGAAGCGACCGCGACGCGCGCGCGCTTGAAACGATCGTCCTCATCCTCGTCGTCGTCCTCGTCGGCAGCACGATGCACCGCTCGAGACGAAGATGATGATGATGATGATGATGAAGCTGCACCACTATCAAAGAATCCCGCTGGAAGTCCAACAGGCGCAGGAGCAGCGAACGCGTTGCGGTCGTCGTCGTCGATCAGCGCGTCGCTCGAGTCCGTCTCTGCGCGCGTTCGCTTGGCAGCAGGCTCTGGCGCAGGAGCTGATGACGACGACGATGAAGACGACGACGACGATCCGGCATGCTTTGGCGGTGGGAGTGGGATCTGGTGACGAGCAGCCGGCTTTTGGTGAGTGTGTTTCAAACAGTTCCAATGTTTCTGCGTTGATCGCTCCTCACCTTGAACATGATGTTCGACAGGAACACACCAAAAATATGAAATGAACTGGCCAGTACGAATACGGTAAAGTATCAAAATTGAAGCTCCATCAGAGTGGTGATGCACGAAACAAAAGTTGAATTGCAAGGTATTGAATTGTATTGTATTGTATTGTATTGTAGGGTTTTTTTCAAGTTCGACTGCTTCGAAGACACACCATCGGATGACTTGATCAGCAGAAATTCTGCGCCACACGAGTTGTCGCGACTCTCAACAACAACAAAAAAAAAAAGCCGTGTGCTCGTTATTCGAAATCGGTGCCTTCCGGAGGCTGGGAGGACTTCATGTTGTCCTTGGAACTTAGAGCCTTGCGGATTTCGCTGAGCACGGTCTCCATAGTGTACGATCGCTGCCATTTTGCGATCAGGGGCAGCTTTGTAAGGTCGACCTGTGTGCGAGTTGCAAAGAGAGATCCAGCAGAGTTGGAAAGAATCAGTCTACGACGGCTGGTTGCTATTCTCACGCAGCCTCCAAGACAGACATGTTTGCTGTGTTTCTGAGAGAATAGCATCATCAAAAGAGAACTCACCGCGCCGTTGTTCTTGTTGACAAAGTTCAGGTTGATGCGAGTAATGAAGCGCACCGTCGGCGGCTCCTCTGGATACTTGGGGCCGCAGTGCAGCTTCAGGCTGTAGATGCGGTTTTCAAACACGGTCTGTGATGGATTGGGTTGGGGTTGCATCAGAAAACGGTACGCTGCCTGCTTGGAACATGATGGGCAAAATCTCCCGTTCTTCTCTCGCCCTCTGGACATCTCCCCCCCCCCGCTATCACACCACTTACACGAGGGGGACCAAGAATGGTGCCCATCCAGTTGGAGAGCTCCATGTCCTCGCCGTTCTGCAGACCGTAGCTGATGGTACCATCGCCAATGCCCTTCTCGCCCTTGTCGAGCTCCTCCAGCAGTCGGAAGTTGCGCGGGACTGAAGAAACAAAACACAAACACAAAAGCCATCACATTGCAAGCATGTTTGAGTCCATCGTGAGTGAGTTGGTTTTCCACCAGCAAAGCAGCAGACAGCGATCACGTCAATCCAGCCTTTTTTTTTTTTTTTTTTTTTTTTTTTTTTTTTTTTTTTTTTTTGTGGGGATCGCATTGTTCGAAATCCAGCCGCGCTGCAGCCCGCGCCGCTTGTCATCATGAAATGGCAGTTTTGCAAACCAGCAGTGGATGCGACGCCCGTTGGTCTCAATCGCCCTCGTCTTGGGCAACAAACACAGCATCAAACATAAAAAAAAAAAATCGAGAACTTTTTGGTGTTGATGCAATAGGATTGCTCGCCCAAAGCACCAAAGCGTCGTCCAGCGCCAAAGCAGTGACATTTGCAACGCAAAAACAACCGCCAACCGCGCCCGCAGTCAAAATCAGACCGAGCGGCTCACAACCGGTAGAACAACGCAAACCAAATCGTCAGCCCAGCCAAACAAACCATTTTCACTGTATTTTTTATTTTTTTATTTTTTTTTTTGGCTGGGCGTTGCATTGCTTTTTTTTTTTTTTTTTTTTGATTTTTACCAACGACGCTTGCACCAGCAGACGAAGCCATGATTCTAAGAAAAAAAAATGTCAACAACAAAAAGGACTGCAAAAAACAAATTCAGAATCAAGTGTAAACGTTTGATAGTGGATTGCAAGTCTCAGTCTACTAGATTTGTTTGGCCACAACAATGTCGAGCAGTGGAGGCACCAGCTACTTTGTGATCGTCGGGGCGAAGGACAACCCGATCTACGAGCTCGATCTCGCTGCGGCACCAACGGCGGGCTCGGCTGTGGCTGCAAAGACCGGCGCCAGTGCTGCTGCTGGGGGAGCATCGGGAGGAGCGTCCGGAGCAGGGCAGCAGCAGCAGCAGCAGCAGCAGCAGGCGACTTCATCTGTGCTGAACGGACCAAGCGTCTCGTCCGTCGCCGCTGCGTCCTCGCTCGCCGTGTCTGCTCAAGCCGCACCAGTGACTGCAGGGGTAACGTTGGCTGCAAAGTTCTGCCTGCTGAGCGATGGCCCCGTGTGGTCGTTCAGTCGACTGATTCGCTCGGATCTCACTGTTCCTCTTGCGCATGCCTCTGCCGCTCACAGAAAGAAGAAAACAAACCTCTCAATCAATTTGTATTGCACTCTGCACTGGACATTGTGGACGAGGCAATGTGGACGACCAACAACATGTAAGAAGAGGCCACCTTCTCGAATTTGCTCAGCAATTTCAGAACAAAACCCCCAAAATTGACTTCGTCTGATGCGTGACACAGGCACCTCAAGGTAGTGGACAAGTATAACGAGCTGTTCATTTCAGCGTTTGTGACAGTGGGGAATGTCCGGCTGATGCTGCTGCACGACGCCAAGAACGACGATGGCATCAAGAATTTCTTCCAAGAAGTGTACGAAGTGTACATCAAGGTAATAACAAGACGGCTCTGTGGTGTATTGAGCTACATAGCATGGGGAGTGTGTTTTGCGCAAGAGTGAGCGGGCGTAGTGGAGTGCGGGGAAGAAAGGAGGAGGAGGGGGGTTGTGCAAAAAATCCCTTTCGTTGTCTTTTGGCTCGAAACGAACGCATCCATCCTCACCGGCACACTCGTGAACCGTCCATGCACAGGTACTACTGAATCCGTTCTACGAGCCCAACACACCAATATCGTCGCCGGCTTTCGACGCAAAGGTTCGAGCGTTTGCGAAAAAGTTCTTGTGACCCTTTTTGTTTTCGCCTGATTGTTCCCGTTGCACGGGGTTTGGCCCTTCGACTGTAGATGTAGAGTACTTAATGAAGGATATATTGATGCATCTGATTGTTTGTGCTGGCAGTGGGGAGGAAGGCAGTGCGCGGAAGAAGTGAAGAGGACCGGCAAACTTGTTCTCCACCCGATTGTGCATTTGCGTTGTCAGCACCCCCAAGCTAATGTTTTGAGCTACTTTGGCATGCTTTGTACACGCAAACGTGCCACGAGTGAGCTTGTGGTGTTTTGCTGCAGTTGGTTGTTGGTTTGCGCGCATGATGGTAGGAGTGCAGTAGGATTGACGCCTCCACCGCGCATTTTCTGCTCAGAGTCGATACTTGATTGACTGACAAATGCTCGAATGCTCAATTTATCGAGTGTCTGACAACCGAGGGACTTCCGCTTTTGGGGTTGTCCAACTTTCAGCCGACCAATCAGCGAGCAGCAACTCTCACCAGTCAAAATCGCTTTGCTTTTCGCTTTGCTGCGACTGCGCTTCGGTCCTGCGACCCGCCCGCTGGTTCATTACAACGTGCACCGTCGATTGATGCACCCTGGCGAGCAGGACGGGCCACAGGGCGGCGGGGGAAGGCGCTGTTGGACAACTGCACGGCTGCGCAGTAAAAAGCAGCAAGCGCGCAATGCTAATTTCAATCACTCCTCTTTTTTGTAAGTCCTTTTCGTTTCTTACTTGTCTTCGGTTTGCGTTTCCGCTCTGCTATTCAGTCATTCTCTTCGTTGTGTTGTACTACACACTCTTATTCCCGAACAGGGGGGAGGTGCGCGGATGCCTGTGTGTGAGAGGGGGGGGGCTGAAGCTAAACGCCGACAACCCTTTTTTTTTTTTTTTTTTTTTTCGAGTTCCTTTCTTCTCTTTCTTCTCCTCCTCTTCTTCCGCCACGGCTCCTCTCCGTCTGCAAATAACACTTTGCAGTACTCGTGTTTTGTCCTTGCGTTGCCCATTGACGTCGTGCCGTTGAGAGGGTTTCGCGTTGGTGGTTTTGACATGTGCGCGGTCGATTGCGTTTTTTTTTTTTTTGATTTTTTCATTTTCACACTCATTTTCATCTTCCCGTCGTTGTTTCCATCGTCACAGACCATCAACCAAGACCAAAAACACTCCCAACAAGCAACAATGCCCTGCTCCAACGCTAACTGCTCCTGCGGCGCTGCCTGCCAGTGCGGCGACTCGTGCAAGTGCGGCGCTGCCGACACCACCGCCAAGGCATGCACCAAGGCTGGCTGCACCTGCGGCGCTGACTGCAAGTGCGGCGACTCGTGCAAGTGCGGCACTGCTGATGCCACCAAGGCCTGCACCAAGGCCGGCTGCGCTGGCTGCAAGTGCGGTGCCGCCTGCAAGTGCGGTGACACCTGCGATCAAGCCTGCGTCAAGGCGTGCACCAAGACTGGCTGCGCTGGCTGCGCATGTGGCGAAGCCTGCAAGTGCGGCGACACTTGCGATCAGGCTTGCGTGAAGGCATGCACCAAGGCCGGCTGCGCTGGCTGCAAGTGCGGTGCCGCTTGCAAGTGCGGCGACACCTGCGACCAAGCCTGCGTCAAGGCCTGCACCAAGACTGGCTGCGCTGGCTGCAAGTGCGGCGACTCTTGCAAGTGCGGCGATTCTTGCAAGTGCGGCTCTGCCAGCTCGTCCACTGAGTGCAAGTAAAAAAAAAAAAAAAAATCTGACAATGATTTTTGCTGCGAAAAGTTCGCTCGGCGTTGCTCCCAGTTTGCCCCCTCCCCGGCCACCGATGACGATGACGTACCCCATCGTGTTCTTGCTTGGTGTGCGTTCTTGTCCGTGTGTGTTGTGCCGATCACTTCACTGGAGCGATGTTTTTGTTCTTTTGCCTTTGTGTTCGCAGCAGATTTTGTTTGATTTTGAGTTTTTTAGTAATTTCCTTTTGTAATTTATATTTTCGTTTGCTTCGATCTATGGCCTCTCCACTCTTTCATTATTTTTTCTATTAGTTTCCATTCACCACCATGTCTGTGGACTGGACCACCGCGCCCGCGAGCGCTGTTCGGCAGCAGTTTGTCGACTTTTTCGTCTCAAAGGGCCACGAGTTTGTCCCTTCGTCGTCCGTCATTCCCCACGACGACCCGACGCTGCTCTTTGCCAACGCCGGCATGAACCAGGTACGAAAGGCCTCCTCCCCTCATGCATCATCAATCATCCATCGAGTGGGGGCTTTTTCAATGGGAGACAAGGACAGCATAATAAAAAATAAAAAACAAGGAATGGGGATTCCTCGTGTTGCAATGGTTCCACACTGCAAACCTCGTTGCGACTTGCTGTTGAGCTCCACATCGCGCTCTATTGGCGTCGCAAACCTTCGCAGTCTGGGACTTTGAGCAGTGCGCTCGCTTGCTTGTTGTTGGCGGCAGCGTCGTTCTCTGCCATGACGCAAGACAAAAAGGAAAAGGAAAAAAAAAAAAAAACCAGATCCTGCTTTTTTTTTTTTTTTTTTTTTTTAATGGAGGCCTTCCGTTGCTGATGCTCATTCACGGCAGATGCAAAATGGCATGAACATGTTTACTGCGACGTAGTTGGAAGATCGGGGGTTGGGAAAAGTGGCGACGAGACTCGTTGGATGCTGTTCCTCAATGGTTTTGCTCATAGTCCATCTCAATCACTCTGAGATGGTGCTCTGAGATGGTGCTCTGAGATGGTGCTCTGACATTCAAGGAACTAACCCTAACCCCCCGGTTTTGATTGACATGTTTCCCCCCCCCCTCACTCAGTTCAAGCCCGCCTTCCTCGGAACCGCCGACCCCAACTCTCGCATGGCCAAGTACCGCCGCACCGCCAACTCGCAAAAGTGCATCCGCGCTGGCGGCAAGCACAACGATCTCGAGGATGTCGGCAAGGACGTCTACCACCACACATTCTTTGAGATGCTGGGCAACTGGTCGTTTGGCGACTACTTCAAGAAGGAGGCCATCAGCTGGGCGTGGGAGCTCCTCACCGTCGTGTACAAGCTCGACCCCAACCGCCTGTACGTGACCTACTTTGGCGGCAACGAGAAGGCCGGTCTGGAGGCCGATCTCGAGGCTCGCGACATTTGGCTCAGCGTCGGCCTGCCCGCCGAGCGCGTCCTCCCCTACGGCATGAAGGAGAACTTCTGGGAGATGGGCGAGACTGGCCCGTGCGGTCCTTGCTCTGAAATCCACTTTGACCGCATTGGCGGCGGCCGCGACGCTGCGGCCCTCGTCAACGCCGACGACCCAGATGTGCTCGAAATCTGGAACTTGGTCTTTATTCAGTTCAACCGCGAGGTCGACCAGTCGCTCCGAAAACTGCCCCGCTGCCACGTCGATACCGGCATGGGTCTTGAGCGCATTGTCTCCGTCCTCCAGAACAAGCGCTCCAACTACGACACTGACGTCTTTGTGCCGTACTTTACCGCCATCCAGGCTGCCACCGGCATTCGCGCGTACACTGGCAAGGTTGGCGCTGACGACACTGACGGCCTGGACATGGCCTACCGCGTCGTTGCCGACCACATTCGCACCCTCACCATCGCCCTCGCCGACGGCGGCGCCCCCGGTCCCACCGGCCGCGACTATGTGCTCCGCCGCGTTCTCCGCCGCGCCGTCCGTTACTGCGCCGAGAAGCTTGGCGCCAAGCCCGGCTTCTTTGCCTCGCTCGTCGACGTTGTCGGCACCTCGCTCGGCGGCTTCTTCCCCGAGCTCGTTCGCTCGCCCCAGGACATTAAGGACATTATCAACGAGGAGGAGGCGCAATTCCGCAAGACCCTCGACCGCGGCAAGCGCCTGTTTGAGCGCGCTGCCGCCGCGTCCAAGAACGGCGTCATTGAGGGCCTCGTTGCCTGGCGCCTGTACGACACGTACGGCTTCCCCCTCGATCTCACCGAGCTGATGGCCGCCGAGCTCAAGCTCACCATCGACAAGCCCGGCTTCAAGATTGCCGAGGCCGACGCCAAGGAGGCTTCCAAGGGCAAGGTCGACGAGGCCGAGGAGACGGTCGTGCTCGACGTCCACAACATTAGCGCCCTCAAGGACAAGGGTGTCCCCGCCACCGACGACTCGCCCAAGTTCAACTACCGCTCGGAGAACGACAAGTACACGTTCGAGTCTGCAGTCGGCTCGATCGTTGCCATTGCTCTCGGCAAGGAGCTCGTCTCGACCGTCGACTTTGAGTCGCTCAAGGGCGCCAAGGTCGGCATTGTCCTCGACAAGACCAACTTTTACGCCGAGCAGGGCGGCCAGATTTTCGACACTGGCTTTGCCACGCGCGTCGACAACGAGGCGTCCGAGTTTGCCATCGAGAGCGTCAAGGTCTACGGCCCGTACGTGCTCCACGTCGGTCGCCTTCAGGGCGGCTCGCTCTCCATTGGCGACAAGCTCACGCTCAGCATTGACGACATTCGCCGTCTCCCCATCATGGCCAACCACACCACCACGCACATGCTGAACTTTGCCCTGCGCGAGGTCCTCGGCAACAGCGTCGACCAGAAGGGCTCGCTCGTCCGCCCCGACAACTTCCGCTTTGACTTTAGCCACCCCAAGGCCGTCTCGACCGAGGAGCTCCGCAAGATTGAGAAGATTGTCAACGACATTATTGAAAAGAACGAGACCGTCTACCGCGTCCCGACCGCACTGCACCTTGCCAAGGAGGTTGCCGGCCTGCGCGCCGTCTTTGACGAGGTCTACCCCGACCCCGTCCGCGTCGTGTCTGTCGGCGTCCCCGTCGAGAAGCTCCTCGCCGACCCGGCGTCCGCTTCCTGGAAGGGCTACTCGATCGAGTTCTGCGGCGGCACGCACATTGACCGCACCCGCGACGCCCGTCGCTTTGCCATCTTCCGCGAGGAGGGCATTGCCAAGGGCATCCGCCGCATCTCGGGCATCACCGGCAAGGAGGCCATCGAGGCCTACAAGACTGCCGACAAGCTCGAGGCCAAGGTCAAGCAGGTTTCCGAAATCCCCATCGGCCAACTCGGTCGCGAGCTTCCCTCCCTCATCGAGTCGGTTGACACTGCCGTCATCCCCAGCTTCCGCAAGGACGAGATCAAGGCCGCCATTGCTGCCATCAGCAAGCGCGTGAGCGACCATGAGAAGGCCCAGCAAGCCGAGCAGACCAAGATTGTACGTTCAGAAGAAGAAAAAAAAGGGATGGTGTGAAGGCTATGAAGGTGGTGTTTGTGAGCTGACTTTTTTTTTTTTGTTTTTTGAACACTGTTCTCCTCAAACAGGCCACTGCTGCTGTCAAGGAGCGTATTGATGCTGGCGCCCCCTTCGTTGTTGCCTTTGTTGACATTAACGGCAACCGCAAGGTACGGCGCACGCGTTTATTGAGTCGAGTCCATTCATTTTGTCGGCTGTTTCTCACATCTTGGTCTGTTTTTTTTTGTTTTACTCTTTTTGAAATTGACAGGCCATGTCTGCTGGTCTGAGCGCTGCCAAGGACGCCGCTGGTCTCCTTGTCTCCAAGGACGGCGATTCCATCATTGCTGTTGCCAGCGTGCCCAAGGTGAGACACAGTTTTCTTAATTGGCGTGTTGAGGTGACCGTTTCGTATTCTCACTCGCTCTTTTGCTTTTCGATCTCTCTGCCAGGCACTGGTTGGCAAGATTAAGGCTGGCGAGTGGGTTACCGAGGCTGTCAAGAGCCTCAGCAACACCAAGACCGGTGGTGCTGACACTGTTGGCCAGGCCAGCGGCACTGGCAGCGATCACGCTGCAGTCATCGACGCTGCTACCAAGTTTGCTGCTGCACGCCTGCAGTAAAACAAACAAAAACAAACATTGAGTGCGTTTTCGTTTCCATCGAATCGTCGTGTTGCCTTGCCCGTCTTGGATTCCTTCTCGCTTTGTCACTTGAATATCATGCAATGAAGTCAAACGAGTGCACTAGACAAACAGCAACCGGGGAGATTGTTTATGTACGAACGAAACGAAACGAAACGAAACGAAACGACGAAAAATTGTGGCAGAAAAAGCCTAAGAGGTGAGCTTTTCGCGTGAAGATTCGCTGAGTAGATTCTTTGGTCGTGTCTTGAACAAGAGTTTGTGGTGTACAATCGCCGCAATCTCGTATTCTGTTGATGTGGATGCTGCAGGGTGCTGCGGACTTGGCTGCGGGTGTGATGGCGGCTCTATTTGCATGGCATTGTTGTCTAAATCGCCAATCAATCCAAAAAACAAACAAGAAGAGTTGGTACCAAAATTCAATAACATACAAGTCTCGTGCAGCGGGAGGTCGGTGTCCTGCGCACTTGTGCTGATGCACAAAACATTTGGCGGGAGATTCATCGTTTTGGCGCCATTTTTCCTTGTGCTGCCACCCGTGCCCAGTCTTCCTCTTCTCTTCTCTGCCAACAGGCCACAATCACTGACCATTATTCTGAGGCGTGTCACTCGTTTGCGAATGAGCGGCGTCCGTGGTGCTTGTTTTGCGGCGCATGACTGCGATCGGCGTCTTCAACGGAGTGACCTTCCCGACCAGCATCTGCTGCCCGATGGTGAGGTTTGGATTGCCCTGTCAATTGGCAAGGTTAACACGTCAGCTTGTTATTTCTCGTGTTGGATGCTCGATGGGGACATTGCTCTTCGGCAACGCGCTCTTTGCTTGCCTTGTCGTCGAACGCGAGCATTCCCGCCGTGAGACCGTCCAGTTCGGGCGCCTTGCTGGACACGACGCCCTGCAGCTCGACAATCACCCAATCCGTGTCAAAGTTGATATTCTGCGGTGCATTCAACCGCGCTTCCGGCGACAACCGGACCGGAATGACTGTCATTCGAAGCCAGATACAAGTTTACAAGTGTAACGAATTGAGAACTGAGCTGCTCAGAAACCAAAGACAGTAACCACCAGATTTTCAGCCTGATGATGATGATGATGATGATTTCAGTCTATTTTAGTTTGATTCATTTTTTTAGCCATGACCAGTGCAGGCAGTGCGACGGTTGTGCTTGGAGCGCAGTGGGGCGACGAAGGCAAGGGCAAGCTGGTCGACATTCTGGCGCTCCACTCGGACGTCGTCTGCCGCTGCCAGGTGAGTGAATGGCATCGTTGTTCCTTGACTACTCTGATGATGCGACCGAGTGAAGAGGAGACTGGCAGCTTGTGGTAAGCGGGGGGGTGGGGAAAGCGAGCACAGCGCAACACATGCTAGGTGGAACCGCACTCTTGGGGTCATCCCCCCTTCGCACTAGCCGCCACCCCGCTCAAGTCAGACCCCCCCCCCTCCCCTAAAGCACCAACATCAATGACGATTGATACGCCGAGAGTAGAGTCCCGGAACACAACAGCGAGCACAGAGAGCGAGAGCAGCGCACTGAGCGAGATCTTGCTTTTTTTTTTTTTTTGGTTCTTTTTCCCCCCTCGTGGAGCCGCTCCAATGCAATCCACTCGAAATCCACTTGTCACCCACCTGCAGCTCTCAATGCAAAAAAGAACTACACCCAACTTGTTGATGATGGATTTTTGGTTGTCGCGAGGCTGTTTTCGTTCGCTGTGCTGTCTGAGAGAACGAGCTGACAAGTTTGTGTTTGACATGTTTTGTGCTTTTGGGGTTTGTGCTTTTTGGGGTTTGCCAGGGCGGTAACAATGCAGGCCACACGATCGTGGTCGACGGAGTCATGTACGACTTCCACCTGCTGCCATCGGGCATCATCAACGTCGATGCGACCAGCGTCATTGGCAACGGCGTCGTCATCCACCTGCCGGGCATGTTCGAGGAGATTGAGAAGAACGTCCTCAAAGGTAGATTTAGAACCTGGCAGTGACATGGAGAGAGCCGGGATTGTTGGGTTGAACACACTTGCTGGTCCAGCAGCAAGCTGGTGGAGGCGGTTTTTCTCACCAATAGTGTCTCGTGTCTCGACGCAGGACTCGTCGGCTGGGAGCAGCGTTTGATCGTCTCGGATCGTGCGCACCTCGTGTTTGACTTCCATCAAACCATCGACGGGCTTCAGGAGCTCGAGAAGGGCCGTGGCAGGTTGGTGGTGGCAGCAAGCCTGCTGCTTGCTTGTTCTCGACTTCTGAGCGGAATTGTTGGCTCACGTCTCCTTTTGCATTTTGTGTCGCACGCAGCCTCGGCACCACCAAGAAGGGCATTGGTCCGTGCTACACTTCCAAGGCCAGCCGCACGGGTATCCGTGTTGGCATGCTTGTGCACGATTTTGAGGGCTTCATCACTGCGTTCCGCACTGAGGTTGCCAGCGCTCAAAAGCGATGGCCCATCTTTCAAAGTCGACGTGGACGCTGAGATTGAGCGCTACCGGGTGAGGTCTATGGGAGTCGAGCAAGACCAATGTTTGGGCCTGTGTCTTCTGTCTTTTCTTTCCTCCAAATTTCTCACGCCGACTTTCTTTTGATGTGTGGCAGAGTCTCGCTGAGCGCGTGCGCCCGTTGGTCAAGGACACTGTGTACTACCTGCACGATGCCCTCGTCAACAAGAACAAGCGAGTTCTCATCGAGGGTGCCAACGCTGCCTTGCTCGATCTTGATTTCGGTGCGCAGTTGTGTTTTGTTCTCGGTTTTTTTTGGCAATTGTTGCTGCTTGCTTCCACTCATCTGCAAGGCCTTCCCACCGTGCAATTCATGATACAGGCACCTACCCTTACGTCACTTCCTCCAACTGCACCGTCGGTGGCGCATGCACTGGCCTCGGCGTCCCACCGCGCGCCATCAAGCAAGTGTTTGGCGTCGTCAAGGCCTACACCACCCGTGTCGGCGATGGCGCCTTCCCCACAGAGCAGCTGAACGTTGTTGGCGAGACCCTGCAGCAGGTCGGACGCGAGTACGGCGTCACCACTGGCCGAAAACGCCGATGCGGCTGGCTCGACTTGGTGGTCGTCAAGTACGCGCACATGATCAACGCGTTTGACGGCATTGCGCTGACCAAGCTCGACATTCTCGACTCGTTCGAGACCATCAAGATTGGTGTTGCCTACAAGCACAAGGGTGCGCTTCTCGACGCCTTCCCCGGCAACCTTGCGGTGCTCGGTGAGGTCGAAGTCGAGTACATTGAGATGCCCGGCTGGAAGTGCGACATTTCCGGCGTTCGTCAGTTCAGTGCACTCCCCGTTAACGCTCAAAACTATGTTCGCAAGATTGAGGAGCTGTCAGGAGTGAAGGGTAAGGAAGGGGTTGCGGTTTTTTGCTGTGTTGATATTTTCTTGTACTGTGGATGCGTGCGACTGATTTCATTTCTCTTTTGTTGTCCTAGTTCGCTGGGTCGGCGTTGGACAAGCGCGTGACGCCATGATTGAGCTTGCATGAACTTGACGTTCGCAACGCTGGCAGTTGTTTTTGATGTTTTTTTCGTCCTTTTTTGTGGTGTTTTTGTTGTTGTTGTTGATGTTGTTGATGTTGTTGTTGTTATGCATGGCCTTTCTTCCGTTTGCCTCTTTTGTGATTGAACTCTGTCAAATGTACTGTATGGAGGCACAAATCCCCCTTGGCGCACGACGAGATCCTTTTTTTTTTTTTACCTCGTTCGCCTCTTCTCCTTCTCCTTCTCCTTCTCTCTCTTACCAGTAGAACGCACCTTTATCATACATGTATTCCCTGATCATCCATCGTACATTCGAGTTTTGCACTTGCTTCGATTTTCCCGCCACATTTCACTCTTTCATTTTTGTTTCAATTGTTTCAATTGTTTCAATGGGTAAAAACGAAGCACAAATTCAACTTCAACTCATCCACACAACGTGTTTCTATGCAATGAAGAAGTCTATCGAGAACAACAAACGAGTCAAAGCCAAAAGTGAATGAAGTGATTGAAGTGAAGTGAATGGAAGAAAGAGGAAGAAGGCGAGATCTCTTCCTTCTTTTGCCCCTTTTGCCCCCTTCCCCCCAATGACGACGACGCTCTCTCTCTCTCTGGCATGTTCAGAACGAGGTGCCTACTGTTCGTGCCATTGCTCACTCACCTTGATGCTCGCCTTTCGCAGCGCAACCGGTCTTCAATCCAGCTGCTGCTGGTGCGCCAGGTGGTGCTCCGCGTCCCACGATGGGCATGCCTGCCGTCGCTCGCCCGCCTGCGTTCGGCCAGATCGGAGGTGCTGCTGGTGCTGCTCCTGTTGGTGCCATGCCTGCGATGGGCGCGCTCGGTGGAGGCGCTGCTCGGCCGCTCGGTGGCTTGGGAATGGGCGGTCTCGGTGCTGCTGCTCCTCCTGGCGCTGCTGGCGGGCTTGGTCTTGGTGCGCTCGGTGCTGCTAGGCCAACACTCGGTGGTGCTGCGCCTGGTCTAGGCGGAATGCCAGCAATGGGTGCTCCTCGTCCGACGCTTGGTGGCATTGGCGCTGCTGCTGCTGCTGCTCCGGGAGCTGGTATTGGTCTTCCCGGTGCTGCTGCTGCGGGTGCTGCTCCAGCTGCAGGTGGCATTCCTTCGCTTGGCGCAGGTCTTGCTCCTCGACCTGTCGGCGCGGTCGGCGCTGTCGGCGCTGCGCCAGGCGCACTTGGCGGTGTTCCGACTCTTGGTGCCGGCGCGCCCCGCCCTGCGATGGGATTGCCTGGTGCTGTTGGTGTTCCGGCTGCCGGTGCTGTTGGTGTTCCGGCTGCCGGTGCTGTTGGTGTTCCGGCTGCCGGTGCTGTTGCTGCTGCTGCGCCTGGTCTCGGTGCTGCTGCGCCTGGTCTCGGTGGTGCTGGCGCGCTCGGCGCTCCTCGTCCCACGCTTGGCGCCGCTGCACCTGGCGCGCTCCCTGCTGCCGGTGCTCTTGGTGGTGTCGGCGCACTCGGCGCACTCGGCGCCCCTCGTCCCGCGCTTGGAGCACCGGCGCTTGGCGCTGCTGCAGTTGGTGCCGCCGCACCTGCTGCTCTCGGCGCTGGAGCTGCTGCGGCTGCAGCTCCTGCTGCTGCACCCGTTCCTGCCAGCGCCATTGCCAACTCGGATCTCAAAAATCTCTCCGTCGAAGACATTGTGAACAAGTGGACTCGCGAGCTCGAGGAAATGGTCAACACATTCAACACCCAAGCCATCGAAGTGGCCGAGTGGGACAAGATGCTTGTCGACAATGGCGAGCAGGTGAGGGGATTTGTTTTCATCCTTCTTTTTTTTTTCTTCTTCTGTTGCATTGGATGCATTTTCTAACCTTGTCAAAAATGCGTGCTCTATGCTTACAGATCATCAACTTGCACAAGGAGGTGGAGCGCATCCAGTCGTCCCAGAAGGACTTGGATCAGCGCGTCGAGTACATTTACACACAACAGCGCGAACTCGGCCAGTTGCTCGAATCGCTTGAGGGTGATGTTGACCAGCTTTACAACAAGGCTCGGTCTGTTCCCCATGCCGACCGCGCCCGTCAACGAACGTGAGTACTGTTTGGGTGGTGGCATTTTTCTTGCTTCTTGTAGCAGCACACTTCGCCGATCGCTCACTCTTGGAGCGGTTCTACCACTTGAAATCACTCTCCTCAGATTCCAACTTGCTGAAAGTATGAACGCCCAGCTCGATGAAATGTCAAAGTCACTCAAGGAAATGATTTCGAGTTTGAACCAGTCGACTGGTGCTCAACGCGACGAGGCCATTCCAGTAAGCACCCGCATGCTTCTGTGATCCCAAGGTTTATGTGTGTGTGCTGCGGATTTTTTTTTTCGTTTGGATGGGGTCCCCCCCCCCCCCCCCGCGTCCCGCCCCCTCTTTGTTTGACAGATCCACCAAATTCTGCAGATTCTTGGCAACCACGTCAACGCCTTGCAGTCGATCGATCGAAATGCAGCCCATCTTGGCACCCAGTTGCAGATGGTGCAACAAGAGAATCTTCAAAAGATGAACCAATATGCTCGCATTCAATCCCACCGAGGATTGTAAAGGGACAACCCAAATGTGTGTTTTGTGTGACAGTTACTGAAAACTTAGTTTTTACCAAAATCCGATATTCTCTTAACAGTCAGATTCCGACTCGCTTTTGTTGTTCTGCAACTGTTTCACTCGCCGTCTTCCTTTTCCATCCCAAAATTTAACAAATGACCGGGAGGGCACGAGCAGGTCAAGCAAGCAACAAAAACGATTCTAACTCTTTTTTTATGATAACAACACACGCAATGCCAACCGTGTTAATCGCCTCGCCAGTTGTGTTTGCATTCCATATTGGAGCATCGCAAGAAGATGGTCATGGGCTCGTCTGCCGAGCGCGTTTGTACTTGGCGGTAGTACGCCTTTGTGTGTCCGCACTTTGGGCAGTTGGCTACATCAAACAAAAAACCAAACGAGAAAACAGGGGGGGGGGGAAACGAACGTGTGATTCGCCATCCGTGTGAATACTTGCATCAACAGCATCCTTGTGATCATGATCACCACTTCCACATGCGTGTAAATCGCATCGATACCCCAGCGACCAAATCCGAGTGCACAACTTTTCGCTTTACCATCGGTTTGGTCGACGTTGTCCCAGTCACTCTCGCGGCCCATCACATCATCGACCTCCTTCTTGTTCATTTCGCGCATGTTTCCAATCTGTCAATGCAAAATCGCACAGTTTTCCGTTGAGTTTTGTTTCAGCCGGCAGTCCAATGCCGATGACTGTGGACGAGGATTGGCAGCAAGCATCCGACGCGCCACGTTTCGCCCGTTCCCAGCCACGCTTCAGTTCAGTTCACTCAAACTGGCATTCTGCATCAGTCTTCATGCTATTCACGTCTTAGGTGGTTCTTACCATGGATTGGACTTGGTATACGTATGGACATGTGGCGCAGCGGAACATGACGTTCTCCCTCTGTCCAACCGAGCAATGACAAGCCAGCAAAATGAGCATCATGCATCGCAATGGTGAATCATCACAACGGAACGGAGGGGCCGAGTGGGGATGGAGGGGACCGTTGTTACCGAGTCTTGGTAGGTTCCAGCGACGAGCAGGTTGGAGCAAGTGGGGCAAAAGACGAGCATGGTTCAAAAGTAATGGAGTAAATAGACTGAGAATTAGAGTAAGTAGATACTGTGTCTGGATGTTCTAAAGGATGGAGTGAATGGAAGGTGGAGATTTGGATGCAACGCAACAACAACAAGCTTATCGAATTGTCAAGTTTTGAAAAACCGTGAGTGTCAGTTGCATGAGCCGCTACATGCTGTAACATGCACTGCAGGATCAAGACAAATTCAGGCAACAATTAAGGGAAGACGCCGTGCTGCTCGGATCACTTTCCGGTGAGCGATGCGCGATGCGGCAACCGCTTGCTCAAAATCTCATAATCGGCTTCGTCATCGTCGCACTGACTCGGTGAAATTTCGTCAATTTCGTAGCTGATGGTGGTTGAACGACGTGGGGACAAAGGCCAAGTCGAAGACAAGATCATGCGATGACGCAACATTGAACAAAAGCACGTAAACGATGAAGTGTGATTGTGAGTTTTCAGTTACAATTGCAAGCCTTGCATCCTCCCAGAGAGCAATGCCCGCTTACTTTAGTATGGTGCGATAGAATTTAATGGCGGAAGTGTTGGCTGTATCGCAGACCGACACCAACGAAACCACGTCGGAAACAAAAGTCAGACCAAACATTGCCACCAAAAGGCAGTGCAATCGCACTCGCGTTCTTGCTGTATGCAAGTTGACAAGCAGGTTTTGAAAATCCACATACCTTGAAAAACGGTCAGCATGCTCTTGAGCATCTTCTCCTGTATGCCAATCAGTTCGATGATTTGCATCATGAACTTGCCCAGTCCCTTCCGTTGGACAGGCTCTGATAGTTGAATCTCATAACTACCAATGCGAGGCCGATAATGCAAGCGTGAGATTCTCCACAGCAACACCAACAGCGAGGGTTGAAAAATCCAACCAATCCCCATCAGTGCATTCGTTCGTTCGCAAGCAATGTACCAATAAATCACGGGTATTTGGGCCTCGTCGGCGGTGCTTTCAAAGTCAAATCGAAAGTGCACAAACGCCACGAGCTGGCCAGGCGCACCGTCAGCAGACGATTGGCTTCGTGCTAGCAAGAATCGTGCCGTGTCCTCCTTCAGCTCGGTTCGCTTGCGCTGGTCGCTCCAACCCCAGCTGCTCGCATTATACCTTTTCAGCAAAGCAGTGCACGTACGGAAATCATCGACAGCGCTTGTCAGCGACCGGCTACGGCCGAAATGCAACGGTGGCGGTTTTTGGCGGGAAACGTTGACAGCCGCATGCTTCCCCATCTCCTTCTGCATCTGCATCTACGTGCAAAGCCCGCCTTACATTGTCTCCATGTTCGTCTTTGTCAAGTTGAAGCAGAATTCCATGTCCTCCTTGGACAGCTCGCTCGCGTGGCGCGTTGAGAGTGCAACATCGAGCCTACGTTTTTCCCGCCAAAGCCAGATGATCAGTTCTCTCCATTCAGCAGCACCCCGTTCTCGTATCGTTCGAATCAAGACATGTTCTGTGATCTACATCAACGAGTGGGTTATTACCCGTTGCGGTTGAACTTGGAGAATGGCTTGAGCTTGTCCAGATAGCTCGTGTTTGCATTGGCGAGATCGAGCAGCTTCTGGTGCTCCCTCAATCCCTGTCAAAATCCAACCAAAGACCAATGAATGGTGTTTGAGTATGTTTGCATGATCATGAAGCAATTGCTCTGTCCATCAATCACAAAACCTTGGGCGTTTTCATCGACGATGGAAATGGAAAGAAGACTGAGCGTGCTCAGATTTTTTTGTCGATTCGATAGTGACTTGGAGCATCTGAGCCTTGCCAACTCTGACAACGGCAACACCAACACATCTTCACTCGTCCTTGCCATAGAGTGCTGTCTGTCTGAGATTTGTAACGGAAACGACCACTCTTCATTCGTTCTCCAAAATCCCGCTACAAGACCAATTCCCTCGTCCCCAAAGTCACCTCGATCCGCTGTACCAAGTCCTCCTGGCAGTTTCAACCCAAGCATCATCATCATCACCATTATCATCACCATCATCAGTCCGAGTCAGAAGAGAATGGCATTGGCGCTACATGCCTCTAGCGCTCGCACGATGGCAGCTGCAATCGCAGCTATCCGGCTCACCACCCATCCACGGTTGTTCTCGACGTCATTTCCAAGATCATCATCATCATCATCATCGTCGTCGTCCACAGGCCCCAAGCGGAATGCGGACGGCACACTGCGAACACACTACTCGGTGCTCGGATTGCGACCAACAGCGACGCAGGCCGAGATCAAGCAGCGCTTCTACCAGCTCTCCAAGCAGCTGCATCCGGACGTGAACAAGGCAGAGGACTCGCACATGCAGTTTACAGAGCTCAGCGAGGCGTACTCGGTGCTGAGCAGCTACGAAATGCGCCAAAAGTACGATCGGAGCTTGCGGCTCGAGCAGGCGACCTGGCGACCTGCCGCCTCCCAGCAGGGAGGGCAACACCGCAAAGGCCAGAACAGCTCGGCTCATGACGACAGTACATCCAGCACCAATCCATCGAGCAAAGGCCCGGCTCAAGGATCGCAAAAGTACTCGAGTGAAGACCGCGCGCGGTTCAAGTTCAACTTTGAGGAACACTACCGCCATCACTATGGCCAGGAAACGCGCGGCACCACCGGCGATGCGCAAAATCAACACTGGGATCCACACGTCTGGGAGAATCTCTACCGCGAGACGGCCAAGCAGAACAAGCGCGATGCGGTCGAGTTTGCCAAGCTGAACAAGTCGCCGCTTCTGCTTGTTGGCGCCATCACCATCGGCTGTCTCCTCGCAGCCGAAGCAGCCAGGTCATGGCTTCGGTATCAGCGCGACAAGCAAGACAAGGTCGCAAGTTAGAGGGGTGCAAACCGACATGTACGAAAATTGCAAATAAATAAAAATTCGGTTCAGAAGCGGAGTTGGGAATTTTACATTTGGAACAAGTGATGCTAAGAACAAAGCAAGAGGAAGATGATGAAACAACAAAAAAACAACGAACGAAAAAGAAAATAGTGCACAAAGAAAACAAAAAAAAAAAAAAAAACAAAAGGATCGAAAGAGAACCAAAACAAAAAAACATGGAAAAAAAAAACTCTCAATGTAAATAAGCTTCAGATTTTGGCTCAAAAGGAATAGGGCCACACTAGAAGAGCATGTCGCTTTAGTTACGCTTCTTGCGCGAATCGACAGCCTTGGTGGAGGTGCGCTTGCTCAGAGCGGAATCAGCTGTGAAAGATACAATCAAAAGAATGGGGTGAGTGCTCCGCGTTCAACCAAATCACACAAAGTCACATCAGATCGCCGTGCTAAACATACCACGCTTGCGAGAAATAAACTTGAGAATTTCGTCAAGAATAATAACGGGGAAGGAAATGGCAATGACCACAACCCACTCTTCGCCGTTGAGGGGGCAAATGTGGAACAGAGCCTTTTGAGGGAGAGGGAAAGCGGAAACCACAGGAACGAAACGTTAGCAATCAGGATGGTGCAGCAACAAAGACACCATACCAAACAAAAACAAGCGGAATCGAAAAAAAACAAAACCCCAAACAATACTCACCGACATGAAGGGAATGTACAGAATGGCAAAGTGCAAAATCATCGACATGGCAATGGCACCGAGGAGAATGCGATTGGTCCATGGAGGCATCGAGAAGAGCGACTGGTTCTCGCTGAGCGAGTTGAGCGCGTTGAACATTTCGATGGTGACAAGCACGGAGAGGGCCATGGTGGCAGGGTGGGGATCCTCAAAGACGTGGCAGTAGTTGCCAGGGACGGAGGCGTCGCAGCCGAGGTGATCGGTGAGCTGCTCCCAAGACAGCTGGGGACCAGCGTGGTAGAACAAAAACCACCAGGCGGCGGCAAACACGGTGGCAACACCAACATAGGTGCCGATAACCATGTAGCGGAAGAAGAGCCAGCCGTCAATCATGCTCTCGTCGGCCTTGCGCGGGGGCTTCCTCATAATGTCAGAGTCGGCAGGGTTGAAGGACAGAGCGGTCGCGGGCAGACCGTCGGTGACGAGGTTGACCCACAAGAGCTGAACGGGAACGAGCGCCTCGGGCATGCCCAGCGCGGCAGTCAAAAAGATGCAAACGACCTCGCCAATGTTGGACGAGATGAGATAGCGGATGAATTGCTTCGTGTTGTTGTAAATGGCGCGGCCTTCCTCGACGGCAGAGACAATCGTCGAAAAGTTGTCGTCGGCCAAAACCATCTTGGAAGCGCTCTTGGCGACCTCGGTACCAGAGCCCATGGCAACACCAATCTCGGCCTTCTTGAGGGCAGGGGCGTCGTTGACACCGTCACCAGTCATGGCCGAAATCTCGCCGTGCTCCTGGAGCAGCTCGACCAGGCGCGACTTGTGGGTCGGCTCGGTGCGCGAAAACAGCGAGGCACGCAAGACAGCCTTCTTTTGCTCGGCCGGGGACAGGTCGTCAAACTCGCGACCAGTGTACGACTTGCCCTTCAAATCCTCATCCTCGCCAAAGACGCCAATGCGGCGGCAAATGGCCTCGGCAGTGTTCTTGTTGTCGCCGGTGATGACAATGACACGAATGCCAGCCTCGCGGCACTTCTGGATCGAGTCGCGCACCTCGGGGCGCGGCGGATCGAGCATGCCGACAATGCCGACGAGCGTCATGTTGCTCTCGTACGTCTTGAACTTTTCAGCGTTGGTGAAATCAAACTTGTTGGCAGCCAGAGGCTCGTCAACCGTGGCGAGGGCCAGGCAGCGGAGCGTGTCCGAGCCAGTGCCGTACGACAGCAGAATCTTGTGGATGGTCTCGTGGGTCTCGTCGCCGGGCACGAGGGGAACCTTGGAGCCGTCAGCGAGACGGACAAACGAGCATCGCTCAATCACGCCCTCGGGGGCGCCCTTGACAAACATGACATTCTTCTTGCCAGCCTTGGGCACGCAGTACACGGACATGGACTTGCGGTCGCGCGAGAACTCGAGGGTGAAGGCCTTGTCGTAGGTGCTTTCAAACACCTTGCGCGAAGAAGAGGCAAGATCGGCGGCAGACAAGGTGGCGCGTGCGTCGTCAATGGCGAGCTTCTCCGAGAGGACGGCCAGGGCAGCCTCGGTGGCTTCGCCAAGCTTTTGGTACGTCTTGCTGCCTTGGTCGTAGGAAATGCGCGCCTCGTTGCAAAGGCTGGCAATAGCAGCGAGCTCACGCACAGCGTTGGGAGCCTCGGCCAGCGGGTTGACACGCTTGCTGCCAAGCGTGAACTCACCCTTCGGCTCAAAGGTCGTGCCAGACACGGAAAATTCCATCGGAGCGGTCGAGCCAGCAGCACGGCCAGCGCGGAAGACAACCATCTTGGAGACGGACATTTGGTTGGTGGTCAGGGTGCCAGTCTTGTCCGAGCAAATGACAGAGGTGCAGCCGAGCGTCTCGACGGAGGGGAGGTTGCGGACAATGGCGTTCTTCTTGGCCATGCGAAGCGAGCCAAGCGCAAGGCAGGTCGTGATGACGGCAGGGAGACCCTCGGGGATGGCGGCAACTGCCAGAGCGACGGCAATCTTAAAGTAGTAGATGGCGCCCTTGAACCAAGAGCCGCCGTGAGCGGGATCGGAAAAGTGGCCAATGTTGATCAGCCAGACAAGAATGCAAATGACACCAATGACCTTGGACAGGAGCTCGCCAAACTCGTCGAGCTTCTTTTGCAGCGGCGAGCGCTGCTCCTCAGTCTCAGCCATGGCCTTGCTGATGCGGCCAATCGCAGTGTTCAAGCCAGTGCCAACGACCACACCAACAGCAGAGCCCGATGCAACGGCAGTGCCGCTAAACATGATGCTGAGCTTGTCTTGGTTGACAGATCGGGCGTCACCGCAAGCCTCGACCTGCTTGATGACGGACACGGACTCGCCTAAACAAAAGGGAAAAAAAAAGTGAGTAGGAGCAGAGGAGCGGATGAGGCAGATAAGAAGAAGGTCAAACAGAACAAGAACAGGAAGGTAGATCAACCAACAAAAAAACAAGGGGGGGGGAGAGAGAGAGAGGAAAGAAAAAGAATAAAATGCAAAAAATCAGAAACGAGGAATTCACTTGTAAAATGATCGAGTCCACATTCTGCCCAAGCACAAGTGCTCAGGCTTCAGAGGCATCAGTATCAATCGTTCTCATCATAAAGACAGTTGGCAAGCGGACAGCCGAAGGCAAGCGAGTTGATGAAAAGCAAAAAAAAAAAAAAATGGAGCGAGGTTTCATACCAGTCAGAATGGCCTGATCAACGCGAATGGTCGTGGACTTGATACGAATGACACGGAGATCAGCGGGAATCTTGTCACCAACTAATCAAGCAAGAATGTCAACGTGAGAAGCAGGATAAAGCAGCGACATGATATCAGGAAAGTGTGCAAGAAGGAAAAAAAGATAAAAAGAGTTGGGGGTTTGGGTCATAGTTCAAGAGAGAATCATAAGCTTGCTTCATGTGAAACACGGATTAGAACAAATAAATTTCGATCATTCCTGGGCCCCCAAAGAAAAAAAAAAAAAAAGTGGAAAGGGAGAGAAAACTTCAAAGAAAGAAAAGCTGATGAAACGAATGGTCGGCGAGATACAACAGCAATCTTTACCTGCCACCTCGACAATGTCGCCGGGGACAATCTGCTTGGCCTTGATGTTGGTGAGCTCGCCGTTGCGGACAACCTTGGCAATCTCTGGCTCGTAAGCCTTCAGTGCCTCGATCGCATCCTCAGCGTTGCGCTCTTGCCACACACCAACGACAGCGTTGGCGATGAGAATCAGAATGATAACCAGGGGCTCAACAAAGGCCGAAACACCCTCCTCGTTGTCGAAAATTGCCAAAACCTGCGTGTTTGTACACAAAAGCACATGGTTGTGAGCACGTTGTTCTTCCAAAACAAAAGGAGCCAACAGAAATCGCGTAACTAGAGCCAGAGATCAACCATCCCATCAGCAGCAGAGGCAGCAGCAGAGATGCACGTACAAACGAAATGACGGCAGCAGCGAGCAAGATCTGGACGAGCAGATCGTCAAACTGCTCGAGAACGAGCTTCCACAGCGGAGTGCCTTCTTCAGCAGGCAGCTCTGTCAAAAGAAGCGCAAACATGAACAAGAACAGCAGCAATACAAGGCGGGTTGAGGGTGAGTGATCATGGCACAGAATCGCAATGCGAGGCAACGTCACAGTTCCAGATCTAGATCGAAGTAACACAATCAAAAAAAAAAAAAAAAAAAAAAAGGGCGCGATCGCTGGCATTGAAAAAAAAAAAAGGCACAACCGTGACGCTCGGCACCAAGACCAACGACGACAATAGAGAGCACGATTCAGAATTGCAGCTCGCAGCAAGCGTAGCGATGAGGAGCGGAAATAGCACGACGAGTGCGGAACGCAACGAGGCGCTGGGACAAAAAAAAAAAAAAAAAAAAAAAAAGACGAGATCGCAAAAACGTCCTCACGTCAGCATGAACATTCAGCAAACCGCGCCAGGCGGGATCGCATGCGTCCCTCACAGGCAAGTCAAGACGAGTGATACACACCCGATTTTGCACACAGTCCGCAAGCAGCAAGCAGGGGCCCACGACGAAAGGCGAAGGGCGGTCGTCCAACCAAACTGTCCCAATCGTCCACGTTTTTTATTTTAATTTTTTTTTTTTTTTTTTTTTTTTTTGGTTTTACGGGTTGTTGTTTGCGTTCAATAGCGCCATGGTTAGAACGAGGAGTGCGCAGCGGTCAGAGTGACACGGAGCAACAAACGCACGCTGTCGCTAAAACGCAGCAACGCGATCTTCCCACTTTTGAAGCAAATTGAAGGGACAGCGAAATAGAAACGAGAAAAAAAAAGTCGAAAAACAAGAAATAATCAAAAAAATAGAAAAAAACACTGCCACCGAACGCCACGTCAGGACGCTTCGCGCCGAACTCACCATTGAGGCCAAACTCCTCGAGGGCGGCCTCAACCTGCTTGTCGCTGAGGCCGGTCTTTTCGGACACCTTGTAGGCCTTGAGCACATCGGCCGCCTCAGCCGCATGCGGCTGGGACAGTGCGGCCTTTGACGACATTTGACGACATGACAAGAAAAATTGGAGGAAAAAAAAAAAAAAAAAAGATGGACTGCCTATGCCAAGCACCACAAAATAAACTGCATATGGCAAAAATCCCCTCTTGCCACCCTTTTACACCACCATTGTATTATCTAGAAAGTAGGAGAGCACAGAGCGCAGCCTGGGAGCTCAATTCCAGCTTGCATTTGAAGTCACAATCAAACTCACGACGAAAAACAGCTGAAAGATCAAAAGAAAAAAACAAAAGGGGAGACGAAGACGTCAGCAAGATGCCATCAACACAGCGTCTTCTGCCATGAGGCGCACCATAAACGACACGATGTTGAGAATCACTTTGACAGGTTGAATCAGTCTTTTGTTCTTGTTTTTCAGTTTTTGCGATGAGTTCGGCCGGTACTTCAAAGCGTCAAGCAGTGGACTCGCCTGGAGGTCACGTCGATAAGCGTGGCAGAACCGTAAGTGGGCCGAGACCTGTTTTAGTGTACCCCTCTCGTCTTCTCCATGAATTCTTTGAACGAACTGGTTCTGTGGTGCCGGAGAGTGGCGAGAGTGGTGAGAGTCGTGAGGGGTGAGCAAACTTTGCTCTTACTGGTGTCTCGGCAGTTGCGCGCCATTTTGTTTGTTGTTGGTTTTTTTTTTTTTCTTTTGCCGACCTTATGTGCTTGAAATTTTTCACAGCAGTGGTGCCATGCTTTGATAGTCTGTGACGATGGCAAACATTATTCTAACCTTGTATTTTTTGCTCTCAACAGCAAAGCAACGATGAGGACGACGATGAGGGCAACGATACCCAGCCGGTTTCGACGAGAGCTTGGCTGTCTCCTATTCTGCCCAGTCGCAATGGTATGTGTGAGTGTGTGTGTGTATGTGTGTGTGATACTGAGTCGCGGGTATTCTGACCTTTTGTTCTTGTGACCAGCTATGCTGAAAAACACACCGGCTCTCATCCGCGCTTCACTTGCGGGTCTACTGGAACTCAAACTGAAGGAGAAGGAGCAAGTGGTATGTCGTATGCTATTGGACTTTGCGTTTGAAGCTGCGGCGTGTCAGTGAATTCATTGGTTTTGTTGTGTTGGCAGGATAAGTTCGAGTACCCTCTCGTCGACTTGCAAGTGGCAACTACTGCAATTAAAGCGCACTTGAATCGAGGCATCGACCAACCTTTGACTCCCTCCGACCGAGGTCGCACTCCATCGTTGCTTGCGACAACGTTGCCAGGCGCCGGAAAAACGAGGCTCTGTCAAGAGTTTGTGCGTCACATCGCTCCTGCCGTATTCAGGAGCCGACAGGTCAACTTTGTTTGCTTGTTTGTCACCTTCAACAGCTCAACCTTTTTCGCCGGTTCAAACGACTGGACCATCACGCTTCGCGCCCACCCAGAGCACGCTCTTGCGACTCGCCTGTTGCAAGCGTACTTTGAAATCCCCCTCGATTTTTTTCGGAACAACTTTGAACAAACTGGCAGCTTCGAGGTCGCTGCTACGCTCCGGTTCATCCAGGAGTTCGATTTCAAGCGTCGGTACAATCGTGAACCCAGAGTGAAAGACAAATTGCCATACCTCGCGATTGCAGTTGACGAAATCAGCAAACTGCTTTTTGTGACCAATAAGCAAAAGCCAGACCCACAAGCGGCAACAACCTCCAGCTCGAGCTCGCCGGAAGACGCGAGACAAGCAAAGCTAGCTGTGATTAAATCTCAGCGTGAGCTGCTCAAAGCGACCTTATCGTCACTCAAGAGTGTCGCCCTCATTCCGGCTACCCGGCTCTTTGTTTTGTACGCCGGAACCGTGCCAGAACACCTTCGACCTGGTCTGGTCGAGCCCTTTGACACCGGAAGCACTGACTCGAGCAACTTGGCGGTCTATCCAATTCCAATGGAGCCGTTCGATGGCCCCCACACCGCCGAGTTTGTAGACGTGGTTGCCGGAGTTACACAAACACAGGTGGATTGGCGCCTTGATGAAAACTTAGTGGGCAGACTTCGCATTGCCGGAGGCCTGCCACGTCATATCGAGAACGTAATGGACGTGAATACGCCTGATGCCTTTGCTCGACCACAACTGAGCCCTGTTTCTTTGATCAAGCTCGTGCATGTTTGTGCGTTCAATGCACAACTAACAGGAAAAACACTCTTGGAGGACGTGGCTGCTTGGGTCAGTCGCGGTGCAGCTGTTGAAGGTATGTTTTCCATCAGGATTTTGGCATGTGCTGATGTGGTTGCAACCATCTCACGTATTGCGGCTGGCTATGATGCAATTCGCTGCAGCTGCAACACCTTCAGCTCAGTCCAAGATCGCAGCCCGGTCCCTGCAGTTCAACTTGTACATCCCACTCGATTTGCGTAAGTGCCGGCTGTGTTTCTAATTGGAGCTGATATGCATGTCCGTCAATGAGTCGCAAGTGAAAACGGAGATCGGCGATACGGAGCACTCATTTGAGCTTCAACATTTCGCAGTACCGACTGATCAGGTCCTCGAGCCTGTCACGCACAGCGTCGAATTGATAGACCAGCTTGCACGCGTACTGAAGCGTTGTCTAAACTCGATCACAGAAGACATGCAAGGCTCTGCGGCCAGGCACGATCTGTGGGAGCGACTTGTCGTCCATCTATTCAACTTGCGAGTGACAGCGTATCTTGCCGATCACGTGTTGTCGGCATCTAAACCTTCTTCGAGTGCCTATCTTGTCCCTCTAACCGAGTTACTGCCTGGGGTCAAGTTCAGTGATGACTGCAAAAACCTGTCACTCAAACTGAAACCCAAAAAATGGGGCACGAAAGTGTTCATGCAACTTGCCCCAGAGAACGAGCCAGGAATCGACGCTTACATGCTCGCCAAGCTTGCTGGTCACGTAAGTTTGGAGCTAGATATTGGTCGCGTTGTTGTTGGTTGAGTGGTCGTCACTCTGAGTTCTCACTGTCTGCTGCTGATGGCTGCCGACTATCAGGCGACGAAGAAACGTGTCGTCATTGGTCTGCAGATGAAGCTGCACATGCACCTCCAGTCGACAGGCCCCGCTGAGCTTAGCAACTATGAACAATGGGCCCGCCAGCGACTTGATCAGTCCTACGTGTCGAAAAACAAACGAAAGAGAGACAAAACGCTTGTTCTTGTGGGGGTCATGTCGCCTTCTCGGTTTGCAACTCCTGACCCTCCTAAGCACTCGTGGGTGTTGGAGCGGCGCACTTTGTACGAGTTTGCGCAAGGATTTCGAGCGGTTGTGCAGTGTAAGTTCTTGTTCGTGCCCACGCTGTGAGCGATTGTTGATGCTTGCTGAGCACGCACTGACCTGCTGGCATGTTGCTGCAACAACAGGCGCCTATTCGTTCGACCCGCACCACAGCCCTGCAACGCACATTGCGAGTTTCCTCTATTCGTGGAACACGCAGTCACAAGCTGTGTGCAACGCGTTGGCACACCTTCTCGTGCAGACTCGGCACCGAGCTCACCAGCGAGACAGCCGGCAGCAGTTTAGAACAGCGGAGGACCTGCGCCAGTTCTTGCTGCGCCAGATTGGTGCTTCCAAAGAGGTCTCGTTCACCCTGACGGAGAGCGGTGAAACAAAGCAAGTGACCCACACTCTCAAGTCGAAGCATGTCCCGCCCGCCGAGCACCTTGGCTGGTACTTTGCATTGCCTGATACGGCTCGTTCCGCAGCGTCGTCTTCCAGCGCCAGCATGTCCAGTTAGAGGCTTTGGACAAAGTTGATGGGTTAGGCGTTCATCAGAATGGTTCCGTTTGTGTTTTTTGCTCGTTTTGCTTTCTCCAACAATCATCTCAGAATGGGATCGAGCATGACGGCACTGTGTCGCTGGCAAGAATCACGATGATAATGCGTTCGTTTTCAATGGCTGATCGGCACGCTCAACCTCCGTTCGGGTGCAGCCAACAGCACAAAAAAACGCCCGCCGCCAAGACTCTCAACTTTTTGTCCCGCCAAAAATCTACGCCGTGTCCATTCAAAAGTTGTATTCAAACATGCAGGTACAACGTGCACCAGTGCAACAATGTCAATCGGCCAAGTAACTGCCCACAACAACACAGGTAAAAGTACACTGTTCCTAAGCTGTTTTTTTTTTTTTTGGTTTTTTTTTTTGCTTGTTCTTGCTTCTTGCAACCCCAACGAGACGGCCATTTACTTGACCTCGTGCATGTTAATCACCTCGGAGGACTTGCTCTCGGACATGTTGCGCCGGCGGCTCATGTAAACCGAGGCACCGATGATGATGGCGAGAAGGGCAACACCGCCAATTACGACGCCGATAATGATGCCGTTGCGCTCAGAGTCGTCGTCATCATCGTTGTTGTTGTTGTTATTGTTGGCAGCGACAGATGCGGAGACGGCGGAAGCAGAAGCAGCTGACGTGGCCGACACAAACGAAGCGACCGAGGCAACCGAGGCGGATGCGGCCGAAGTGACCGATGCCACTGACTTGGCGCTTCGAGAAACAGTGGCGACGGAGGCTGCAGAGACGGTCGCGACGGAGGCCGAAATCGTCGCAAGAGTGGCCTTGGACGCCTTGGCGGTCACTGCCGAAACAGAAGACTGGGAGGCATAGGATGCGGAAATGATGGACTCTGTGGCAGAGATTTCGGCGTTGGCGGGCGTCATGCAGTAGCCATCATAGATGACGTTTGTGTTGTCCATGCACACAGAGCAGCCAGTGACATCCGCGCAGGTCAGGCAGCCGTCGACGCAGCAAGCGCCAGGTCCAAAGCCGTGGCAAGTGACGCATGCCTGGTCGCAAACTATCAAACAGAACAGAACAGAACAGAACAGGACAGGATGAGCGAACAGAACAGTGCTGTTGGTCGGGAGAACGCCCGCTCTTGTGTGATCTTACCAAAGACGTTGTCAGCATCGCCGTACATGCCAGCGGGAGTCGAGGCGAAGGTAACGCCGGCCAAGTGCACGGTCGTAAGTTGAGGAAGGTCTCCGAAGACGCCCAGAGGCAGATCAGTCAGGTCAGTGTCGGCAAGGTTGCTACAAGAGTGGCACAAAGCAAAGTAAAACATGAACAGGTAGGTGAGCGAGCGTCAAGCGTGAGGAACACTGGTGGCACAAGAAAAAAGCTTCTCACATGAGCTCGATGCTCTGGAGGTCCTCAAAGTCGGAGTGCTGGACGCTTGCGATGGGCGACGAGCTCAAATCGCTGTGGGTATGTGTGTGTGTGTGTGTGGGGGGGGGGAAGGGAACGAAAGCAGTCAAAATATCAGTGAGTTTTGTTGGTTTTCGCCCCCGGTCTGTCGCATTTTTCAACATCGATTGCAGTCATACAGGGTGGTAAGAGTAGACGCGACGGGGGCCAGGAAAGCGACAGGGACGGCCGTGAGTTCCGAGCCAGAGATGTCACTGGAAGTTCCGAGCAAAAGCACCAAAAAAACAATCAGTGCTTTTGGTAGAACATCAATCAAAGCTGGGCGGCTTGCGAGATTCTTACAGAACGGACAGAGCGTCGAGTGACATAAGGGCATCATCGCTGACAGAGCTGATCGAGTTGCCGCCAAGGTTCCTGTGCACCATTCATGAACAATTAGATGCCAGTCCATCAATCCAATCAGCATGTTTCTCCCGATATTTCCGCCTTACAGAATTTCGATAGCAGAGAGACCATCGAAGGCGTTGGCATCGATAGTGGTGATTTGGTTGTGACTCAGGTCACTGTAAACAAAGAAAAATAACAATCAATGTCAATCCAAAACGCGCGAAAATCCAACGACGACAAAGGGGGAGGGAGTGCATACACTTGAATCAAATTCGTCAGCGAGGCCATCGCAGTGGTAGGAACTGCCGTCAGTTCAGCAGACGAGAGGTCGCTGTAGCAATAACGGTGATGCATAAAGCAATAAATAAATAAAAAATAAATACAAAAATTAACAAAAAGGCAACTATTCAAAATAACGGCTCGCTACTGACAGGAACTGGAGACCTGAAACACCAGCAAAGGCAGCATCGTCAATGGTGTCGAGCGGGGTGTTGCTCAGATCGCTGTTCAGGTTCAGGATGATCGGTCAGCATTCGTGAAAAGAAAATATCAACCAAAATCACAGAGTCAAAATAATCAACAAAAGCAGAAGCAGCATCCTCGTGTTGCTGCCGCTCACTGAACAGTCGCATCCACTTCTCTCCCATGCATGCACTCACAGGAGAACGAGGCTGGTCAGTGTTGCAAAGGCGTTCGCGGGGAGTTGAGTGATTTGGGTGTAGCTCAAGTCGCTGTTTAAAAAAAAAAAAAAAAAAAAAAAAAAGCATGATGAGTGTTTGAACAAGTGTGGGGAAATGTGAAAAACAGACGGGCGGTTTGGCTTTACAGGATGGTCGTTGTGGCAGGGATGTTGTCAGGAATGGCTGCGACGTCAGTGTCGCAAAAGTCGATCGTAGTGCCATCGCACACGCAGACATCGCAGGCATCCGCGGCGACGGTGGAGCGAGCAGAGGCAGCCAAAATGACCGCAAGGACAAGCATCGCGCTCAAATTGACAAGCTTCATTTTTTATTTTTGTCGGCTAGCCTGTTCGACAAGAAGCACATCCAGAGTGAGTTTTGCATTGTTGCGTGGTACGACAGACACCCCGCACAACGAACGGCGCGTGATTCAACAACACAAGACAATACAATAATGATAAAAAAAATAATGAATGAATAAGCGTTTGTTTTGATGCCAAATTGCAAAAAAATGCACCAAAAAACAAAAAAACAAAACAAAAAAAAAAACCGCAAAAACGGAACGGAATCCTTTCCGTCGCCTGTCGCTGAATGACGCACACACACACGCATAGCACAACACAGCCACTAAAGGCACACATCGATGCAGGCCGTCTCGACACGAGCCGCTCGAGTGTGGTTGTGTGAACACGACCAGCAGCGTGACTCGCGTGGCGTGGGAGGCAACAAAACAACGGGTTCATCCCTGGAACCGCAGTGCCACCCTTGAGTATTGTTTTTCGGTGCTCGCTGACCACCGTCCGCGCTCCAGCTCCAGCAGCCACCACAACCCCCCCCCCTCAGCCCGCGAGTATAGTGTCTGTGTCTGTCCCTCAACCCTCCCCCCCGGTCGTGTGCTCAGCGACAGAATCGTCCGACAAACGGATAGGTGATTCATACCAGAGTGTCACGCCCCCACCCCTCCCAAATTCTCATTCACACGCTGGTTCGTGCCTCTTCTTCTTCTTCTTCTTCTTCCCAACATCACTGTGCCACCACGCGCTCACTTCGAGCCAAACCCAGTCACCTTGCCCATAGCGTCAGGGCTGAAGTGAGGAGATTGGGATGAGCGGGTTTTTTTTTGGTGGCACGCGAGAGATAACACCAAAATAACGGAACTTATTGCCAAACCACAAACAAACACACTGTCCAAGCTGCGATTTGTCTCCCCCACTCGCAATGGCATGCTGCTTCAGAAGTGGGATGATGGGATTGCACGAATGCTCCAAAGTGAAGAACAAGAAGAGAGAGGGCAACAAAGTGACCGTCCAATCGATCAACGAAAAACGACATTCAAAGAATATCAAACAACAAACCAGCCATGTTGTTCGATCGAATTCTTTGGTCATTTTGTTTGTCATTTTGATCTGTTGGGTTGTTTCGATGACTTTGTGATTCGTGATGACTTTCAATCGTATTCATACGTGTGCAGAGAAGGACAGAATCGAGAGAGGGGAAACAGCAAGAAGAAGAAGTCGTAAAGCAAACAGCGGCAAAAGGCGGAACCTCACTTTGACGATTGGTCCTTTTTTTTTTCTGTTTTTTTTTTTTTTGGTAATTTGGGCTGCTTCATCTCTATTCACGCCCCTGCAATGCCGCTGCAGACCAGATCGCAAGGCTGGCTGCAAGAGCGTAAGGTGGAAACGAGCGAACGACACAATCAAAGGACGAAGGAAAAAGACAAGGGAAATACAAAGGCAGCCATGTTGACAGGCCGAAATGGTCGCGTGCCTCGCACCGAACATGCATTGCGTCGAACGCCAAAGTGAGAATTGTAGTGTGACACAACGAAGAACTCGTACAAGTAAACAGAAGGAACAAAAGGAGACTGACATCAGCATCGCATCACCACTGGCAAAGACTTGTTCAACCGGATCAAGAGTTGAGACCACCTTGTCCTCTGGTTCTCTTCAAATTCTTGTTCTATATGATCTTTATAGAGAACGTGCAAAACAATCGGGGCTCTCGGAGCACTTTGAAGCTTTGACTTTTTGCATTGACCGTTGAGTGAGCGACCTTTGCTTTTTTGTTTTTCGTTTTGTTGCTGCCGACACCTCACTGACCATGCTGACATTGTACTGAATGCACATTTCGAGTCATTCGCAAGCTTCTTAGTTTGACAGCAGCTCTGAGATCCAAGTACAGTCACGCTCTGAATGGAACCAGCTGAATCAACGACCACCAACACCACCACCAGCACCACCAGTAACTGCAGCAGCAGCAGCAGTAGCACTCAGCCACAGGAAGGCGAAATCCAGCCGCTTGTTGTCGCACGCACGCAGTCGGTGGAGGCGCGGCAGCTGTCTGAGGCCGAAGCGGCGATGGTCGCTGCGACCAAGATGACCGTCTCGGAGTACCACAAGTCGCGCTTCGACACGCACGCGCGCATGTTCTGGGACAAGTTCTACCACGCAAACAAGACGTTCTTCTTCAAGGACAGACATTGGCTGTACCGCGAATTTCCGCCCCTTGTCGAGCAGGTGAGCCGGAGTATGAAACACATGTGAACCGCATGTGTGCACGCACGCGTCAGTGTCATCAACATGCCGCCTCCAAGTCGCCTTCGGGATGGGCATTGCACTCGTTGCTCGAGTGTTCCAACGAGTGTTCCAATGAGGCAATGATGACCAGGCTTGGAGCGAAGCAATACGCTTGTTTGGCCAAAATTTGTCTCAGCTTCTCACCGTTTCCCCCAAAACCAAAACATTAGGAGCCTGTGCATACGTTGCTCGAGATTGGATGCGGTGTCGGAAACGCATTCTTCCCGTTGTTGCAGGCAAATCCTACGATTGAGGTCTATGCGTGCGATTTCGCAAAGAAGGCTGTCGATTTGATCACGGTGAGGCATTTGATGTTTTGCCTCATTCACTCCAACTGCACGAAATGGCTCACTTTGTTTTGGCTGCGCGCACACACACACACACACTTGATTAGCAAAACGAATTGTACAAGGCAAATGCAAGTCGGTGTCACGCATTCGTGTGTGATGTGATCAACACGCCAATCTCGGACACGGTTCCTGCTAACAAGGTGGATCTCTGCACATGTCTGTTTGTGCTCTCGGCCATGGTGCAGTCCAAGATGCCGGCCGCTGTTTCCAACATTTTCAACGTAAGGGACGCTGCAATTGTCTCATAGTCTGGGTTTTGTGAGAAAAAACCAACATGCGACCGACCCCCTCGCTGTTTTTCAGGCTTTGAAACCAGGCGCGACGCTCTTCTTCCGCGACTACGGCATTAATGACGAGGCCATGCTTCGGTTTGCCAAACAGCGAAATTCCAAGCTCGATGAGAACTTGTACGTCCGGCAGGACGGAACCCAGGCCTTCTTTTTCACTCTGGGTAAGCAATCTTCTCGGGAAGAGGTGAAAACAACCCTGGAATCTCACACCAACACCTTGGTCTATGATAGAACACGTGCAAGAACTCTTCCAATCTGCCGGCTTTGAGCAGTTGAGCAGCGTTTATGTCTTTACGGAAACAATCAACCGCAAGGAAGAGCTCCAAGTCCCGCGTGTATTTGTCCAGTCGCTCTTTCGCAAGCCGGACACTTCAGCACCATCATCAAGTTAATTCATGCTATCATTGCTTGTTTCGGAATACAGAACGTTTTGTTTGCGTTTTGAACGCAGGTTTTGATACTTTTATTGCTTGGCGGCTTTGTGTTAAAGGTTCTACCCAAAAGCATGAGCAACATCAGGTACGTCAACAAAAGTCACAAAGTTTTGGGTCCGTGGTTGCTGCGTCTCTGGATCTAGGATGGCACGAGAGTGATAAATGTAGCGCTGGCCAGTCAACACGACTGGCGCGTGCTTTTGCTTTTTCCGCTCCTCTTCCAACTTCAAGAAGGCGGCTACATCCGCCAAGTTGGCTTGCTCTGTGATTTTCGCCTCTGCCAGCAGCTCTTCTTGCGTCATGACGACGACTGGCGCCTTTGGCTTTTGTGAGAGCGACCGGCTGACCTAAAAGGTGGCAACAACAAACGAAGGGGGGGGGTGAGCGCGCGCCGCCGCTTCTAGCCGTGCCTTGGCAAAAGTAACGCAAAAGAGCAGGAGTTTGACACCCAGATCAACGTACTCGCATCTCTTCGCGCTCTTGCAATCGACGATTGACTTCTTGTGCTTGGACAACGGCGACACTGCGCCTGGACTTGCGGCGTCCTCCTTCTTCGGCCTCGCCATCGACGGACGGTGATGGAGTGTCTCCATGAGATGCTCCGACCGAGGAAGATGACGGTCCAACGGCTGCAGCTCCAGCCCCAAGCTGGACGAATCGTGCGCGCTGGTCGTTTGCCGATCTCCGCGCCGGTGCTTTCTTGGGAGCAGCGGTGGCTGTCCAAAATGTTGTCCATCAAACCGACGGTGAGCCCAACAAACCCAACAAAAAAAACCACCTCAGTTTGCTGTTGTACTGAGCTTCGGAGAGCGTTTTCACTTTCTGTACCTTTCTTTTTCGGCTTTTCGTCGCCAGGTAGCAACCGCTGCTTCTTCTGTTTTCCACGATTGCAAACATCAAGATGTGAGTCGTACTTCCAACCATCACCCCCAATAAAAAACTAAGCCAAGCTCAAAAACAGCTCCAAACAGTGTTGTCTCAGAAAAACAAAACGCACGCGCGGCAACTCGTCGTCCTCGTCTGCTGCAGCGCGATCTGCAGCGGCTGCCTCTGCGTCTGGATCGCCATCCTTGGGCTCGTCGTCAGCCTCGTCAAAGTCCGAGTCGACCTGGTCGTCGTCCGACTCCTCCGTCTCGTACTGCTCGTCGTCGGCCACCTCGTCAAAGCCGCCGTAGAGCTCCTTGTAAATGTCGCCCTCCTCGAGCTCCTCCGTCATGACCTTCTGCATGCGGTTGCCGCGATTCGCTCGGTGCGCGCGGTTGGTCACCATCAGCTCGGGCATTGGCGACGGCGGCCCAGACGACGACTCTGAGGCCGAAGACGAGGACGATGATGTAGCCGAGCTCGTCGACCCTTCGTCGTCGCTCATCTCCTGACTTGAATCAATGTGAATATGGAGAGTGGGCAGTTTTGAGCACAGTGTACAGAAAGCTCAAAGCTTGAGCCTTTTTGACCTCAATTGAAAAATCCAGCCAACACTGCAACATTGAGATGCAATGTGATTGAGATGCAATGTGATTCGAATGCAATGGAACGAGAACAAGACAAACATCTCTTCACTCCACCTTTTTTTGTTTGAGAAACAGGGGCTCAGACTTTGACTCAGACTTTTTCGACTCAGACTTTTTCACAATGAGCAGCAGCAACAAGCCGCCGTCGCAGGTGAACGATCTGGATCTGGCCTTCCGCCGGACGTGGGATCGCGCAGAGTACGAGCAGCGCATGAAAGACCGCCAGAAGAGCGAGGAAGACCGGCGCTGGGACAGCGACGACAGCGACGATGGTGAGTATCGTTTTGCTCAATGGTGCGAGAGTGATCAAAGGGGAGAAGGGCTCAATGCAACATGGATGTGATGTATTGGAATGATTCATGTTGAATTGTGCGATATTCAGACAAGCCGAAAGCGCTGCTGAAAGGGCGCGAGTACAAGATCGACCTGACGAGCAAGCTGGGCAAGTCGGTCGTGCTGACAGACAAGGACGCCATCACGGGCGCCGGATACTATTGCAAGACATGCGATTGCACGCTCAAGGACTCGTTGACGTACATGGATCACATCAACGGTCGCAAACGTACGGTGCTCTGGTTGTCGTTGTGGTCGTACATGTTTGTGTTTTTGACTCACATATGCTGAAACCCTCATTCTACAGACCAACGCAACCTGGGTATGAGTATGAAAGTGGAACGGTCGTCGAATGATCAAGTCAAGGCCAGGTTGGCGGCACTGGCCAAGCGCAAGAACGAGGACTACGACGACTCTCGTACGACTTGGGTTTTTTTTTTTTTTGGTGCTGTTGTTGCTTAGCTGCCTTGCATCGATCGCCATTGGAAACTTATTGTATGTCTCGCTCACTGGCAGGACCAAAAACTGGCCAAGTTGGAGCACACGTGGACAAGAAGGGACGACAGGACGACGACAAACAGGACAGCAAGCCAGCATCGAAACCAAAAGCTGCTGCTGCTGCTGCTGCTGCTGCACCGCCATCACAACCTGAGGAAGAGGAGGACTCTGGCATGGATCCAGAGTTGGCCAGAATGATGGGCTTTTCAGGGTTTGGTTCCTCCAAAAAGTAATTCATAAACACCAAACATTTTTCTTTTCTGTGCACAAGTCTTGGCAACAAATGTTTACTCGTTCTACTACTGCTTTGAACACTACAAGTCAGCATCAGATGACCAGATGAATCATCTCAAATACAACCTCCACGGCAATGAGCACGATAATGATAACCTCGAGTCGGGTGCCTTTGGCCTCGGTCGTCAGGTTGCGACACAACGCGGCAATTTCCAGGGCGTGATCCAATCGGCGATTAATCACAGTGATGCGGTGTGGGATATCCATCACACGAACAAGCGAGCGGTACAACGTGTCCAACTCTTCGCGATTCCAGTAAAAGACCGGGACGGTCAAAAAGTCGCCAATCAGATTGACACGATACCGAAGGTAGAGCAGCTCGCCGTTGATTTGAAGCGCTGCATCCGCCGACATCTTAAAGTCCTTGCCGCTGCGCAGTTGCTACAAAAACAACGAAAAACAAAAAGAAAGCAAAAGTGCCAAATCATCCAAACAAGCGTGAGAATTCGATGCAGAATACCCCCCTCCCACCAGCAACAACCACGACAGCACCCTGCTGACATTGCCGTGAAAGGAACAACAAACACCGACAAACCTCAATCACTCGTGCAATGTCCTCGCTCTGAGCGGACAGCATGTCCTCCCACATGGACAGCTTGACTGCCAAGGCCATGCCATTCGAAACTGAATACTTTTCGAGCTTGTGTGTGTGCGGTGTGGCAGTCTTGTCGAACAGGATGAGGTCGTTCTTTACGTGCGTCCGATCACTGCAGTTATAAAATTGGGGGAAAATATGGTTGAGTGCCCAATGCTGCCATTCTTTCGCACAAAGCAACGCAACCACAAAACCACCTGTGTGCTCTCTGAAAGCAGAAGCGCACTCACCTGTCCTCGTCAAACCGCATGTCTTCATACTCGTCGTCCACAACGCTGCGCTCGTATGGCTGGTTTTCGACCTCTTCGAGAATGCCCCGCACTGTCTCGATCTGCTTGTCGGTGGCATTCCACGTGACGAACGAGCCGACTTGGAAGATGAAACACTCGCCGGTGCGCTCTCCGGCCGCGTTGTTGAGGAAGATGTGGATGACTTCGGAGCTGCTGATTTCGTCCTCCTCGGCAAATGGAGCCAGCGTAAACTCGACCCGGTGCAACAGTGGAAGCAATCGGTCAAAGTCATAGCTGTCTGCGGTACTATACGCGCATGCTCTTGGCTGCAGTGGAACAACAACCTGAACAAACAAAAGGTACAAACAAAACATACAAAAAGTCCTCAGTTAACTTGACATCCAGAATAACCTTCAGCCATAATTTCATAATTTCGGGTGGGGGGGGGGGAAGTTGAACAGCGATTCAACCCGTTTACCCGATCGTTGTCTTGGAGGCTCGGCGCAGCGCTATTGCTTGAGGATTGCGCTGTCTTGGCTTGGAGACCCT